GGAAAATGGTCCTGCCTATTATTTGGGAGAGGGCCGCGGACCAAAATCAGAAGTGGTCAAAATATCATTTTGATAGAAGAAAAATCTGGTCACGTGATTAATGCAATGCTGATCTTATATGTTGAATATAAGGATAGATCTTTCTATGTAGCATTGGTCTATATTCCAATACTTAGTAATATAGTTTAGGTTCTAGAAGATACCCTTTAGGTACTCTATAATATCTAAGGCGTCCTAATAAGGGTTTAAGGTATCTTCTTCTAGATAAGGGTAGATATAAAGGAGTGCCTTCCCTTCGTAATAGCTTATAATATAGATTATATAATATTTAGTAATAGGATAATAATTAGCGTTCGTAGCTAGCTTATATTTAATTATTATAGCCTAGGCGTTAAATCGAACTATCTTACTATTATCTAATATAGGAGTATTAGGTATTTTAGCCGATAGATAGCCTTAGGCTTTAGGGACTTAAGGGTCTTGACGGTTCAGAGTATTTTAAGGGCTTAGCGCTAAGGATTAAAGGAGCTAGAAAGTAAGGTTATTCCGTTCGCTAACTATAAGATCTTAGTAGGCAGTAGCCTTATCTCGCTCTTAGGTTAGGTTAATAATAGTAGCCTTAAGTTACCTATTATTAGTCCGTAGAAGTTATACTAAATATATATCTTTAGAGGTCTATAGGTCTTATTAGGTCTAATAGGTCTCGCGCTAGATTAGTTATTCCTATAGGCTATCTATATCCTCTTAGACTTTCTTTCGGAACTAATCCTTAGAGTAAAACTTATAGCGGATAAGGTCCTTAGCCTCTAGGTTATTAATCTCGAAGCTAATTATATTATAGCGTCTTAATAGGTTCCGAGATAGGGTCAAGAACTTAGGTAGCTCCTATTCCTTAACGAGCTTCTCTTAGATATTCTCCTTATTATCCCCCTCCTCGGAGAGGAGGTTCTTAGTCGGTACGGTACGTCTCCTATATTAGTCACGTGACTTAGACTTCGTATAGGTGTCGGTTCCTTTAACCATAACGTCGTTCCGTCGTGGCGTTCGGTAAAGATTTAGGTTCGGGGTTCGTTCGTTCGGTTCTAATTCGTTAAAGGGTATCACTAGTGGGGCGAGACAGCGATAGCGAAGTATCTAATATCTAGACTGCACCTGAGAGGCGACGAGAAAGAGAAAAGACAAGTTTAGTTATATATTACCGACCAAGACGAAGAAGAATTCGTGTATCATTAACAGAAGCAACTAAACTAGAGAAGAAGAAAAAGAGAGAAAGAGGGAAACGAGCATCTACGAAACAAACCCACTTCTATCCCGAATCGGGTTAGACCCACGGCTCCTTCCCGATCACGTTCCCCCTTAGGCCTCTCTCAGGCCACAAGACATTCATGCGTCACAACGACTTTGCGAGGGTCAATGCTTACGCGCTATAGTAAATCTAATCCGAGATCGATTTCAGAAACATTAGTATACGGAGCAACATACGGTCTAATATTTTTGGAGTATTTGTCCCAAACTCCGTGCACTAATAATATATCAAATTAATTTGAAGATCAGTCTTATTCCTGATCGGAGGGTACTCACTATTATAAGATATAAGGTTGAACCAGTTAACATAGCGTTCCATTGACTAAACATCAAAGTGTTAAAGATACCAGTATGAAGCTGGTAAGGTTGCTGAGATTCCGAATCTGCGACCAAACGCGCCTCTTATTTCCTTGACTAGCGCCACATAGTTTTTCGTATCAGCGGGAACACTATCTTGGTCGGTAGCCTGCGGATATTCCCAATCTAGGTTAACACTATTAAATCCATAGGTTTCTATGAATTAGATCAGATTTTTAATAAAACTGCTGCGAAAGACCTTATTCTAGGTCATGAATAACCATATATAGCGAGTTAGGCCCGCATCTGAAAAAGACCACCCTCTAATAGAGATCTAGGTCTCTAAGCCTTCGCGTCTATTCTTTAAGGCAGTGAAATCCGAGAATAAATCCTCGCTATAACTTCCTATAGGGGCACAGTGGTCCAGTCCGCTCGATTGCCTGGTCGCAAAGTGGAAGCCGACTCGTGTCATCGTCGGATAATAAGAATGTTAGAATCTGGGACCCTTTCACCGGCCAGTGTATCTCAACCCTCGAGGGGCATAGTGATTCTGTACGCTTGATTGCCTGGTCGCAAAATAGAACCCAACTCGCATCAGCTTCCTGGGATAATACTGCCAGGATCTGGGATCCTACCACCGGACGGTCCACTTTGACTCTAAAGGGGCATAGCGACTCGGTCAACACGATCGCTTGGTTACAGGATGGTAGCAGACTCGCATCGGCATCGGACGACAAGACCGTCAAGCTCTGGGATCTTGCTACTGGCCAGTGCGTCTCAACCCTAGAGGGGCATAGAGATTCGATCACCTCGGTTGCCTGGTCGCGAGATGGAAGCCGACTCGCATCTTCATCGTCTGATAATACGGTCAGGATCTGGGGACCCGGCCAACGGCCGGTGCACATTAACCCTCGAGGGGCATAGTGATTGGGTTAACTCAATTACTTAGTCACAAGATAGAAGCCGACTCACATCAATGTCCTTCGATAGTACTATGAGGATTTGGGATCCAGCCACCGGCAGATGCATCTTAACCCTTGAGGGGCATAGTAATACGATTAACTCAATCGCTTGGTCGCAAGATGGAAGCCGACTTGCATCGGCATCGGACGATAAGACCATCAGGATCTGGGATCCGGCTGTCGGCCAGTGTGTCTCAAATCTAGAGGGACATAGTGATTCGGTCACCTCAATTGCCTGGTCACAATATGGAAGGCGACTCGCATCAGCGTCTTCTGATAACACGGTCAGGATCTGGATTCCAGCCATCAGCCGGTGCGAATTAACACTCCAAATCAGTTCCCCTTCCTTCCTAAGATTCGATCAAGTCAATGTCAATCATCTACACACCACAATTGGCATATTCGATATAAGTTCCACTGGTCTCGGCAGATCCATTGCTCAAAACTCAACATTGCCAGAACAACATGGGTATGGCTTCAATGATGACTATACCTGGATAACCTACAACAAAGTCAAGATTCTGTGGTTACCTATAGAATACCGGCCAAGCTCTTCATTCAAATTTGCTATATTTGGATCCTCCGTCGCGATCGGCTGCTCATCGGGTCGTGTCATATTCCTCGCGCTCAAAGAACAGAACCCCATCCCTGGTATTTGGTCGGCGTGTTCCTCTGTTACCCGGCGGTTATTGATTTCAGCGTGAATGAAGCTACTACTATGTCAAACTGATGCCTGCTATTATTGTCCCCGACTGAGATCAATGCCATGGTTCAATGGAGTTCCTCATTTTCAGTTCATGCTGAGGCGTCATAACTAACGGGTTCGGAGTCTTGCGCCACGAGGGCAGCCTGGGCAGAAGGCAGCTACTGTGACTACAAATAGCTGCGCCTACTCTCATAGTTAGAGAATGATCATCACACTTGTACCTCAATCCAGGGTTACAACTCATGAGTGGTCAGGATAAATGATTCTACATACACAGACTCCTGTACAGCTTCCGTACGTTGAGACATGTTGCAAATTATAATGGATAATGTCATCCGAATAATCGGATTCGACTCTCAAAAAGAGACAGAACCAGTTTCCTCCGGCAAGGGCATGAGTGGTCAGGATAAATGATTCTACATACACAGACTCCTGTACAGCTTCCGTACGTTGAGACATGTTGCAAATTATAATGGATAATGTCATCTGAATAATCGGATTCGACTCTCAAAAAGAGACAGAACCAGTTTTCTCCTTGCCGGAGGATATCACAGAACTGCGCTAAAATTCAAGGTGTATGTGGCTGACTCATCTATCTCATCCTGCTCCTGCTGCTGCTGCTGCTTCGGTCCATTTGAAACCACTCGTATGGAGGCTATCATGTCATCTAGATATCTAAGCCCAAAGCTCCTATAAATTCTATGCACAAAAGCTAACATAACAACTCATTACTTAGAGACTGCGCGCCATAAAGGTCCGGTCACCGTCGAGTGAAAATCATTAGCATGGCGCTGAAAGTGCATCACTTCTGCAAACCTTTAACGCAAACATTGCAAGTAACACCAGCGCTTGATGCGAGATTCAGCAAATGCTTTCGCTTGATATGCTTCGAAACGTCTCCGTGCGATAAGAACTATTGCACACGCTTCTTGGGGGCCAGGCTTTCCTGTCCCATACAAATAAAGAAAAAAAAGGCCGATGGTCCACTGTGACGGATCTAATAGCCCTTTCGGGTGGGCTGGCTAGTGTGCTCTTGACGTCGGCTACTTCACCCTCTGGCTTCTGACCCTCGAGATAACCGCGCTCGGCCACGGGGCTCTCAACTCGTTTGTTCTGTGGCAAACGATAAGTGATACCTTCCTTATATTAATAATAGGCAGCAATAGCATTAATAGCTTCGGTGCATTAACACATTTCTTGGTCTAACGTCGGTGATAGCAGGGTTAAAAGACGCTCAATTAAATGCTTCTGAGGCTCTGGTAGCTCCTCCGTGTGCCGTAGTTTTGTCGTCACCGACTCGGCCAGTTTTATCTCGGACAGCTGCCGCTGTACTTCTAACATAGGCTACTCCTGATCATATTTCAGTTGAAGCTGCGACAGTAATACGTTTCTAGCCCGTTCTATTGCACTATTAAGCTCTTGGTTTAGCTTTTGATAGCTTTTATATTTCGGACTTCCCTAGTGCTATAAGAGTGGGCGGCCTAGTTATTAACGAAGTGTATCGCGATGCTGGATAGGGACAGAACTTCCAGGCTATTCATTAACTAAGGAGGCTTGGGCAGTCGTTAATTCTTGTGGTCGGTCGGGGTCAATAGGCCGGCTCATTCGATAAGCTATATATATAATATCGTTATCTAGATTAAGACCTCGGATAACGGCAGGAAGAGTCTTATTAGTCCGTCGGTCGAGGTAGTACTTCAAAAAAGCGCGAGTATTGGCGTGGTGCATGATTAGGTTGCGAAGTGAGTTCGCTCGGTATACCGGAAAACGGGTATATCGTCCAGGGCTAAATCAAGCAGCAATATAGGCTCGTTGTAACCATCCCGGATATTCAAGCGAAGAAGCTATTCTGCGAAGGTCAGAACCTCCTCTCCTTTAACTCTCTTAAGGCACGGTCTGCAAAAAGCAGCCCTAGTAAGAAGACGTGAGGACTGAGAATAAGCGACGGGTCAAACAAAATCCCCGGCAGGATATATGTATTTCCAGAGCCGTTAAATTAATTCTATTCGAAATTAAATCTATTTAAGCTTCGAGTAACCTATCCAAATATCTGCATAACTGTCTATCTACACCATAGAGGTCCCGTAACAGTCTTATGAGAATTATTTGTATGCCGCTAAAAATATATAATCTCCATAAACTTCTTATCGCAGATATTATATACGATCATCGCGTTAGACACGAGATTTTGCAGATGCTTTCGCTTGATATATTTAGTGACGTCTCTATAGGAGAAAAACTTTTGAACACGCTTTCTGATATCCAGATCTTTTTGGCCCAAACATATAAAGCAAAATAAGGGCCGATGATCCCTTATAACAGATTGTAGGGCGGATTCAAAAGGTATTCCTGTTTGAGAGCTGACCTCTATCGCTTCATTTTCCGGAAGTTAATTATTAGGTATTTTAGTCTTAGCAGTTTAGTTCTTAGCTCGCTTATTCCGTAGTAAACGGCAGGTATCGCCTTCCTGAAATTAACAATAAGTAGCCACTGTATCGATAGCTTCAGTCCGTCTAGCCATCTCTTCCTCTATAGTAGGGCGAGGTAGAGTCAAAAGGCTCTTAATTAGTCGTCGCTAGGGCAAAGGGACCTCTGTGGAGCATTCCAGCGATTTAATTAGAGACTTCGCTAGCTAAGAACCGGATAATTGGCGCTTTATCTCAAGCATTAGTTGCTCTTAGTCATATTTGCTTTGAATTTATGTGAGTAGCGTATTTTGTGCGCGCTTCTTGGCTCCGGCTAACTCCTAGTTCAGTTTCTTATATATCTCGTATTTTGTTATTCCTTTGTGTCTCGACAGAGGGCGCCCTAGATCATAGCTAATATTATCGCGCCGGCGTATTAGATCCGCAATTTGCGATTAGCAATTAACAGAGGAGGATTGCTCGGTTATTAGCTCTTATAGGCGATCTAGATTAATAGTTCGGCTTATTTGGTAAGTCGCGCGTATAATATCTTCCTCTGGATTAAGGCCGCGAATAATCGTAGGTAAGTTTTTGTTAATTCTTCTACTAAGGTAGAATTTTAAAAATATCCGAGTATCGGCATAATATATCACGAGATTACGAAGTGAATCGCTGACGGAACCTAAAGGACACTTAGTTTATTGACTTTATAAGACTAATTAGGGTCACTTACCACTACTATCTAAAGCTATTCCTGCCCTATATCGTAAACTATAGGGGCGTATTACCTACCGGATCCCTGTGATCATACCTATCTTCTTAACCTATAGCTCCAAAGTTAAGTAAGGAAGCATCTTATTAGGTAAGATTCCGATTCTATCTAAAGTCCGCTCAGATATCCGGAAAACCGGCATATTATCTATCGCTGGATCAAGCTATAACCGCAACTTATTACACTTATCGCGAATCTAGAGTCGAGGAAGTTGACTTATAAGGACAAGAACCTCTTCGCCGTCGACGCGGTCAAAGGCCCGGTCTATAAAGAGAAGTCCTAACAGGAATATATATAGGCTAAGGACCAAGGAAGGATCGAAAATAATTTCGGGGAGGATATACGTATTTCTAAGGAAGCTTATTAGCGGGAAGAAACGGCGACTAGTTCAACGTACTTAAAAGTCCTTAGCACCCAACTACTCCTTAGTGAATTTAAAGGTGAACTTAATTATAATTCGATATAGACCGCCTTACGGGTCACAGAGGAGGCTCACTTAGATATAACGATACCGTAGATTAAGGATAGCTTGCGGCCGGTTTATTATAAGCCCCGTAAGTTACAAGAAGAGTCTAAGCTTAATACGATAGCGGCTATATCCGAACTTTTTCTTCGTTATACTAATGGTGGTCTCTACGACTTTCGCTAGGTCCTCGATATCTATAGGAGGTTTATCTCGCCCTAAAATTGATAATTTATACTTTTTGGCTAACCGTCAAATTACCTAGAATCAGACCCAAATCAATCTCGGATAATAGACGAGGCCATTTAGGCAAGGGTTAAGAGGGTCCGTATACTCAACGCATCCGGCGGTTCATTTAGTTGTCGATCCGATTTAAAGTAGATCTTTCGTAGACTAATCGAAAAACTTTCCAGAATATGTCCAGAGAGCTTTTGCACTTAATACCTAGGAGTCTCCTTCCATTTTTACCGCGTCGTAAATTAAGAGCCCACTCAAGGAAACTGTACAATATCGGAATCGATATACGGTAATATTCCTCGTTAGGGTCTTTTTGAATAAAATAGCAGAATCTTTATAATATATTTGTGAGATCAACATATTCTAGGTAAGCAAGTTAACGCATATAAGGTAGCACTTACTGGGACCATTTCTCCTTAATACGATCGAGGAGAGCCGTAGTGCCCTTTCCGTAATCTTCCTATGTATAGACCGTTTCGTCAAAGTTTCGAAGTTACTGAATATAGTAGTCCGGTATGTGTTCATTGTCGGCAAAGAGTAAGGCCGTATCGTTAGCATAATATGTTTGATCGGCCTCATCCTTAGGCTCCGTCAGATCGGTATCTGAACGGCTGTCTGCAATACTTTCTCTCTCGGAATACTCGCTGTCGCTGGATAACTGACAGTCGGCCTTACGAGAGCCGCGGACTATAATAGCAAGGAATATGGCTCACGGATGACTGAGACCGACTGACAGAGGTTCTCAAGATCGACCTATATTTTGCAAGGCTAAGGGTGTTTCCAAGGCAAAGACCGAGAAAGGAATCTCGTCGCTGAGACTGGGGAGAACAAGGAGCGCGACTGGATCGAGACGACGAGGGCAAAGGAGCGACTGTCACTGCCCTTTAAAGGGCACGAGTTTTGGAGTGCCATTTTTGGCGCCTTTAAAGATTGGGGTCCGAAGGCTCAAGGAGAGTCGAGAAAGGTATGGGAGGTGGAGTGGAGTGGGTCCACCGTCCAAGGGGAAGTCAAAGAGCTGGAGGCTGAGGTGTGATCCACATGGCTGCGGCGCGTTGAGGTCGTCGGGGACGGTGCGTGCCTGCAGTGGTCGGGTGGGTGGCAGGAAAAATGGCAGATGGGCGGCCAAAAACGGCGTCACTTGCGGCCATTTCTGGCCGTCTTTCTGCCGTCATCTAGTTTATAGTAGTATTTAGTTTTCATAAAGGTACGTTACTCTATACTATAGATTATAAAAGAAGACCGATAACTAGCTAGGTACTTTAGATATATTATTTAGTCTAAAGGTACGGTGTGACCTATATCTTCTTCTATATACTGTAGTGGGAGAATTGGTGACATAATGAGCCTATGTGTGGCCTCAGGCATGATTTAATGTCTGCAGTGCATAGTACATCTCCAGACACACTTGGAGGGAGACAAGTCATCTACCCAATTCATTCAGGATTCACCCAATTTCTTCTATCCATGATGCAGCATTAAGATTATCCCGCACGGCCGCAACAGGGCATCAGTACGGCCTCACCCAGCATCCTCTACACCAGACAGGCAGTGTGTGTGTGTGTGTGTTGTCCAGTCTGCATCGCCAGACAGCCATCGAGCCGTTCCCATTTCAATACATAATTAACACTCACAGATACACGCTTATCGTGTTATCTGGCTGATGTGTCTTCCGCCGGGCCGAAGGCCCGGGCTGCGTCTTATCAAGGATATTTAGTCATCATTATAGGATGGTGGTAGCACAATATACAAGCAGATAGGATCGAACCTCTGAGAATACGAGAGATTGCCAGCAGTGAGACTGCGCGGAGATTTCGCCACGATTCTAGCCGACGTAAAGTGGCAATCTAATGCCATGCTGCGGTCAAAGAATGCCGCAGACGATTGCTGGATGGTTCATGAATGGTTCGCGCTACCGGGGTGATCCATGCAGTTCTGCAGCTGCGCGTTACACCACATGCTCTCCTCGTCTAAGCTGCAGCCTCTACTTCTGTCTAGCTTGGGGGCACATTCCTCGACGAAGAACCGGATTGCATCGCTTTTCCCTGGCTCGGGAGTTTATTTTAGTCCCATACGTTCAGAAGGTCCACCACGAGCCGCTGTCGAGTTGGCTTTCAAGGTTCTAAGGTAGGATCCTAATATGCAGGCTCCCTCCTTACTAAGGGAAGCTGACATTCAACCTAGCCGACAACCATGATATGGGATTACTATCAGGGGAAAATCCTGTTCATTACAGGAGGAACGGGATTCATTGGCACCGCGGTTCTCTACCGGCTTTTAACAAAGGCGCCACCAAGGCACATCTACATTCTCTGTCGAGGAGGCTATGAGTATGCCTCTAACCCCTAGCAGACCAGATATTAAATCTGCAACGCTGACATGGAAAAATAGGAGAGCGAGGGAAAAATGGGAGAGCATGCTTCCGGCTTCAATTGCGAACACTCTCTCTGGAAGTAATCGCATGACAATTCTCGATGGCGAACTAGGAGATACTGCAACCATGGACTTGCCCGAAGAGACTCTTCAAATGCTAAAAGAAAGAGTACATATCATGATTCATGCCGCTGCGTCAATCGAGCTGAAAAATTCACTTCGAGAACTGTCGTACACGGTCATTGCACCCACTCTATGTCTCACCAAGTACGCCCTGAAGTTCCCCAACCTGGAGAAATTTGTATTTCTTTCAAGTGCATACGTCAACGCCCATCTTTGGAGGTCCAGCAATTCTTGTGACGTCGCGGCAGAGGAGCGCCTTTACTCACTCGGTGGTGACGACAGTTCATGTAAGACAGCCCCTGACATCTGGAGAGAAGTACAGGCATCAGGAACCTCGACTGAGTACGCCGACCATGATTTCCCTTGGCCATATGCCTACGCCAAGCATCTGGCAGAGAGGCTTGTCTGGAACAAGGCCTCAGAGTGTGGTGCATTGGACAACATTCTTATTATTCGACCTTCGGTCATTGGCCCGGCCGAAGAGTTCCCATATCCCGGCTTCACGACCCCGTATTCATCGCCGTCCACAGCGTGTGCAGCTGCGTATGCAATGCACCCTGGACGAAAGATTCAACTGGCGTCTCGATGTAAGAACCCGGAACGAGAAGCTACCATTGACGAGGTTCCCGTCGACGTGGTAGCTGAGCGAATCCTTGTGCATGTAGCCCTGGGAACGAATGGGATCGTTCATGCAGTCAGCGGAGAGAAAGGTCGTTTGAGGCTTGAAGAATGGTGGGAAGCATTCAAGAAGGAGCGTCGTCTGCCTTGGAATGTCAAGCCTGTTTGGACCTCCGAGGACTGGCATTCAGCGGATCTCCACCATATTGCCAGAAACTTCAAGATCATCGGTACTTCCTTTGCCTTTTCTGAACACAAGACGATTCAGGCGGCGGAAAAGATCGAATCAAAGGAGCTGGAGCATCTTAAACTCTTCGCTAAGCGTGATAAGCCATACTCGATGGCCCATCGACGGCATCACATTCACCATGTGGCACGACAGATGGCGAAAAAGAGCCGGTGGCCCAATTGTTCCGTTGGCTTGTTGACTCGGAAAGGGAAATCACCATTTCCTTTCACTGAAAAGGTGTAAAATCGGGATTCGAGAGAGACAACAAAATTGCTTTGACTGGATTTCGGAACGAAATTGTCATTTGGTCCTCTCCTACTGTCCATATTGAATGTCATGCACTTTTCTCGGTTCTTTTGTGTCTTCAAATCGCATACATTGTTAAATTGAAACTTTGAAATACGATTAAAGTATGGAGTGTACCAATGGGAATGAAGATAATCTAGACTCACCAGTTGGTCTTGGCGCGGGGAAGTAAATTCTTTTCCTTTTTTGCCCCTCCGCAAGAATATCCAACCATCACCACCATGGCCCCGACCCTGTGTTTCAACTGCAAGGAGGCCCGGGCGCTCATTATCCGGCCTAAGAACCGACACAAGCTGTGCCGCGCTTGCTTCCTCGAGGTTTTTGAAACCGAAGTCCACGAAACCATCACGGCCTCCAACCTCTTCTACCCCGGCGAGCGCGTGGCGATCGGCGCCAGCGGCGGCAAAGACAGCACCGTTCTCGCCGCTGTCCTCAAAACACTTAACGAGCGATATGGATACGGGCTGGATCTGTGTCTGCTCTCGATCGACGAGGGTATCCGCGGATACCGCGACGACAGTTTGGAGACAGTCAAGCGCAATGCAAAGCAATACGACATGCCGCTCATGATTGTGGGATACGGGGAGCTCTACGGTTGGACGATGGATCAAGTCGTGGAACAGATTGGCAAGAAGGGTAATTGTACCTACTGCGGTGTGTTTCGACGACAGGCGCTCGATCGAGGTGCGGCGCGCTTGGAGATCAAGCACGTTGTCACCGGACATAATGCGGATGATGTCGCTGAGACGGTGATGATGAATTTGCTTCGGGGTGACTTGCCTCGACTTTCGCGTGGCACAAGTATCGTGACCGCGTCCGGCGCGTCGGATATCAAGCGCAGTAAGCCGCTCAAGTACGCCTACGAGAAGGAAATTGTGCTCTACGCCCACCATCGTCAGCTCGATTACTTCAGCACAGAATGTATCTACTCGCCTGAGGCATTCCGTGGCAGCGCCCGTACCCTGATCAAAGATCTAGAGAAGATTCGTCCCAGTTCGATTCTGGATATTGTCAAGAGTGGCGAGGACATGGCAGCGCTTGTGCCTGGTGAAGCAAACACAAATGGCAAGATGTGCCGGTCAAAGGCGACAGCAGACGATGAGGCGGAGGCCGGTGGCTGTGGAAGTCAAAATGGTCGATCCAGCGGAGGTGAAATGGCCGCGATGGAAACTCAGCTAGCTGAGAACGAAAGTGCGGAATCGCGAGAGACGGGAAATACAATTGCCCCAGCAGCCCAAACCTGTCATTGCGAAGACCCAGAAGCCTATCAAGAAACAGGTCATGGGTCATTGTGAACGCTGTGGCTACATTTCGAGTCAGCGTGTGTGCAAGGCGTGCACTCTTCTGGACGGCCTCAACCGTAATCGACCCAAGACTGCTATCGAAGTCAGTGTAAGCATGGACGATGAAGAGATCAGCTCGACTTTGGCGAGACAAATGGAACATTCTCAGTTGACTAACAGCTGAATGTTGACCCGGGGTGCACTTTGTTTTTTTTTTTCAAATGCCCGCCACCTTTTCTACACCCCCGGTCCTGGGATCCTTCTCGAGATTATTCTCAGCCACCGAAGGCCAGTCCCCGTTCGGTGACATAAAAGTCCTCGCTCTGGCCGCAGCCAAGTATGCTGCTTGAAAACCTCATAAAAGAGCCTGCTATGGAAGGACTTGAACTCCGCAAATTGGAGACTACGCCACTACATTATACCAGCGTGCATGGCAAGCGCAAAGTAATCCATCAGGACAGGTCAAATACATCAGACACTAGAATAGACAACACAAATTCCAAACACACATTCACAATCTTTCCGCTCCATCTATGATATTTTGTACAAGTAACAAAAGGAATAGTATACAGCCAAATCAGAAAGGTAAAAAAAAAAACGCCCAACCAAGCATGAAAGTACCTTCAAAGCCGGAGTTCACGCATCGAATGCAATTCCAGATGCCCCTCGAAACGTCGCAATGCTTCAAACGCGATCATTGTCGTAGTCGCAATCGGTGAGACAAATTTGCAACAATTCAAACCACCCGCGGAGAAGTCAATTACTCCTTACTCTTCCCCTCCTCAACCACATAGAGATCAGGCAAGTCCATACCAACCCGTCTGGCCGTCAATTTAACCTTTTCTTCCTCATCAAGGCTCATGCCTGGGTTGTACCGCTCCAACAAAGCCGAGTAGGTCCGCTGCGCACGAGCATATTGCGCCATCTGCTCAGCTTCTTGTATGCGCAGAGCGCGTTCCTCGTCGGTCTTTGGGAGGGAGAAGGGTAGCGCTGTGGAGTCTGCATTTGTGGCTTCGGGCTCGGAGCGGAAGATCGCGCGGATGCGTTGGTGCAGAGGGGAGGGAGTTGAGAGGCGGCGGTTGGGAAGCTCGCGTAGAAGGGCGCGGTAGGTGGAGCGCGCTTGGTTGGTGAAGTTGTTTGACATTTTGGTATATGTGTTTGGGTTCGGTTTGAAGTCTGGGGTTGAGTTGGTCAACGGAGCGTTTGAAGATGCTTGGGGCGAATCACGTGACAGACACAGTGATTTTATGAGAACAAAATTATGGATATTGGTAGAATCGAACTTTCTTCTAATCTAGTTACAAGAAGGAAAATCATAGGGATTATGCTGCGTGATTGCGAGTCATTGACAAGAATATGTACAGAGATATTGTAGATGAGCCTTTGGTATATCGCCGCTCGAACAAGAATCATATCTTTCATTTGGATCTCATCCAAAGGAGTACAAGAACTGGGCAATATTTATCAATCATTGAGGCGTAGCGACGTGAGATGGGAGCGGAAAGAATATCATGGGGAATGTAGGTGATTGCTGAAGGTTTGCGGTGGGAGATCATAGGACTGTGCTTTTTTTTCTGTTGAAATAAATTGCGAAGCTCATGCGCGTAGCCAGCCAAACTTCTTGCGTCCGGCTTCGCCGCCTGTGGATGGTTCGACCTGTAAACTGCGGGCATACAAATCCTGTATTCCGTTAGTGATTGGCCATTATCTGGAAATGATCATCTTACCTCTTCATCACCAGAGAGTTTGCAGTCCAAGATCAGTCGTTCTACATCTTCGAACTTCTGAGCTTGAGGATGTGGTGATCTCTGGCTCCGCTGAATGCCCAGAACCACTTCGCCCATGACCTCAAACTTTTTCCAGTTAATCCGAGATTTACTTTCGCCAACAAAGGTCTTGTTACCCTCTTCTGCTGACACTAGGTCTCGGCGATGCAGAGGAAGGAATGGGATGCGCTCAGAGAACGAGTTCTCCCAGGCCAGGCGGTAGGCGAAATGGCTTCGTTGGGTGCTCATCAGAATGACAAGCCGCATGAACTCCTTTTGGGTCTGCACAGGGATCAGTTCTCGGGTCTGTGTCAATCTGTGGACAGGAGTCCCATTAATAGCGGCAATAACGGCACCCAATCCGTTGTAATTATTCTGGCGTCGTAGTTTCACTGCGATGCCCATGAATTTCTCCATGCACCTTGCTCGATGCTTAGGTTTGTCTCGAAGTAGAATCATGCTCGCCACGAAGAAGGCCAGGTGGTTGAACTGTTTGATCATCCGGTTGACATTTTGCAGACTCCGGATTTTGTCCTTGTCCACTCCGGAAATGCTCACATGGCGAACAAGATCACGTGGCCGGAATGAGTTGTACATGATCCAGTCAATACGTGTCAGCTCTCGAGCAAAGTCCTCTTCGGGCGTCTCCATGAAGAAACGCCATTGGATTTTGCTCAATGGAGTTCTCCCAGTGAGGTCTAAACGCATGGCTTCTTTCTGTGCGGCTTCAAGGCTTAGAATGGTGAAGGATTGGTTGATGGTGCTCGAGGGTTTATCGGTATTAGAAGTGATAGACAACGTCCCCGATAGGCGGGATGTCGAATCGTGAGGTCCGTCGCTAAGATCTAAGGCGCTCATGCTGTAAATGGGATCTTCTTCCTCGTCGTCATGATCATCGGAAGTTCCGGTCAGGAAAGGCGCCGGTGAACTTCGCCCTGAATTGTCAAAGAACGTCTCCGTAAGACTAGCGTCGTCGGCATCACCATCCTGAAATGCCCAGCCAATGTCGTCGTCTTCGGCGTTGGAATCGAGATATGATCCAATCTCCTTGGCCGCAAACATGTAGAAATGACTTTTCTCAAGCGTATTCACGAAATCATTGATTCGCTTGCGAGTCTTGGGCCATGCAAAGTCGCCAGGGTAGTCAGAAGCCCACGAAGCAATCACGTTCAGCAGCCGGAGCTGATCTGCCATGCGGGCCAATTGGTCGGCGTTCCCAGATTCATTCTTTTCGAAGCGACTTATCAAGGCATTAAGGAGAGTTGAAGGGGCAGCGAATTTGCGATATAGACAAAGAAAGATGGCGGAGAATTTCGAATCCTGCTTCGACATAGGCAAAGCGACGAGGCGATCGACAAGCTCCTCAAAGCTCATGCCCGTCTCAGCACTGTGACTGCTTTCACTGCTCGGTTTGGGGCGCACGAAGGCGCCCGGACTCATAGGTTGACCGTCCTCCATTTCCTCGTCCATGTTCAAAAGGCTGTCAAAGGCGTCGGGACCCCCACTATTTCGCCAGGTACTCAGCAATTTCTGCTGGCGAGGTTGTTCCTGGATGGGGGAGTTGGTGTCTCCTTGCACAGACGGTCGACGAGCGTTCAGGCTTGCCCCAGACGGAGGAGTTTGCGGTCGCACCGGTTGGGAATGGCTTCTTGCATTTCGAGAAGAACTCGAAGCATGCTGTTGCGCCAGGTTGGAGTGGCTCCGGTCGGTAGGCGGACGGTGGCTCCCGTTCCCATGAACACTGGGATCTTGACCTGACGTCGTTGAGCCGCCAGCGGCTCCGGTCAAGGAGGGGGATTCCGAATTGGCACGGACGTGTTGCCGGTTGTGAGCAGGGGTAGGTTGAAAAGACTTTGTCGTGGTCCGCGGGGGAGGGGAAAGTGTAGAAGAGGAGAAGTCTGGGCGCGAATCACACAGACATTAGCTTTGAACGCCACGAAATCCTCGATGACTCCTCTGATTCTCCTGGGGCTCTGTCGATCGAGTGGGCTCTGACAGAGGCAAAGGGTAGCGAAGATTGCCGCGACCCACTTGGTCCGCCCACCAGGGTCAAGGCTCACACAATCACCCCCCGGCTAGATTGTGTCTCGTATATAGATACTACTCATGGCTCATGGATCGTAGATCGGGACATACCTCGATTAGAAATGACGCTTCGCAACACCAATGCAATACACATCTGCTGAGACCGTGGGGCCTCGGGTGATGTTCGGTAGATCTCGTACTGTTCGTGAGCCACACTGAGTTCGCTACCCTCCGGGCGAAGATCGCATTTGCAGGCAACCAGCAAGAATGGAAGTGGCGATATGTCCAGGGCATCTAGAGCAGTCCAAGTGTCAGTGTCAGCACATCAGATGATCTCGGTTGCATGTGCGAGACATTCGAGATATTTGCCAGGCAACTTCGGGGAGTTTCTAGCCGAGTCGAAACGTACCGAGCATTGCTGTAAGTTTGGAGAGCTTGTTTGGTTGAGTCGAGTCATACAGAAGCAGTACTCCATCAACCGTTGGCACGGAATCATCTTTGCCTACGCGAGGCCAGCTGATCCGTCTATCCTGGTCGATGGCAATTTGCTTGAGATCGATCTCCAGCAGACGCACAATGTAGACTGCTCCATCCAATGACATCTTCTTCCGGGTCGAGGTCGACGAGGGCGGGCTCTTCATATCCAGCGCGCATTTGATGAAGCTGGTCTTCCCGGCATCGTCTTCGCCCACCACGGCTATGGTCACTTCGGGAAGGCCAGTCTTGAGGGGCTCCTACAGATTCAGGAAGAACTGTTGTTAGTAACCAGCTGGATTCTCTTGAGTATTTCCCCATGATTTCCTTGGGGCTGTCGCATTTATTGCCCGGGATGTTCGGGTTTTCTTCTTCCCCACGTACCTCGTCACCGTGTCGGGAACGAGATGGTCTCAAGGCACCGGTGCTGGCGGACATTCCAGAGAGACTCTCGGCTTCCTCGACCAGTCTTTGACCACCCATAGTCCCCACACTCGGCCTTCGCCCATTGTCTAGTCTGTGTAGGTCGCCGTGGGGAGTGGACGCGGTGCGGTCACCCATCCCGGGCCGTGGCGGAGCTCCTGCGGGCATCGCCTGTGCTCTGTCACTAGAAGCCCGCTCGCGGCGGGATTGTGAAGTCATGGCGGGGGGCGAGGAGCAACGCCTCTAGGGCGAACGGATCGTGCCAACAAGCGGAAGTGATTAATGCGACAGTTCGAACTCTCGCTGCAGCGCATCCATTGTTGCCTAAAGGATCAGAGTCGAGAGACAGCCATCCGAGGTACGGAGGGGGTAGGGGGTAATAGGAGGTCGCTGAAGCTCAATCGAAAGTTAGGCCCGAGCTAGAAACCGGAGGGGAAGCAGCTCGTACCGGATCTCCAATACGTTTGACTTGGGGGTGAACCGTGGAACAGAAGTGGGAACCGGACACTTGAAAGCAAACAGCGGGAATCAACCTCCAAATCTCATCAATGGGATGAGAGAGAGAGAGTAAATAATGTTTTATCCATTAATTTTGGGGGGAGCTGAAGCGCCAGCGGCTTAAGAGTCAGTGGCCCATTCTCTCAATCTTTTACCCGTCGACCTATCCATTCCGATGCACTCATTCGCTGAGGCAGGAGAGCTGAACCTGAACACACGGCTTCAGCTGGGGATTGGACGCATCTACGTAATTTCCTCTGGCCATTCGGCGATACTCGCTTAGTGCTGAATCTATCCAGCGAGTCCTCTCTTATGAAGCTCTCTGGTGCAGGTCACCACTCCAGAAGCCGCATCCCCGAGGCGTGGTTTTCGTCCGTCTGACCATTTGACAGCTCCTGCAAAGAAACCCCCCCCCTCCTTCCCCCTTCCGGATCTTTCCAAGGGGAAGACCTCTCCGTGCGAGCAGATCGTCACTGATCCACCGTGCTCGACCGCCTCCAACCTTCTATTCTACGTTAAGAGTCATCTCATTTTTAATACTCCCCATGGAGTCGGACTATCCTCCGAGACGGCGATTTCTTTCGTCGTGCTGACCACTTTCGACTCTTCTATTCTCACAGCCGTGCAAGGCTTCCGTACCCAATTTTTCGGATCTTGCATGCCGCTCGTTGGTCTCTAGTGGTCTGGCCGCACTGGGTCTCCGCTCCAGGGGGGGTATGGTTGACTGGATGAAAGGGCTGAACTGGTACGCTAAACTGCACCCACTCCGGGACTCGGTTGCGTAGAAGTTTAGTGGAAGATGTCAGACTACAGTCCAAGGAATACCCCAATCTCGCATACTCGAGTCGTGTCATTTCCACAATTGGCGCTACTCTAGAGACATTTCACTAAGCCTCAATCTAGCGTATGATCGTACACCCAGTCTCGGTCTCATCGTCCTGCAATGACACCGTGCGATTATCAAACCTCTGCGCCAATCCCCGCGTAGATTCTCAGATTTGAGACACCCCAATCATGTCGCGTGTTGCTGTTCCAACTGTTCTTGATGGCCGTGCACCAGGGCGAGAAATTGCATAAACGCCTCTGCGTTAGGGCCCGTCTCCGTTCCCTCTTCGCAGTCCTGCCTAAGTTTCCGTACCCTGCCTAAGCCGCGATTGAACCCTTTCTCCGCGGTCCAGTGGCCTCGACTACGGCGAGTCGGAGCTCTGCCTCCTCGGCCGTGACCTCGTCCTCGCGTGGGAGGGGTGTACCACTCTACCCATTGGTCTTCTTGTGTTCCTCGGTATATCTCATGCAGCTGATCGCGGAGCTGAGGGTGGCGGAGGAGCAGCTCTTTGAGGTCTTGGAAGGTAGCCATAGACCCAGGGAAGCTCTGGTATTGGTTGGTCTCGTGGTTCACTGCTTCTTGTGTGTGATCTCCATTCTGCAGCGGCGAAATGGTTTCGGTGGTCGCAGGTACATCGGGAGTTTCATGCGCAGGAGCTGCCTTGGGGGCACAGTAGATTTTATGAGACTGCGTGCATGCAAGCGAGCAGCTAAATTCAAAATAGTGATCATCAGTGACATAGCAGGGTTTTTATAGGTTAGACGTGGAAACCGTACCTCATCACTGCGCATGTTGGACAGCGATATTTGGATGGCTCCAAAGAACACACTTCACAGGAGCCGGCCATTTTTTTCAGATAGACAGAGCACTTGACAATCGGGTCGCAACCATTGTACCCGTTGAGTCTGTCCCTCCGGTTTCTGGGAATTAAGTGTTCTGTCCTGCAGCGAAGCCCTACTTCAGTATCAAGCAAAAATCGAGGAGCTCGGATGTTGATGCCTCATATTTCGGGGATCAATGCCCGCGTGATCTCTGCTAGTGTCGCACGTGACCTTGACCAACGTGACTGCTAGGTTATGTGTACTTGCTAAAATTGATAGATCGCTGGAAATGCTGATCTTTTGAGATTTATCGACATACTTAACTAAGGATCGCCATAGGAAATTTGATAACTAAGAACTTTGCAATTACCGGATTGCTTAGCTGGCTACATAGTTTTTTTGGTTAATCCATCTATTTTAGCATCACACCAGCATGCGACGTAGTATGCGCAAAAGCTGATTATGTCTCATCTGGTACAACAGCAACTAGGGCTTTTCGTTTCAGATGTTGCTCAATTTAGCTTCCGAATTTCGGCGCATACATCTCAAACTTCTATACTTTCATTGGCTGCCAAGTCAGCCAAACGCATTTGTCATACTCGATGATTAATCTACACGTGACCATCGAATTGCGTCAGAGTTAAACCCCGGCGCCTCTCCAATCCTCATAGACATATTTCTACATAGAACTCTGCGTCTCATATTGTGACTTACAATCACCAGATATGTCTGTGAGCTCTACATCTACAAACATGCTCAGGCGCGCACTACGTGGCACTCGGTTGACGTCCGCCTCCGAATCCTACGCCCGCGCTACGAGGCCCGTGGCCTTCACGCCCTCTAGGGCCGTGGCCAGTGCCGCTCGTCTTCCTACAATCACCGCCTCAGAGACACGTCGCCGACCGACGGTACGACCATATCAACAACCGATGGGCCAGAGTGATGTTGTTGGGTCGCTTTCCAGCAAACGCACCATCTTTATCCAGACCGAAAATACCCCGAACCCCGATGTGAGTTGATCGTTCTGTGAAACTGACCTGCGATTCTAACGGCTCCTATTAGGCTCTGAAATTCATTCCCAACCACCGTGTCCTGCCCGAGGATTTCCCTACCTCCTTCCTTGAATATCTTTCTCCCCGCGCTACTCTCGCTCCGCCGCACCCGTCGCCTCTCGCCGCCAAGCTACTTGACTCAGAAGGTGTCACATCAGTCTTCTACGGACCTGACTTCATCACTGTGACCAAGGCTCCCGATGCGAACTGGGCGCACATTAAGCCCGAGGTGTTCAGCCTGATCACGCAGGCCGTGACCTCGGGCGAGACTATCGTCTCTGTTGTGGAGGGTTCTTCCGCTGACAGCGCTGAAGGCGGCGGGGATGACTCTCTTGCTTATAATGAAGACGATGACGAGGTGGTTGGTATGATCAAGGAGCTCCTGGAGACGCGCATTCGCCCGGCTATTCAGGAGGATGGCGGAGATATCGAGTTGAGGGGATTCGAGGATGGCATCGTCATGCTCAAGCTGCGGGGTGCTTGCCGTACCTGCGATTCCAGCACTGTGACGCTCAAGAATGGTATCGAGTCGATGTTGATGCACTATGTGAGTAACTCAATTGCTGCTGGTATGTAATTTGCGGACTAATCATGATTGAATAGATTGAGGAAGTCAAGGGTGTTGAGCAGGTCATGGATGAGGAAGAGGTGATCTCAATGCATGAGTTTGCTCGCTTCGAGGAAAAGCTGCGCCAGCAGAAGGCGCTGCGGCTACTGCTAGCTCTCCGCTAGACAGTGCGCCGTAAACTGGATGCACTTTCCATTACCTGACACCAACTTGATGTGTTGGGTTAAGGCTCCCGTCATTGGGATTCCCAATTCAAGACTGTACAATATCTTTCACCCAGCTATACCTCTAGTTCATTGACTTGGCTTTGCCGGATCTTGAGGTTCGCTATCGCTCCGTTATGAACTTGTAGACTTAGCCACGGTAGCGAATGTGGGCCTTGTCTATTAGGTCTAGACCGATATTTGCCTCATGTACTGTAGATATGCGCCGATCTAGATGAGTCTGGTCAGTGGGGAGAGGCAGGTAGACAGCCCACATTGCGGGGATTTGATCAGGCGGGGAGCTTCCATTTCCGTCATTTTCGTCCCGGACCAGTGAGAAGCCTTCAACGCCTCCAACGCCCCTCTTTTGTGCCCATCCACATGTGCATCAAACGACTCGAATTGCCTTCACGGCCTACAATATTGAGACTATAGTGGAGTGGCGGGGCCCGCTTGCAAGACATCATCCCACTTACGTCAACCACCAGTTCCAGAGCTGCACGAATCTTGTGGTCATCGAATGATGCAGAGGGTACCGGAGGCTCGGAGAAGCAGATGATTCGCGTCCGTGGCAGTAATGGAAGTGATGGAGTCAAAGGGTCAAATTAGGTTGGTGCCGGGGGGGGATGGAAAACCCATTTCACCCAGGGTGTCTTTATCTCTATCTATGTGTGTATCACGGTTTTTTGTGGCACCGTGATATTTATGGCCGGAATGTGTTAGGGAGCCACTCCTCAGTCGTAGGGAAGAAGACTCCAGACACCGATCGACCCTGAACGCCTCGACCACGGGCGGGGGCCGATGCATGAGCTCTCCCCGCAAAACGTCGAAAACACGGGGAGATGAAATGCGACAGCATAGAGCCCCGCGCAAACCATGCCTATTGGATGCGTCCCCACGAGGATAAAGTGATGCGGCAATCCGGGGTACGTGATCCAGGTGACCTGGGATGACTTCATGACACCCGCCCACTCTCTTTCTCTCTCTTGTCTACTCACGACCTCTTTACCCCGCAAGTGTGCGACCCGATGCATGGGCCGTGTGCTGACAGGGGCTGCATCCCCCATGGCCCTCGCTTCAGACTACCCCCGCCAGACGATCGGCTTCGACCTCCCTCGAGAGACCCGCACGACCCGGACTAACCCTATCTGGGGCGTAGTGGCACCCTCCCTTGGGGAGTCCCTTGGGGAGGTGAAAAGCCTTGACCAGTGATGACCTCCGTAATGCAGGCTACTGGGCCGCTGAAATTATAGTAAAATCAAAGTTGAAGCAAAGTTGTACCGGTTGTAGCACGCCATGGAATCACCTTGTGGTCCGTGTCCCCTGAACATCAACTCGGCGCAACGTTGCCAGATCCGTCACTCCACCCTTTTCCCCCGCCTTCTCCTCAATCTTCATTCTCTCCTCTTCGCACCCCCCCCCCCCCCTCCTCTTTAATTCATCGACATGCACCGCCCTTGAAGGGTTTCGGTTGCTCTGCACTGCCCATCTTCCACTCTAGAGTTGAGACGTGAGACGCGAGACGTGAAAAGCAAGAAGCGTGGAACAAGCAAACGGAGAGCGAATCGTGAGAAGACACTCTGAAAAGACAAGTCGCGTGAGCTAGAGAGATTCGAGATTCACGTTCATCCTTCTCTTCTTGGTGAATTCGCGCACAACTGCAAAGTCCAAATCCAAACCAAAGTCCCCATCTCAAAAGTCCGCATCCGTTCGCCCCAAAGCCGCGGTCGCTTCGACTATCCTCGAGTCTTCTGACGAGACCAACGATCCCGCACGTCTGCTTCTAGTTAGATTTGTTGCGATCTTTTAGAGTGGTGAGTCGCCGTTCAGGGTTTCCCCTCCTTGCGACAGCTGCTCACATCTGGGGAATCTTGGCAGACACGATTACGATTACGACCTCCTTTCCCTCTAATTGTTTACTCCGATACAAGGCGTGTGAGATTCGGGCCACGGTAGACTCTAGATCATTGTCTCTACAAGGTACGTTGAGGATACTCCGAGCTCTGTTGCGTCTCTGCTCTATGCTCTCTGCTCCTTGGCCCGCATTCTGCGGGCGATGCGACAGGAAAGCTCCACCCATGGGGTCGGCAGGTTGTCGCGTGCAACTTGCAAACTCTTATCATTCTCTAGCCCTCCATGCCTCTCGGATTTATGCGAGTAACCGGACACAATGTGGGCAGGCCATGCTACTGCAGCGCGTTGAAATAGTCGGAGCCCCCCGCTTTGTCACAATGCGGCTCAGTCATGCCACCCACACGTGCTCCCCCTCGAGACACCAGGGTTCTTTCCTGCTTCTTTTTTTGCCTTTCTTCTGACACTTGACACTTGATATTTTTTTTCTTTTTTGTGGCCGCTGACATCTCTCCACCCAGTGCTGCGCATACCGCATTTCACCAGCCGTCCCTCGTGTCTTCGAAAGATTGAGATTGGCTGCTAATCTCCAACTCCAGGCGCGTGAAACAAAGACTGGTGCTTTGTCGCGTGTGTTTAACATAGCCCGATTGGCTCATAAAACGCCTTCTTACACCTTGATTTGCATTACTAGTAAGTCTGCGCTTTGGGTCTTCCTCATGTTCACCTCTTTTCCCGCACACATCACATTTCCAGCAGGGATTATATCTTGACAGAAAAAGATGCGATGGGTTATATTAGTTGCTCTCATGAAGATCATTTCTCTTTGACACTTTGCTGGACGTGCGCTGACCATATCAGTTCTCACATCAAAAGCACGGCTACGCCATCTACCACGCAAACCTCCGCAATGCAGTCAAATACCCCTCCTGTAACTGCAACGAATGCTACCGCCAGGCTTGAGAGAAGCCACCCCGGAGTACGCCGTTCCACGCCCGACTCGGAAGCGCTGGCTTCTTCAGACGATGACGGAGAGCATGCGCAACTCCATACCATCACCGCACCTCCAACAAAACCAGCTCGTCGGACATCATGGCTCAACGAGGTACCACTTGCAGTCCAACGTAAGCACTCTCTGTCAGGAGGCCCTCTGACTGGTAGCCCGTCGAACCCTGCAAGCCCGTCAACTGATCAGCCTCCTTGGGCAACAAACCCAAGCCCTGGGCTGAGCGGGTCTTTTAATTGGAATCAACCCGGGAACAGCTCTTTCCCATGGAGCACGGGAATTTGGAACAACCCTGATTCTCGCAAGGAACCACCGCCCCGTCTTTCCGAAATAGTGCCCTCTCCGACCATGACCAACCCTCCTCCCGCGCCTGGTTCTATCGGCGAAGAAATGCCGAGTCCTATCACTCGGACTATCTCGGGAGAATCAGCGATTCCATTTCAGATTCCACTGCAGCCAACTCCTAAAACATACCGCTCCCAGTCCTACTCTGTCGGTCAACTGGATCCCGAGTACCTAAGTATGATGGCGAACAAGCCCGGCGCGGGCGCTGCGTATCCGGGCGGTCGCTCTCGTGGTCCGGGACAGTTGTCTTCTGGTCAGCCGAGAGCGTCACGACCGAGTGTGCTTGGCGAGCTTGGACATGATCCTGCTATGCTCGGCCGCGTACGTGAAGATGAGGACGGTGACGAAAGTTTGAATGGCTCTGATGGTGATATGAACTACGCCGCTACCCAAGCCCGGACCATCGAGCAGCTGGCGCGCGAGAACGCACTTCTTCGTCAAGCTGCTGCTGCAGGCCAGATGGACAACCGGTATCGTGATCGAGCAAATTCTTCCGCTTCTGCCACTGGAACCCACTCGCTTCATCGTATCCGAGGTGGTGTTCCAGAGGAGCAATTGGGCGTTGATGATTTGGACGAATTGCGCGATATCCCTGGTTACAGTAACATGCGCAGCAACACAAGACGACGATTTTCTGAGCACTCGGCGAACCTTGAGCAACAATTCCAATCTTTCCCGTCCCCGTTGGAGAATCGTGCACTTGAGAATGTCCGCAAAGCTCATTGGCAAACATCCCTAGGATTCAGCGGCGTCGCAGATATGCCTCAGAGCCGTCGTCATTCATTTGCCGATATTCCGATGCGCCATGCTTCTGTTGGCTCCATTGAGTCGCATTCTACGGCTACTCCTCGGGCTGGGCTCGGAGATCACGATGATGGCTATGGCAACATCGACTACTCTAACCAGAACCCGTCGGCGCAAGCCCGTAAGTCTCACTGTCAACCTTCCTTGTTGCACACCTCTGATTATTACTCAGAATATTATTCCCGCGAGCAAACACTCCGTGGTGATGGATCGTCTGGTCTGCCGGCTTCCCTCAGTCAATATGCGATGTCTGGAGCCTATGGCCGTCAACCCCCAGCTCTGTCCCATGCCCATCAAAATCAGTTACTGTACATTGTGACATTCAAATGCCACCGTGCCGATGTATTCTACATTCAAGAGGATACCGGACTGCAGGTGAAGGCAGGCGATCTCGTCATTGTCGAGGCTGATCGTGGTACGGATCTGGGCACCGTCGAGCATGCAAATATCTCACTCCAGAAGGCGCGAGAGCTCAAACAGAAGTATGCAGACGAACACTACAGATGGCTTATGATGTTCTCCCGGCAAGGGCAAATGGAAGGATCGAATGTGACTCCTTCGGGTATTAACAGCCGCAGCGCAACAGGCGGCATGGGTCCTCATGCTCATGGGGCACAAGACCCCGCGACAGAGATAAAACCCAAGCTTATCAAGCGTCTCGCTCAGAACCATGAGATTCTGACTTTGCGCGACAAGGAGGGCAATGAGGCCAAAGCGAAGAGAGTTTGTCAGCAGAAGGTCGCTGAGCATCGGTTGAATATGGAGATTCTTGATGCCGAGTTCCAAATGTACGTTTTGATCGCTGATACATGTTTGAGAAATATCAAACTAACTGCGAAACAGGGACTGGAAGAAGCTTACTTTCTACTATTTCGCGGACTCTTACATCAACTTCAACTCGTTGGTCACGGACTTGTTTAAGATCTACAAGACCAGAATCTGGATGTCCGCAATTAACCCCGCTTCCTTTGTGACACCGCCAACTGCTGCCCTGCAAGGTGCGGGTGCTATCAGCAATCCGCTCTACAGTCAGGACGCACCGCCCTCTGAGCGCCGCCACCAGCCTGACGGCCGTCCTTATGGCGGGCGAGACGGCGCTGATGCCGGCCTCGAGGGAATGGCCAACCCCGGCGTGCTTCGCACCCCGTTCACAGATTCATACCAACCATTCGCCCAACCTACCCATCAAGACGCGCAGCCTGACCCATTTGCCCCGTACTCGCCCACCAGCTACGGTCCTCTGGAGACAGGCTTCTCTGAATTCTCAGGTGGCGCCGGCACCAACGGCGCCCGCATGCACCCGACACAAACGGAATGGGTTGGCCGATTCCAGGGCCTCTCGCTCAATTCCTAATTCATCCTCTCCTCTGTACAATCGAATACCTTCTACCCTCCCTTTCCCCTCACACCCTTCACCCCAAACCTTTACTTACCCTCTTCACGAATGAGATCTAGACCGACTCATTGAATTTTCTTATTTCTTATTCTCCCAATCTGCTTTTCGCGAAAGAATGTTTTCCCCTGGGCTCTGAAATCTGTTTCTGTTTACTTCCACCTTCTCCTGCGCTGTGAATCCCGTGTACTACTCAAGTTAGATCCATACCCGAGCCTTCCACAGGCTCGCACGTTCTTTACTGTTTCTGATTTTTTCTTTTCTCGTTTTTCATCCTGATAGACGAGGAAGATCGCATGGTGTGAATAATACAAGAATGTGTTGCGCTGTGCGCTGGGTTTGATGTTACACAAATTTTTGCGTCAAAAGATCCTTTCCTATCTGGTTTTAGTCAATGATATTGTTTCTTTTTTTCTTTTCATCGTTCTTTTTTTTCTCTTTGCTGAGGGTTCAACTGAAAGGTCGTCTCTTGGGAAATGCTTTCCTTTCTTTGTAATTTTGTGCTTTTGATTGTCCTATATTATACTATCACGTGTTACCAGATAATGGCTGAAAAAGGCGTCAGTCGACGGGGAAAATTAAAAAGGCAGCCATTCGGTAAACCCAAATTGTTGAGAGAAGCAAGAATCATGTGGGGCAAAAATAAATGGACTATTTTTCAAGATTTACATAACCCAGTAGTGGCGAGTGTTGGTTGTTCATTGTTAGATCTTTCTAGCTCAAGTTGTCGTGTGAGAGCTATATTTGATCATCGCTTCTGGGATGATGCTCACAACCTTTGAGAGCTAAATGTCTCCTAGAAATTGTGCCTGTCACTCCTGGGAGCGAGCCAGATTATTTTATTCCTCGGCTCTCTGACGATCAGGTTATTCCAGATCAATTGTCTCAGAAAGTCATTATGCTTGGGATTTTGCAACTAAAAACTTCCTTCCGAGATATAATGGCTCTTGAGAGAATTTTCTTGAGAGGGAATCAGTCACAGTACGGCCTGCTGAGGAGCATAGGCGACACAGGGGGTTACACGTCATATGAGCTGGCTCTTCGAGCTATGTCCATCTTAACCCAATTATTTTAAGGCCAAACCAGTAGCCTAGAGACGACAGCCAGCGCTGCCCAGGATTGACTTCATTAGCTTATCAGCCTGCTGAAGGAGTGGGTCTCCGCAGTGGCCTTGATTCGGTGATCTTTTCCGCGCAAGACAAGACACCGCTTTTTCCCAAGTACAACTGCGGCGCTGTCATGTCTAGTCTTACGGACTGCGAAAATTTTGTGTCCGAATAGTCGGGACGTAAAACTTTGGCGGACTCGGTGGGATCCTGAGACAGAAAACACTCCCAGGCCGAAAGGCCCAGTGCTAGGACGGTTAGGGCGGCTACTCGAAAGTGTTTGATAATGTTCTACACGCGCTCCCTGCCTTCATTGACCGAGCACGGACATGACGCGGAGCACATGCGGGTGGCCCATGGCATGAGCTGATTGGCCTTCTGAATATAGCAAGGCGCTGGTTGAGTGGCAGGTTGTAGAGCCTCAATCGAATGGACGTGTATAAATGCAGGGTTTAGGTGTCAGTGCATGAGCCGTAGAGCATTTACTGCCAACAGAAATTACAACTACAACATCAGCGACAAGACCTCTCGACTTAACATGACAGGTAACGATTAGTGCTAAGCTGTTCACGTCTAATAACATCTCAAACCTCCTTCTCAGAAACCATGTCTCAACCTCGCCCTCTTCCTCCAGCTCGAATACTGGGTTCCGCGGAAGACGAATCGCAAATCGAAGTAGATCAACGTATCTTCCTCAATGATCTCGAACGTCTACAACGCTTGATACATGCGCCAAATCGGATGACTAGACCATTTTCCTTGTTTCCTGCGATACGATATTTCCTTAATGATGACACATCACCGCCCCGCGTTGAAACTTCTTTGCTACCATATACCGTCCCAACCAGAAAACGGTCGAATGGTGCACGAGATGGCAGGTCCCGTATCCAATCACTCCATGCATCTGAAAATCATAACGATAACAGTAGAGTCGATGATACACCAATTTCTTCCGCTTTTGATATCCGGACGAATGAACACAAGCGCCGAATAGAAGATTTGAAAGAAAAGCTGAAATATATTTTCCCAGAAAGTGGATCTGCCATGGTTTTAATGTGCTGGGGTAAGCCATCCCATTGCTCAATCTTGCCTGTGCGTGTCTCCAGTTCGGAAGATGAAGTGAGTACATGGAGCGAGATCAATAAGGCCTGGTACAATCGCAGAGGTAATTGGAGAAAAATCATACCTGGATTGAGAGTTGCACGAGTTGACAGCGTTTGAGGTAAGATTGACGATATAATTCTTCCAAAGAAGTTCAATCATTAACAGTTTTAGCTCTTGATACTGGGGCTAAAGGATACCATGAGAAAAGCAGAGCAATGCGAATATGTCGGAGCATTTTCTGAGACTGACATATCTTCGGAGAAGAGAAGACTGGAAACTACTATTATAGACAATTGTGATGCCACATCCGGCTGTTTTTACAATTGTTACACAGATACAGCAGACTGTTATAATACAGCAGATTGTTCTTGCATGTGTTATGAGTGCTTTCCAGGCCTTGATTATGCCGGCGATTGCCCAGCCAAAATACTACATGATGCTAGACGGAAGCTTTCACTCTTGACAACATCCGCTACCATGAGACATGTCTTCTCCAACCCGAGCCTTGCCGCATCAAATGACTTTCTCAAGAACAAACACCTGGTATACAGCCACCAGTAAGCAGGTAAACCAAGATATACAAATTGGAATATACCCTGATCTATGTCTCATAGGGATATCTTGAGTTGTTTCAACCCTTGGTACATTTCACACCGTCCAAGCCTGATAGAACTCCAGTTCACGGGTATCTTCATTAAGGAGGATTGGACACTAGATAGGCTCTTGGTCTTTTCGCTTTTAGCAGCCATATCTTTAGTGGTGGTCATAGCTGCTCACTTCGTTTTCAGCTGGGATACAGCATGGACCGTAGGCGGTTTCTTCGTCGCCTTGCTTCCTCTTTGGAAGTTAGCATCTTCTATGGTTGACTAAAATTTTCGTGGACTTTATATCATAGGCTTCGGTCTATAGCTTGTCATTGACTTTTAATTGACGTGTTGATTTCTCTCTTCTTTTTTACTTACTTGGGCGTATCAAAGTGATTCCCATTTTTTCGCGTAGCGCCCTATGATTGCGTTCCAATTGTTGGTGGGTTACTTTATCTGTTTCCAAGAAAATAACCCGCTGACAGAGGATTGGCCTGTTTGTTACTGAAGAAGCGGGTTCCACAGTGGCCTCCTATTCGGAGGCGTCCTGGACGGCAACTACCTGGTCTCTGCATAAGTAGAGCGTCTTGCTCTAGAATGGAAAGCAGCCCATGGGAAGTGGGCTGACAAGCGAGGTGGATTGGATGTCAACTGCGAAGGAAAAGTTTCAAGCCCATCTTGACCCACAAAAGGCCACTTCGGTATCTTTCACAGCATGGATCCCACTTCGATGGGGTTTAAGAGTACAGCGAATGAGACTTAACTGAAACATAGGGACTGAGCCCCCGTCAACGCATCACCGAAATCTGGGTACGTGGTGAAGTGCGTAAACGACCATCAAAAGCACAAGATTAGCTTACCAATATGCCATCCAATATGCCAGTTTTAACCCAAAAGGCAAGCGAACCAGATGATAGCTGTGCGAGCGAACAGTGTGTTTTGCACCACGGAGCGCGCAGTGCTACAATAGCATTTGATTGACGCCTAGACTCTGTGCGAGGCCACTAGGCAGGCTCAGACCATCAAAGTCACCCTTCTCCATTTAACTGAACGGAAGAGATTCATATCAAGTACTATAGTTTCAATTGAATCGCTTTCCAAGGAACCAAAATTGTATGTTTGGCATTGGAATGCCCCACAACCGTGTAAGTGATCGAGTTGCCCTTTTTTGCTTCCCTTTAAAATTCATTTAATTTTCTTTCGTCTTCAGCGGCGAGCGCCTTTCATAAACAAGCTCAGTCAGTCATCGGAGTGCTGGATAAAGATCTTTGGAATGTTTAGTTGTCTTACCACGTCAGTCTGCCGGCGTCAGAGCATGGCGCTAAAGTCATGTGGGTTATCCAACGCCTGCGCAGTTGAGTCAAGGTATTCCTTGAATCGGTTCCACTCCGAAGTGTCATCCTGACCGTCAGTCTCATTGGGAGCAAGGAGAGTCAACATGTTATACTCAAATTGATCGATACCCTCGGGTACTTTGAAACACTGGTGACCTGCGGATTCTGCTTTGCGTAGCAGGGAATCGAAATCTGCGGGGAGCTTTCCTTCGCAGTTGACATCCAATCCACAGCCCACTTCCCATTTGATTCAACTCTTGTGCCCACTCCGCAACGGTACGACTGCGCGCGTCCTTGATGCTAGAATCTGCTCCGAGGTTGACCAAATGACGAATTGAATCCGTTTTCCCGAGCTCTGCTGCTATAAGCAAAGGGGTCCCCAGGCTCATAGGCCTGAATCGCATCAAAGTATATGTCCGTCCTGATGCATTGTGGCGTTTAATGGGGCGCCTTTGCCTACGAACAGGGATATAACGTCATTGAGATTCGCGTTTCGAAAAATGGCATACTGAAGAAGCTGTCCCTTTTGTACATCACCTCCACGGCCTACAAGCATCACGCTTCACCTTTAGCACTCTCCCAGTGACATCATGGAGGCAACCCACCTCAAGCAAATTTATCGTGCTTGCCCTTGACCTTGATGTCAAGCATCTCTTCATGGAAATTGCCCTCTTTCCTTGCCTTTCGTAACCTCCTCACCTCATCCTCATTCAAGGTCCTCCCGACAATCCCTTCCAACTCCTTCTTACTGATTTTCTCATATGCCTTGGATTCCTTATTTGCCCTCAGCTTCGGCTTAAACCGCGCCTGCATCCGAACTCGCAAAGTCGTGTCAAAGGAGATCGCAGTCGCATCACCACGTATTTCAACACCCCCCGACGCCTTCGCACTCTCCTTGACACACAAGAAAGTCTCGGAGTCACCGCCGCGTGTTTGTAAAGAAAATGTGCCGGGGATATCAGGGGACGGGATCGCAATGAAGGATTCGTAATGGCTCACGGCGGCGGCCGTCGCGCTGAAAAGACCGTGGCTATCGCAGCTCAAGTACCTAGCACGAATAAGGCAATTGATCCACATAAGAACGGTAGGAAGTAAAGTACTTACTTCCCATGATGTCCCTTGAAGCTAAATGACTCCGTGCCCGCAACCTTCGTCGCAACCCATACCTGTCGCACATCGTGCGGTTCCGCTGTCCCAGGGTCACCTTCGACCAGATTTTCGAGAACGCTAGCAAAGACCACTCCGTTCGCATCACTTGCAACGCATGTTGGTTCGTCGGAAGGCAGGACTAGCACGATCGGACCAGCAATGTCGCTGGGTGCGTCGGCCGAGACCCAGCTTTGGTCTTCCGGGTTGTCGTCGGCTTCAGGCGCGTCTGTTTTGCGAGTCTTGGGCGCCTTTTCGCTGTCTGGATCGCGCTGCTTGCGCTTTTTAGGTTTGTCGCCTTTAAATGTGAGGGGTTTGACCATGGTGGATATGAGTTGGAGGGAGTTGCGGACGAACTGCGGAGATTGAGGTCGGAAGGCTTATCTCTTATCTCTGGTACGTTGACCTTCAGGTCTCATTGTTTGTTTACGCGACTGCATGAAGCTTTGGTTCTTGGCTTGTCACACCGGGTCAAAAGTGCCTTAGAGGTGCTACAAGGTCCTCAATTATTTACTTATAAATGGCAGCGGAGTCCTGTTCATTTTTTGGTCTGATCAACCTATCTACCAGACAAGGGGTTATGAACATGGCTCGCATCTCCCTTCAGAAGTCATGACTTTTAAGCACAATTGTCGATATCCTTTTAGTCGAAGGTGATGGCAGCCTTGATGGCGGTCTTGTTACGCATCGACTCAAGGCATTCGGCCCACTGCTCAATTTTGAAGGTCTTGTTGACGATGCCGTCGACCTTGACCTTGCCGGAGTCGAGGTAATCAACAGCTGCGGGGAACTTGTAGGTCTCAGAAAAGGAGCCTATAACAGTGATCTCGTCACCAACTGACAAGTATCAGTACTGGGTATGTCCAAGAGGAGGCGAGGAGCTTACAGATCTTGGACGGGGGCCAGGAGACACGGTCCTTGCCCGAGTACACGCCATACACGACCAGCTTTCCGCCGCGACGAACATAGTGGATCGAGTCCTCAAGAATCTTGACGCTGCCGGTAGCTTCAACGACGATGTCAAACCCGTACGGATTTTCGTTCTTCAGCTTGGCATACTGGGCAGAAGCGTCTGTGCGGGAAAGCTCAACGTATTCATCTCCAGCACCGAGGTTCTTAGCCATTTCCATCTTCAATCCACCTGGAGCAGCAATGACGACACGGCAACCTCCACACTGACGAAGCATCTGGGCCAAAATAAGGCCAGTGGGGCCGGCACCGAATATAAGAACGGAAGAGCCCATCTTAGGGGCAATCTTGTCAAGACCATGAGCAGCGCAAGAAGCAGGCTCAAGGAGAGTCGCATCGATGTCAGAAAGCTTTTTTATCTTGAAGACACGGCCAGCAGGGTAGGCGCAGTACTCAGCAAAACCTCCGTTCATGGTGACACCATGGGCCTGGAAGTCCTCACAGAACAGCTCATCGCCGCGACGGCAGTAGAAGCAGACGCCGCAGAGCTCAGAGTTATCGGCGACCACACGCTCACCAACCTGGAATCCTTCAACCTTGGGGCCCACAGCAGCAACTACACCGACAGTTTCATGCCCGGGGACGAGAGGGAACTATCCAGCTTGTTAGCTTAGGGATTTGTGTTCTTATTGCCATGGAGGCTCTTACCTTGGCGATGAATTCACCTTCATGGATGTGAAGGTCAGTACCACAGACACCGCAAGCCTTGACCTTGATAAGAACATCATTATCGCGCAATTCGGGCAGGGGGAGCTCGACGATGGCATATTCCAGTGGCTTGGAATACTTAAGAGCCCGCATGGTCGGAGGGAGTTCGACGGCCGTCATTGCCATAATGGTATCCTATCAACTGTGTTCGCTTATCAATTATCGCTCGCAGGCAGAACAATTGGATTCAGCAAACTAGCAGGAAGCACCTTTTGGGAACAAGAAAAGGTAATAGGTAAAGTATCTTGGACAGGAGGGCTGGAAGGACTAAGTAAATCGAATGGACGGTGGCATTTCAAAGAAGTTAAATACCTCTCAACAAGACTAAAGGGAGAGACAGTCAAACTGGTCTCGATTGCCACAGACGACCGAGACTATTCGGGCTTTTGTCGACTTTGAAATTGACGGGCAGTGGGCATTGTATCGGCGCTGTCAGGTCAGGTATGTCCTTTCCACTCCGAACATACGGCTCCACCATACATCAAACCTCCAACCTCAGCAAGTTGCATAGACTAGTCTCTATGGAAATTGTACAACATCTTCAGAATACAGACTACAGCTAAGAAATACGTGACCGACCTCAACCGACTCTAATAATCTCACGACTACCGTTACTTTGTGATCGCATGGCAATTGACCTAGTGCAATATTAGGATTCAAGGGACATCCATCCTTACCTTAAGCCATATCTTCATGCCTCATATATTCAACTGAGAGATTTTCGCCGGATAAGGATAAGGTACGGTCTCAATTGCAATAACGGCGGTCATGGCTTCATTCCTCAACTTCAAGCCCTTCCCAGCCCAGGATCTAAGAGAGGTCTGCCGGTCATTTGAGATCCTGGGCTCACTTGCATCTCCTCCATTACTCGCAAAGCTTTTCAAGTCTTCTGAAATCTCCGACTGGACGACAACGCGATCAAAATTCGACTGGGTCCAATTAGCACCCATTTCCACTAGTCTAGGGCTCACCGCTGAATTCCACCTCTACGGGCTCACCCTGGGAAACCCCTCCAAGACTTCTCTGGGGATGGGCAGAGCTGCATCTGCATGGCTTTAAATCAAATAATATGGAAAACTCGACGAGTCGAGACTAGACAATTGTGGCTCCTCATCGCCGATCTGGCTAGGTTTGATTCCGAGCTGCAGGATATTTGGTTCCTTTCTTATTCGCAGTCTGGTCATGACTTTGTTGCAGTTTGAACATTTGACATCTTTGGGGGAGTCACAAGGCCTAACGCCTACTTTTCAAAATCAACCACTTCAAGTGTTAAAACGTTTCAAACTACATGTACTATTCTTAGCTACCCAGGATCCCGGACTACAGATAGCCTTTGGCCGAGTGTCTTCGTGAATTCTTGGAATCTTCCATCAAATGGACTGGATGACCAGAATCAATTGTCCATTCATATCTGGGAGATACATCCATAGTCCCGTCTACGAAAGTACGGGAAGAGCGACCAAGTGCACCCGTGGCTGTGATTTCTCATCCTGTTACTCCTTACTCCCAATTCAGGAATCACGTCGAGTCTGACCCGAGACAGCTTAGCTCCAAGTGGGGGCCAACGCCCAGCTGAACCTCTTTCAACTGTCTCACCTTTCAACTTGAAGACTCCCCCAAACAACGTTTCCCTTTTCCCCCCCAAAGTGCCCAAGATGAGCTCCCTTCTTACGACCCTCGGGCTCCGAGGTGGCCCTGCCACGGCCCTTCCAAACTACGCCCCCTGCATTCGTAGGCTTCCACTTCATCTACGCCTACGGTATCCTCTCCTCCCGAACCCTGAAACAATGGTACGGCATCGACCACAACGTCTCCCCCGCGAAGATCTCGCAAAATATGGCGAGGCAGCCGTGCGCGAGGGCAAGATCACACGGCGACAACTCGACATGCTGAAGCGGAACGAGTCCGCCCACGCAAACTCAGTGGAGAATTTCTCGCTTTTAGTCGCGAGTTTGCTTTTTGCTAGTCACGCTGGTGTGTCCCCGGGAACGATCAATGCGGCGGGATTGTCTTATACTGTTGCGAGAATCTGTTATGGGGCGGTTTATATTCTGATTGATCATCCGAACTGGAGTCAATTGAGAGGCTTATGTTGGTGGTGGGGGAATGTGAGTTGTTTGGTGTTGCTTTGGAAGGCGGGTAGATTACATGCTATTTAATTGCGGAAGTAACCCATATAGACTCTAATAGATTATTATCTTCTCTTTGAATATATGCAGGTCGTCGAACATCTCATATAGTGTAAAATTAATTGCATCGTTCTAAAAGCTGCTGACGATCTTCAGAGTAGACTGCAGAGGAAGTTTCCTGCTGGACGATCCAACGTAGAGCTTGTACTCTCCGGTCTGAAGTTGCCACTTCTGAGCAACGACGTCCCAGCTGCTGAGGTCACGACGAGTCAAGGAGAATGTTACCTTGGCGGAGCCGCCGGCTTGGATTTGAACTTTGTCGAATCCACGGAGTTGCTTCACAGGGCCGCCGGGGATCCCGACATAGAGCTGGGCGACTTCAGCGCCTGATTTGCTTCCCGTGTTTTTCACAGTAGCGGTGACGGTAGCGACAGTGTCCCACAGGTCAACGGCACCACCCTGCTCGATAGCGCCAGAGGGGTAAGCAGCGATGCCGTTCTTCACAGAAGAGACGTGGAGGTCAGAGAAGGAGAAGGTGGTGTATGAAAGACCAAAGCCGAACTCATAGCGAGGAGCAATGTTGTGCTTGTCGAAGTACCGGTAATCGGTGTAAACACCTTCAGTGAAGTCGCTCTGAGGGAACAGCCCGTAAGGAGTGACAGCCCCGGTATGGTAGAGGGAATAGTAGTCAGACTCGTTCTTAGCAACGGTGTAGGGAAGCTTGCCGCTGAAGTTCTCGTCCCCGTATAGCAGAGATACCAGAGCGCGACCAGAGTCCTGGCCTGGAAGGTGAGCGAAGACAATGGCCGTGACATTGGGATTCTCTACGAACTGATCCACCAGACGAGTACCGGCGTTGTGAATAACAACGATGGTGTTGGAGCAGGTCTTTGCCACTTTGTTGACAAGCTCATCTGAGTAGTCATCGTGAAGACCAGACCGATCCAGGCCTTCGGTAGCAAATGCATTGATGAAGACGAGGCACGCATCCGAAGCCTCCATCAATCCCATCATGCTCGGGTTGTTCGTCGTGTCCCACATCACCACCGAGTTATCCTCGTAAGCTCGCTGCTGAAGCGCATCAAGAGGAGCGCTCAGATACGGCCCGCTGTTGGCCCCGGATCCACCACCAACACTCAGTGTACCATTGAAAGCCACCTGGTAGTCGTACGGCTCATTGAGCACGGTGCTAGAAAATGCATCACCAATCTGGAAGATTGCCGGCGAGTAACCCATTTCCCAGGGGTTCCCTGTGAGTGACTGTCCGTCGGGCATGTACATGTCGGCAGCTTTGGCGTCGTAGCCGAAGACGGAGATGAGCTTCGGCGACAGCAGAGGCAGAGCATTCTTTGTGTTTTTGACCAGGACGTGACCCTCAACGGCACCGTCGAAAATCGTTGGCTTCGCGTCGCGGGTGAGAGCATTCACAATTGTGTGAGGCTCACTAACGTTGTACGGCATACCCACGCCAGGTGCAGGGTAACTCGACTCGTCCTGGCCCATCTGATACCAGGCTGCGATGATGCTAATTCATACGTTAGGAGGAGCTTTGCTATACTCGTTTTCAATACTTACCGGGTTGCCATATCGGTTAGACGAGACTCGGAAACGGAGCCATTGGTGATAGCTTCAGTGAGGTTGTCGCCCCAGAAGGACTGCCCATTGGGCATCGCCATATCGAGGCCGGCTTGAGCCGCTGCCACGCCGGAATGCTGGGCGTCCCAATCCGTCACGACGAAACCGTTAAAGCCGAGTTCCGTCTTGAGGAGTCCGTTCAGGGTCTTGCTGTTCTGGCAAGCGTACGAGTTATTGACGCGGTTGTATGAGCACCTAGTTCCCGGTCAGCCTATTTCTATTGCAGGTCATTGAAGGCGTTTCGAACATGATATTTCCAGCTCCCGCCTTGAGAGCATCCTGGAAAGGCCAAAGATACAGCTCGTGCATGGTCTTATCGTCGATGTTGCTGGACACTGATTCAACGGTCTCATTATTTGAGTTGATTGTCGGGTTGCGGTACAGTTCTTGTTCGTTGGCAATAAAATGCTGTCGTTGTTTCCATGAGTATTGCGGTCCACGATTTGATGATCTTTGCAGACCAACGCAGGTCACTCACCTTGACACTAGTGATCACACCCTGGCCTTGCACACCCTCCACGGTAGCAGCACCAAGTACGCCGTCCAGATAAGGATCATTGGACATGCCTTCGAGAGTTAGCCCGGGTTCCTAGACACATCCGTGGAGACCAACCTTCCCAGTTACGACCTCCTGTGGTAGTCCGTCCCAGAGGCCCAACAACAGGACCGAGAGCCACCTGGACACCCTTTTTCCTGAATTCAGCCCCCATATGATGGCCACGGTCAAGGGCAAGAGTCTTGTTCCAGCTGTGAATCACACCAAGTCAGCTGTCTTTTCCTGTTGAACGTCTTACATTACTCACCTGGCGCCGACGTGAAGACCACTCGGATAGCTGTTGACGAAGTCGGTACTCCGAACACCATTGCCAGCATCCTGAAGACACAAGCCGGTAAAGCCAAGACGAGGAATAGACGGAATGATTCCAGAACACCCATTCTCTGTATTAGTAGCACCGAAGGTAAGGTTATTCTGCAGTCTGTAAGTCTCCACCTAATATCAAGGGACCCGATGCATGAATACCTTTTCTTCCAGTGTCATCTTCGCAACCATAGCCGCAGCTTTGGAGTAAGCTTCAGCCCAATCACCCGTGCCCCTGCCAGATGCTATGAAACATTAACATCAACACACCCCAAGCTAGAAGATGCATGGACCTACGCGACGGGTAGACGGCCTCAGACTGGCCATAGAAGTACGTGTCCGAGGTGATATTCTCCTCGGCATACCCCAGTCCACACACGGAGAGAATGGCCACCGCCAATCCAAGGTGCTTTGTAGAAACCATATTGAGGTCTACACCTGGGTCGATCTATGAATCAGTGAAGAAAGGGCATTATTGACGCAGGGTTTCCCCGCTCTATATACTCCCTAGGTACTCTCCTCGGCACTGAGACGAAGAGTAATGTAACGCCTCGTAGTCATCGGTGATGCCATAGCCGACTGCGTTGCAAGGTCTTCCCACTTCATTTCCTTTCCTGTTGAGGTAATGTCCGAGTCGTTCACGAGCCGTGTGTACCCCACACTTGGCAAGCCAATAATTCCAAGCATTGCGCTAGCCCCGCGCACGTAATCAAGCCGTGGAATTGATTTATGGAGGGCAGTTGTGGAGAGACCTCTGCCGCTACTAGTCAAGTTTTTGACTTTTCGCTGGCTAAACTTCGGATGAATGCTTTCTTTAGTCGAGGCGCAAGCCACAATGGTGCGCCGGATGCTTGGCTTGACGCGGCCTCGTGCTCGCAGTAGATCAAGGTAGGCTTTGGCATCTCTCTTGCTACGTGGGTTGGTGGGTAGACAAGTCAGGTCTATAGATCATTATCGTGCATAGATATGTGATCTTACATTCACCGAAGAGATGCATGGACGCCCTGCCAAAATGACGAGGCAAACGCACCGGACAATTATCGGATGGTCCAAACTCTAGCGTGCTCGAGCTTCTATAGGGTTCCGGCTCAATCGCCGAACTGCGGATATGCAGGTTTGGGGGTTTTGTGGGGATCTTGTGGGGCTGCAGCACGCGGGATAGCATCTGGAAATACGGGGTTATGCGGAAATGAAAGAGATTGGGATAGACACAAATTTAACCAAATACCATGACGCGAGTGTCTATGGGACGTTCCTGAAGCCGAGAGGTACGGACTCAGGTACGCAGAGGATTTCATTCCATGGTTCAACCTCAGTAGACGCCCGAGGCACGGGAGCTTAGCCTCAACTTTACCCTCGGACGCCGACCCCGCAAGAGAGTCCCCCAAACATTCGAAGATGTGGACATAATGTGTCAAGCTACTAGGACCGTAGAACCTGGCTGCGTAGAGTGGAGCCTGCTAGGCTATTCTGTACTAAGTCAAGACCTGAGCTGTGATCGAATTGGTTCCCAGGTCCAACGCATGGAGAAGATGCCCGGACCTGCGGGACCAGGTCAGGAGGACACAAGGCAGATAACTCGGCATCTGGAGGCTTGGGGAAGGCCGAGCTGACGTTGAAAACCTTGAAAGTGATCTGTGATCATATTTGTCAAGACTTGGGACTCAGAGTGGCGATACAATCTATGTGGAAAAGGCCCGGAAAAGTGAGTCACATTGGGATATTGTATCATTCACATAACTAACGAGCTAGCGTCAAGCCCAGTGTGAGTCTCGAGAGTAGACCGGAAGGTTGAATATGCAATGTACCCTAAGGACAAGGACAAGATCCAACCTTCTTGAATCCGATATGGCCTTCCAGGAGCCAACGGCCAGCGTTGATGCAGAACAGTCAGAGCACAAAATTCAGCTGATCATTTCAAGCCAAAGCCTTCGCTGTTCAGAACGGCATCCCAGAGCAGTTGCTGGAATTTGGCTTGAGATCCGTAACGGTACAGGCCTAGAGTGTTGAAACAAGTTCGCGCGATGGGATAGCGTAAGCAATCATCTCCAAGACAGGCCAGCCGGATTGAGAGGCTTGTGGCGCCCATGGCGGGAATACGATCGCTGCCGGTAATGAAAGAAAGAATTTTCCGCTGGGCTTGAGGTGGGGACGTTTCAAAGAAATCCCAGAACCACTGCACCACGGGAAGTGATTCGGGCCGAGGCGACGACCAATTATCGTACGTGGCCACGGCCCGTAGAGAATTCACATCGAGCGTTTCATCCGACCCGCGAATGAGTAGTTCAATCTCCTCAGGCCGAAAGAGTGACAACGCATTACCTCCACAAACCGTGAAGAAGCCCCGTTTAAACGGCTCGAATTGCCGAGTGACTGAGGACTCGAGGAAATAGTGCACATACAGATCCACAAACTCGCGCCGATTCGAGTTGGTCACCGGACGACTCTCCCCACCTGCGCATAGAGGGACGTTCACAATCTCCCCGTAGCGGTCGACTTGGGCTACGAAGTCATAGCAAAATGTTTCGGCTACATCACCGTCGTAGTCTAGGAGCATCCGAAGCCCCTTGGCGAGAGCTGGTCGATACTCGGCGAGGTCCTCAAGTGTACACTTGAATTTTGGCCGGCAGCCATTGGTTGACGCTGGTCCAGTAGCCTGCGGCGCGGCGGCCAATAGTTTCTTGAAGGCAAATGGCGGCAAGTCAATGTCGAGGATAGTGGAATTGTAAATTGCCAGGCCCAGCAACACTCCAACCAGGAAGAATTGCTCAGAGGATTCGAAGCAATGAGGGTTAAAATAGCAGTATTGCGAGTCATCATCGTAGACGAAGAGCCCTGTGGTTTGTGAGACACCATATATCAAAACAGGGCTTGGGGTTTGACTTACCATGATGCGGATCGAAGACCTCCCGGACGAGCAAGAGGAACCATTCTTTACGCAACCCACCAGCATCAATGCCCTCTTCCCCGATGAATTCGATACGAAGGCCTTTTTTGATCTCCTCGTGTCCAGTGCCGACGACCTCACTCACACTCCGAAGGCTATCTTCAACCAAGCATTCGCGTCGCACCTTCAGCACAAGATACTGACTAACAGCGCGATGGTTCAAAATACTGTTGAAGAACGCCTCGCGAGCTTTGACCTCCATTTGACGGCGAGCGTCATGTTCGAGAATATGAATCTTGGCCCAGATGCTGAGCAAAAATGGATACTGACAAAATGAGAACTTTGAAATTCGAGACTCCCACGTTTCGAAGTCAGCTAGCAGATCCGAGTAGTCGAGCAGTGTGTTGTAGAACGAACTAATCGGGACCATGTACCCCTGCTGGCGTGCTGATTGGGTGACAGCAGAGTCAGCATGGCGCAGCCCTCTTGGTTCGACTAAGGTGTCGTCAGATTTGCGTGAGGAGTGAGTGTTGTTTGCCGTGAACAGCAAAGACATCACCCTTGCTGCTCCTCGAATTTGCCAATCTTCTGTGTATACCATAGGCTCTTCCTTGTTCTGCGGGGGTGGCTTTTGCCCTCGCCGATTAATCGCCGCGTGTAACTCGGCCGGAGTATTACCTGAGGCACTAGCAAAACTTGGAATCAGGTCATCTCCATCTTTGGTAGGCTGGTTGCGCTTGCGGCCATGCTGCCGAGTCAATCGATAGGTGATGAAACCGCCAGCCAAGTCCACCAGTCGTTCGAATTGACCGTGCGAGAACCGAGAAAACCAGGACACAAGGTAGTGATGACAGTCATTGGGCAGATTTGACATGAGGCCCAGGATACGCTTGGTGATTCCGTGATGATGATTTGAGCTGCTGTAGCGAGGAATCGCAGGGAGTGGATCTTTGCGGGGAGATTTACCATCCCTGTTTGTTGGACGAAGGGTGGCCTTCGGGTGAGATGGACGCCGCTCATCACGGTGAGGTGCTTGTACTGTTGATGGTTGACCAAAGGCAGTAGGTGACGTCAAAAGGGGGTTTTCCAATAATATAAACAGGAATCTTGTATCTTCGGGCCTCTTCAGAACACGCCTTGGACGTTTCAGAAGGTTTTCAATGGCTTTCATCAATGTGCGCTGGAGGTGTATACGGGACTCGCTGATTTCCTTTTCCAGTGTTGAGGGATCAATTGATTCCCATCTTTTGATGCGAAAAATATCTGCTTCAGAGCCTCTGGCGTCAGGCTTCCTTGCAGCCCACTTCTGAGCCCATGAGCTACCCGCGGTCAGAACCAGCTGGTACCACTGGGCGACTTCAGCCCAATTGATTCGAGGACTTCTAGAAGACACCATACGAGACCGATGTGAGAGCTTCTCCTTGCCAGAAGAAGGAACTTGACCTTCCTTCTGAGCCCATTCATTCATCCACCAGGATGAATTTTCAGCCACGTCTCCGAGAAGCAGTGTTTTTGCATCTATTTCGAAGACGGGTGCATCGGGTCCTTCGGGTCCTTGTTCCGGTGTTGACGCAGGATCCATGGTCATCTTGGGAAGATTGCCACTGCTAGCAGACCGGACTGCAGGCTGGTAAGTAGAGAAGGACATATTGAGTACACTAGTGCCTTTGAAAGCAGCGATAATGTAGTTTTCCAGACGCTTGAAAATCAACGGCTGTCGCTCGCCGTTCTTAGTCTCCGTGTCTGTAGGCCGTGCGGTTGGCTGAGAGCGTTGGTCTGTCATGGAATCCGATTGTATGTTCGAATTGGCGCGAGGTCGGATAGGGGTATTCTTGGCTTCCCTTTGAATCGACTGTGGCTTCAAGGAGGAACTCTCGTTCGTACCCGTAGCACGTTCCCGTTCACTTGATGCAGACACACTACGACTGTGAAGGGGCCGTGGAACCGAGAGATGGCCATGTTCGGGGCTGCGTACAGGAGGCGACAAGGAACTCTCCGTCTGAGGGTCGTAGTGTCGACCATTGCGATCGTCGTCCGGTGTCAACTGCGACTTTGGGCTTTCTAAAAGTCTATCGAAATACACAGAGAGACATCCATCAATCATGCGCCTGACACTGTTGGCTGACAAAATAAGATCTGCGAGTAAGTCAGAACCACTTCTCGAGTCAGGATGAGGGGCATCAAATACCTGATTTTGGCTCATAAGGCGACAGTACTGAGTCCCGCTCAGGAGGGTCCCATTTCCGAGCCCCTCGCGCTCGCTCTTCATATTCAAGGCCGCCTGGGCTCTTGAAATTCTTGGCGGGCTCTGCTTCGAGATCGGTGACCATTAAACAAGAGGTGCAGCGAAAAACATGAGCCTTGCGTGGCCACCGTACAGTCGAGTTGCAGGTCTGACATTTCCCCTCAGTCAACTCATTGCCTTGTACAGCACTCGTTTCTTTATGAGGACTCGATGAGGTAGGCTGCGTGGGGACTGTGACGTCGGAGTCGGAGTCAGACTCCCACGTAGTGTACTTAGGTCCAACTTTATCACGCTTCTTCCCCATCCCGGTGAATGGGGAAGCAAACTGGTGACTGATCGAGCGATTGTGTCCGTGTCGGTGTGAGCCCGTGGGCAGGCCGGTATTCAGCGGGGCCATACTTGGAGCATCGTGAGTATGTGACGGGCGTCTTCGGGGGTGATCCGAGGCAGGGACTGCGTGAGGGTTCGAGGGAAGGGCAGTGCCAGGGCTTGCGATCGGAGGGATCGGTGGATTACGTCCAGACCAGGACGGCATATGGGCGCATTTGTTCAGCTAGAGCTGAGAAGATGACTAGGTCGCAGATTGAGGTGATCAAGACAGGGCGCAAGTTCACGGAGCTTGGTCCTCGCGCTAATGGCACGCGAGTCGATCGTGGGCAAGTTCACAATAAACGGGGCGGAAACTTCGTTCCTTTGTTCACTAATCAAAAGGATGATATATGCAGGCAGTCCCAGTAGAAGGGGAATATGAATGAGTCCGCAAAGAAACGTAGCAATGGGTATCGTTGCAGCAACTCATAGTCGTCTTGGACGGATTGGGAAAGCGGCTAACGGGGCAGGGGCGGGCCCGGCTTCACGCCTAAGGCCGCGATGTTGGTTATTTTTGGCCCTGGATGCCTGAATTTCCTGGCAAAAGTTTGATTATCGCCAGAACCGAGAATTCTGCAACAAATAATTGTAGATGCGTGGTCTAGATGTTGCGATGTACTATGCCAATACCTTGATTCGACGCATTTTCCCATCATACTAGTGGAAGGGGGTGGAACCAACACGCACACACATACACGTTGTTACCCGAGTACGAACACGAAGCCACTTTGCGAGACACGAGACATTAGTGAGACTACAATCTAAACGCTACCTCTAGCAGGTCTACAGGTCCGTAGTGCCGAGAAGTGAACCAGTCATACTTCGTTAATAAGGGGGAATTCAACATAAAACAAGATGGCTTTTTGGCTAAATACAGATCCTGCCGGTCTGCATTATACTCTGGCCCAGTGTGAATGACACTGTCCGGGCGAGCACTGATCGAAGAGATAACCACATGCAGCCAATATCCAGCCCAGTCCACCAATCAAGTGCATTAGTGCACTTAACGGTAACGCCAGTAGCTCTGGGTGTTCTGGCGCTTCCAGGTGTGACGGCGACCGGCCTTGGTGTTGTTGTAGCGGTGGCCCTTGTTCATACCACGAGACTTCTTGCCAGTGGCGGTGAGACCACGGCTCTCACGGTGCTGTAGAAGATTTTCATCAGTATGGCTGGCTCATTTGTAGCGAAGGGTTTTCTGGAGTCAAAACTCACCTTGTGGACGGAGTTGCAGATCCAGTTGATGCGGGCATCACGGCGGATGGCCTTGTGCTGGGGATCAACGAGGATAACCTCAAAGTACTTGTAGGTGGAGTCCTGGTTGACCCAGTAGGAGTTCAGGACGCGCAGGTTAGCGCAGCGGCGACCAACACGCTCCTCAGCAGTGGCGCGCAGAGCACGCTGGTACTTGAGCTGGTTGATACCCTGGTTGGTGGGCTTGCCGTAAGTGGCACCCTTGCGGGCAGGGCGCTTGCGACCACCGCGGCGGACACGGATGCGGTAGACGACGTAACCCTGCTTGGCCTTGTAGCCGAGACGGCGGGCCTTGTCAGGGCGGGAGGGACGCGAAGCACGGTGGATGGCGTTCAGCTGGCGGAGCTATATTGATGCACTCTCAGCAAAGTTCAACGAGTGTATAGCAAGACACAGGAGCCTCAGAATGAGTCTCTTCAAGTGCCACATCCATTTCCGCCGAATCAAATTTCGTTTGATTGAGCCGGTCACACCAGATTGTTCTCAGGCGTTCCTATGGCTACACTCACGAGCGCTCGGCGGAGAGATGTTAGGCAATCGGGGGTTGGGGGGTTTTATCTCACCTCCCAGCAGCGAACGCGGAGCAAGAACCGAATGACATCGGACTGCTTCTTCTTCTGGATCTCTTCGACGTACTTGAGGGCACCCATCTGAGGCAATTGAAAGTCAGTGATTCTGTCAGGTTGAGAACGGGAGTTGAAATGGCGGTTGGGCGTACCTTGTCGGTCGTCGGTTGTCGTTGTCGCAACTGCAAAAAGTTCGAGAGAGAAAGATCAAAGACAGAGGTTGTGTGTGGGACGCTAGCAATTAGCCGAGTCTGCAGCGAGCCAATCATGATGGGCCCCCACTCAGGATCCTGAAAGCCTCAGGTGACTGTCACCTGATCATCACGTGCTAATTGAGCCCCGGCGCCTCTGTTGTTCCCTGCCACCGCCCAGGGGTACCGCTACTAGTATAGGCAAGTTTTGGATGATGAAGACCTTTTTGGACATCTTTAGCTACATCTGTTCAATTTTTGCCAGCTTATATTCTGCGCTATCTTGCGTACTTCATAGTTGCCAGAATGCATGATTCAGACTCTAAAATAATTTGAATGGATGTGAAAAGGAAAGAAAACAAGTGGCAAATGATAGTTAAATTACTAGTATGCTCATCGTTCATGCCTATATACATAATATATATTTTATATATTTCATATCTTCTCGCATTCGCCTCTCATGGCCAATTCATTCCTGGTTCCGCGCTGCATGCTCTCGCCGGACTAGGGCGTTGGTCACCGGTATTTGAAAGGATCCCGCCGGCAGAACGCTCTTCTTACAGAGAGGGCACTGACTACTCTGCTCAATCAAATACTGATCGATACAGGGTGGGTCAAATACGTGGCCACACGGCAGCTCGCGGAGTTGAGATGAGCCGATCACGAACTCATCGAGGCAGATCGCACACGAGGTCTGCAAGTCCCAGTGCTGGTTTGTCGAGGGTGCAGGTTGATTCGTTTCCGGTTTGATTACTGCTGGCTCTGGATGCCGGATACCGGTGACCTTGGGCGGGCTTTTAGACTGGCTACTGGACAGGCTGCTGGACGGGCTGCTGGATAACGACGGTGTGCCATCCACCTCGGTCACACTGGTTTTCACTTCCTCTTTAACCTCTTCCTTAGGAGTGACTGGCACCATGATAGGTGCTTCGCCGGTGTAGGTGTAAATGGGCAATTTATCGACGAGCTCACGAGGAACACGAAGGATGGACATGGCCAGGCGTTCGACGTCGACCTGGCCAGTCTCAATTCGCTGTACGAGGATTTGGCGGCGACGGCGCTGGAGGAAGCGGTAGAGTACCACAAGGACGAGGCTCAAGCCAACAATTGTACCCAGAATTGCGAGTACAAAGCTCCACAATCCCGGCTGTTGAGAAGAGGGGGTTTCTACACATATTTGTCAGCAATTGCTTTATACAGACTATTGGCATCAAAAAAACATACCGGTGTCAAGCATTGTGAAAAGGCGTTGACTTGTTCCTTGACGTGAAGGTTCTGTTGATGTGTTGTCGTCACTACTGCTGTGGTTGGACCTTCCATCCGAGAACCATGCAAGCTCGTTCATGAGAGTCACGCCAGCTGGACCAGGAATTGCGTAGATCGGATAGTTGTTTTGCTTTCTCCACTGGTCTCCGTCGTGTAAATCCCACCGCTGATCGCTTTGAGGTGGCGGGATTCCCGAGTCGTTGCTTGACGGTTGGAAGAAAACGAGTGCCTCTGCTTTGACTTCACGTGAAGCAGAGAGAAACGATTGAGTACACTCTGGGGTCACCCACGGAGCGAGACCAATAATCGGGTAACCGTAGCCTGTCACGTCTTGGTGACGAGTCACGTTGGAGGGTACGTATTGGGAAACGATCGAGTTGCACGGATCTTGTGGTGAAAGATTGGGAACGAACAAGAGGCCGGAAAACGATCCAGAGTCAGGAAGACCGTTGCTTGAGAGGGTTTGAACTGTTCTGTCCAGAACGAAACGAAATCCGACATTTTCCTGTATATATACGTGCAATTAGCAAGCAAACCCCGAGGCAGCGCTATACATCAGGCGGCTATACTTACGCTGACTGACGAAGTAGAATTTGAGGCGCTGCCCGGCCCCGCAAATAGCGTGGCAACCGACGCCTGCGAATCGGACTCCTCGGTGCGAGACATAATGTGATCGATCTAAAGTATGCTGAATTCTCTGTCTGCCGGAGCAAGCGATGCAAAGAACCAGTATATAGGAGACCTCGAAAGGTATACACACATGGTTAGATTGAGAGATTTGAAGAAATGTAAGACCAGTGAACGAAAAAACATCCTCGTTTTGGGTGTTATGTCCATCATCGCATTTGTTTGATCCCGGCGAAGGGAAATAACCAAAGACGGACACCAGGGCCAACTCGGCCTCTGCGGCAGCCGATGGTATGCAAGGGCAAATCGTGGGCGGCACAAGAATGCGGGCAAGCCCGGCCACGCGACAAAAAGGCTACAAACCTTGATTCCGTTAAGCGAAGAAAAGAAATATGGGCAACTGCAATCGATCGAAGGGGCGTCATTGCAGACAGATGCGTATAGATTGTACGGGAATTGATCGGCTATGTCCGCATTGAGAAAGTTCGTTTGCGGATGCCGCTTTCAGTAAGATCATCTCCTTGAAGAGGAAATCTATTTTGGTGTGTGATTCCTGCTGTTTTGAAGTCTATCACCTGTTCTAATGTCCTCTTGATCCTATCCTTCCTATTATCTCCAATAAAGTCATTATCAAGATAGATCTCATATATTTGTCCGTCTGCCAATGGAAATATACATCTCATGACAAAGAAGCCTGTGCTATGGCTGAGATCCTCCTGGGACATTCAGCACCCGGATTTACCTATCCGACTCACCACGGAAAACCTGGAGGAAATTTACCACGTGGAACAATAGGTGATCTCACGACTTGACGCGTTTCAGTGCAAGTATACAGCTTTCAGGGCGATTTTAGCCGCCGAAAGTCAAAGCTTCTTTACCGCTCTTCGCACCGTCTCACGTGCTGGCAGAAATGATGTCACGTGCGCCAGCACCCCCAGGTTGATCGGCTCCGCGCGATTTCTCGATCACCACAGCTCACTCAACTTATCACCGATACTCAAGCGTACTCTGTTCATCGCTGCTTCGCCTATGGTGGAGTAAACTGAGCGAACTTAGCTCTCGTTGAATTGCTTCTTGACTTGGTGGTGATCCGGACCAGCATGCGGTACCTGATCGCAGCTGGCGCTCCTTAGAAACCCTGACATCCCGATTCACAATTCCGCGAACCAACTCACTCCCTTTATCCGGCTCTCATCCCATAACATTGCCTATCACTGAAAGACAAACCCAATGCCTTCACTCAAGGGCAAGAGTAAAGGGCGCGACGCGCGTCAGTCGCGCAGCCGCAATACCACCCCGTCCAACGCAGGCAGTGGACCAGGGACCCTAACGTCTGCGATCAATTATCTCGAAAATGACGTTTCGAAGCTCATCGACCAGGCCAACAGTCAGTATACAGACATGCTGGACCTAATAGCTGGGCCGAACATCCCCGATTCTCGGACTCTTGAAGCACTTGTGGATCACCTGAAAAGCCTCAGTGAGATGGCGGATATCCGGGGGGATACATGCAATGCTGGTATGCGAGAGATGTCCCAGAAGCGTAAGAATGTGACGGAGGATCCTGACCTCAGTCGCGAGGTTGGAGAACGTGCGAAGCTCAAGCGCGAAACGGAGGAAGATGATGAGCAAATACAAAAAGGAAAGACGAAGAAACGCAAGGAGCGAGCGGCAAAAGCGGAGCGACCATTGAGCCACGGAGCACACGACGTGGCTCGTCAAGATGGCGCCGAGACAAAGGTCGAAGGAGGTAAGTGCAACTCATGGCCCCGTCACACTCCACACCCGCCCACAGCTCCACCTTCAATTTTCACTTTCGCAAAAATGACTGACCATATCCAGCGGCTTCTCCAGTCTCCAAGCATTCGAAGAACGCCGGCTCTGATGACAGTTCTTCCCTTTCACCTCCATCCATGTTGTCCCCCAACGGTGCCGCTGCCGGGGCAGATGGCGCGGCCGCGCCTGGGTCTCCCGGCTCGGATTCCAGCGAAGACTCTCACCAGCCTGAACCCCAGCCCGCCGTACCTCAAGTCCAGATCTTTGGAGAAAACCCGCTCAAGTTCGATGACCCGACCGTTTACCACATTCGAGACGTGACCCCGGACATGCCCGACGATGAGAAGAAGGAAATTTACAGTGTTGCCCATTTCCCCAAGAGCGATCTTGCTCACATGATGGCCGGTGTCCCCCCTGACAAGGACTTTAGCAATGCCAAGCCGTCCAATCAGGTCAGCGCCAATACCTTCCTGGCCTATATTGAGCCGTATGTTCGCCCTCTTACCGAAGAAGACATCGCTTGGCTTCGGGAGAGAGGAGACCGTGTCACGCCTTTCATCAACCCACGCCGTGGGAAGAAATTTTACCGTCAAGTCTGGGCTGAAGAGGATGGAATTTCTTACGACTCGAGTCAAGATGATAAGGACCAACTACCCTTGAACCAAGGACGAGGCAGCATCGAGACTTTGACCGATGACAAGGCTGAAACTAGTGAGGTTTCCATCGGCCCACTGCTTAGCCGTCTGTGCTCTCTTCTTCGCTATGAGCACCGTACTCTCCCAGAGGACAAGGACTCCGCGAACGGCGACACGGGGATGGGAGACGCAATGGACTTGGACCAGCCCAATGGTGAAGTGGAAGTCAAGGACGAAGACAAGACCCTGCCACCCGCGACAGCCTTTCGTGACGCCGATCCGAACGGCTTCAAGACCTCCGTGGCCAAACTCGACCACGCACAGCTCGATGAGCGCGCCAAGGCCGAGCTGCGATACATTGGCTTCCTCGGTGCAGACGACAACCCTGATTACGACGCACACTATGACGACGAAGTCGCCGAGCGCTTGCGCCTCCTACAAAACGAGCTGAAGAAGCAGATCGTCACCAACAACGCGCGCAAGGCGCGCATCCTCAAGATCGCTCAGGAGCACATGGCTCTCCTCGAGTTCACCACAATCCAAGATGATCTCGACTCTCAAGTACAACAGGCCTATCTCAAGCGCACCCGTACCATGGGTAAGAGCAAGAAGGGCTCGCAGGCCAAGCATCGCCCTGGTGGTGCTGGTGGTGGTAGCCACGTTGCTGGCGCCGGAATTTCTCGGCCTGCTGTCGGCGATGCCGCTAAGATCGTCATGGACCGACGTAAGCGTTGGAATGATGCCTTCTTGCCTATCTTCGAAGATATCAAGACCACCATCCCGTCTGAGGGTGAGACGATCTTCGATCCCCAAGTGATGAGTGAATACGAGAAGGCCGAGCTGGAGGCTTGGGATGAGGAGTAAACTCAATTTTTTTTTTCACACGATACGATACGACTGAAACGACTGGGTTTTACGGCGTCATTGAGTTTTTTTGTTTCAAATCTTTCCGGTCGAGGGTCGACTATCTGCATCGGCAATGTGTTTGACCCCGACAAAAATGGAAACGATTTGGTGGGTGAAGGGTTTAGATTTTTCTTCATATTCTCGGTAGTTCTTAGAGACACCCGATCATATCAATGAACCAAAAGAATAATTCATCAAGCTTCTAGCACTGCAATTGATAGACTCAAATAATTAGGGTATCTATTGACTCAACCAAAAGACATTCACAAACAAAGTAATTACCGATGCACAATCAACACCTCCCCAGGATATCGCTTCAATCGAGCCGTCAACTCCCGCTCACTAATCTCCAGCTCCGTACAGATCTGATCAAGACAATGGGTCCCATCAAGATACTTCGACAAGGTACGATCATCAATCTCCTCTTCTTCATCCTCAAATAATCCCGACGGCCCACTCCCTCCAACTCCACCACGACCCCCACTCTGAAACGACGGCGCACGCTCACGACTCGTTTCACGCCGAGCTGCCGATGATATCGGTGCTTCCTCCCCAACACTAGACGTCATGTATGGCGTATTCGTCCCTGTTGTAGCACGAGACGACGGACCAGTCGAGTCACGAGCAGGAAGGACAGATGAAGAACGCGGCGCGGATGCCGGTTGTCCAGTTGCACAAGCGTATTTGTGCACGCGGTAAAGGAAGCCCTTGATCACACCGAAAGTTATGAAGCGCCGGATATCGATGTTGGCCAGTTCGCGGCTGTGTTGCGAGTACCATTGCTTGACGCTCTGGCCTTGTTTCAGGCTGGCGTACAGCTCGACGATGCCTACGCCATCTACTACCTTCGGGAATTGACCTACATGCGTGATATCGTGATCTGGTGTTTCGGGCGTGTGTGGTAGCCCGTTCGTGTCTTCGCCGCCTAGTAAGGGCCAGATTTCTTCGGCGTCGAAGCGGGACTCTTCGCGCGATACGCTTATCGCTTGGTCGGTGAGGGAGCCTACTAAGGGACCGGCGGCGACACTGCTGTTTCCGCTGGTTCCTGCGGCTGGTACTGGGGGAAGGGGTGTGCGAGGGCCGATGGCGGGATGTGGTGCGAAGCGGGTATTCACGTAGCGTGCACATTCGAGTTGCATGGATTCGTCTGCGGCTATCGTGCAGCTAAATTGTGCTGTTGGCGCGTAGATTGCGGAGAAGGAGAAGATGTCTAGGATGAATAGGCAGCCGTAGTATAATAGGTGTCGGATTGCGCGGCAGGTGAGGGAAAAGTCGGTATCGGCTAAGATGGAGATAATGCGAACGCTATTGACGCCGTTGATATGAGGTACGATCTGCGACATTTGGTCAGTCTGTGCTTCCAAGAGGGTCATGCACACTATCAGGGCGTACCCGTTGCAAGGTCAGGTCCCAGTTCTCATCCATGAAGGCATGGTATCGCACTGTGAATAGAGGAACCTGCCAAGCCTTGACAGGCGGCGGAGAAGGATAAATAGGGAACAACTTGATGTTCAGTGTATTCAGTTCATCTGAATTCAAATGGTCAGTAAGAGCAAAGGTCGAGACCGAGCCAAGACATACCAATGGGTATCATGCACTCGCAGTAGTTATTAAGGTCCTCCATCAGCATCTCGCAAAGACTGTATACCTTGCCTTCACCACTTTTCGAGAAATCTCGTGACAGGAACCCATTTTGTTCCTCAAGAGCATGCATCATATCGGCCAGCTTCTGCACCACACTTTTGTAGGTGCTGAAATCGTCCTCCTCAGCCAGCACCACGCAGAAGTTGAAGATGAACTCATTGCGGTCGTAGCGAGGGGATTTCATGCAGATTGGGTATCCCAGGATACGGTAACCATTAGTGCAGACCTGGAGGAGGTTGCCGCAAAGCTCCTGGCGCGGGATCACGAAGAACGAGATGTCGGAGAAAGTTAAGAGGGGCTGCGCGGGCGCGGTTGATGAAGGGCTAATAGCTCCATCGGGGACCTGATGGACGACCTTCGGGCCTGGAGATGTGTGAGTGAGCTGCTGAAGTATCAGGGGTTACTAGATGACCTCTTACCCTCCTGTGTGTCGAACTTGCTGTAGAAGATGGCTTTGATCATGGTGAAGCTGCGCCCATTGAAGCTAGGGATGAGGTCTGTAGCACGGGAACCCTCTAGAGATCGGACAGAAAGCTATCTGTTCATCGCTCTGGCGATCAAGACTTCAGCATTATTGAGGAACAATTTGTGGTATGGTGTTCGGAGGTTGTGAAGACCAAAATGCGGGCAGCGGAGGTGCTCTTATCGGTGGGTCCAGTATGTCGCACGTCCTGCCACAATATATAGCTCCGCGGAGGTTCCTCAATCCAACGTTGAATCGGCACAAGCCAGTTTCGACTGGCACGAATTTATTTCACTCTACCTGCTTAGTGTATGCGTCTGGGTTGGGGCCATCCGCACGGGAACGAATTCGATTTTGCCTCTAGGCTTTCTAGTGAAAACTATCAATACGGAATTACAGAATTTACATCCCGGCACAAAAAGGGCATCAAGAAGATTTCACCGGTCTCATTGACTCCTGACAGTAAGCGGAACGGAAATAGGACATTGGCTATCATTCATAAGCAATCAATTTGCAGCAAGTAGCCAAAGGGTATTAAGTGAATCAGAATGTCGTGAGTGATCGCTAGGGAACATCTCCGAAAGGTCTATACAGAGAAAGCTATTCGGACTCCTGCGATAGTAGCCAGGCATGATAGTGGTAAGTGCAGCAATGTGGATAATCGTGAACAGAAGAACACCCGAGAAGGAGCCAGTCCATGTCGGGGAGAATGCGAGGGGAATGCGCCGAGGAAATGCAGATGTGGTCATATCGAGGTTTTTGTTTTTTTGCCTCAATGCGAGAACCGCAGCTCATCGCGTGCTAGGGTGTGGTCATGGAAGAACGGGTCTGGAGGTAAGGCGTGGGCTAGGGTTTGCGAGCAGCCATTCTTCTGCAGCTAGTGTGGTGGCTGAAAGGCCTCGTACGCCTCGGTCGCCATGTCGAAGGTTCGCGGTTGGAGGTTCAGGGAAGATGTTCAGTGGTTGATTTGAACGAATGGCGTGCATAACCTCGGTGTAGCCTCCATCTCGCTCGCCAGCCTCCTTGAACCACTGTTCCCAGTCCTCGTCAAGCGGCACATCATCGCCCTGGTCGCGTGCGACCATTGCAGCGCGCAGGCGGTTGTTCAGTTCCACGCCACAGCTCTCGACCTCTTCGTCACTGAATTCGTCTTCGAACTCATGCTGGCGGTAGTCGGAAGCGATACTGGAGCTACGAGACTCGCTCGCACGAACAGTGTCATCGCTCCGGGCATCCATGTTCAGATCTTGATCGTCCTCTGGCTGGAGTTCTACCCCTGTGTGTGTCTGGATAGTGGGTGGGGGGGTTGGTGCCGCAGGCTGAACGTCCTGGCCGGTCGTATCCCGCACTGTGATTCCTTCCTCTATTTCGTAGCGCCGACGAGCCGACTTGGTACCCTCCCAGCAACACAGCTCCGAGATCTCGTGCTCGGTCAGCTTGAGCGCGTCGAACACCCTGAATAGCCGTCGATGCCAAGTGAAGCGTCCCAGTCGTAGGCGATGAGGGCCATAAGAATAGTCGAGTCCGGGGTACTGGGATTCGATGCAGTCAGGAGGACCGTAAAAGACGCTGGTCTCGATGCGAACCTCAGGGACAAGATGGCGGGTGATGTGAGCGGCAAAGGTCCCTGGATCGCCCGGGCGCGAGTGAGGGAACGTTGCGTTATACACAGCCTGGGCAAGTGACGGCTTGCGCATGGTGAGGGTGCAGAACTGAAGAAGAAGAGTACGAAAGAGGTCACAAAGGCTCTCAACGGCCCTTGACGGCCCTCAGTCGGAGCGTGAAACGAGGCGAACCCCGAAGGGGGGGGAGATCTGGAGGAGTTGTGGGGGTCTAGAAGGTGGAGTGGGGATTCATTAGGAGGATTACCCTGAAGGTGAAGGATGTGCAGACTGTGCAGACTGTGCAGACTGTGCAGACTGTGCAGACTAAGAAATGAGAGGGAAATGAAGGGGAAGTGTCAGATCAGACAGGAGAAATGCCAACTGCAAGACCATGTCACCACGGCCAACGTGGACTGCGTTGTCAACTGCACCGCCAACACCAACAGTGGATTCTTCACACGCACCAACTACACTAACACTGACACTAAAACCCACATTACGCGACACGACCTTACACGACTCTACATAACAGGGCTCTAGTCTGCTCCATGTCCACCTTTGACGGATTTGTCTCCGGTAGGTCAATCCTGGCCGAGGGGTGATCTCCGCTAACTCTGCTAGAATTCCCCGACATTCAGAGTAAGTATGACACCATGAAGAAGGGTCTCTCTCGGACATTGACATCAATAGTCGATTACTTCCGCAAAAGTCCCGAACGGCAACCGTTGGCCTGCTTCCTGAGCCATGTCCATAGCGACCATCTACAGGGTCTAGAGTCCTTTCGGGCTCCGTTCATCTACTGCTCTCCCGCCACGCGCGAAGTATGTCGACACCTCACACGCCTCACAAATCTAACATGACCCCAGCTGATCCTGATACCCGCAGCTACTGCTGCGCATTGAGAAGTATCCACATCGGATGAACTTCCACAAAGGCATTCTCGAATCTCGTCGCCTGCACTATAGACATCTGGCCAAATTACTGGTGGGTGTTGGATCCGCATGGTGATATGAATCCTGCTCACGACCTCCCTAGCGACCAATTCCTCTCAATACCCCAACAGAGATTGAACTGACACCCCGACGCCGTATTCGGGTCACATTATTTGATGCTAATCACTGCTCGGGGGCTGTGATGTTCCTGATCGAGGGAAATGACAAAGCGATCATCTACTCCGGCGACATTCGAGGCGAGCCCTTCGTTTCCAAATCAAGTAGCACTGCTGACATATCATAGCTGAAAAATGGTGGGTTGATGGCTTGATCCGTAACCCTTTTCTGATACCGTATACGCTGGGTCGCAAACGGCTGGATAAGCTGTATCTTGACACCACATTTGCTCAAAGATCCAATCCTTTCCGAGAATTTCCATCAAAAGCGGAAGGGCTTGCAGAACTCCTTCGCAAAGTCGAGGCCTACTCGGACGATACTGTCTTCTATTTCCGAGCATGGACTTTCGGCTATGAGGACGTCTGGTTGGCTCTTTCAGCGGCACTGGAGACAACGGTTTGTAGAAACTTCTCAAGTGTTAGGCGACCACAGAAAGAGCCTGACAACTTCCATTAGATCCATGTGGACCGTTATCAGATGGGACTTTATCGATCTCTTGCAAATATCTCTAGTAGCAAAGGTGTGAATGAAGGCCCAGCTCTTTGTGGCTTTGACCTAGGCAACAAGGCTGTGTCAGGGTGTCTGAGCGAAAAAGAGTCCAGCAGAGTTCACAGCTGCGAGCCTGGTGTATCATGCCACGCGGCTCGCGGTTCGCAAACCGTTTACATCACGCCCATTGTCACTCGAACCCAGGACGGTGCCGAAATGCCCGAACTTGGGGCCGGTGGTGGATTTGGTGACCTTTATCAGGTTCACGAGCTCGAGCTGCCAGACGAGTCTACGCTTGCTCAGTTGGAGAAATTATGTCTCCAGCAGATCCACGATAAGGAACGTTCATCGCAGATGCAAAAGGCACTCCTAGAGGCATTCCGGTCAAGGAAGAAGGCGCTGTCACTTGATGTTTATGGTGTTAAAGAAGAAGGCGAAATGTCTCTCGAGAAGCTTGTGGATATGCTCGGTCAGGGTGTGTCTGACCTAAACTCCAAGCAGGATCTGCCAAACACTATTGTAAGTTACATCCATTCTTTCGGTGCACACTATTCTGACCATGATCAGCGGTTTCCCTATTCCCGACACTCCTCCTATTCCGAGCTATGCGAGCTCGTGGCGGCGTTTCGCCCTAAAGATATACATCCTTGTACAGTGGATCCATCCACTTGGAACGAGGACATCTCCATCTGTCGTCTTTTCGGTCACTTATGTTCAGGAAGTCACTTTGCACACGACAACTTTATGCGTCAAACTATCGGCCAAATTGAAGACGAAGATATTCAACGCTCTAAGAAGCGGGTTCGATATGAAGCAGACATTCTAACTGAATCCTCACAGTCCAGCAACATGATTGAAGACCATGCGAGTACCGGCACCTCAGAACACCAAACCCACGTTGTTCTAGACGATACTGTCGAGTATCCATTCAACACTAGCCAACCAACAACCACCTCACAACCCTCATCAGACTACGATCTAGAAAGAGCCAAACGTGCCGAAATTCGAAAAGCACACCTCTACCTCAAAGAACATGCCGATCCATCAATTCTCGATATAGGTCCCCTCCCATCCCCGTCGCCAGAAATACAAACCAGAATCCCAGCTTCAGGGCCAAGCCTTGACGAATCCACCATCTCCTCAGTCAGAGACAACGCCTCATCGCTTCTTCCACACGAACCTTCTCAAGTAAAAGACAGCCAACACACAGATCTACTCAGTCTCTCAATCACCGAGTCAGATCTCAACGGCTCGCCTCCCTCGGAGTCTAAGCAGGGTGAAGAAAGAACTCGAGATCGTATTGCGCGCAGGCGTTCTCGTGTTGCAGCGTACCTTGCTGCGAGAGACGATAGTTGGGCTGATATTTCGCTGGTATCGGCAGGGGATAATCATGCCGAGGAGGAGATGGAGTTGTAGGTGTCATTCTTAGGGGTTGACCTCGAGATGGAAACGAATAGTGAGATTGATGATTTTTATGATATACCATTTGCAATTTAAACGATCATGAGTTGGTCTTCTGCTACAATTCGCAAGTAACCCGGTGGTTGGAATTCTTGTTCCAAAGTTCTAACTCTCCTTACACAACCACTCGACAAATGAAGCTAATGACTAGACCGAGGAACTGTAGCGTTCCTATACCTGGAGTCCTAATATTGGACCGGTCAGTTCTGACCCACGCCGAGGCGAGCGACGGGACATGCTCGGCAAAGTCCGCTAGGTCCACTTCTAGAGTTGGCTGGCTCTTCGCCGGAGTTACAAAGTAACATGGGGGAAAGAAAGTCATAATTTTCGTAGCTAATTACCTAGTGCATAAACACAAACCCAAAAATAGCGACGCTCCAGATGGATATTGAGCCGCAGGCAATGCTAGATATCAAAGTGAGATGGATGGGATATAAAAGGTGAAGATAACAAACATGATTCCCGGGTGAAATAGCAGGGAGGAAGGGTAGAGGTAAAGCAGGGCAAGAATGTAATAGTGAGGCAGTTCCACAGGTGTTACATCACACAGGTCTAGAAGATGTAGTAGGCCTGCGTTAGTGGCAACTCGCTTGCGGGCTCAGCGTCGCACAGCATGCCGTCTGCTTCGACGGTCTAGTATTTGTGTTAGTGTGATGGAGACTGATTCAGCGGAAGAGTTGCCTTACGTAGCTCTCGGGGTCGACCTTCATCTTCGGCATTGTATTGTTGAACTTCATGTCCTTCTTGCCGACCGTGCGGCAGTTCTTGACGGCTTCAATGCGTTTGCGCAGGCCGTAGGTTTGAACAATGCCCTCGTCGATGGAGGCTTGCGAAACCCACATGATTGATGTGCTCGGGACGCGAGCCTAACTTGATCAGTTTGTTCCTATGGAAATGAGTAGATGGGAAGACATACAGCGAACATTGGTCGCATAACCATCGGCTCGATAGTTGGGATGGAAGCATTGGGGTCACCCTGATCAAAGTTAGTGAGGTGGATGGGAATAACATCAGAGGAACGTACCATCTCTGCAACGGCAATCATACCGCTCTTCAGAACCTGAACAGGCTTGGTACCGAAGGAACTGGGTTTCCAAAGAACGAGATCGGCAATTTTGCCAACCTCAACACTGCCAATGAGGTGTCCCATACCCTGCGTCAAGGCCGGGTTGATGGTATACTTGCTTATATAGCGCTTCACGCGGAAGTTGTCGTTCTTGGTGCCTTGGTCCTCGGCCAATTGGCCACGCTGCTCCTTGTTTTTGTGCGCAGTGTGCCAGGTACGTAGGATGACTTCTCCGCAGCGGCCCATGGCTTGCGAGTCAGAGGACATCATACTGATAGCACCAAGGTCATGAAGAACGTCCTCGGCGGCGATGGTCTCTGCTCGGATGCGGCTCTCGGCGAAAGCGACATCCTCGGGAATGTTCTTGGAAAGGTGATGGCACACCATCAGCATATCCAAGTGTTCATCGAGGGTGTTGAGAGTGAAGGGTCGAGTCGGGTTTGTGCTGCTGGGAAGCACATTGGGATGTTCAACGACCGAGATAATGTCAGGTGCGTGGCCACCGCCAGCACCTTCGGTGTGATATGTATGGATCGTACGACCCTTGAAAGCTTCGATCGACTGCTCAACGAAGCCAGACTCATTCAAGGTATCAGTGTGGATCATACACTGAACGTCGTAGTCGTCACAGACTCCCAGACAGTTGTCAATGGCAGCCGGGGTGGAGCCCCAATCCTCGTGCAGCTTTAGACCAGCTGCACCTGCTTTGATCTGTTCCACGATACTAATGGGTCCACAATCGTTACCCTTGCCAGTGATTCCAATGTTAATCGGCAGACTGTCGCAAGCCTGCATCATCTGGCGCAGATGGTTCGGGCCAGGCGTGCAGGTCGTCGCGTTCGAGCCAGTGCTAGGACCAGTACCACCGCCAAGGAAGGTGGTGATACCAGAAGCCAGAGCCTCATCCACCTGTTGCGGGCAAATCAAGTGGATATGCGTGTCAATACCACCCGCAGTCACAATTTTATTCTCACCAGCAATCACATCCGTGGAAGCACCCACCACCATCTCCGGGTGCACACCTTCCATAGTATCCGGATTTCCAGCCTTTCCAATTCCAGAGATGAGACCATCCTTGATACCAATATCTGCCTTATAGATACCCGACCAATCAATGATCAGCGCATTCGTGATGACCGTGTCCAAACACTCAGCCGCAGAGCGACCCGATGCCTGCGCCATTCCATCACGGAGAGTCTTGCCTCCACCAAAAGCACACTCATCTCCGTGATGGGTCATATCTCTTTCTACTTCAATCCACAAGTTGGTCAGGCCCAAGCGCACCAGATCGCCAGTAGTCGGTCCAAACATGCGAGAGTAGGCTTCACGCTCCATGGAAAACCCAGTAGTCAAAACAGCATCGGCAGTTGGCTCGGGGACATGCCCAAACCCTGCAAGTTGTAGCTTCGTCACGATCTCATCCGTACGACTCAGATCCACGGGACCATTGGCCAGCCAATTGCCTCCGCGAATCACCCTCTTGCCGCCGATCTCTACCAGAGTGACGGTCTTGGTATCACCAGGCTCGAAGCGAATGGAAGTGCCGGCAGCGATATCCAGTCGGTATCCGTATGCCTGGGCGCGATCAAAGTGCAATTGTGGATTCGTCTCGATGAAATGGTAGTGTGATCCAACCTATCACTCTTCATCAGCATCTGCCCTCTCGTAGATTAGGTATCCCATACGTACCTGGATCGGCCGGTCACCCTTGCTCATCACCTTGAGGCGAATACGCTTTCGTCCGTCATTCAGCGCAACACGGGCACTCTTCAAGGGGATCACGGCGCCGGGCATCTTCTCGGGCACGAAGTCCTCTGGATCGGGATCGGGGAAAGCCTCGTGCGAGGGAACAGGCAGGAAGCTACTGTATAGCGCACGCTCGAGATCACCCTCATCACTACTGATGGGATGATGCACGGTCACCAAGTAGGTCCCACTCGGGAAAGTACCCTCGACCTGCAATTCCACCAAGGTCGCGACAACAGACGGTAAGACATGACGACGACCCAGCATAGTCTTGCCGATGGACATCAAATCGGCAACTGAATAATGGCCATCACGGATAAGCTATCGGAAGCAGTATTAGCAATGCCGATAAACGGCATTTGCGAAAAAAAAAAAGGAAACAAAAGTGGAGATCGAACCTCGTGCAGGACGGAGGAAATCAAGGCCTGTTGGACTTTTAGCGCGTAGTCAACCTTTGCGATATAATGAAAACATACCACTGCTTCAGCATGGTTCAATCGGACACCACGGGCCAGGCGACGCTGTGCCAAAAACCCGAGGTGCGCAATAGTGAGCTTGTCGAGCTACCGACAATCAGTGACAGTGGCGATGGGCTTGGGTGGTACGACCTACCTCCTTCGGAATCAGCTGCATGACGCAGGTGGAACCGGGACCTAGGAGCTTGGCGTATGATCACAGTCTCAGACAAGATCCTATAGAAGAATCTTCAACTTCTACAGAATGAGAATGAATTTTCAACCGTGTCAAGATCCAGGCAATTGGAGAGAAGGGGAAGAATGTGGGGTGAAGAACAGTTCAAAAGTGGAAGGCCAACGCCGATAACGAAGATAAGGCAAGTGCCGCGTTCGCCGATTGGCGTGTGGTTGGGCGGCCGCAGCCGGTGTTAGTCATTCGAGGTGGATGGATTATTGATTACTAGATTCCATCGCGTTGGTGGGGAAATGTACGTGCAACATGGCACATATATAAGACCAAGTTCCAAGTATCACGTATCAAATACTATGGCAATATGTTCCTATTGAATACACTTTTCAAAGACGCCCTTGAAACCTTGAAAACTTGAACCATTGACATGAGCCCTCAACCAACCTTCGATTTGATCAATTAAACCTCGCTCTTGCGCTTCTTGGTACGGTTGCGCTTCTCTGGCAGCTTCTCCTGGAGTGGAGTGGGTTCGGCCGCCTTGCCTCGTCCCTTCTTGGCGGGAGTGACAGCGGGTATAGGTTCCTTAGCCACCTCCTTGATGGCCTTGGCATCACTGCGACGGCGCTTAGTAGAGCTGCGCGGGGGTGTCTTCTCCTTTACCGGCTTAGGCGAAGGAGACTCTGAAGAAGATTCCTCGTCCTCATCGTCCGAGGAATCTGAAGCTTGAGTCTCAGCACCGGCAATGTCCTGCTGCAGCTGGGAGGCAGCCGGGTCGGTGTCCTCGACAGGGTTCTTCTTGGACTCGTCGTATGCGGCCTTTTGGATCTTGTACCGATCGTAGTTCTCGCCGTAAATGGACTTCCAGATCTGGCCGTGCGCGTCAATAAGGGTGATACACTTTTCCATTGACGACCTAGCGGGATTGACATACCTCCTTCTCCTTCAGATCCATCTCCTGCCAGCGGCGGGTTCCTTCGTCGGCGATAGCCTTGGGCTTTGCCTCGGAACCAAGGTCCTCGGCGATCTTGGAGCGGTTGTTCTGCATGTACAAGAAATACGGAGTGAGAGGACGCTTGGGCGCATTGGGGTCAACGGGCGCGCGCTTGCGCTTCTTGCGAACGCCAGCTTCGGACTTGGCGCCGGGACTACTGGCGCGAGGAACAAAGTCAAAGTGGCTCAGGCCGGCGGGCACGATCGGGAGATCGATAGTCGCAGAGGTGCCGTTGATTATGTTGTTGACATGCTCAACATAGGCCTTGCTGAAGTCGGCAATTTGGGCCTGAATAGACATGCTCCACATGAGGATCTGTGAAATCGTCAGCTTCTGTGTGACGCACTCATGTTACCCGGCAATTGCTGGGTTCCGATGCGTGGACATGCCAAATGACAGGGGTGGTGGGGTGCGAGGCCATTCGAAGCTTTCCTGCAGAGAAGAGGACGCGCAGGACGCGACAATAACATCCAGACCCGCGCAACATCGAAAAGGTACATAAAGGAGCATGCAACTAAATTATCCAAGCATTGTACAGGTCTTCAAAAGCTTCGAGGTTTCATGGCACCCCCGTAGCGTGGGGAACAAGGCTCTGTTTATGAGCGTCGCGTCGCGCGCCGCACCAACGACTTAAGGTTAAGAAGGCGCGCAATGAACCCGATTGCAAGAAAAGAAGGAAGTACAGCATCTGTAGGTAGTTAACTTACAGCATCTTTAGAAGAACGAAGCTCTTCGATACTAACGGCCACGGAGGCCTCGGAGTCCTTGGTAGTCATTGGGGTGTTTGAAGGGGGGGCAGATGGTGAAGAAAATTCGTTAAGAAATGGGGAGGGCGAGGGGGTTTCACCCCCGAGAGCTCCGGCATGCCTGGGAGGCCCCGCTTTGGGCTTAGGCTCTGGTGCTTCTTTGGTGTCCTCGGGTCATAGGTCCTGGGCTTGCACAACACTTAGGCTGCTTAAACCATCCTCTCTAGGGCCTGGGTGTGTTACCCTTGACTTAATCCTCCCCGTTACGGTCTTCTTCACGCTTAACTGCTGCAGGTCTTCGCCCTTCTTCACTATTCAATCCTTACTTGGTATCTTGTTGAATCAACAGCCTCCTTTGTTTTGATCTATTCTCCAAGAACTTTCAGATGCGAAGTCGACTTTTGTCAAATTGGTGAGGCGGATGAGAGATACATATATGGATGCAATGTGCGCCCGCCACCTGCTCGCAGTCAGGTATATAGCGTCTAGTACTAACCAAGCACGATGTCAATTCACATACAGAAAGAGAGCTTTGAAATGTTTAATACCTCTCAATTAAGATATGTATTGATGCAACTTTGGGACCTGAAAAGAGATCGCACGTACCTATCCCGCAGACTGGGCATGCCACACCCCGGGTGCTGTGTGCGGGCCTACGGGCGGGCGCTCCACGATCTCGGTCGTACCTGAGCCCAAAAAGTTGTGCACGAAGTCGATGCATACGTGTGTCTGCCCTGCTGGACAACCAGTTACGGAGTATGTCAATAGACCACATGATAGCTTATTCGACATATATTGGGATCAGGTATCTTATCGCTTATACCCAGGCTAAGACTTGACGGGGAACGCGGATAAAAAATGCATCATTATACACAGCCACGGCGCATATGACTCTATATTCTACAATGCTCTAAAACTTGAAAACCTGCTCCTTGTCATAGCCCAACTCCTTCAGGATACCAGAAAGCTCACCCTGGTCCTTAGGGCTGACCTTGCCGCCAGAGATGGCCTTGTACATACCCGGGGGACCGCAGACAAATAGCTTGATGTTCTCTTCCTTGGGCTCGGGCAGAACAGTCTTCAGCAGCTCCTTGGTGATGTGGCCCTTGCCGCCGGTCCATTCCTTGGGAGGGTTGTCGAGGACGTAGAAGGCGCGGAAGCGCTGGGGATAGGTGTTCTCGAGATCCTGGAGCTCCTTCTTCAGAAGAATGTCGTCCTCGTTGACGTTACCGAAGATAAGGGTAACCTTGGTGCGGTCCTCGGGGTTCTTGAAAATCTGGCGGGCAAGCTGGTACATGGGGGTGATACCGGTTCCACCGGCGATCAGGGCAATGTGGTCGTGCTTGTTAGCCTCCCAGGGATACTTGGGGAGAGGACCCTTGAAGGAAAGGCGCTGGTCGACGTTCAGGGAGTGGATATGCTCGGACATGGGTCCGTTGGGATAGGCCTTGACCACGAGCTCAAGGTAGCCGGGAGCATCTGGTTTTTCAAATTAGCGTTGTACAGGGCTTAAAGTGTATTGACACGCACCCTCATCGCTCACAGGGGTGTAAGGACGAAGGATGTTCTTCTCGGCACCGGCGGGCTTGAATCGGGTCAAAAGAGCAGCTGTGTTGGCAGGGTCAATAAAAGAGCTAGCACATTTCACTGAAGCGGACTAACAGGCGACGGGAAGACCAGAGACGGCCTCCTTGTCCTCAAATTCGAAGCGCAGCTTCTTGACGTTGTGGCTAAGTGTCTCAATGCTGGCAACCTTGAGGTCAACCCAGTCCTCGCCGTTGAAGACCTTGGGACGGTCCTTGAGCTCGATGGGAGCGCTAGTGCCGTAGTAACGGTACAGACCGGCACCGAGGCCAGCAAGGCCGACACCGATGTAGATCGGGGTCAAGTTGGACTTTGGGGAAGCGGCAGCCTCAGCGGCCTTGGGGGCCTCAGTTGAGTACTTGCGGAAGCTCTATTACAAACAGTTAGACTAGTTCCCAGCAAGCACTTCTGGGTTTTAATTTTGTGCTTGCCTGCTTCAGAGGAGCCGCGCAGCGGAGAGTCTGACGGGCGAACATGATTGCAAATTGATTGAATCGATGAGGGTGGGAGAGAAGGGAAGGGGAAGGGAAGAAATCGGATCCCACGCGAAAGCGGACAAAGGGCAATAAGCACGTCCCGAACCCGTATGACGCAATAGCGTTCCTGGCACACTGGCGCAACTCGCGGATATATCTACACTGATCTCGGTTATTGCTTGGGCCAATTATAAGGGTCTCCAATGACTTAAAAATGGGGTTACCATATGTTGCCCCGGGGCTTTACTCTGATACCAGCCTGTAAATCCGTCTCCTCGGGCCAATTTTTAGCCCGGGCTCGGGGCCTGGCCAACCTCCTTAGCGCAGGGTCGCAGTGCATTGAATGTTATCTTCAGGATTGATTAACATGGCTTTATATCACAATTCCAGACGTTGGACTTGATCACATCTATGCCATATGAACGCGAACGGGGAGAGTACTTTGTGACAAAGACCCGGCAACCTTGTAAACGTATCTGCAGCATCCATCAAGGTACTCCGTGCGCGGTGTAAGTACATCTACAAGGAAAGATTGAACCCGATGATTTTTTGCATTTAAACCTCAGACGCCCCTACACGGGATTAGAGACATCTAAACCATCTCCCATAACTGGGTACAAAACAGGCCGAATCCTAGCGGCCAGTTTTTTAATGCATGCCATGGCCGTAACACAGTTATTCATCCACACACTCCATCCACAGAACCCAGAAACATCGCATTTAAGCAAAGGTGGAGGGACGCGAGTAGGCGAACAGCTTCTTGCCGGGGTTGGCGGAGCGGTGGGGCAGAGGGAACTTGAGGTCCTTCTGGAGGAGCTGCTTGATGTAAGGGCGGCGGATGCTGTCAGCATCGGTAACCTCAACAACCTTCAGGATCTGTAAAAACTAGTAAGAATGTGTTCCGGATGCAACAATTTACAGATGACATACGTGGATGGAGCCGAAGCGGGCACGGTGACGGGCAGCCATGTCCTGGTAGAGAGCCTCAACGGCCTCAGTGCGGGACATCTCGCGGAACTCCTTGTACATGTTGTGGGTACCGGAGCGCGAGTCGTAACGGAGCCAGATACCGAAGTTCTTGACCTTGAGGGGACGCTTCTCGTTGATCTAAGAACATATCAGTAGTGGTTCCAGGACCGTGGGATCCAGTCAATACATACCACGTTCAAGCTGACGATCTCGCCGTTGGCCTTCTTCAGCTTGCGGAGCTGAGCAAGGAAGTACCAGAAGCGGGACTTGGCGACAACGGTGTTGGGCGCAAAAATGCGCATGCGGTACAGCTTGGGCGTGGGGTTCGCCTCGGAGGGCAGGTGACGCCCGATAACCTGGTACTCATTAAGACGCCCTGTGAGAAATTTATTAGTCATGGCTCGTTGTCGCTTTCAGATTGATCCGGATCTGCTCAGAGGACGGGAAACGGTGTGCGATCGCGGTTGGTGATAGACTCGAAAGGCGGAAGGGAGCGAAAGGTTCGAAGTGAAATTTCAAGGACTTGGCATTCTCGACCGACGGCGTTGTCTGACAGCGTCCTGTACCGCCCTGATCATTTCTGTATTCTCGTTTCTCCTCCATGTACTTGAATTTTCGTGCCAGTGTCGTGATATAGTCGCAAGGTATCGTTCGCATGAAATTCCGTCCGACCGTTCGCACACACCGTGACCGTATCGAGAGAGCGCTGGATTCCGGGGAAAAAGTGACACGTACCCATCTGGAGACAAGTCAGTTAGCAATGGATTCGTTGGTGATGATATTGGGGGGCCACATACTGTGATTGTCGCTGTGGTGGTTGAGTCGTTAGTGTGCCGTCGGGGAGAGAAATCTAAGATTGTGTTGCAATGTGCTTAGGGCTACCGCCCTTCGGTTAAGCGAGTGGGGCGTGCCTTATGTAAATTGACACCTGAGGCATGAGTTTCAGAGCAAGTCACCGCCACGGGTCTGCCACCACATTCACACCGCCCTGCCCCACTGCTGTTGCTTGCGTTGCTTGCTCTAAGTGTACCTGCTACTCACATAGCTAGTGACAACTCCCGCCTGGTACCCACCTTAAGCACCCAATACGTTTGTGCCCGTCGACTTTCGAACCATCTGTACCTCGCTTTTCAATTGACCCTGTATGGGAAACGCATAATGAGCACCCTCGCAGGCGAGTTTAAGAGCGCTTACACTGCTGGATCCGGCGACGCTCTTGCAGCAGTTTTCACACCAATCGGAACCCAACAAAAACCCTACCGTTTACAGTCCTTCTATGATTTCACAAATGCAGCATCCCTGCAGAAAGATCTGTCCTTTGCGCTCTTCCACGGCAAGAGTCTGAAACTACCCCGAGCCGAACAAACCGCGTGGGTTGACATCTTTGCCGCATACTGGGAAGCAGTCGGGGAGGTGCTGAAGTGTGAGCAAGGCCGCCGTGGTGCGAGCCTTGTTGCAGTATTCACCGCATGGAAGAAGGTTGCCAATGCGCTCATTCGGGGCTATTCTTCATCGGCCGGTATCCCCGCCTGGACTCTACCTTGCTTGTACACGGTGGGCAAGTACTTGCGCACCTTCGCGATTAAAGCCGACATCGAAGCAGCTTCACAGGGAGCTTCAAGTTTTGGTTTCCAAGATGATGTGGCTGCCGATATTGAGAAGAATGCGCACCTGGAGGAGGCTGCTCGCATCATTAATCGAATGTTCACTCTGTGTCTCAGTGATCGGTGAGTAACCAATCTATTCGCGGGTGACAGTTATACTGACAAACTCAGGGCACCGATAGAGGAATCGCGCAAGTGGGGGATCTATCAAACCACAAATTTAATTTTCAAAACTTACTTCAGGGTACATACAGTAATTGTGACTTGCTGAGTACTTACTAACTCGTATAGATCAACTCGGTCGGCCTCACCAAGAACCTCCTTCGCGCAATTAATGCGCAGTCAGCCGATTTGCCTCCGCTGGAAGCATTCCCCAAGTCTCATATCGTCACTTTTGAATACTACGTTGGAGTTATCCATTTCTTGGATGAGAATTATGCAGAGGTTCGTGAAAATGTCTGTCTTTTGGATCATATGTTGATCTCAGGAATACAGGCCGAGAAACATCTGGCAACGGCCTGGAGCATGTGTCACCGAGGAGCGTCGAAGAATCGAGAGTCAGTAAATGTCCTCATTTTTGAGAAAATCTACTGACTGAACCAGGTTGATTTTGACGTACTTAATCCCTTGTCATTTGGTCACAACACATACCCTTCCTAGCGCTCAACTCCTGGCTCCATTTCCACGCCTGGAGAAGCTCTTCCGTCCTCTGTCAAACTGTATTCGGAAAGGTGACTTGGTCGGATTCGACAAAGCTATGTCAGCCGGCGAAGAAGAGTTCGTCAAGAGACGCATCTACTTGCCGCTGGAGCGAGGGCGTGATATTGCGATGCGAAACCTGTTCCGAAAAGTTTTTATTGCCGGAGGTTTCGAAGAGGCCAAAGATGGTGAAGCTTCCATTCGAAGAACCCGTGTCCCCGTGGTGGAGTTTGCTTCTGCCTTGAGAATTGGTACCCACGCTACTAGCCGGACACGGATTGATATCGACGAAGTGGAGTGCCTTTTATCTAACCTTATCTATAAGGTCAGTCTCACGGGGTAATGCTGATGCATACCGATCCTTTACTAATGAAGTAATCTATAGGGACTGATGAAAGGCTACATTGCGCGTGAGCGAGGCATAGTCGTTTTGAGCAAGAACAATTCTGCTTTCCCAGGCACTGGCATCTAAAATCTGTTGAGCATCGCTCGGAAGCAAGGTCTCGTCTTTCTTGACGAGGAAATACACAATCTGATACCCCGTACAAATCTCGGAGTTTGAAACTGTAAATCAAGAGTCGATCTAGCAAGTTTGTTGATCGTTACCGACTTTCCTAAATAAGTTCCTATGTCTGGTCTGCCGATACTCTGTGCTTGAGGCAAAAAGACCTTAAGAGGATAGAAGGTTATATATTTAATTGCGGTCGAGTAAGCTGGGATCTTCGTCTAGTCTACATCGCCACCAATGGTCTGATTCTTTGTTGCACGAGTCGAGAGACATCCATTCTACACCATACCAAAGACTACTACTAGTTATACAAGGGTATAGAAACCAAATACAATCGCAAACCAGAAGCACAAGCCACCCCTACAATCAGAATCCCACCTACCGCACCGACTGAGCCACAGAACTACAAATTGACAATTCTGCCGGGAAAACATCATCCTGTCACCACGTTAGCATCGAATGCACTTATCAAGGCAAGGGGAACCTGTAAAACATACCATATGGTTACACATTGCAACAAACAAATCAAAGAACAGTTTCCCGCCTCTCTCCATCTCCATTTGCATAGTCCCACTCCGCTTGAATGTACTCCGGCTCCGAATGATTAGCGCCAGGTAATGCGCCCGCAGTTTGGAGTCCGTATCCGGTGTATTGGCGTATGCATATCTCGCACTCGACAGGATCGTGTTGCATTGGATACCTGTATGTAACCCCTGTTTCCGAAGTGCGAGGCGTTGGAGGGTTGGAAGGTTGTATTTCTCAGCGGCGCAGCTGGAACCCGATCAGCATTTTTCTCAAGACATTGGGAAACGGAGTTGATGTACTAAATTGCCGTATCCCGGAGGATCACTGTCCTCGCGGCATGATGGTATACCGTCGCGCCAACACTCTGGCCTTCGGAGTCTACCGCGCCGTCTTCTAGTTCCCAGGTTTGGCGCTGTGAGTTTCTTTGAAGACGTGGGTAGTAATCGCCTTTGTAGAGGAATTCCAGGACGCAGGAGAGGACCTCGGGTTGTTCTTCTGGGAGTTCAATGGGTTTGCCTGAGTGTTGGGTGATATGAGTCCTCATGGGCGGACTGCGTCTTTGCGCTTGACATTTTGTTGCGAAGAATGGTGATGCGCTCAGGATGGCTTCGTGCGCTGCGAAGAGGCGCTTTTCTGGACCGACGCGGAGGGTCACGATGGGGGAGGTGGATGGCGATGGTGTCCTTTCTATGGTCAATGGTCGTCTCCAATAGATCTATGAGGCATTGAGCTACTTACGATGCGTCAGGGGGGGTTGATGGGCCTTCGACGACGCTCCAACCGCCGAGAGGAGCCGGAGCTGGAGCTATCTCGGATCCTGCGGGGTCGGGCCACTGCCTTGGTGGCGCGGTACCTGGTAAAGTTATCGGAAGGAGAATGAGGAGGTCTTTTAGACAGCATTGTGATTTCTATTTGGGAGGCAGGAAACAGTTTACAGAGCCAGGAGAATGCGACTCAGGGGCTGGCGGTGCTATTTATAAGGCGACATGACCTGAGTGAAATGACCCTGTTGCGGGTGGTATAGTCATGACAGTAACGGACAGTGACAGGCCCCTAATCTTGCCTGAAAGAGCAGTCGACGCGTCACAAAAGCAGTCTGAAACGCGTAAAGTGGGCGCTTCGAGTCGCCAAATGAGCGCGTGGTCACGGGACCAGGGACCCAATGGGAGGAGCTGGGCACCACGCTATTTCTACCTAAGTGGAGATCGGGAAATGAATGAAAGGAAAAGAAAGAAAAACAAGAAGAGCTGAGCATGTGCATCTGTCTCGACTATGTACGACTGGTCACGCAAAACGCCATCTCAAACGCCATCCCATGTGTGAATCCCAAAATCCCCGAGGATCCCCGGTCAAATGTCGTGAAAAGAGAAAAGAAGTCATTAGAGGAACACCTTGCGGGCGTCCTTGGGGGAGCTTTCGTTAGGGCAGTAGGGGCACTTAAACCGATTGCCCTTGCTGAGCCGACGCAGAGACTCCTCGGCAATGACGTGCCCACATGGCATCATCATCGGAGGGTTCTCATCGGTTGCCTGTTCCTTGGAAACCGGGCAGACAAAGATTGAGTGGAACAAGTAGGAGGGCGGTAAAGAGATCTCAACCTAAGAATGATTTAGCGTGGGTTTTGCGGTAATCCGTGGAGGCTACACATACAGGAAGCTCGTTCTCACTAGTCCACTCGGTGCGCTTGGCCTTCATGATAGTCTGCAACTTTAACAGAGTGGGCAAAGCGATAGCACCGGCGGTCGCCGCAATGTAAAGGGGTGAGTCCGCGGAAAGGCCTAGAAGAGAGCAGAACTCGCGGGTAAAGAAGTTGGCAACATCGTCCCAGGCGGACGGGTTGTTGAAGATGCTCGCATACGGCGAGTCTCGCAGGTTAGGACAAAAGGCCATGGCGCCGATCAGTTGCTGAACTTCTCGTAGGTAGCGCGGCGCAAAGCCCTGAAATTCAGCTTGCGCATACTGCATTGCAGCTTTGACGTTGCCTGCTTTATTGCCATGCTCGTGTGATTCACCATGGTAAAGCCAGACAAACTGCAACCGGCACAGCTCAAACTCCAGATTGCTTCCTCGTGCCTCCAGGGCTTCATGGTGCTCGCGCGACCATTCAATGGCCGGTAGCAGGTTTTTTTTGGTCCTTCAGTTGGTGTAAGATGTAGTACATCTGGCCGAACTGCTTGCGAATCTCATCGGAGGGGACTTCGTCAATATCAAATACAATCGCGGCCTGGTCTGTCGAGCGGAGACTCGATTCGGAAGTTTGGACCACGGCTTTCTTGTCAAGAATCTCAGAAAGGAAGGTGGCTGCGACGGAGAATTGACCCTCACGGAGGAGGTGCATAGCAATCGCACGGTCGATGAGGTGTTCTTGTTCAGAGAGGACGTCGTGTTCCGTACTAGGAAGGGGCCGGTCTTTGAAGAGCTGAGAGAGTCAAGATGTTAGCTGCTCGCCGTAGAGAGTGTATTGGAGAGTGCAAATACCTTGTCGAGCGACTTCGTGTACTTATTAAGGCCACTATGGGTTTCTTTGAGACTATCGTTAATTGCCTCGAAAGATGATTTGACGGGATTCTGAAGTTTCGCAAGCGTGACAGCAGCCTGGTTCGGGTCTAAGGCGACATGAAAGTATCAGTAAATGTATGTTGAACGTAAGTCTGGGTCTGTCGCCGGGTGCGACATAGTCAACCCGTCAATGGGGTTCACCGACCTTGGGCAATGGCATCTCGAGCCTGCTGCAGTAGATCTATGGTAGACTGGACATTCTTAACGCCCTGAGAAGCCTTCAGCCTCTTCTGCAGCCTGTCGTGCTCTTTCTGTACTAGATCCATGCTGGCTCAGGCAGCGGGTTCTCAAATGCGGAGTCGATGAGGTTACCGCCCGACAAGCCAGCGGTTGCCCATATGGATAGAGCGGAATATGGGCTCTTTATTCACAACGCAAGAGCCCTGGTAGACTGAAATGGAGCTGCATGGGTCTGTCCGGGTAACGCTGAGGGTGTTGTATCGAGTCGAACGTACAATGGCCGTGGTCACCCGGATGCTGAGCTATTCCGGCGGGTGATCGCCGCTCTTACGACATAGGCACGTGACCTAAAGATACCCCTCAGGTGTGGTGTGAGCACAGCGGGTATGAATTGTGGGCATCTTAGTGCTTGTTTCGTTTGATATAAGCTACGTAGACATAGTTGTTCGGAGGGTTGCCACCGTAGGTGATTGCAGATAGTCGCTTTCTGTCTGTCCGTGAGCTCCTCAAAACACTAGACCTGAATAGAGGAAGGCCCCAGAGGAGGCATGACTCATCACATGGTCACATGACTGTCGGCTCTCGCTTGCACTAGCGCGGCCCCCGCCTATAAATATCGGCACTCTCCGTTCCCCTTTCCTCTTCTTTTTCTTTTCTTCCTTATCCTAGTGCACGGGTTTTACACGTATCAGTGAGGAATTATCCGAGATCGTGTTTTTGCTAGTTGAAAACTACCAAACTGACCACTCCAGTTGGTCCTTCGGGATCGTCTGGGAATTTTTGAACAAATTAAGTTGCCCTGACCTCCTTGACTTCGGTCATCGAGTCAGTCTGGTGCTCGCCGTGCCCCCAGGCCCGAGCACTGGCCCGGTCTTCTTTTCACTACTGTTGTCACCCAGGTCGGTGGCCTTTAGAGAAGAGTTTAGTCCTTGCATTTCCTCAACTTGCGAATCCAGTGTGTCCCAGTTTTGCCCTTTCGTAAAATGATCTTTGGTAAGCTTGCGCTTGAGTCGTGTTTGTATCATTCACGCATTCGCCCCTCCGTGCGAGCGTTCCTGGGCTTGACCATGAGCGGGCCATTCTAGCGTCGTATACATAGCATAACTATTGATAGAACGAAACTGGTCTCAGAGGCACCCCGTGACAGGGCTTACCAGAAGTAACAACAACCATTTAGGGGGATACTTCGAGAAAATGAACTAGAGGAGCTGTGTAAACCGGTTTTGAGAGATGTTCTAACAAATGACGAGAAAGAGCTGAATATCACGATTCTGGACTGTCAATGCGAAACCCTTGATCTCCAACCTCAAGCCTTGCACTCACCGCCCGCTTTCCCCGTGACGTCTGCCCTTCTACAAGTCGAAAAGAGTCCGACGAGCTTGCGCATCCTTGCATCTGGCCCGCAAAGTCTAACTGAATCCCTTGTCACTAGATTATGTCTCAAGGGTCATTTTCCGGATATGCGCTCGTCCTTTCCACCTGACAGGCACCGCAGGAGATCCGAAGCTCGGGGGTCCGAGTTGAAGCTGGGAGGCAGCTAGCTCATGTGGCTCAAATGCTTCTTTCTTGTTAAAAACTAATTCAGTTGGGCTACGTACTGTTTTCTACAACCCGACGCAGTTGCCATGCAGGCAAATAATTCAGCTGCCTCTGCGCCCGATGGTCGCGACGCCGTGAAGCCTTCGGATGGCGTCAGGGGAACTCCCGCCGCCAACGTCAATAGCTCTGATCGCCAGATACCACATGGTCATCAGAGGTTTATCTTCACCGATCCGGTCGCCCTCCGATACCTCGAAGAGGATCCCTCCACCGATGTCCTCCACCGTCGATCGATCCTTCAAGGCTACGAGATCTACATCGTTGAACAGTGGGCGTGCTCGCGCATCCATCCTACATTCATCATCTCGACATACACAGGTGACCCGTCACACAAAGTAATTGTGGGCGTGCTGAGCGTGCCGACGGACGAGACAACGTGGTCGCCTCGGTTGCGAATGTACTTTGATGCAGTGAAACAATACCATGCTCGGAAGAAAGAGACCTCCCTAGGAACTGTGTTGGTCACAGACCTGGGCTCGTTCCCTTCTGCTTTGACAGTCATTCCTGTCCCAGACGGCGACCTCAAGAAACACAGGGAGGATTTCTTTGTGAACGAGAACCTGAAACGGCTCGGCTGTGCTGGTCGCGCGAGCTTGAAACTGCAGCCCCCCTCAGCGGCAACTGAGGCCAAGTTCCATCAGCTGTATCGGACGAGCGAGAGAGTGCCGCTCTACAATGCGGTCATTGAGCTGGTCAAGCAGTGCCAAATTGCCTTGATGATATTTGACAAACTGGCCCCCGAATTCGTGGACGGCATGCTGTGCGATGTGACCGAGGCGGCCATCAGTGACTGGTGGACAGACATTGGCACCGATCTATACAACGTCGAACCAAGCGATGGTATCTTGGGACCTACAAGCGTGGCTGCTCTTCTGGGCACGCTTTTGGGTGCTCGAAATCGACTGAATGCCTATGGAGCTCCTGTGGGGAAAGACGCCTTTGACATCGATAATTTGAAGAGAGGGATTGGCGGGTTCCAGAAATCCCAGAAGATGAACAAGTCACGAAGACTTGACCGGCGAACGCTGGAACGTTTACACCGCGCTACATCCAAGGCTGCGAATGCTGAGGGCTGGACTGATGCCGTCAAGTCAACTATGGCGGAGCTTAGTGGCCAAGGAGGTGAGATGGTCATGGGCATGGTCCGTGGACGAGAGAAGGGTGGCATTGCCGACATTGAGACCCTCGATCTCGATGTCTTTGTTCAGTGCTGTTATGGATCAAGGGCCAAATGGCTGTGGCTTGGGAAACCGCGCAAGAGTGGTCCCACTCCCGGGTTCGCCGGTAAGGAAGCGGATATGATGTTTACAACCAATGATCAAGGTGGTTATGTCTGGACGAGTAAGAAGAAGCCTTCGACCGAAGACTTACATGCCGAGCGTGTCGCCACTGGCCTTGACAAACAATGGAAGGCCCCCGAATCATTGGTCGCCGAGGAGAGAGATCACCGCAAAAAGGGCGTTAGCGGAAGAGTCTCTGATGCCCGAGCTGGTCTCGGTCGTTTCAAAGACGCAGTCGGTTTGCCTGGTTTGCGTTCACATCATCACAAGCAGTCTCGTGGCGGCTCAGAATTGACCCACGATGCGGCCTATAATCCACACATTGACAGCGACATGGAGGTATCTAAATCTAAAAGCGGCTCTGGTGTTGAAATGGACAGAGAGACAGAAAAGCATAACGAGCATGATGAGGAGGCGCTGACTGCCGTTGCTACTGAAAATGGGGCCGACGTCAAGCCACCCGAAATTCACATCGAATCTGCCCCGGCAGAAACGGAGCTAAGGGAGACTGATCAGCTTGCAGAGCTGCAGCCCGTTCAAACGTTCGATGACGAGTCGTCGGACATTGAGCGTATTATGTCTCGCTCCACCGTGGCTTCAAGTGATCAGGGGGACGATCGAGATGGGCCGGTATCTGGACTAGCCTCAATGGCCCTTCGGCGCCCGCAAAGCAGCGAGGATCTGCGAACTCTGGACGGTGATAATGAGCGTCAAGATGAACGGTGTCCGCGTCACCTTTCCTTCAGCAATGTTGAAGAGGTGGTACTCAATTGGAAGCAACTGGGAGGCCAGCTAGTAGTCGAAGACACCGACAATCTCGAAGAAGCCATTGACCAAGAAGACATGCTTGCCTCGGATGCTCGCATATTCAGTACTCGGATACTAGACTTGAGTGAGCGTACTGTTCCCTGGGTCGAGCGGCAAGTGGATTCGGTCGACAGTCTTAACATGAAGCTCTACGAGCGCCACGAGGAGCTCAATTCAGTCTACCTGGAACGTTTTGGGGATTACCAGCGTCTGCGCGAACGATCTAGCGACCTTCTATCCGATGAGCAATCCTATCTCAGCGACGGCGTGAAACGCGTCGAGCTACTCGGTGCCAAGCTGGATTACGAGCTGCATGTCCTCAAATCCAAAGTTGAGGATATGGAAGAAGGCCTCACTGACTTTGAACGGCACATTGTCAATGTGGAAATGCGGGTAAAGGCTCTTCTCCAAGGCGAGGAAGAGCACAGCATTTCCTGGGTAACATGGGTGCGGCGATCTCTTGGCTTCGGAGCGTAATGTGATAACGGCTGTCCGATATATCCTTTTTTGATTTTTTTTTCCCCTGTTCCTATTGTACATAAGATAGGCGGCGTTCCTCGCCGCCCAGCTCGTGATGGTATAAAACAATGTTCCATCACCAAACAAAAAAAAAATCATAGATTGCAAGTGGCTCTGAATGGCGCGGGCGTGGCTAGCACAAACCCGATCCAGCGTTCACATAAGCGCTTACATGAGGCCCATGCTGCCACCCTGCTTCTGGGCGGCATCACCCTGCATCTTCTCGCTAACTTTGATGTTGACGTCGAAGAATTTGGAGACGCAGCGGTCGAGACAGACGGACTCGCCCTTGTTGAGGTCGCCTTCGCGGTAGTCGGCCGGGATGCACTTCTTGGCGCAGGACTCGTTCAGGCTGGAAAATGTCAGGTTCATAGCTCGCTAAGTATAGGGGCTCAATAGGGGCCCAAGAGATGAAGTGCTCGAGTAGGGGGGGGAAAGCGCTTACCGGTTGAACATGTCTGAGATCATTTCAACTTCGGTCTCGGCAGCAGCGAGCTTCTGCTCCGAGGACATCTTGGGCTGGCCGCCGAAAAGGAAAGACATTGTGTATGTGATGGAGGGTGTATCTATAACAATTAATATGAATTGACCGGGGAAGCAAAGAAAGACGTACCAGAGATGATGATGGGAGTTTAGGACGATGACGGGACGGAAGATGCTGAGGTCGCCGAGCTTGGACCTTCTCCGCCTACGCCGAGTTTTTCCACTTTTTCCCACTCGCTTTTTTTCTTTTCCTTTTCATCCACGCAATGTGAGTGTGATTTCACTCCTCATGCATTCGATTCGCTCCAAGGCTTTCGGCCTTGGGTTCAGCAGGTAAGCTACTTCAATTATCCTCATTCTGCATTTGCTTCCCATCCCTTTATATGATGATTCTCCCATCTGCTTCAGAACCGCTGCAGTTGATGCTCTCGGGCATATGAACGTACCTGGAATAATATCTGATCTCTTCATTTTTTCATCTCTATTATAATCATATAATCGTGAGGAACCATTGCTAATCCAATGTTCAGTGCAGGACTGTGTTTCACACAAACACCGAGCCCCTTCAGGGCCCGACTAACCCAGATAACGCGAGCTGCCAGCTCAGCGTCCCCAAGCAAGGCATTCCATGACCGGGTGCAGGAAATCAGAAATGTCTGTGCCGAGCCTTATCCTCGGCTAGCCGTGGATCAGCGTACATTGAGCTGCGCGGAATTTTGCGCGAGATACAATGGCCTCGCCAACAATGAATCAGTAGAGGACACAGTGGTCGTCTCCGGTAGGTAGCGCCCAGCCTGTCCAAACGCTCTGTACTTAGATAGTATTAGGTAGAATTCGTACCTACAGACTTGCCGGAAGCAAATTGATTTTCTTCGACATCATCCAAGATGGCCATAAACTCCAGGTGATGTGCAACCAGCGCCAGCTGGTAGGTGTCGAACCTGCCCAGTTCAAGCAGCTGTATCGTCTGCTACGACGTGGTGATTCTTTTTGTATGTCTGGTTCTTCTCTGGCGGGAGCCATGGCTAACCAGATTAGCTGTAACTGGTCAACCGCACCGCACTGGTCGAGGCGAGCTCACTGTCAACGTCACGGAGCTGCCGAAGCTGTTGTCGCCCTGTCTTCACGATGTCCCTGTTTATGATGCTTCGCACGAAATATCGCCGTATCCCCGTCATGTCCAGTTTCTGGCGGACCCAGTGACCAAGGATATCATCCGTGCCAGGTCTGCTGTGGTTCAGTATCTGCGCCAATTCTTCTTGGATCGGTCGTTCATGGAGGTCAACACTCCTATCGTCGGATCTGTGGCTGGCGGCGCAATCGCCCGTCCTTTCTACACTAATGCCACTGAATTTCCCGAGCGCAAGCTGTCTCTGCGCATTGCACCGGAACTGTGGCTCAAGCGGCTGGTTGTGGGTGGATTCGACAAGGTCTTTGAGATTGGACCGTCTTTCCGAAATGAAGGTATGAATGGAAGGATATGTGGGATCAACAGAGCAGAAGCTTACCCGAGCCAGGACTGGACAAGACGCACAACCCCGAGTTCACCACCTGCGAGTTTTATCAAGCATACGCCAACCTCGAGGACTTGATGACTACCACCGAGAACCTTCTGTTTGGAATGGCTTCACACATCCGAGACTTCAATCAAGAAGGCAATCTCAAACCGACCTCTGTCAACTTCACCACTCCCTTCCGTCGGATTGACTTCCTCACCGGCATCGAAGCAGGAATCAATCGCAAACTCCCCGATCTCACATCTCCAGACGCTCTTTCTCAAGTCTACCAAATCTTCCATGACCTCTCCCTCCCACTCCCCGAGAACGCTAATCTTCCCCGCCTCCTCGACGAACTATGCAGCATCTACGTCGAACCACAATGCGTAGACCCAACCTTCATCATCAACCCACCTGAATGCCTCTCCCCACTCTCCAAATCTTTCGTCCATCCTATAACCAAACAGATTGTCGCCGCGCGCGGTGAGCTCTTCATCGAGGGCAAGGAAGTCGTCAACACCTACGAGGAAGAGAACTCCCCCTTCGAACAACGCCGCAAGTTCGAGGACCAACTGCGCTTCTCCAAGGCCGCCGATGAGCCTGGTGAGATTGACGAAAGCTACCTCGAGGCTTTGGAGTGGGGTCTCCCTGCTACCGGGGGCTGGGGATGTGGTATCGATCGCCTCGTCATGCTATTTACGGGCGCGAAACGCATTGGCGACGTCTTGCCTTTTGGTAATTTGAGGGCTGTTACCAGACGCCATGGAACAAGCGCGTAACTTTGCATCTAGTCTGAGTGTACGATAGTAACTGAAGCATCTGAATAGCATCTACATCAGCATCTATAGAATCTCTTATCTCTGCCGACACCGTAACCGTGACTAGCCGCTGGCTTATCGGCAGGGTCCGAATTTACGAAGAAGCGGGGGAAGAAAACCATCTTCATCCACCACGATGAATGTGCCCAAGGTGTCTGTGGCCCAGGCGGTGACCGTGAGTCTGAAAGAGCTCGAGAATGGTATGCAAGCCTTACATCCATGTAGCATACCTCTAATTGACTCCTAGGCACCGTCTCCTTCGAAACCCTGACTGAAGCCTTCGGGCCCTCTTCACTGGGCATTATCGTGGTCAAAGACCTCCCGGAGAACTTTGTACAGCTACGCAAGCAGGTTCTCTCGAATGCATCCTACCTCGCTGCCCTTCCTGAGGCTGAGCTCGGTCTGTAACCCCCTTCTTCCTCCAACCCCACACTCCAGAGCAGAAGTCTAACCACACAACAGAGGCTCTCGAAAGCCCAGAGTCAAAATACCTGGTAGGCTGGTCCTGCGGCAAGGAAACCCTCAAATCAGGAACCTTCGATACTCTCAAAGGCTCCTACTACGTCAACTGCGCCTTCTACCGGGATCCAACTCTGCAAAATGCCCCAGCGGAAGGCTTCTCCGATCTACCACAGTATACGGCGCCCAATATTTGGCCATCCCCGGCACGCCTGCCGACATTCAGATCCAGCATCGAGAGTCTATGTACCCTGATCATCGACACCGCAGCGCTCGTGGCCCAGGCCTGTGATCGTTACGCCGAGGCTAATATCGACGATTACAAGCCTGGCTATCTCCAGCGCGTCGTCAAAACAAGTCTCACCACCAAAGCCCGACTTCTCCATTATTTCCCATCAACGGAGACTGAAGGAAAAGACGGTGACGACGATGACTGGTGCGCGACCCACGTCGACCACGGCTGTCTTACAGGTCTCACGTCAGCCATGTTCCTCGACGAAGAAGCTTCTCTACCTATTCCAGACCCGTCATCTCCGGACTTTGTTCTCACGGAACTTCCGCAGTCCCCGGATCCGGAGGCGGGCTTGTATATTAGTTCTCGTACGGGTGATATCGTCAAGGTGAACATCCCGAAGGATTGTCTTGCTTTCCAGACGGGAGAGGCGTTGCAGCTTATTACGCGGGGAAAGTTTAGAGCTGTGCCGCATTTTGTAAAGGGGGCGAAGTGTGCTGGGAAGGGGAAGATTGCGAGGAATACATTGGCTGTTTTTACGCAGCCGAATCTTGGAGAGGAGGTTGATAGTGGGTTGACTTTTGCGGAGTTTGCGAGGGGAGTTGTGGCGAAGAATTATTAGGTTCCATATAGATCCTGTATGTTGATGATTGATAATTGGAATCGTTATTCATGAACATTACTTTTCTTGCTACCCTGCGTAATTGATAAGATGTAAGACTCTCCTCCTTGCTAGAAAGACAGTCTTTGGGTTCAAGCCTACTCCGTGTCATCGACCTCTGCATCGTCTTTTCAACGGAAAGGAATTGACGCAGTCAAGAGTTCCTTGGGGAGATCCACCTCCGAGACATTTCCACTCAACCCCTCGATAGAATCCTCCGTCTCCTCATCAACACTCGTTTCATCCTTCTGCCCAAGCCCTGCAAGACCAGTGTTCACAAACTTACTAGCCACGAAATGTTTATTTGGTGGACGACCAGGACCCCGAACCTCTTCATCGCTAGGATCCTTGAATGCTAGTTTCAAATCACCCACCTTCATGCAGTCATGTAAGATCCGTAAGATCGCCTGCCACCTCGGCATGTTCTCACGTTGCTCAGCAGCAGGGCCGACCTCCACTCCGTTCATAGCAGCTAATCCCAGCGTCTCGGCGCGGTAATCGCCCCAGAACCAGTTCACACCTTCTGGAACGCGCGCGTCGGCCTTCGCTGAAAAGGCCCGACCGCTTAACATACTATGCAGATCGTAGCCGAGGTCTTTGAATGTGCCAAAGTGGAGGTACGCTGCTTCGGGCTCGTAGCAGCGGCCTAAAAGCATGTTCTTCGTCACGGCGCAGGTCCGTCCGCCTGCAATGCGGTACCACGGACCGTAGCCCTGCATGCCGACGTATTGGAATGCAGTGTCGACTTCGTTGTCAGTCAGCTGCTGTAGCTCGTCTCGGTCGAATCCAATGGGTCGGTTGAGCCGGTTGGGATCCACGGTATACACCTTGCCTGCGACATAGGGCTGGTATGATGTTGCGTAATTGGGGTCTTTCGGGTCGGCGATGCACCCTTCTAGCGAGAGCCAGATTTGTTCAATGACCATCACATCTGTTACCCTTTCGTCTTTGGTTGTGTTGAATTTATCGTTCATGATGTCTGCAGTCAGTCCGGGCGGCTTGAGTCGTACGGCGTCTTTAATGGCGAGTAGTTCGTGTCCGATCCATATACCCTTGCAGTAGATCTTCGCATTTGGCCAATCTCCCTTGAACTTTGTGTAATGTAGCAGACTCCATGAGGCCATCGTGGTCAGAGCAAACTCAATGGATGGGTGGAGCTTCTCCCGGGCTAAGGGCCACAGGAACTGCTCGTAGGCGCCGAAAGGTTTGATCTGTTTCAATGGGACGTATTTATATTGGTATGAGTACGCCTTGTCGTCACTGAGCGGATCAACTAAAGTCTCCACCCTGAAGCCGGAGTAGGTGATCAGATCGTTCTTCTTTTTAGTGAGTTGAATAATGTCCATGAAGTTGCATTCTTCTTCGGGGACCTGAGTGACGATTCCGGCTCGCCATTCGGGCATCCCCTGCCATTTGCCATCTTTGTCCTTGATCTGAATACACTTGGCGGGCGTATTGTACTCAAGTGTGCCATCCAGATCAGGCGTCCATAGGACAACCTCGCCACGTCGGGGGACAAATGAGGCCTGCAGAGTCAAGCTGACGAAGTAGTCAGCAAGTTGTTCGTGGGTTACAGCCCAGTCCATATTTAGACGGTGATCGATATCTTCATCGATCTTCCCCTTCTCTTTTAAGTCCATGATGTGTATCCGCCAATAATCAGGGCCCTCTTCATCAGAGGGATACTTGTTATTGAGTTCTTGGATCGTTTGAGAGGGTGGTAAGCCCCTAGCCAGTAGCATCTCAGCCTTAGTACGACCTGTCTAATTGTTAGCGTTTGGAGGTCTTTCATGGTTAAGGGTAGGCCCTTACGCTTTCGAGGCCCTGCTATCCTGGGCCCTGTTGATTTCGTGGCTCTGGCACAGTTCGCACATTGGCAAATGCCCTCTCGATTGGACATCAACCAGAAGAAGTGAGGAAAGAAGGCCACGCGAGACTGGAAATAGAATCCGCTAGGGTGCCCGAAAAGGAATGTGTCTCGCTATAATGCGGCATGAGAAATTTGGTCTTGGATTTTAGCCTGATAAAACTCACCTCCGAGGGATTGGATCCACGAGGCCGGTCGAAGAGACCATAGCCCTCTGGAAGCTTTTCCAGAATATAAGTCTTGCCTGGCATCCATGTTTAGTGTGATTTCTCCCAGATGAGGGCCAGAGGGCAAAAGGAAAGAGTCATCCAAGTGAGGATGGAACGGTAGACCAAGCAGGGTTGTTTAGCTGGAGATCAAACACAAATACGAACGCAGAGGTCGTCTTTCGCCGCTGCCTGAATCAATTTGGCCAAGCAACAAAGCTCTCTGCAGTATCGACTTGCTTCTCTTCGGCAAGCAAAATACAAGCTGTGGAATGCACACAATTTAAAGGAGACAACAAGGAAACAATTAGCGTACCCGTTTCAATGGCGCCAGTCTTCTCGATCCACATCTGGGCGAGGGCCAGTCGCCATCTGGTGTCATCGATCATCCGGTACTTGAATTGAGGGTCATTGAGTCTCCATGTGGTCTCGTCCCCGTCACTCATCGAGTCCGGGACGGGGAGGACGACCTCATTCTCATTCTCCTCATCGCTAGACATTGTTGATATTGGACACGGTCTGGGTGAAACGCGCCTCGCAGCGGGGCATTAGCGCCCCAAAAATGAGTACAACACAGTCAGATCGGAGGTACAGAAGCCACAGAGCTGGAAGCGCGTTTCGAATGGTGATAGGAGTAATAGTGACATTTGTATACAGACAGTAAAATCAAAGGTCTAAGACGGGGCTCTTGAAATGTCATCACGTGGTGATAGTTTTGGGCAACTTCTGGTAGGCGGTAAGTCCCTGCCTCGGGACTATCGGAGGCTACAGTATGTCGGCAGATTTACGTTCTAGCATTTGAAGTCAACGATTTGGTACCGAATTTGAGAAGGGAGAGATAGGATGCTGCTCATATATACAAGTGAGAAAATCAATGGACATCACAATAGCATCTACCTATCACATTAGGTCGTGGTTCCTTCAACCGAGGCCGTAGAAACCAGTTCCACTGATGCATGCTCCGATTCCTGGTAAGGCGGAGGCGCAATTTCGCCATCGGTGGTCCAAACCTTACACAGCTCCTGCTCAATTTCCTCGCGGCGTTGCTTCCATTCATCGACCTTGTCGAGACGCTTGCGGAGCTCTTGTATCTCTTTCTCGACGCCAAGCTTCTCCTTCTCGGTGCCGATTCTCTCAAACTCCCACTGTTCACCCTCAGCTCCCATACCCAAAGTGAGATTGAAGGTGTGGTATTTCTTCAGAGATGCACGAGTGGAGATAGTTATCAAAGTAATGCCACGCTCCTTTGCCCGCTCATAAAGCAGACCTTCCACATCGGAAGAGACGGCTGAGGTGCCTTCGTCAATGAAGGCGTATCGGGGCTCGTGGTAGAAGAGTCGAGCCATCGCCATGCGCTGCTTCTCTCCCCCACTCAGAACGTCCTTCCATTCTTTGCGAGCATCCCATCCACCTTCACGAGAGGGCAGGTAGCCTAGATGCGCAGCATCCAGGATCTTCTGTAAGCTAGCGTCCGATTCCCCGGCTTCGTGCATGTCGATTTCAGTGTGAGGATAAAGAACCTGATCTCGTAGGGTACCCACGCTCAGGTAAGGTCGCTGCGGAAGGAACATGATACCATCGAGTCCGAATCCTCGGGGACGGCTGACAAGTCCGCGGTAGACGGGCCACAGTCCGGCCACAATGCGGGGAATGGCAGACTTGCCGACGCCATTGGGACCGGAGATAAGAAGGTGGTCACCCGCGTGGACAATGAACGACAGCTGCTCAATGAGCTCGTCGCCGCCCATTGGATAAATCGAAGGTGCCACAATAGGGACCTGCTCCAGGCGCACACCGTCAAATCCATTGTGAATGGTGCCCTGGGAATCAGCGAGAGAGTAGAGCTCAGGGTGTGTGCCCCGCGGTGGGTAGTAAGCGTTGGCATGGACGCGGTGGAGGGTGGAGATGAGCGTGTAGACACGGGAAGTGTAGCCTGCAAGCTCCGAGATATCCTTGATACTGTACATCATACGGCCACCTGCATCAGCAAGCGAAAGCATAAGACGCTTGTTGGTAATAAAGTCCTTCATCCGGCCGCGTTCACGACCCGCCCCTTCTTCTTGAATATCTGCCAACTCCGAGACACCTCCTGTGCCGCCCCAGGCGGGGAGGAAAATGGGCAGAGAGGTCACCAAGTAACCAAAGGCGGACCACGAGTACTTCAAAATCATGTCCTCAAGCATGTTATAGCGGATTTTCAGGCTGTAAATGCCTTCCATCCAGCGCTGCAAGTCCTTGAAGCTTCGGACCAAGAACAGTCGTTCAGTATCGGCACCGCCATAGAACGAGATCTCCTCGGCATTTGCCAAGAGCCTAGAGTGCAGGCCTCGGAAGTCACCTTCCTTCTTACCTTCGACTGCCTTCAATTTTCCGAATGGCGGTGACAACTTCCGGAGCACCACGGCCGTGCTGAAATAGCCAGCGAGAATTCCAGTCAGAGCAAGAGGACCAAGAGAGCGGTAGAGCTGGTAGTTGAATACAAATAGATCCACCATAGGTTTACCCATGGAAGAGTATAGCGAAGCAGCTGCAGTGCAGAACAAAGTAAGGTCCTGGGTGATGAATTGGTCGGGACCCTGGCCAATACCACCATCGGTGTTCATCAGCTTGTAATAATTGTTATTATCTGTGAGATAGAGATCATGAATGTATCTTGTTAGTCGGGTTCGGAAGGCGATCGAGACCTTTGATTGGAGGAATTTGATCATCGCATTGGTATAGGAGGCCAGCGTGCCAATACCGAGCCATTTAAGGATGCCCCAGGTGAAAGCCTTTCCTTTACCAGCGACCAGATCTCTCACAATTTCGCCATCAAGGCGTGCAATAAGTAACGATAAATATGTTCTCAGCAGGAGAAATACGCCATGGCCCATGAGCAGACCTGTTTCCTTGCTTCCCCATCGTGGCACCATGATACTCCCTAAGCTTAGGAACTGGTGTAGAAATGCCAGATTCAAGCCGGGCTTCGTTGTTGGCGGAGGTATTTGGCTCGCTGCGCCCTCTTCCATACTGCGAGCGGAGGCTGGAGGGTTCAGGAATAATCGACGGTGGGCGTCGAATGTGGTGGGCTTGGTCGGATGAATCAACACCTTCGAGGTTCGAGACCCCTTGTAAGGTACATAGATGGTTCGAGATCCATCTTTTCCTCGGATGCCCGAGTTGCGACGCAGCAATCGGCGACCTTGCGCTCGTTCTTTCGCGCGCTCTCGGAACCATCTGTATCCTCCGTATCCTGAGCCAACGATCGATAGAAGTAACAAGATTGTTGCGACGAGACGGGTGGCTTTTGAGGTCTTATGAAGTCGAGAACGTATTAAGTCCGAATAGTGTTGGTAGAGCGCCAGGAGCGGGTCCTCCGGGCGACGGAGTGTCGACTGGGCGGCCATGGTGATGCCCGATCTAGGCTCCGTCTCACGAGTTGCCCAGGCGGCAGTTGCTTATTGACGGGCGTGGGCCATGAGCGGTGCAGACCAGTTTAAGCAGAGAAGTAAGTCAAAGGAAGACTGAATAACCCTGGGCTACGAAGGGAGCGTTGCATCATTGCATGTGAACCTCGGGATTGCGGAGAAGGCACGTGCCCGGGGTAAGCTTACTGTACAAGGTAAAAGGTAGTCCTCACAATGGGACAAAGCGCTACGACGATTACCCTTCATTTCTAAGGCATTCTGCATACTGTTTCTGAGAGTCTTGACGTTGTTATAGTATATACACGCTGTTCGCTTAGTCAATGTTTGATCATGAGGGTCCCAGGGCCACCTGGGCGAAGTGGCTCTTTAAGTCCATGAGTGAGGATCTTGTATCTGTCCATTGTGTACATCGTTGTATTCATCTTATTCTTCGATGAACTTGATGTCTTTTTTCCGGATTTTTCTTGTTTTCCTCTATTGGTCTGAAAGGCGAAGTATGACATATGAGCAAGTCGGATATTCAACCCTCCCAATATATATACATTTCTTGCCTCTCGCACTTTTGCCGAGGTGACCTTCAGATCAGTGCTACCTAGGCTCGGAAGACGTCAGAATGTAAATTAAACCGAGAGGGTATCTGCATGGAAAAAGGGTAAGCCTGTATGCACGCCTAGGCACGAGAATTCTCCATGCACACCAACCAATACGGCCGGAGAAACGTGAGTATCTGGAGAGTAAGGAATTGACCAGTCGTGAGCAGCTATGTTGGTCATATAAACGTAGACTGGCTGCCAGACGGCAAATGTATGGATCCAGGACTTGCTTTTCGACGTGGTAGTCGCATTCGTGAGTGGTCCTAGGGTCGGTGTATAGCCGATATCCTGAGATTACTGTATGTGATATGAAAGAAGAACTAGGCTCATGGGGCTCTCTCTAATGAATAGCAAAAGTGGCTGTAACAAAAAGGTCTGTCGATTAACTCCACATTGACCGGCTATTCATGGCAGGGCAAGAGCGCGCTGGAGGATGGCCCCAGGGGATGTCGAGGACCAAGCGCAGCTCATGCATATACCACTACACCACACACCACATCAGTCCAGGACCCACTCCAGCTACAGTAGACACCTCACTTCCACAGGGGAACGTGGCAGATCATTGCATTACGGAAGAACGGGAGGACGGGAAAACGGAAGCTTTGGTCTTAGATCCTGGGTCCATGGTTCTTGTTACCTTTGCAGAGGACTCATATGCATGTACTGACAAGTATTCCCAGTCAGGTCTAATCACCCGAGGCTTCCCCGAATGCTGACGATTCGCCCCCCATTTGGGTCTCCTCATCACGCCTCACTTTAGGATTGGCTGCTCAGTCATTTTAGCCCAGCCAATGGTGGTACCAGCAAGGCTCAAGGCCATAGCTCCCGTGCCCAGGACAACAAGGGAAGAAAAAAGGGGCACATCGGATCGTCGAGTGGGGGTGGAAATAGATACCCTGAAATATCTTGCAGTGATCAGGAAAGGTGTGCAGTGTTTGGTCCAGGCCCTGCGCTAGTCGAATTATCGGCAGTCGTGACCCTCGGGTCGTGCCTAGTGCTTGAATTGGTCATGCCCCGAGATTGGAATTGAAACGGAAATGAGCAGTTGACACCAGGTCACAGGTGCACATAGACAATAGCACCCAGGTGTAGACCATGAACCACGACGCATAACTAAGGAGAGAAAACTAGAAGATGGTCATGAAAGAACAATAGCCGCCGGGCTTGCGGTAGCGCGTGAAATCACAGCAGGCAAAACAGGCAGGAAAAGGCCCCCGGTTGCATTGGCACCACGTGACATCCCCGACTCCTCTCTCGCCTCAGCTAAACATTCTCCCCCTCAAGCATCATCCGTGTCGCTTTCTACTTCTCTGGGCTGGATCCGTCTGCCTTGGTGGTGATTCTCGTTGGTTCCGTTGGGGCCAAAGGTGGTACGTGCAATCTTTGTCCGCGCTTGCCGACCTAGGAGGCCCATGTTGACATTGCTATTAGCCGCGCTCTACTGTTGGAGGCTCCTTTGCTCTCTAGTCACCTCGCAATCACTGCTTTTGGCCGCACCATATTCATATATTCGCCTTTGAGCTATTATCGGTCCAAATATCCTCGATGGGTGGAGAGAGTACGGGGCGAGACATCTCACCCTCGTCTTCTCCCGAGTCCGCGGGCAAAGCACCCATGACTTCCCCAAATCAAGCCGAATCGGCTGGTAAGTCTTTGCGCATACTCGTACTGCATCTGACAACCAAAAATCTTCGGTCGCTGACTGCCCTGCTTCGTTTAATACAGGCCTCGAGTCGCCCCCGACCAGCCGGCCACTGATGCAGCTGAGATCCAGGAAGCAAACGCTGGCGCATCCTCCCAGCAAGCTTCTTCCTCAGCTGCACCAGCTTTGAGTCAACCGGAGGCCACCGGGGGCTCCAGTGCCTCGAAGAAAAACCATCTTTCAATCCCAATCCCATCGCGAAGGTCCTCGAAGGCAGAAAATCAACCGACTACCGAGAAGACTCAAGAAGCGGCGCACGAGGCACCCTCTCGGGAGAGGGTCCAAGGTGAGCATGCTGAGGATTGGAAGAGAGCGCAGTCGTGCGAGTAGTCGGCGATCGCGACGGATGCAGGGCGGGGCGAATGCCGAAAAAGCCCAGGAGACAAATACCCCAAGCACAACTGAAATGAATGGCCCCTCAAAGCCGGAGAAAAAGAAGAGCTCCAAGCTTCTCTCCTTCCTGAGCTGCTGCTCTTCGTCTGATGTCGACGGCGACGACTCGGCTTTGCCCCCTAAGAAGACCTCCATGCGACCGCCCGCTTCGAACCAAGTGCCAACACCCGACAAAGCGGAAGCCCATGCTGGTGATTCCAGCACAGCCGAATCCAGGGATCCGACTTATTTGGACGAGAAGGCGCATATGTCGGTGACTGCAGATCAATCTCACCCGCAGGAAGAGGAGCATACTGCTGTCGCTGAGTCGCAGGGTGAAGGAGCGTCTGGAGCCGTTGAATCCTCTGATATTTTACCAGTAAGCTCGAAGGAGCACGAAGGTGCTGACGCGATGGCCAATGGCGTAATTACCGAATCGAAATCGGAAGAAACTCAGCAGACCGATGAGAAGGCTGTGGCCACTGAAGAAACTCCTGCTCCCGAGCCGATTACAGATAAGGCCAAGGCCGTTGAGAGCCAAGATGCCTCACACCAGGAGGACGTCGTGCAGACTCAGAATGTGCTGCCTCCTCCCCGCCGCCGCCAGCTCCCGAGATCGTCAGCGATGCAGGCGAACAGCAATGGCTGCTCCCGCGAGCTTTGCCGCACTTGTCGAACAGGAAATGCCTGGTCCTGGATCTCGATGAAACGCTTGTACACAGTAGCTTCAAGGTAAGTCAACCTCGGTCCATTCGTCTGAAAGTGTCGACTCACTGTCTTTCAGGTTCTTGAGCGTGCCGATTTCACCATCCCAGTCGAGATTGAGGGACAGTATCACAACATTTATGTCATCAAGCGGCCTGGTGTGGATCAGTTCATGAAGAGAGTTGGCGAGCTGTACGAGGTTGTGGTGTTTACCGCATCTGTTTCCAAGGTGAATAGCTCCCGGTCCATTGAGCTTCAACATAACAGACGCTGACCCGTTGACAACAGTACGGTGACCCCTTGCTCGACCAGTTGGATATTCACAACGTTGTCCACCACCGTTTATTCCGGGAGAGCTGCTATAACCACCAGGGAAATTACGTCAAGGTCGGCTACCTGTCACCCGTCCTTTTGCTTTTCAACCCATCTCTAACATTCATTCAGGATCTTTCGCAAGTTGGCCGTGACCTTCGGGAAACCATCATCATTGACAACTCCCCAACTTCCTATATCTTCCACCCTCAACACGCGATACCCATCAGCAGCTGGTTCTCTGACGCACACGACAATGAACTCTTGGACCTCATTCCTGTTCTTGAGGATCTTGCTGGGCCGCAAGTCCAAGATGTCAGCATGGTCTTGGACATCACGCTTTGATTGTCGTGTCCGGATCTTTCTTACGCCTGAGATTTTCCAGATTCCCCAGATTCCCCTTTGAGCGAGTCCTTTCTTTTGTGTTTTTTGGTGCAAGAAAAGCTTCTTCCTTTACAGCATTTCCCCTACGATGGGTATCGTCCTTTGTCTTCATTTCTCTCGTCACTTTGCCTTCTCTGACGCCCCTTTGACCCAGAATGGAACTGGTTCCCTCCTGAGTCCTGGTCCTCTGTTTGCATCTGTCTTCCTTTTGTTCCATCGAATGGCCCCCACTCAGTGTGGCATATTTTTTTTTCTTTCTCTCTGTTTCTTCCAGCCATCGGCATTGTGATCTTACTTATCTGACTGCGCTCCGAGAGAGCCTTGCACCCACCATTTCCTAAATCCCCTTCTTTGCTACGCCCCAACTCCTCCTTGTTGTTCTTGCCCCAGTCCGCATTCTCCAGTGCATTATGCAGGCGTCTGTTGATTATCATGTACCCGCTGTATCCTCCCCCCCCCCCCCACCACCCTGTCCTTTGCCCCCCCCCCTCCCTGTGCTTTGCCTTGCCAGGCCCAAACTCAGTTGACCAGCAAGAGATCGTGCGTTCTTGTTCGCATCAAGTTTCAGTTCCATCGAAGGATACCCGCGTGCAGCGTCCCTAATAAATGTCCTCGACACTGCCGTGGGAATTTGGACCCTCGCTGGATTGATTTCCCCCCATGCAAAATGTACACGAGTTGATCGGCTACGGCACCTCTATGCTGTATATAGTCTTTGAGAAGATGTCTCATCAGGAATGTCACAGTAGCTTGGCGCGTGGATTTTTGTCTCTTGATCTTATCTCGTAGATAGTCGTGATCTGTATTTTGATTGAGTTGAGGCGGCGGAAACCCGCATTGAGCTATCTAGCCCGCATTGGGACATGGATGTAGTAAGATCATGGCCTAGCCTCGTTTACCCCCGGCACCTGATAAGATGACTTGACCTTGCAATTCTCTTTGACACGCTCTAACACAGGTTCAACGAAGCATCTCTCGCAGCTTTACTGAATATTCAGGCATCGCGGGACCTCGGCCACGTTAAAAGCTCCCCGCATCACATTCCACCGCCCGCCACTTGCAAAATACCACCACCCCACGACACGCACCATGAAGAACAAGGAGGGATGGGACGGCAAGCTACGGGTTGAGGCCAAGCAGGCCGTTATCACGAACCCTGAGGCCCTGGAGGACTCCGACTACTCGGACCCGGAGGCGCCGCCTGTGGAAGAGATCGACGCCGACGAGGGTAAGGATTCGCGGGCCTCAGCAGCCTTGTCAGCAAGATGCAGATCGCTGATAAAATGACAGATCTGTTGGAAGATGAGGACCCAGAAACAGAGGTTCATTCCTGCGACACTGTTTGCTTGATCCGGTGGGCTGACATGTGCACTTTTCTAGGAGATCGATCTCATTCACATGCGTATCAAGTCCCTTGCCGCGCTGCGCTTGGAACGGTTCTCTAAACTTCAGGTACATAGTCCGGACAAGACGCGAGCCTTGAGCTAGATCCGCAGAGCCGCTGACGGTCAGATTCTAGAGGTTATGTTTTCGCCAGAACGAAATCTCTCGTATCGAATTTCCATCCAATGTCGCCGCGACGCTAAAAGAACTCGACCTCTACGATAATCTCATTTCGCATATCAAGAACCTTGACGAATTCGATTTGACGACCTTGGATCTCAGCTTCAACAAGATTAAGCATATCAAGAATGTGTCACATCTGAAAAAGTTGACGGATCTGTTCTTCGTGCAGAACAAGATCTCTCGCATCGAAGGGTTAGAGGGATTGACTGAGTTGCGGAATCTGGAGCTTGGAGCCAATCGTATTAGGGTATGATGGGCTCTATGGATATCATTTATACAAGGTGGACTGACGTCGTACAGGAAATCGAGAACCTGGAGACCCTCAAGTCATTGGAGGAACTCTGGCTGGGCAAGAACAAGATCACTGAGATGAAGGCATGTCACTCACTTGAAACTCAGAGCAAAAGACAGAAACAGATCTAACGAATCGATAGAACCTCGATGCCCTATCCAACCTCCGCATCATTTCCATCCAATCGAACCGTCTCACCAAGCTAACGGGCCTCTCCGGCCTGCCCAAGCTGGAGGAACTCTACTTCTCCCACAACGCGGTGACCGATCTCTCCGGCCTTGAAGAGAACACCACTCTGCGCGTCCTTGATTTCTCCAACAACCAAATCTCGCACCTCGAGCATCTATCGACCCTCAGGAACCTGGAAGAGGTGTGGGCATCGAACAACCAGCTATCCAGCTTCGAGGAAGTCGAACGCGAGCTGAAGGATAAGGAGAAGTTGCAAACCGTCTACTTTGAAGGGAACCCACTACAGATGAATGGTCCTGCTGTGTATCGGAATAAGGTCCGGTTGGCATTGCCGCACATCACCCAGATTGACGCAAGTATGTATTGTATTCCCTTGATTGCATTCCCGATCTTCATGCTAACTTCTTTTTCCAGCTTACGTGCGCGTTTAAGACGGATCTATAACGTGAAGATGATTGTAGAGAGATGATGATGACGGTGTTTTCAAATAATCCTGTCATCATTCTCTACTCTGTATGGTGGGAGTATGTTCTATGAGAAACGAAATCGGTCATTTGCACCACACTTTGTAGCCAGGATAACTTATGTGCGAGATATCCTTAATACAAGATAAAGGATTGAAAAAAACAGAACCAGAAAACCAAAAGCAGTGTATTGGTACAAGTAAATTCGGGTATATAGCATAGAGAAACTTCAAAATACTGTACATTCTCGCTCGGGCTCAGAAGCAGAGAAATCTTTGCACACCTCAGACGAAAATCATCCTCTGTCCTTCTTCGTCTCCGTCAAATGCCCAATCCATTCCTCTCCCATCCTCTCAAACCCCTCCTTCATCTTCTCCTCCTCTTCTTTCTCCTTCGCCCACTTCTGCATCTGTTTCGAAACCCTACTCAGCCCCGTCCTCGGTTTCTCTTCCTCGCCCTCCTGCGCCTGTTCCGTTCCCACCTTGACCCCATTCTCCCGCTCTAATCCTTCCTTCCAAAGCCTCATCAAGCTGCGCCCATCATCGAGCATGATCTGCTCCTCTTCTGATCGGAAGTTATTTCGAATCCAATGTTTGCGACTCCTTTGCAAGACATCGGCCAATCCTATCAGTGGCACGCTCCGGTACATGTCCTGAAATATCGCTCCTTTCCGGACATCCGTTCCAATTCCCCATGCCCGCGGAATGGGTTGCGGTTCTGAGATACCCAGTGATTATGTCTGGATTCTTGGATCGTGCAAGTTATCGTTCTCGGTGAGAAGTTGGTGGCCGAGTTCGAGGTTGCGGTTGAGTCTGAGGTCAAGTTCAAGTTCGAGGTTGGCATGGAAGAGTCCGGTGTGATTGTAATGTGAATTGGAGAGGCGGCAATTGCACGATGAGCCGAGTCGCTGGAGTCGAAGATGGCAAGGATGGTTTTGTCTTTGTGCGGGTTTTGATTTTGAATGTTGTACTGCGTTAGATTAGCGGGTGGTCTTTTTCTGCGCGGAGTGTCTTACTTTGCCGTTCTTGAAGGCTGTCACTTCGCCGAATTTCTGCAAAGCTGCTAGAATTTGTCGACTCTCATGAAGATTCTTGGTGCCCGGCGATATGCTGATGTGCACGTGAGAGGCCATGGCCTCGAGGAGCGCCGCTCCGGATTTTGCTGGGGCTGCCATGGTGAGGGTTGGAGATGCGGAGAAGAGAAAGTGTCGATCGACGCGGTCGATGCTTGCCGCGCTCTTGGCATTCGAGCTATATACACTGGCCACTCACGTTTTTTTTTTTGATTTTTTTTTTTGATTTTTGATGTTTCATGCACTACGATTCTATTTCTATTCAAGCTGGTCATGGTACCTGGTAAGTATGTTCATTGATATTTCTTCATTTCGCGCAACTCGTGCGGGTCATATGTTCAAATTCGTCAAAATACGTGAGTTTTCCACAACGAAGCTATGTACTCGAAACCGGCTAGTATCTACCTTTAGAAGATGGGGATAGGGAGGCCATACTAGTGAAAATGTTAGCACTTGAAGCAATGGTCCAGAGACAAGAACAACTTACAGCAATGGGGTCATTGAAGCGCAGACCCTTGTCCAGGGCACTGATAGACTCAAGCTCACTAGCCTCCAAGTCGAAGTCGGTGACCTGCAAGTTCTGCGCCAGACGAGTAGGGTTGTTGCTCTTGGGAATAACAGCAATCTTGCGCTGCGTAGCCCAACGAAGCAGAATCTGTGCCGGGGTACGGTTGTACTTCTCAGCCAGACCCTTGATGACATTGTGCTCAAAGAGAGGAGGAGTGTCCTGTGCATGCTTGAGGTCCAACTCCAGGAAACTCAAAGGTCCGAAGGACGAGTAAGCGGTAATGGCAATACCCTCGCGCTGGGCATAGTCCACCAAGCGGGTCTGGGTGAGGTAGGGGTGGTGCTCGATCTGGAGAGTTGCAGGACGAATACGGGCGTAACGGAGGAGATCCATCAACAGCTGAGCGCTGAAGTTGCTGACACCGATGCTGCGAGCCAGCTTCTGATCCACGAGACTCTCCATGGCGGTCCAGGTCTCTTGGATGGAAGCCTTACCCAACTCAAGCTTGTCCTCGGCGTTGGTCCAGCTGGGCGGGTAGCGCACGCTGGGGTCGACATACTTCAATGAGATGGGGAAATGCACAATGTACAGGTCGAAGTAATCAACGCCCCAGTCAGCCAGCTGCTTACGGCAGATAGGAGCCACGCGCTCGCCGTCGTGGAAGCTGTTCCACAGCTTGGAGACGATGAAAAGGTCCTCGCGCTTCACGATGCCCTCCTTGATGGCACGGGCGACACCCTGGCCGGCCTCTTGCTCGTTGCCATAGTCTGTAATTTCGGTCGTCAGTATGGAAGGCACGCCGGGGGTGGCAAAGATGAGACCAAAGGGGAAGACATACCGCAGGCGCCGTCGAAGAGACGGTAGCCGGCCTTGATGGCCTCGTAGACCTGGTCCGCGCAGGTGTCATTGTTCACCTTCCACAGACCGAAGCCCACGAGGGGCATTTCATAGCCGGAGTTAAGCTTAACGGTAGGAGTAGACATTTTGGTAGAGGAATCGCTATCAGGCTGTCAGTGGTAGTTCAACAGCAACGGGTGGGCAGACTGACCAAGAGGTGTAAATTTGACAGAAAAAACAGGTCCTAGCGGGCTTCCCCAATTCTTTTAAAGACTGGTTCTATCGCATGCCACCTTCCTGTTTCATCATTCCAGGCTAAAGTGCGCGAGGCGTCACCCCTCCACACGAATCTATGGATTTCCGGGGCCCCACCGCGTGTCCGGTTAAAATGGTCGGTCGGCTAAAAGGAAAGATATTTATCCAAGTGTACAAAGTAGATGGATTTAGAATCGACTCGAACATCTAGCTCTCTAGAGACCACACCCCAACTCCCACGCCCCTGCCCTCCATGCTCCGACCATAGGAAAAGATGAATAAAATAGTAAGAAATAAAAAAGAAAAGAAAAAGAAAAAGAAAAAGAAAAAGTCACAGGTATAAAACGAGTACAGGCTTCCAGATAATTATCATTACCAATAAATGTCAAAGTTTTTTGTCAACATCAAACCGAGTCCACCGGCCCATTATCGGCGTAACCCGTGTTTGAATGCTCGGGGCCAGCCCCATGCATGTTAGATCCGTTGGACATGCGCCCAACAATCTTGTCCATCAAATCCTCCTCCGGCGGCATGAGTCCGTCGAAGTGGTGTGGCTGCTGCGACTCGCGCGAGGCAGGCACCTGGTGCTCGGACTGGAAGGGCATATGGTGGTAGCCACCGTTGCCAACATCGCCAGGGATAGAGGTAGAATGGGCACCCCATGATGCCTGGCCATGGCTCAGATCATCGAGGGATTGCGTGCCTGGGAAGAAACCGTTCAACACACTGTTGCTATCATGGATGTTGACGGTGTGCTGTTGCGATGGTACATATTGACTTGAGTCGTGGCCCATGCCGTATCCTAGGTTTGGATGAGCCAGAGGCAAGTCATGCATGTTCATCATCATGGGGCCACTGCTCGAGACGTTGAGGCTGGTGGGCTGCGATGACTCGTTGGGCAGGCTGGAAGAGAAGGAGTCCAGTACGGAGGTGACAGCAGTCTTGTCACCCAGACCATCCTCAGGTTTGGTGATGGAACTCATGAAGTCGAGGTGACTCGACGAATTAAAGATGTTAGCCACGTTGTCGTGGGAAGATTGGTACAGAGGCCATTGAGACTGAGACTGGCCCTGGTGAATTAGGTCTTGGGGTTGAGGCGCCTGGTAGACGTGCTGAGTAGGCTTGTTGAGAAGAATAGAATCAAGAGAGAGCGGGGGCAGATCAACTCCAGAGCTTTGCCGAGGGCTATTAGTGGTAGTGCGGTCCGGGGGTGGGATCAGACGGCGCCATGTGGTAGTGCCAACCTCTCCAGGGCGAGTCTGGCGGAATTTCCAGACGAGAATGGCCATACGCTCACTCTCCTCGCCGTTGTGGCTTTGGAATTGATTCGACATGCGGCGAGAGCTGGGAGCAGCTCGAATCTCCTGTACTGCAGACAAGGAGCGGAAGAAGCGGCGAGTACGCTCATCGGTGGCATGGACTGACTCGGGTTGGCCCGAATCCTCGGCAATGCGCTTATCCTGGGTTAGCTCAGTGAAGAGCTTCGCCCACCAGGAGGATTCGAAGAGAGGCTTGACCTTGGTTGATTGGGGCTTGGGCAGATCATGGTATGTCTCCCAAAGTTCCCGGCCATCTTCGTAAAGGCGAGTGCTGCAGGTCCAGTTGTCCATCTGGTTCACCATGAGGACATCTCCTGCAGTGGGATGACCGAAATCAAGGTCGAGTTGGATACCGAGTCGAGAGCCCGAAGGGGGAAAGTCGGTCATCAATTGCAGGTTAACTTCAAGCATGATGATATCACAATCAAGAGGACCATTGAGATCATCAATAAGAGAAGAGACATGTGGGAAAGAAGTTCGCCATCCACTGACGTTCTCCAGAGGCATAGGGGGCGATGGGTGGTGCAGATCACCTTGCAGCCGCGTGTAGGCATGTAGAGCCTGGTCAATGCGATTGGCCTGCTGAGGCGCACTCACCCACATGTCGAAGCTGAAGCCATGGATGCTCTTCGTGCCGGCCTCCTGCATGTTGGAGCCTAAGGTATAGTGAGGCGGAGGAAGGTCGCCTCCATATGATTGCATTGATAACCTCATGGGATCGTGGTATGAGGGGTGTGCGTGAGCTCCGTAATGGCTAGAGGCAGTGTGATGGTCCATCGAGGATGTCCTCCACTTAGGTCCCGTTGTTGAAGAGTGGCTATTAGATCGCTCTGGGGTGGATTCTCGGACCAGTCGCTCCCCTATACGTCCGTATTAACACATGGATGCGGCCATACTTTCGGTCAACACTCACAGTCGGGATCTCCCTTGAGGAACGAGTCAAGAACCTGGAGATGACTTGACACCTGCTTCCGGGTTCTTCGCTTGCCGGTCAACTTGAAGATGTACTCGGCGATCAGCTCGTTTCGTCCATAAGACTTTCCACGCTCAGACCACTTTCGTCGACCCATGGGAGGGTTGGCTTCAAGAGCTACACTATTTTGTTAGAATCATGTAAAATTTCCACACAAGAAAGAATTTGTATCACTTACCCTGCTGGAAGGCATCTTCCAACTCATCAGACCACACAGGCTCCCCATCCTTGCCCGTGTCACGTCGAGGACGTGCCCGGTATTCCAAGTACTTCTGGGACTTGAGGTAGCTGCGACCCCGTCTGGGGGCTACATTGGGTCCAACAGAATGAAGACGTCTCAGCTTGCGTGCATGAAGCCGAGCAGCCACGGCTTGCTGGTGCATGCTCGCAGCAGGGACATGGTGGGGAATTGATTGGGGATACTTGTAAGCCAACTGCTGGAGATGTTCTTCACGAGTGGGATCGTGTGCCAAGGCATCAGAATAGGACTGGACATTGCCAGATGTATTCTGCAAAACCCGATCAGAATGAGCACCGACAGAATCGAGTGACGGTTGGCTCTGAGGCATGAGGCACTCAGGTTGCCAGTCAGCAGCCATGGGGGACCAAGGACAGGCTTCGGGGTTCTCGAAAAGAATGACAGATTCCAACGATTCAACGAGGAGGGAAGTAGAGAAGCACCGCCGAATGCTTACTGCCTGGCAAAGAACGCAGCACCGTCACAAACGGATACCCAAGAACGCAGAAGACGGAAGAGAATGTCAGAGCCTGGGAAAGAGAATGTGAGAGCGAGTTGGATGGTGTTTATAGGGACTCCATATCTCCCCTGGGAGAGGGATGTTGCCGCAGTAGTAGCATTGCCCAGGTTCGCTCGGCCTGGCACCACGACCCTCGAACGCCATACTCCTACGCAGGTCCCAACCCGCGCCGTGTCCAGTCGTGTGGAGAGCACAAGGACACCCGCTGTCCTTGCCTGCAGCAAATCAGGAGTCCCGAAGGGCACGATAATGAAGCAAAGGTCGCCAGATGCAAGGGATGCTGGGGCAGCACGATCCAGTGATGAGGAGTTCGGAGATTTTGTGCTGCACGAAGTCACCGTCGAGGGCATCCGCTCGGACCAGCGGTAACCCGTGTTGACATCCAGCTGCGAGCGATCAGTGGCAATGTCAGGCTATGAGGAATGTTGGATGTTCAACGACGTCGGTGATTGACGGGTTGACCCGGTCTGGAATGCTCATCATCAGAGAATAAACAAAGCGAACAGAACTAGCACTGGAATGTAGAGCCCAGATCAGCTTTCGGGAAGTGCAAAATAACTCGCGACCCTATCCAAGGTGTAGGTGAGAAATACCCTTAAAAGAGGGTTCAGAAGGAGGATACAAGAATTTAGGGCTAGTGCGGGAAGGGCGCAGGAACACCTGCACCTCGGGAAAATCTCAGCAACTGCAGCCGCAGGAACGTGTTGGGGTATCTCTTTGCTCTGACAAGTACAATAGGAAAAGAAAAAGCAAAAAAGAACAAGTACAGGTACAGGTATATGGCCAAAGTCCACTTTTTTCCCTACGCAAGGGATATCATGACCCAATGATCTTAATCCATCGGTCGCCCTTCTTGCAGGGAGAAAGGAGCCGGATTCTCATGCTTCCTCCTCCTGGCCTCCTACAGTGAATTTCTTCCGCCCTCCGCTCGTGAGCTGTTGGGTTCTGACCCTGTCCACCTGTTCCCCTACCTTCTTTTCTAACCTCGCGAGCTCCTCCTCGGGATCGACGGCCTCCTCGTTTGCGAATTCCAGCACGAGTCGTCGACCCAGAAGATGCGTATTTTTCAACGCGTCCATGGCATTTTCAGCTTCACGAGCACTGATAAAGTCCGCGAAACCGAATCCACGCGCTGTGCGATCGAACTTCTGCGGAACACGGACGGACCGCAGTTGACCGTAGGCCCCGAACAGTGACCGAATGTCCTTCTTGGTAACCTGGAAAGGCAAGTTCTTGATGATGATCTTCGTTCTTCTCGATGCAATTTTCTTGGCGGTATCTTCCCGTCTCCGCTCCTCGGCAGCATCCATGCCCTTATGAGAGGCACGAATCACCAGCTCGTGGCCATCCAACTTGTACCCATTCATAGCAGCTAATGCTGACTGGGCTTGTGCCTTGGTCTTGAACTCTGCAAAGCCGAAGCCCATGCTGAGTGTCTGACCGGGCTTCTTGGGGTCAGGCTTGGTCTTGATGCGGCCCGTAACGAAGCCGTCCAGCGGCTGGAAGACCTCCAAGAACTTCTCGTTGGTAGTTGCGAAGGCTAGGTTTTTGACAAAGAGGGTGGTCGTGAAAGCGCCCTCGTTTTCGTCTGCCGCGAAGGTGTCGGAGGTGGAGAAGCCCTGGTCCTTGCCCTTCGTCTCAAGTGCAACGTCCTTCGGGGCTACATTTGGATCAAATAGGTCCCTGGGAGCTTTTTCCAAAAAGAGAATCGAGTCGCCCATCTTGCGGTAGGCGAGACCCTTAAACGCCTTTTGCGCTTCATCGGGCCTCGCGAACTCGACAATGGCGATGGTGCCACTGGGCGGCATCAACAATCGAATGATCTTGCCATAAGGTTCAAAAAGCTTCCGAAGCTCCTCGCTCTTAACCCCGTAGGAGAAGTTCTTGACCAAAATTGCAGTGTTTCCACGTTCCCGGTGCTTGAAAGCATCGATATTTACTCCGTTGGCAGCGAAGTATGCCTTTGTCTCTTGAATAACATGCGTTTCAGCATGTGCCTGCTTCACAGCGGCGTCAGAAGAAGTGGGATCCAGCAATTCTGATTTAGAAACCCCCAGTCGTTGAGCTACCGATGACATGACGGCATCAGACTAGATGAATATTAGCCTTGACTCGACTTTCCTTCTAGATCAAATCAACTTACGTTCATGTAGAGGGAGTTCCAACTGAACGTGGAAGATGTAGCATTCATTTTCCGCTTAATCTGATTTTGCTTCTTCAATGGAAGCTTCGACAAGTCGTATTCATCTATCTTGTACGTCTTTTTCTCGGAGGCCGGGAGGATGTGCAAGATACGACCTTGAAAGTGCTTGCCATCGAGGTCCTTATAGGCATCAATAGCACCATCCGCATCTGCATACTGCACATAGGCAAAACCCTTGCTTGTCTCAGTGCGAGTATCGAAAGCCACATGAATCTGCATTCCATTAGAATTAGCACACGGTCAAAATAAATATTGTGAGTCAATGTGTAAATGGATTCGGGTTGCTCATTCAGATAAACAAGAAGCATCTACTAAAATCTCTTGACCTGTTCAAATCATCTGCCTTTGGCATAAGATGTCCCTATCAGGAAGATCATCATACGAGCACTCTACCGGATGACCGGTGAGTTGGGTGGGGAAGGGGGGAGGGGGAAGGTGGAAAGATGAGAAAGGGTACTAACCTCTTCGAGTTTTCCATATGGAGCAAAGAGAGGCTGGAGATCATCCTCTTTGATGTCGTAGGCCAAGTTCCTGAGGAACAAACGGGCAGAGGCACGAATCAAATCAATATTTTGATCATTGATCGGTTCCTGCTCTTCCCGATCGGGGATGTCTTCGACTGCATCGTCATCATTAGTTGCGGGCTCGGTCATGACATCCTCGGACCCGATGTTCTCGATTGCCGCAGTGCGGGATTCAATATTGGTCCGACGGGGTGGCTCGACCGGTTCCTCAACCTTATGTGTTTCGAAATCAGCCTGCTCATCCTCATCAAGAAGACCCAAGAGGCGGCTTGTCTTGGACCGGAGCCAGTCAGCATCCGATACCGGACCGGCTTCTTGTTCTTGTGCCTCCTTCTCTTCCTGAGCAGGTGACGCTTCACCATCATCCGCAGCGCTATCCACAGGCATGGGCTGAGGTAGCTCTTTGGCAGCAGGTTCCTGTGTCCGGGCTTTCTTCGGATGTGAAGGTAGCTCCTCAGTTACACTGTTATCCTCACTTGCTTGGTTAATGGCCCGTGAAGGCTGCTCTGACGGCTGGATCATGTCATCATTCGCCCAGGTACGGGTCTTGGAGTTGGCCATCAAAGACATATACTCCTTCAGCTTGGGGTCATCTGCCTTTTTCTCGGCGTCCCTCTTGCGCTTGAGCGCATTGTCAGCAGTCTCCTGTGCATCAAGTCTCCGTGTGGGGTGAGCCTTGTCCGACTTGGAATCAATCTACAAATATACTGGTCAGTCTCAAGACCATCTGAGTGGGTCAGCGGGGGCGCAAATAAAAAGACACAAAAACGATCGAAGCGACAATAAAGCTGTCACGTACCGGTCGAGCAAGATCTACCGAGATCTTGGACATCCTCATGTATGTCCTGTTGAAGTAGCGTGCAGCTTCCTTGGCAACTTCATTGCTTTTGAAGCCAACGAAGCCCATGCGGCGCTTTGGCAACACATGGGCATCCGTGACCTGAAATCGTCCTGCAAAATGACTGCGAAGCTGGTCATTGGAGCAAGATGGCGGAAGGCCACTAACAAACACCCGAGTTGACTCCATTTTGGTGTATTGTGGCTGGAAAAGCCTTGAGGCAAGTTCAGTAGTAGAAAGCTTTGGAGAAAACTTTTTTTTTGCGTCTTGTATGGTCGTAGGCGGTGAGAAGAGCGGCCATGTGGGAATTGTGGGCAGTAAGGACAAAAGCGGTGAAGGCTAGCCTCGACGCGCTCGATTGCCGCGCAGCTTGATTGTTTCAACGAACATCCCTCACGCTGCAAAGGCCGCTGTTTACGAAATTACCGGATCCCTGTGATACTACCTGCCCGCTACAATGGCCACTGAGAAGAAGGACAAGATGGAGGGTAAGACGGCTCATTTCGAGGCTAGTGACTGGTGACTAACCGTTGTGACAGCGCAAATCAAGTCCGTGGACATGGTACGAGACGATGACATTCGCATTTTCTGGTCAGACTCTTACATAGTGATATAGACGGAGGATATGCAGCAAGAGGCCATTGCCCTTGGTAGGAATCCTGGATAACCCCCGCAGATGGGATTGCCACTGATTTCTTAGCGATCGAGGCTATGGAGAAGTACCACATTGAGAAGGTATGTGCAGATTCAATTCCCCCGCAAATATCTGGATCTAGACTGTGACTAATGGTTCGTAGGACATCGCACAGTACATCAAGAAAGAGGTCTGCCTCACCCCGCCCCCTACCTCCTCGAATCTCCTGCTCATAACCACTCTAGTTCGACTCCCGAAAGGGTGCTACCTGGCACTGTGTTGTCGGCCGGAATTTCGGCAGTTTCGTCACTCATGGTCAGTGCAGCAACAGTTCATTCCGATCGAGATCCACCGCTGACCATCTCCGCAGAGACGAAGCACTTCATCTACTTCTACCTCGGCCACTGCGCCATCCTCCTCTTCAAGACCCAGTAAATTGGATGATTGGGATCAAAATAATAAGCTTGGGGGCTTTCAGGGAGACGTCTGGCATTTGCCTTTGACAGCGAAATTTTGTTTGTGCTATGACTTTCTCAGCTGTTTCGCCAGAGCGCTTTCCATACGAGAGAATTACAGCATCCTGTATACAAAATCAAACCAAATACTGATGATACCACACCCAAAATCCCATGTTTTCCAAGGCGTCCAAGATGTCCGACATTGAGTATGATGCAAATACATCTGTTTCGTAGAATGTCACATGGGCCTCACGTGCCGTCCCGCCAAGCAGCCAAGCCACAGCTGCCTTGATCGATCTTAGTGCATCCTTTCCTCCTTGACATCTCATCGACATTATGGCGATCTGTATAACCTTTGGAACTCATGGTAAGTCGCCGCACCTCCAAGTGTTACATATATTGGACCCTGGAGTGGACCCGACGCCTCACCGAGCTGAGGCGTCGCGTGTTTACGATGTGGCTCCATTGCCCCATCTATACCACGGGAGACTGACACGACCGCCAGAGTTCTCGAGCATGCTCGAGGGCTATGAGAATGTCCGTGCTTATTGTTACAACTGTAAGTTGTTCTGCCCTTGATGATTATTGTCTTTCTAGGGATATCCTTCATGTGGACAATACTGACGTATGTCATAGGCCAGCACTGGAACGGCCACTGTGTTACTCGATGGTAAGTGTCTCCAATTTCATCCATGGATAGTCTTTGGCTGACAAGATGAAAAGGCCTTTCTTCACCGTGTGCTTTATCGTAAGTTTTTGTCTATGGTCCCCGGCATTTGATCCTCCTGACTGACGTGCCCTTTTTAGCCTCTGATTCCCCTCTCCACGCACAAGTACAAGGTAGGTACATCTCGTTGATGAGACTGCCTTCTTTTACCTTCTGTCAATTTTGTTGGTGCTTATTTATCCCTCTAACAAACAAAATAGGAGGTTGTATGCTACACCTGCCGCTTCAGTCAAGACCTGCGGTAAGTTGTACTAAAAATAATCCATTACCCAAAATCTGACAACTAAAAGGGACCGGCCTGATATCACGCCGGACACTCGAGCACCGCCAAACATGCAATGGGGACCACAGCCACCTCCCCAGGCGTACGGAGGTTGGCAGCAACAGCAAGACCCTAGCAAACAGCAACCTCCCCAGCAACCCCCCCAGCAACCCCCCCAGCAGCCGCCTCAGCAAGAGTCCATGAACTATAAGTAAATTGCTCTGCAGCATTAACTTTTTTCATCATGGGATTTGTCTTCAAGATCGGGGTGGGTGGCCAGGGATGTAGTTGAGCATGGGTGTTTCGCGCTTTTCGTGAATTCTTCTGTGGCGTAGGTCTATGGTTTCGGTTCAAATATTCCTAGCAAAATGCAAGATACCAGCAATGCCCTTCGTCTCTGCAGCAAGGGAAAAGGGAGCGAATATGTGTGAAAATGTTCATTTCAAACTCATAACAGGGGTATAAAAAGCCACAAACCCACCAAAACCCCTACATTAAAAACCCAATTCAGTAACTGATTCATCTTCCAAGCTCAATAAGTCTCCAAGTCCTTGCCCTTCTCCTCGACCTGCTCCGCAGGCGTCGCCACACCCGAAGGTTGCGAGTCGTACGTTTTCCTCCCCTCGTGAAGCCCAGGTTTCTTACCCATAAGATCAAGACTCATCATACGCACAACCCGAACGATACTCTCGCGACCTTCATAAAGCGGGAAGATCACGACCCCAAATAGAGTACAGAACAGCCACAGGATCCCAACAACAACCCAGCCAGTAAAGAACTTCTTGCTGAAGACGTACGAGGTTCCGTACATCGGGATCGGCCAGAGAATCAACATCGCGAAGGCCATGAAGATAGTCAATGTGCGCGAGTAGAAGGCTGCTTTGTTCAGCTTGCGCATTTCTTCCTCGGATTGTTCTTGTGACGGGCCCGATTCACCGGGGACGAGCTCTAGGTCGATGGACGCAGCGACGGCGACTTCTGTGTCGTCGACTTTGCGAATTGCACGCATGGATTCGTAGTCGTAGTTCTGGGGACCGAAGACGTAGGTGAAGATCGGGACGAAGACGATAGGGCTTAGTAGGGCGGCAACGTTGCCTGCCAGCATGGGGTAGTTGTCTCCGGTGGTAGTCACAGTCAGGATTCCGTATTGTGTCTTGGCTGTGACTAGCCACGCGATCAAGGAGACGGCGAGACCTAGAGGTGGGGATGCGGCGGCGGCGATCCAGTTCTGGCCTTTCCAGAGGAGAGTCATGGCGCCGGGGAAGACGGCGGAAGAGATGATAACGCCCATGAGGAGGTAGAGGTATCCCATTCCGATACCTGCGTAGTAGAGGCCTGTTGCAAAGCCGGCCATGATGATTGAGTAGACAATGCAGGATACATGGGAGATCCAAACGAGTTTCTTGCCTTTGGCAGAGGGCTCGATATAGGCTTGGTAGATGTCGTAAGTGAAGATGGAGGAGACAGCAATGAGTTGGGCGGAGAAAGCGGACGTGACGGCCATGAAGATCATGAGTGTTGTTGCGACGGCTCCACTGTAGCCCAGAAGTTTGACTGCTGCGAAGGGAAGGACGAGACCGGCTGTCACGTCGTCGCTGCTGAGACGCTGGGAACCTTCGAGGGCCAAGGCTGAGATGCCGAGGGTGCTTGCGCAGAGCCAGGGAATGGCGAACCAGCACAGTCCGCCGATAACGTAGCCGGGGAAAGCGTGAATTGGGCTTGCGGCAATGGCTATCTCAATTAGATCCGGGTTGAACTTGCTAGGGCTTTGGCTAATTTACCTTTGTTGTAGTAACCGTTATCAAGGAAGACAGTTCCAAAGTTACCTGAAAACATAGTTAGCAATTGTTCTGTACTTGTTTGAACAAAGTACCAAACTCACCAATCAAGTTTATAACCCAGAAGATGCCACCTTCCTTAGATCGCATAGTCAAATAACTGCCCTCGGCATTACCCTCAACAGGATGAGCCTTTGCAGCCGCCACCAAAGCATCATACACTCTGCCGGGCGAGCCCAGCTCCGCATTGGTAGCGTATGCCGAGAAGGCGAAGAGGAAGATCACGACCAAGATAACCACGGTGTGCAGATAATCGGTAATAAAGGTTGCCTTGATACCTCCAAAGATAGTATACAGCACCACACCAATGGGAAGCAAGAAACAGGCCGCCGGGGTAGATACGCCAGTCAAGGAAGTCATGACAGCCGAGCCACCGGTGAGTAGCATGGCCGTGACGAGAATATTGGTCATGAGGCAGAAGACTATGAAGACGACGTGCACAGTGGTGCCATAGCGGGCGCGGATCACTTCAAGGAAGGTATGGGCGTTGGGTGCGCGGCGCTTCAGCTCAATAGCCAGAGTTGCGAAGAGGAGAATTTGAACCGTTGCACCTGTTCCAGGGATACCCGTTAGTCATATTCTGCGTGTTATACTGGGTGGTCGACTCACCCGAAGCATAGAAGAAGGGCCCCGAAATGCCATATTTGTATGCCACTGCTGAAGACTGAAGCAGTGTCGCTGCCCATGTCCAACTACTCACGACTGCAGCAGCAACCAAACCTGACTTGACCGATCGTCCGGCCGTTGAGAACATTTCAGAGGTCTGAACTTCATTCTGGTATCTAGATTTCACAATGTCAGTTGGCATGTCTGATATAGGGTGGTGGCTTCCATTCACCTCTTCAACGCCCAGGTGATAAAGATCATCAGCAGTGCAAAGGCAAATCCCAGTCCCAGAATAATGCCGTAGCCAAATCCTTGGGATAGAGGCGCCGTAAAGGTAACGGTCCCAGACGACATGACTGGATCGGAACCGGCCAGTTCAGGCGATATGCTTATGTAGTCGAGCCAAAGGATGGGCCAAAGAATCAAATCGATTCAAATCAAGCCCAGAATCCACAATATTTCAACAGGGACTAGAATGAAATGGTAAAAATTGATAGTTCCTAATTCTTAATTGAACAAGAACATGAACATGAACATGAACCACCGGATCCAGCGATCTTTATAAAGACGCACGCATGTGCAGATATCCCCCAGACACAGACCCAAGCTCCGAATTCGCAGGCAACTACCCCGGCAGGAAGTACAATGCTGATCCCCGGGTTTAGATAAGTCGAGTCTGATAAGAACCGGATTCTCGTAATGGCCTCAGGGTTGCGCCGACGGCACTGGGCGACGGCGAACATAGGTAGAATGTTCTCCACCACTCGCAAATCCGAAACCATCAGCCAATCTTGCGCTGAAAATTCAGTCGGATAAAGATGACTGCGTTATCTCTCTAGTCGACAGCCAATCACAGTCCCTGATGCCAAGACCGGAGATAAGGCTTCTGAAGACAGGCCCATTACGTCCAATTCGTGCATCGAGGTGGATCGGGGGAACTAGGAACGAGGGACTGGGGAACTAAGAATTAGGGTGATAAAGATGAAGGGATGAGCATATGCTTACTCGATGCCTGGTGTCATTCGTGATTAGACGGTAGTTCAAGAGCTGCCGCCCCACTAGTTAAGGTATCGGCAGTCAACCTTGGTATGACTGTGCGGATTATGTGTGGATTCACGAGGATAAAGGTTGGCCCGCCAGCCATTGCCCCGAGATCTGTGCCCTAGGGTTAAGCTAGACTCTGCACTTGTGCTCACTGTCGAGGGCTGGGCTCGGTGGTAGGGTCCTTGAACGCTCTACGTAAACGCTATTCCCCATCTGGATTAACACCGAAACGAAGGAGTGAATGATCCAGGTCCGAATGAGGACTTCATTAATGATTTAATGCAATTGACTCTGATATGGTACAGACGCTTCGATGTCCTATTGGCCCCCTCGGTAATCCTGCCTTCTCGCTGCACAGACAGCAAGACAAGGCTGGGACTCAGACCGCGGCCAGAAAACCCGAGACGACAGGACATGACCTATACGGCAGATAGATCTTCGGTGCTCATGCCCAGCACCGCAAAACAGCAAAACAAAACACCACACATGTCGAGAAATCGGGGGACGGTAGTCGATGCTGGTGATCCAGGGGCCACCTTCAATGGAAAGGACAAATGTCACGGGGTATAGGAGAGGAAGGTTGGGTCGAAAGAATTTGCAGTTGAGTTCCCGCAATCTGCGTCGACAGCAGATGGCCGCGCCACCGATTGCGAGAGCGGAGAGTTATTGGCGGAGAGACGCTTATGCGGAGAACTTGCGGGTGATCTTGGCGATGACTATGGCAATAATTAATACCCCAGTCCATTCAAAGTCTGAAATGGAAACGGAAAACATACCGTGCAGACCAACAACCGAGAAGATGAAGCCCAGACTCAGCACCAGAACAACGACGGGGTCAACACGGAGACCGGGGCTCTCATCGGTGTAGAGCTTCAGCATGGTACCGGAGGAACCACCGGCACCAGCAGAGCGGGTGGAGCTCGGGCGGGCATTGCGCAGAGTCTCCTTGTGGTCGGCAGCAGCACGGCGGCGCATGGCAGCGCGAGGTCCACCAGGGGGAGTGGGCGAGGAGGGACGGCTGACGGAGGAGCCAGAGGCGGCAGCAGCGGCACCAACACCCTTAGAATCAGCGCCGGATTCGGCGCCCGAGGTGAGAGGAGAAGCGGGACGGGGGGAAGCCTGGAGATGGAGAGTCAGATGAATGTTGAATTTCGTGAAAGGAGGTGCAGTGGTGGGAAATGCGAGAATCTGTGGGATCACTGGGGTGTCGTGAAAAGATCAATTGGGCTGGAGTCAAGCTTACCATTGTATTTGAATGCAGATAAAAGATTGCAAGAGAAAAGGAAAGGAGAGGGAGTGGAAGAAAGTTCGGGGAAGGAGAAATTGCGGAGGAGATGTAGTTGAGGCCACGATCGCGGTTTCCCGTTTGGTTACAGGGTGCGGTAAGTATACCGTAAATCGGTCACTCACGAATCTGTTTAGATGGAAATTACAGTAATACCATACCGTTACATTGATCCACCAATCAGGGACATGTGACCAGTAGCTTCTATAAGAATTTGGAGTTGGGCTCAAGTAATGAGAGAAAAGAACAATGACCAAAGATTTTACTTGCAAATTCCCTACTACATCTCAAAAGTTGGACAGAGCCCCGAAAGATCCCAAACATATCTCGAGGGGAAACCAACCCCGTGACGTTTAGCCACCCACAAGCTCAGTACCAAGATTGAGTCCTCGGTGAAAGACTCCGGTAGATATTCAGGATATAGAGTATTTCAATGATTAAATTTCAAAAGGGCTTTGAGATCTGCGTCGTGGGATCTTAGAGCCGATTTTAGTAGGGCTCCGATGTGAATCCCACCCCGGGCACCAGCAGTTGGCCTTGCTCAGGATTCTCTTCACAGGAAGATTGGACTTCAATCTAGTGGTCGTCATGACCAAACCAACCATCGAGAAAAGCCTACTTCATTGAAGGCATATGGGAAAATTGAGGGCATACGTATGACTAAGTCATAATGTTGGATCATACTATTCTCCACTTTTTGAAGACTTCTATCTCCGCCATCCTTACCCACTGCCCGACTACGGAGATTGGAATTGAGATCATATATTGAGCATTTGAATTTCTTAAAATACAGAACAAATTCAAGGTCATTGGGAAATGCCGAAGGGCACTGCACTGTCATAAATGACATGGGGATGGGAACACCCCGGGAATCATATCCAGATAAAACGCCACCGGTGCTCTCGTGAAGGATATGTAAAGGCCAAAGGAAAGTAAAATCACAGAAGTTTTCGGACCCACAGCGAGGAAAGTCGTGTTGAGGGGAGGAAAATTTGCAGCTTCAACGCAGGTAATGTATCGTGTCGAAGGACCATAAGATGACACGCAGATGACAGGCTTATATAAACAGTGTGCAAGGACGAAAATCACAAGGGGGAAGAGAATGCAAGACCGCTTCATGTCCAATGGCGGGAGATCACGCTATGAAATACAATGCGCTTTTGATCTCTCGAGATCAGTCGATCATCATCCGAGACGGGACCTGGCCGGCGATATTGGAGGAGAGCTCGGTTGTTTTCTCCTCGGTGGGCCCCCTCTTCTTGTTGATGTGCGGCTTCAGGCCACAGTTGAAGTTGTTTGCGCACATGCATGCGTTGACGATGGTGATCACAATCAGGACAAGGGTGATGATGGCGAAGAAGGTCATCGAGGGCCGAGCGGGCAAATAGAAAGGCGAGGTAAGCGGGTCGTACATGCGGTACAGCTTGAAGCAGAAGTAGGCCATAGCGGCGAAGAACAGCAGAATGATGACGATCATGCCAAAGGTGCTTTCCCGTCGAACGAACCAGGCACCGCAGGCCAGGACAAGAATGGTCACGGGGACAGCGACGATGGTGAGATAGAATTCAGCATCATGCTTATCCGAAGAGACAACGGTCAGGAACTGTACAGTGAATCCGAGGAAGAAGAAGAAATCGAACTTCAGCAGAGCGATGAAAATCTAGTAAAAGCATGTCAGATGGTAAACCGGAAGACGTGCTGGATGAAGAAGACCTACCTGATAGGTCAGATAGCGGCGCTTCATACGCAAGTCCGCACTGATGTGTTTGTAGATTGTCCAGGCGAACTCGTCGTACAATTTCCACGCAACCAGAGTCATCAGAACGCTTCCAAGCCCCACAATGCACGGAATGATGATCAAGAAGGGCTCCGATTCCGCCCAGACCAACGGGCTGATTTTATTATTGTCGGACAAGATGGAGACGGCATTTCGGATCTGCTTCACTTGAACAGCGCCGTAAATTAGAAGTCCGACATTGCACAGACAGAGACCAATAATCTGAATGGTGTTTTTCATGCGAAGGGCATCGTAAACAAGAACTAGCTCGTAGAGGAAACCGAAACTGTAAAGGGCGAGGAAGGTGGGAATTGTTCTTGACGAGGGACTGTCGTTTTCCTCTTCCTGGATCTGAAAGTTTGCAAAGATGTAACTGAAAGAGCAAAGTCGTTAGCTGAACAGATTTAGGCGACCCCGGGCATGAAAACATACCATTCCAGGCCGAGCGTCACTAATGTTTGCACGAGCGTGACGATGGTAAAAGCCCACGTCCACGTGGTATTAGGCATGTAAATCCTGCTTGGGGCTTTGACCGGCGCGATATTTGCATATCCTTCTCGGGCGCGAAATCCTCTAGGATCTGGGCGAAACGAGGGATCGAAAGAGCCTCCTCCAAAGAAGGAGGCGCGCGACCCGTGGGAAGGAATTTTGCTGAAGTGGTGGCCCGAGGCGGAGCTCGGGTCCGCAGGGATCTTAGGGAAAGTCACACTGGCGGTATTGCCCACCTGGCGGTGGTGTCCCTTTATTTATTGGGGGCAGAGGAGAGTCAGTTGTCCGGGGGGGGGTGTTGTTGCAGGGCTCGTCCCTGATACGTGGGCGAGTCAAAACAACGGGGAGGCTCGTGTGCCCGGTGGGCTTGGGGGGGCTTGTTGGACCGGGGACAGGGATCGTAGTGATTAGGGGGGCCGTAATTTGGACTCGGCGGAGTCGTAACATCAGACTGCAGAGCACAGCTCGATCCAGTCGATGTGAACGAGGGACGTAAAGAAAAGAATCGATTGCCAAGAGTCAAAGTGGCCTGAGAATGGGAGACGTCGAGGGGTGAGCGTGGTGGAGAGGAACGTCTTGGTGCTCCGAAACGAGGGAGAGCACACGAACGAGCGAGGAGATGGTAGGATGAAAAAGAGAGGAAAAGTCCAGAGGCCAGACTCAACGGCGAACGGGTAAGGGGCGGATCCGGGGAACACAATTCTTCGGAACATGCCAACAGAGGGCGGGTCGCACACTCTTACACACTAACTCCTACGACTCTGGCCTGCTCGAAATTCTAGACAGACTTCGTCTCCCCTGAGAGGTGGCTAGTGTGGGGCGAGGCCCGTCGACTCACAAAGGTTACGATGTCTCTATTATGCACTTTGTCTTCTCCCGACGCCTTGAACTAATGAATCCATCATGGCCTCTAAGACTTCGACCGTGTGGTTTCAAGAAATCACGCTCAAAAAGGGTCCAAGATGCATTGGTGGTGGCTGGACTCTGGAATGCTAGGAGCGTGGCTGCGGCTGAGGATTAGGCCTCGGCCCTAGGCCCCATGTACATCCCTTACTGTAATCTGTGACTCGATTGTGATCGACCCTGATCGATGATCTAATAGATGCTCTAGATCCTAGGCCCTGATCTAGTCCCTCATTGCTATCGAGTGTAGCGGCCTTCGCATATGAGACCCAAACCGGTGTAGAAGTGCATATGCAGGGATCAGTCCCAGGCTGCATATGATGCCCTGCGCGGCAAATGTCCAGCTCCAACCTAGGATAATTTTTTACGTTAGTATTAACTCCCCGAGAACAAACGTCAGGGTCAACGCGTACCTGATTCCCCCACCCAAAGACTAATGAACCACGGGTTGATAAATGCCGATGACTGGTTCAGGCTAGCCCACAGGCCCTGTCTAGAACACTCGTGTGGAACTCACGTTGATCACCACCCTGTAAAACATGATCACGTCCATGGCAAATTCGGGATAATTGTCGACGATATACGTGGAAAGTACTGTGTTTCCGACCTGTGTGCCTGCGGCATCTGATCTAGTGTTATTGGACGACCTGCGAACTTCGCCCCCGATCGGCACTTACATAGGAAGAAAGCGACTTGGCCCATCATCCAGTGCCATTTTTCATCGATCGAAATCTCCCAAAGCACAAGACCCACCAATGACACTACAGCCGCCGGATACCCGAGCCTGAGTCTCATCTCTGAAATGCGTTGAGAGTCGTTTCTGTGAGCTTATCGAGTGACGAGCCAAATCACTGAGAGGTCCGGTGCAGAACACCTCAGCGAACACGAGACCTACGAGGAGACCGATAAAGAGGAGGCCCTGCACCTGAATGCTGCGGGTCTCGTACGCCAGTGGCTTTATCGTCATGATCGAACAGATCCTATTGGGTCAGATGGGTTGTCGATGCGGTCTGGACTGTCACTCACCAGCAGTATTGGAAGAAGACATAGTAGCAAACACTGATGGAGATTGTCGGATAATTCCACCATTTGCAGAACTCTAGGACTGCATCCCAGTGCTTGGGATGTCTAACTCCTGGGATTGATCGGAAGTGCTGCCGTCGCCAGAGAAGCCGATCATTCGACAGAGTGCCAATTCTTACCAGATAACTCAGGTGTTCCGTCAGTTTGACATCAATGAGAGCTTCATGCATCGTGTCCTTGGCACATCCTATCCTTGTAAGCCTGCTTCGTGCTGCGATATCACTGCACGTGGATAATGAGTCTCTGGGAGAAAGACACATTTGCAGACAAGCAAGATCCCAAAGAGGATAGTAACGTGATAGCTAACCAGTACTGGGAAACAGAAGCCAAAAAAGCCACTCACTGTCAAGAGTCAGTATACTTTGTTGATCCGGGTTCTCTTCTCTCATACGTACCCACGGCTCGAACTGTTCCGATATTCGCAGACATTGCCAACAGACCCACGCGGAAGCCCCTCTCGTGCTCGAAAGACAAATCATTGATGACCGTGAGCCCGATGTTGGCAGACAGACCGGCACCCGATCTCTGAAAAAAGCGTGCAGCCATGTACCCCAATAGGGAGTTTCCATGAAGCGATGTTTACTCGCTCGCCACGCCCGCAACAGCGATACTGGCAATCAACACGATACGACGTCCATAAGTCTCAGCCAAGGACGAAGTAATGAGCGGACCGATAGCGAGGCCAAGACATGGTACTGCAAAGGACCAATTGATTTTGTATACGTCATGTCGAATGGGTCTTCGAGTTCAGTAAAGGACGGGACTGGCGCGGTGGTGAATTAGGTGAGTAGGCAGTAGGCACAGCATGCAGTCACAACTCAGGTTTATTTTTCAACGAGGTTCTAATTGAGAGGATCCAGGGTATCTTCCGTCACGGCTGAGTAAAGAAGATTCCCAGATGGACTGAGTCGAATTCGTTCGGTTTGACCAGCCTCGACCTTCGCCAGCGACTCTTCAGTCTCGGGAAATTTGCTGAGTGACATGATAGTTGCGTATGTAGAACATAATCATAGCAGACAAAATATAAGTCATTGAACAGGCGAAATACTTCTGAGTCAACTGACTATAAGCTTCTGTCATCATCCTGCTTGTCTCTACAGTGCCGTACTTTCCGCGCCAGAGCTTGTGACGGCAGCCCTGATGAGATGACCGTGCTGACGAACAGGGCCTCTGAGGATTATACTGTTGACACTAGTCGCCGTCATCTCCTCTGGCTTCCTATTTCGTGAAAGCGCTAATCGTTATCGGCAGCCTCAAGCCTGTCACCGCGTGTCCGCTTGCCTTCCCCGCACCCCCCATCGCCTGCGACAATATCGCTAGCACTGGCGGATCGGCGGTTTGTCTTTCGGGACCGAAATTCTACACCAGGATTATCTAATGGCAATCGGGAATTAATCTGGACCGTCGTATAAACGATTAAATCTTGAAAAGCCCCGGGGGCTCCGTGGATCAAGATAACAGTCGAACTCAACATCCTGCTCAGTCAGACGAAACCGGTTCATCACGCAACCATGCTGTCACTTTGGGTTGGACTTATTCTTTTTTTTGGATATTTCGTCGGCCAGGGACTTTCATCTCCTTTGTCGAAGATACCTGGTCTGTGGTATACACGGTTCACAAGTTTTTGGCTCAAGTACCAAGAATTCACGGCTAGTCGACGAGAATCCATCCATGCTCTTCATAAGAGATACGGACCCGTTGTCCGTCTTGCTCCAAATGAAGTGTCGTTTACAAGCCTTGATGCTATGAAGGAGATATATGCCTCTGGGGGCAGTGGCTACGATAAGACTGAGTTCTATTCTCTTTTCAAGCAGTTCAAGACAAAGTGAGTTCCTTAGCAGATGAAAGATCCTATAAATGCTGACATTATATAGGACTATGTTCTCTACGCTGCGTAAGGACGAAGTGAGTCGATCTCCTGATGTTCGTATCAGATTTTGTCTGACAATTTTCACAGCATAGCAAGAGAAAGCGCATCTTTGCAGAGAGATACGCCATGACCAATGTCATGAAAGCAAAGCCCCTCGCCGCTATCACTGAACGTGCCAGGGCCTTTGTCAGCCAGTGCACAGAAGTCGGCAATAAAAGTGTCGATGTTTATGTGCTCCTACACTGCTACGCTCTAGACTGTGTCACCCACTTTATGTTTAGTCCCGGCGGATTGAAATCCCTGGACATTCAGAAAGACTTTGACATTATGCAAGAGCTCACTTATCATCAAAGTCTACAGAGTGAGTTCCTCAACTAGCACCGTTTAAAGAAGGCCGGATCTGAAGAACCCTAGAAAACCTCCTGGAGTACTACCTCCCAACACTGGCCCCATACTTCCCCTCCTTCCTCTATCCACGACCATCCCCTCTTACCAACGAATACGTCCAAGATATGGTCTCCCAGCCCAACGTCGAAGACTTTACCCTAGTGGAGAAACTAAATCGTAAAGAATCAAACCTCGAGCTCATCCAAGCCGCGGCAGAATGCAAAGACCACATGGCCGCAGGGATCGACACAACCGGCGACGGCCTCTGCTTCCTCATGTGGGAGCTTTCCCAGCCTCAAAACCTTGGTTTCCAAACTAAACTCCGCCACGAACTGATTACTGCTCCGGCAGATGCCCCTTTGGATAGCCTGGTCTACCTCGACGCTGTCATCAAAGAAGCACTTCGTATCTCGCCGCCTATCCCGATGTCATTACCTCGTTATGTTCCCGATGGCGGAAGAATGATCGATGCATATTTTATGCCTGCGCATACAATTGTCAGTTGTCAGCCTTACACAATGCATCGGTATCATGAGGATGTCTTCCCGGACCCGGATCGGTTCTTTCCTGATAGGTGGGTTGAGGAGAAGGGTGATGCGGAGCGGAATAGGTATTTCTTCTCTTTCGCTGTTGGTGGTCGAGGATGTACGGGCAAGAAGTAAGTTTCAACGAAACGCTTGATCTGAACAGACTGCTAATTTCAATGTTCGTAGCCTTGCGATGGTGGAGATGAAGACTTTGTTAAGGGAGGTGTATTCGCGCTTTCAGACTGCTGTTGCGCCGGACATGCATGCGTCTATGGAAATCGATGATCAAATTATTTCGTCAAGGCCGAAGGGGCAGACATGCAAGTTGATTTTTACTCCTGTTTAGATGGATTTCCGGGGGAGAATTCTGTGGAATTGAGGGTACATCGGGGCAGCGAATTGCAATCTCCCGATTGAATGTCTCGTTTAAATGAAATGTGGGATAATCTCCAAGTCATAACGTCGTAGGGAATCTGCAAAGATGAAAAGCGCTCGAAATAGCTGCTCGAGCCGATGTGCGGGGCGTGAGGGGAACCCGATAAGAGCACGACTCGCGACAAGCTTGATAGGCGCATTCATCTCCTCCAACTACCCGATTCGTATTCATCACAGCCTCTTACCTCTCGTACTCGGAATTTTGGAGTCAATCTATTCGCACCGATTCATTCGTGAAAAATTAACATCGCCCTCGTTTGCTTCCAACTGTCTCCCTTCAAGCCCCAAAGACCAATATCCAAGTATGGCCAATCCAGACCTAACTGCCCTCACCACCTGCCGTCTCTCCACGCGCCTCTCGATACAATGGCTCCCAGAGCCCGCTGGCGAAGAAACTACCGACACGCTCGTCATGTCCGTGAACGGCTGGTACTTAGATCTACGCATGAAGAAAACGGGAGGAATGGACTGGGCAATCGCAGGGCAACGGATTGTCGAGAGCCAAGATCCAGGTTTGTGGTAGAACACGCGATCTCCCTCACTGGTACTAAATAATTCTACAGTCAAAGTATCGTTCACACATGAACTCGACTCTCACGATGCCTTTGAAAGTGTGGACTGTGGAACGTTCGAGCCTCTCTCGCCGGGCGTCGATAAGGAGACAGGGTCTATGGCTAATTATGATCTCCCTGGGGCTCCTGAGATGGAATATGTCGAGATCTGGAAGGAGCTTTCTTTTCGAGAGGGTCCTGAGGGGGCGTTGAAGGGTATTTCGTGGGTGCTGGAATCAGACAATGAGGTTACTGAAGAAGAAGGAGAGGTTCTGGTGACCAAGACTTTTTTGGGTCGGATTTGGGGGACATACTTGGCTTTGCAGCAGACTCAACTTCATAAGCGCCGGAAAGATACGTCTGGCAATTGGATTGTGAGTAAGTCTGGATACGATGTCAGTGCTAGGAGGGAAGAGTGGGCTTCCGGGTGGAGTGCGAAGGTTGTTCATGGAGAAACAGGGGAGTCATTGCCATCAATGGCTGAGATTGAAGGCCTAGAGAATGGACGTTGGAGGGTTCCAGGGGAGAAGGTGACCTTGAAGGGCAAGACGTACATTGTTCGAGCATTTGAAGAAATTCAGTAACAGGGTCAAGAGTCGACGAACAGTTTTACTTGAGAGTTCATTGAACTTATCAATCCTGTCTCATGAATTCTATCAAAACAATAATGAGCAATAAAAACAGCCAATGACTGTTCCTGTCAACTTCGAGAATGAAGTAAATCCCACTAGCCAAGCGGCAGAATAATCCGACTAGCACCACCGAAAGCGGTGAGCCCCACAGCCTCATATTTCTTCGACTCACTATCTTTTCTTTCCTTCCTCAAGCGTCACCCCTGCCAATGCTGCGTTTCTTTGCTACACACGACAGAAGGTTCGCCTCTGTCCTCGCCTGGTACATCCAGCGTGAGATTTGCAAATGAGAAATTCGGAGGAATCTTCAACTACCCAACCCGCTCCCCTCTTCTTTCGAGAAGTGCGGAGCCGGTGCTGCCCGTGAGGGCCTGGTGTGATATTCACAACTGCACTTGGCATCAGAAACATCGGGGGACTCGGCTTGCCGATACCCCATGGGAGAGTCGGTGCGGAGATTGTGTGTGAGAACACTTTAGTGCAATACGCAGCATACTTGGGCCTTCTCTTTCCTTCGGGACAAGGGGGGGCCTCGGTATCATTCAATTCCGATCATTCTGGTGGGGGGTGACGCTTCACTTCTTTTTTTTTCAGGTCAGTTTTTGTTTACCTTCCCCTCTGACGGCTGCTTTGTGCGGCGGGTGGGTCTGAAAAGTATTGTTTTTTTTTTGGCGACTCTGCTGATTTGTGGGGTTGTGGCCATGTCCCCGAGGTCCTTCTAGGTTCTTTCTGGACTTGGTGTGGAGGTGATTGTGTCGGCTTGGAATCTTTGGATTGATGGTCTTGTGGACGACTGGGAGCTGATATATGTCTTTGGCATTTGAAATGATATGATATATTATCTCAGTCAATGTGGATTATCATGAGATGCTTAATTCCAGCTTGACCCAATACTACATGCTTCTTTTCTGGCAATGCTTTTACTCGTAATGCAACACAAATCTAGCACAACCGGTGATCCATCAGATGCAACAGAAAAACATGATATTGCCGTCCCTTCTATTTTAGGGACATGTAGTAAAAAATAATAAAAAATTCATTGCCTCCGTCAGCTTCTCGCCATTATCATAGGGGCTTCGTTTTGCATGAATTTAGCAGTCTACTCCTCGTCACCGATCTGCAAATGGCATTAGCATGGTCCGACAAGATTACAAGAATATGACATACCTTGGGGGCGAGGTAGAACCGCAGGTGACCGCTTCCAAGACCGTACTCGACAAGCAGAGGCACCTCCTGGGACAAGTGCAGCTTTACGGAGCTGGACAGGTTGGAGGCCTTGCAGAAGTTGACGAGGTACTTGAGGGAGAAGGTCAGGGCGACGGGTTCGGAGAGGGAGATGGAGACGTTCTGGTCGGGCTTGTCGACGTTGGTGTGCTGGCGGATGGTGACGGAGCCGTTACCAATGTCACCGGAGCAGGAGAACTTGACACCCTCCTTGCTGGCCTCGATGACGACTAACGATCCAATTAGACATAGTCTCAGGGCTTGCGGCGCAAATAACCTACCAGACTCGGACAGAGCGTTCAAATCTCTGCAGATACGCTGGAACTCCATCGCGGGCATCTCGACAGTGGCGGCGTATTCAGTCTCGGGGATGGCCAGGTGCTCCTGATCAATATCCATGAGCTTGAGGTCGTACTCGCTGAGACGATCAGTCTCGGCGCTCTCGAACATCAAGTTGACGGCATCGGGCGAGTCCTCGGCCTTCAGGGTCAGAATATCTTCATTTTGGGCGGCACGCAGGACCTTGGTCAGGGAGACCAGGTTGATGCCGAGAGCAATGTTGCGGTCGCAACGGTAAGGCGAAAAACCCTCTGCACGGAGCAGCATGGAGACCAGGGCAACGTGTGAGTTATCCATGGCCTGGAGCGCAATACCAGAGTCATTGCAGTCGAAATTGCAGTCCTGAACCAGATCCTTGATGGCGTCAACGACCTAGAGATTCCCACTTGAGTTAATGAAGCGCGGGAGGGATTGCGGTGCCGGGTTCACATACGCGCTTCAACAGACTAGCCTGCTCGAGACGTGCTTCCAACACTGTCGATGGGTTAGTCGGGATTTTGCACCACGGTCGGGTTGGGTAAGGACGTACTGATGACGAGGGGTAGATTAGTGGGATATGAGAAAGAAGAAAATGAGCACAAAGAAGGCGTGAAATTGACGTAAAATTGAGAATGTAGAGGGGGAGAAGGGCGTAGGTATTATGGAAGTGGTATTGACGAAGGTAGAAAGGTTGGCGGTCTGATTATAACGTGAAATCGCGTCCGTCTTAGCGGGGGAAACGCGCAGCGCGTTTGACGATATGTCCTAATTGGGCCTAGTCTGGTGCCTGCACAATAAGGTGTCGCGATGTCCGGCCTGAGCTAAGACTTCTGGCTAGGTACATTATTGGGGTTGCATTTGAATAAGAAGAAACGGCGTACTATACAAAATGGTGCGGAAAAGGAAAGGCTTCAAGTCCAGCCAAAGAGAGCAGTGAAAAGAGGTTCAACCTCTGTGCCAATAAATTATACAAACGAAAGAGATGTGCAATGAATGAGAAATAAGAAAGAGCCCGATAAACGCCGTATTCGCCAGATCCGTCTATAGACATCAGGGTATCGTATCAATGTTTGTGCCTTCCAATGCATACGTGGAGCATTTGCTGGCAATGATGGGAGGAGGAACGAAAGGGATCGCGCGACTAGTCCAGCCGCTTAGATGCTGGTCACTCGTTTGGAGTGCGTCGTGCGAGGTCGCTGCTTGATGACCATCTCCAGTTCTTTGAGCATGTTCGTATTGGCATCCACTTTCTCGCGAACAGTGGCCTGTCTCACCCTTTCCTCTCGAACGCGCGCCAAACGTTCATCTCTGGTAAGGGATGCTCTTTTGTTCCGGGATGCAGGAAGGACGACCGCCTCGAAGATTTCCTCGTCATCAAAGCAATGCGTCAAGTCGGGGCGAGAGTCACCATTCAGGGCTTTGAGGGCATCTGTGGGGCTGCCCTCGACTGCTGTAGTGCCTCCCAGACTAGGGGTTGGCGACAACGGCAGGACAGTACTGGTGGGCCGCGAGCGGTCCAATGCACTTAGTCGGTCTTGGTTATTCACAATTGCGGCTCTTCCAGCTTCCCACTCTTGCAGAAGAGACTGAATGTCGCCACCAATCGAGTCGTATTGTGAAAGTAGAGCTGCCTCGAATGCACCGCTGTCCAGTCGGTCCATATTGGCGTTTGTCTCCTCACTGACTATGTGCATTTTGGCATGCAAGGAACGCACTCCTTGGAATAGGGAATTGAGCCGGCGAAATTGTGCACGCATACTCTCCTTGCTTGGGGAAGCAGTGGGCAGCGGAGAAGGCGGAATGGCATCCCCTGTGAAAACAAGATCAGTCACTGTTTTGGCAGCAAACAAGCGCAGATACTCACGGTCTTCCTCATCCAGGATTTTGGTCATTTTAGTCATGCTCGCTCCAGTGACTGCAGCAAGCTCGCGCATCTCCTCTACAGCGGAGCTCCATCGAGCGATATCCGAGGCGCCTCCGTCGGCACTCAGTGCCAGCAGACAGGATAGGACGCTTTTCCTAACAGTATAGAGTTTCCCGAACAAATCTCGTAGTGAACGCAAGGAGTACTGGTCTTCCAAAGACCGATTCGCCAAGGTCAACTCAATCGCTTCGAGATCTTCAAGTCCAATATCGTAAATGTCATAGTACTTAGCGAGGTTTCCTTCATCTGTGAGGGGGCGTAGCGTATTTTGGGATTGAATATAGCGCTCAAGCATCGACCAGAAACATTCCGATACGGCTCGGCGGAGTCTCAGACAGCGTCTGGTCTGGACCTGGTCCTCGAGTCTACTAATCGGCGGCAAAGGTGTACTTCTGTTAGGCAATCTTAGCTCATGTACTCTCCTCGATAATAGTGGTGGCGTCTCACATCCGATAGCCTCTAGAAACCAGTTCCACTTCTTGAATGAAGACCACCGAAGCGGACGCAGCGGAGTCAAATCCTTGGGCATTTCCAACAAATGCGCCAGCAGCTTCCACAGCCTGATGCCGCAAGTATTTCAGCCATTGTCTTTTTGCGAAAGCATAGAAGAGAGCACCCAGCACCGGGACAAGGACCAGGAGCACTCCGATTCTGCGTGGGTTGAGACCCGATCCTGATTTAGACCGACCCCAGTGTAGCAAGAAGGCGATCGAAAAGGAGGTGGCAGTAGTAACGACGGCACCGTGTAGACCGAACGTCGTAGAGAGAGAAGGAAGGTCTGCGGGTTGGGAAGCGGAGGCAACGTCTGCGGCGGAGGTGTAGGAGGGGGCACTGTGCTCGTTCAACAGCTGCGAGGCGACAATAACGTATCCAAATTGTTCCAAGAATCTTTCATTGTCACCACGTCCGATGCGCGCATTTAGAGCGGACTAAAATGATTCTAACGGTCAGAATGTGGCTCATCAACAATGGTCACGGGGACAATTACCGAGCAGGCACCATACAGCTTCTCAACGGCCTTTCCGTGTCGCGTAGTTGTCAGATCCAAAGGCTTCGGTAGCTTATTGCGTACGCGCTCCTGGAACTTGGAGGCTCCCCGCGGAGCAAAGTCGGTTGACCGGGGGTCAGCTTCATCCTCACTGTGCATCTCCTGGACAAGCCAGTTGTCCTCATTTCCCCTTCCCCTAAGACCACGACACGTGAGTATATGACTTGGCTGTGTTTCTTGAGCGACGTACCTTGAAGGTAGTCGGCAAGTGGTGAATTCTCATATACGAGGGATTCCATGGCCGAAAATCATTCCGGAGAGAGTCGAGAAATGGAGGTGACGAAATGTGAAATGGGGGGAGCGTGTGGCAAGGATGGAACAGGGTTAGGCAAGGCGCGCGCCTATGGACATATCGCAAAGAGACCAAGTACTCTTGAGTCGTGGTACCCGTGATTATGGTGATTATGAATTGTCTAAGAGTGACCCGGCCACGTTGAGCGTCCGGGGAAAGGAGAGGTCACGGGAGTTTAATTTAGGGCAGAAGACCCACTCGCCTCCTTTTTATGACATCGGAATTCACCTAGTCCGCCATTGAATCGTGGAACTGCCAGCTATGATTGGTGTATGCAAGTAACAATTCCTGAGATCTGCTAGGAGCAGATTATGATCATCCGGGCTAAAGAGTGCAGAGAGGTCTAAGGCGCATCGATGTACATGAACAGGGATGATAGGAGTCAGGTACCTGCGGCGGTGCAGCCCGCAGCCCGCTAATAAGCGATGAATAAGGGTCAGAGTACCTTTGGCGATGGCTGTGCTCCGAAGACCCGACGAGATAAGCAAAGAAATGTTATGCATCCTTGTTTCTATTTCGGGAAGGCGCGCTGTTCATTAATCACGTGATATGATCTCTTCCTGATTAGGTAAGTATAGTTGCCCCGGACGACCGCGTGTCAACAGGCCCAGTACACTTTCGTTGACGCGCGGGGGATGCGCGTGGCCCGTCGATGAAGTGGGCGTGTCTTGCACTCTTAGATTAATCCTCTCATTTTTGACTCCCACACCCCGCGCATTTGAGATATCCTTTACCAACGACCTCACCGCTTCTTTGAGTTCAACAACTGCAAGGGTCAACTCTACTGACGGCGCAACCACGAACCTCCATTTCAAACATATCCATTCGACACATCTATGCCCGCATAGTTCCCCAATACTACAATTCAGCCAGCTTGACGGCATGTCTGGAATTTTTAACGAAGCTGTCACACCCTGTCCGTCCAGAGCGAGATCCTCGGGCTTTGGTGCAAACAGTGGTAGCGAGTGGAACAGCTTGCTGGATGGAGACTTGAGCTACGAGCCCACCGGACAGGTCGAATATACCACCGAAAATGGTACCCCCACTCTTACTGGAGTACGACCTCGACGCGCCAATCGATCTGGCTCTACTTTTCGAATCCTCGAAGATGTGGGGAAGAAGCCAGCTGCTCCTGCCGATATTCGAAGAAAACCAAATACGGTGACCAGGTTGTCTTCAGATCGAAAACCATCCTTACTTGCTCAGCCGGCCCAGCGATTCCGCCCGAAAGGCAACTCTGCCTGAGTCCACCATCACGACTTGTGGAACAAGAAAGCGAGTTACGGCCGAAGCCTCGACTCGGAACGAAGGCCGTCGAGAAGACCTCGCATATCCCACGCTCAGGCGAGAGAGGTCTACGCCAAACTGGGAAAGAAGAAGAACTCAAGAAAAACCTGCGGCGTAATACTGTGTACATCCCGCCGGATGATACCACCGTAGCTAGTGTTTTCATGGGACTGTTCAGCCCACTGAAGAAGCTTCAGGGAGAGGAGATGCCACATATTTGGGAGGATACACAAGTCAACACTCTGGAAGCACGGATTGCAAAGCGCCAAGCGAGGAAATCCCTTGCAGCATCCGCTCGCAAGGCTGTTCTGCAGCCGAGTGTGAGAATCGCACAAGAAGCCGCCACAAGGGCCGATGTTGCCGGTCCAAACGGTGGCAAAGAGAATATTCCCCCTGGCTTTTTCGTGGACATTGAAAAGAAGAGCATCGAGAATTCTCGTTCGCCACCGAAACCCAAGCGGGTCGGCACAGTGTCGACTGCTCAGCCTGTTCGTCGTGGCACTGCAACTGAAGCACTCGCTTCAAAGACTGCAGAGCCTGCTGCGTTATCACCAAAGAAAAATCAGGCAAAGCGTGGAGTGCTGGGAGAAAAGCAGCACAATGCGAGATCCCAGCGATCTCTCGTCATGCCCGAAAAAAGCGTCTTTAGAAGACCAAAAGCCCCATTCGGAACCTCGGCATCCCTCAATGCTAGGGCATCTGCCCTGTCGGATCGTCTTGGGCAGTCAACAAATCGCTCGTCGAGAAGTGGAAACATATCGAGGTTGAAGCAGTTGAACCAAAACTACCCCATGCTCACCGACAACATCTCGAAACCCGCGCTTTATGAAGAGAATTGGCTATCGCATCAGGAAAGTGTGATCGCGCAGCTGGTCAATGCCTTGTTCGAGTGCACCGATGGTGACTCGACAAACTATGATCCGAGCGCTCTCCGCCTTGAGAGTTGCTTGAACTCTATCAAACCGATTACTTCACTCAGCTTTACACACGACTGCAAGCGTCATTGTCTTGTGGAAATTTAAGCATTCCCAAAGACGTCTTTGCCCGCAACAGTCGTCTTAGGTACGATCTGGGTCTTCGACGCGATTACCTTGACATTTGGGTGCAATCGTATGATCTCCGTGCTTTGACAGCAGCTCTGGAGACTGTTGTTGGTCGAAATATCACAAGTGACGCTAATTTGTTTGAGGCTGGTACAGAAACTGCCCCAGAGGCCAGTGCAAAACGCTACAATACGATTGTTCGTAAAGTGGAAGGCTTTCTTGAAACATTTCTGCTGCGCAATGACGACTTGGAATTGCCTGTGCCTGGGACCAAGAGCATTCCAGAAGAGGTGCAGGCAAAAGCCTATCGTCGAACAGTGCTCCGGAGTATTGTCTTGGTTGTTCTCATGGACAGGGGAAGACAGAGCCCCAAGAACAGTCTACCACGTCGCCTTTTTGTGGCGTCTTCACCTCTCAAGTCTTCAGTTGAAGTACTTCAGTCATTGGCACGTGTGCTGCTTCCTTCCTGCGGGGTTATCATGAAGTCATTGAGCCAACTTGGCTGCCAACTGTCTTACAAGCAGCATCGACTCCAGGAGTACAACTATCAAATAGACAATATCGCTGTGGACTTGAGAGATGGTATACGGCTGACCCGCATGGTCGAGGTGCTCTTCTTCATGTCAGAACGTGCGCAGCCTGATGTTGAAGATCAGACGGTAGTCAACTTGTCTACTGGAGAGGCCCTTTCGCTATTGGGTAACGAAAAAGACCTCCCCCTCTCCAAGCACTTGAAATATCCTTGCATCAGCCGTGCCACTAAGCTCTACAACGTACAAATTGCGCTCTCTGCATTGAGCTCTGTGCCAGGATCGGGTACGATTTTTCAAGGCCTGCGGGCCGAAGACATCGTAGACGGTTATCGCGAGAAGACCGTCGCACTTCTTTGGGCTCTCGTGAGCAAATGGGGCCTGGCTGGTCTGGTTGATTGGGACGATGTCAGAAACGAGATTGCTCGACTGAAACAAAAGCGTCTGTCCCAGCTAGGCCCCGGGAATATCCAAGATGAGCCTCAATACATCGACGACAGCGTTGATGATGATGAACATGCCCGTCTACTTCAGCAGTGGGCTTCGATATTGGCTACTCTGAATGGCCTTTCTATCAGTAACTTGACAACCAGTTTTGCGGATGGAAAGATATATGAGAGCATTGTTGATGAGTATGAACCTTACGCCACTGGCAACCAGGAAAGTCAGGAAAAAACCACGCAGCCTAGTCGATCGTTGGAAGTCCGCCTGCGACTGCTCGGATGCAGCCCTCAGTTTGGTAAGTACCCGTCACCCGCCTCCAGAGAAAATACTAATCAATCATGAGCAGCTTATCTCGTCTCCCCTGATAAAACATCTTCACACATCCTCGACCGCGAGTTCACCCTTGGTGCACTCGCCTTCCTTTGTTCTCGATTACTCTCGGCATCAAAGCGTGCCCGAGCAGCCACGGTGCTACAGCGCGCTTGGCGAGCCCGTCTTGCAACTCAAAACAGCTTGCGTCGCACTGTGGCCAAAAGCCTTGCCGAGCACTGTGCAGCCGTTGTTCAGACACGGGACGAAATCCTATGGGCGAAAGGTGTGATAACACGTTATTGGAGACTGCATAAGGCTCGTCAGCAACAGAAATGTGTGCGAACATCCAGTCTTCGCAATTTCAATCCACCCCGCGTGAACACCGCTGTTCGTCGCTTTTGAAACACGTCCTACTCTACATCGGCCCCTGCCGTCTCAGGGATCTCCTATCACTGGCACATCCGTGAAATCATGACGATAATGAAAGCGTGTCGTTCTTTGGTTTTCTATCACCGTCTCCTACTGTTCTGGAGTATCTGTATGATCGAGCGTTGAAGCGATTCGGCACAACTCCCAATCCATTCACACCCTCATTTCCCGTGCATTTTTATGATATCCATACAAACCTGATATTTCTGCTATGAGACTACCGAAGCCGTACACTCGAAATGAGATTCCGCGACAGGAAAGCATGTTTGTTGATTCTTCAAGCCTCAGCAAGTGAAATTTATTTACAGCAATTTATATCCAACAAGACCTCCGCGTACGATATCCGCTTACCAGCGGCCACCACCCTGCTACATATCACTTGTTAGCAATGTTTCCATAATTATTGGCTTCTTGTTGTACTTACAGGACCACCGGGGCCACCAGGACCACCACCATGGGGACCGCCGTGTTGAACGCCATGTTGACCAGGGCCTCCGGGACCGCCCTGGGGGCCACCATGTCCGCCGTGTCCGCCGTGAGGACCTCCTTCATGAGGGCCACCAAAGCCTCCAGGGCCTCCGGGTCCTCCAGGACCGCCGGGACTGCCGGGACCACCGTGGTGAGGGCCGCCGCCAGGGAGACCGCCCTGAGGACCGCCAAATCCGCCCTGACCAGGACCGCCCGGTCCGCCCTGGGAGCCAGGGCCGCCTTGAGGGTGCTCGTGGTGATGATTGTTGTGATGATGGAAGAGACCCATTGTGAATGTGTGTAAAGTGTGTGTAAGCCTGAAGATGAAAGTCTTCCAAATTGTAGGAAGTGGAACACCGGAGAACAGCGAAGCTTGGAGCTCTTTAAATACCTGATTCCCCAATTCTAAGAATAACTTGAGTCATCATCGAGGTCAAGCTCTCGCGTAGCCACTCCGAGATGATCATTGTGGCTGGGTCTCCTCTTCGAGGCGTCTTCCTTAGTTGCGTAGTCAATTGAATCGGTACAGCTGAGATTGTGCCAAGGAACCATTGAATGCCAAGTCCAGTTCGAGCTCAGGTTATTGAGCGGTTGCCTAGATCCAGTTAAACTATTGTCCATACTCCGGGACTAGTCAAGCCGCGTCATCTTTTCGGTCGATGATTTTAGCTATCCGGACGTAGGTTGATCACTCTATACAAACATCTTGTCTTCCACATACCCACGATCTATACCACCACCACTTGACGATGATGTAAAGTCGGAATCGTCAAAACGGATAAGTAAGTCGATCGTGTCGGACCATTGGCGTCATTCGTCTTGAAAGTCCACGCAAGCAAAGGCCAAGCGGCAAAACGTGAGCCCTACCCGCTGCCCAGTATCACGGAGGCTCCACTCCGCATAGAACGTGGCGCAGAATTACGCGTTCCAGGGGCACTCAAATAGCAAACGTCCATACTCGAAATTGAATTCTGGACCCAAGATCGGGGAGGTATAGATGGCCTCGAGAAATTATTTATCTCAGACTGTTTCGGAGCAGCCGGTACGAATATCCCTCCACTCTTGGCGTTTGATGGAACGAGGTAGATTTGAAAGCTCATCGGTGTCATAGGGAGCTCCTGAGTCGATGGTTACCGATGGTGTTCATTTACGGGGTGGTGGCGAGGGTGGCATTTGCTGTGGAATGTGAGGATTCTACGAATGATGCTGGGTCATGATCTAAGATATGCTGACTGTGTTCATTAGCTGCGCTGGACTTTGCTGCTTTGAATGCTGCGAGTTCTGCTGTGGGGATTGCTGCGGCGACGATGGTCCCCCTGGTGGTCCTCCCGGTCCTCCTGGTGGAGGGCCTCCTGGCTGGTGAGGAGTACACCCGGCCACTGCGCTCTAGTGTACGATTATTAGCTAAGGAATTTTTTTTATATATTCTTCAAATAGACAATATTTTTCGAAGCAAATTGTTTCTTGTATCCAGGGAATGATGTTCTTGAATAAGTTATACGCCGGTCTATGTGGGAGGCTGTGGATGGAGACTCACTTTCCAGGGCTTGCCTTCTTCGTGTCCTAAATGGCTGTGGTCGATAGAGACAACAGGCTCATCATTTTTCTTAATCGTCAGGAGCCTAGTCCCCTAACCATCTTTTTGGAATTTGCCCATTCTCCTAGGGTGCTTTACATTGCTAGGAAGCTAATAATGGTGACGAAGCTCCAAATTCACTTCATAGTAACTGACGCTCTATAGTAGACAATATAGTCGTCAGAGCGTGCGCTGTGGCCTGACCGAGAAGATAATCTGAGCAGACCTGACCACTTGTTACCTTATTTCCTGGTTGTTCTCGTTCGAATCATCTTTCTGAGGGCTCTTCCTAGACCTCTTGTTCCATTATCAGGTTATCGTTTGAATCACTCAAATACTCACAAAATAGGCTATGATAATCTACTGGAAACTATTCTATGATGTTTTTCAGTCTGGCTACACCATTGTCCATCTGGTTACTTGACCGAAATGAGGTTTCTGATATAAGCGAGCGGAACCATGGACAGTGACACACGAGATCAGCTGGCGCACCGAGTCTGAGCTCAGGGATATCCGAGGCTCAGTCAAATCCAGACACAGTGGCGAAAAAAAAAAAGAAAAAAGAGCTTAGAAGAGAAATGCTTCCGTCTGAGCTCCTCGCAGCCGAGCTGCACGGCCCATGAGTAACTGGAATGTGCAGAAGCTTATCGCAACGGATCTACATGAGCTTAAACAAGTGCAGAATGTGAATGTGAATGTCTCAAGCCATGACGCATGACGGATGTGGCTTTGTGCGAGCACCTAGATGCGTCTATGGAGCGGGGAAGAGAATGAGAATCTCATGTTTGCCACGATCTATCACAAAGCAGCCGTCGTCCGGTACAGTCATCCAAGGTCGTCATCGTAAATTGTATACTTGCCGAGTATTCTCCAGAACGGGGAGCGATAGGCTCTGGGGTAAACCCAAACACGGGAAGGATCATCGTACCGTACATGGTGATGGATCTCAGTTTGACCTCAGTTCTTCATTCCTCTCAGGACTGACACCATGCCCGGGGCTCCTTGGAGATCCCAGGGATGTAATACCTGCAGGAGGCGCAAGGTCAAGGTGCGCACACCCATGATCGCCGCGGCTCGGCGCTGCTAACCCGCTTCATCCGCAGTGCGACGGGGAACGACCCCACTGCGCGCGATGTCTACGAGGTGGCCATCGCTGTGACGGTTACGATCGATCTCGGAAGTTCGTCCATGCCTTCTCAGCACCCAAGAACACTGTCCAGGACCTTCCGGTGGCCAAGCGACCACCCCATGAGCACGAAGCAAGCTTTTCGGCGATCAACGTCAACACGCAAATCCGATCCCAGCTGTTTTCCTTATTCATCGACTCATACATTCCATCGCGGCCCGTGGGCCATATCAACTTCCGATGTCAGCAGACTTCAAATCTGATCGAGGTCTTCCCGACCGTCATGAATGGCAAGAATAGCCAGTTACTCGACCGGGCCATATCAGCACTTGCGGCGGTCTTTGTGGGCAATAAGATCGACGATGAACAGTTGGTTCGTCATGGCGTTGGGCTATATAATAACGCCATTCAAGTATTTGCTCGTCTCATACCACGATCTGGACTCCCGGTTCAAGAGGTTCTGTGTGCGAATGTCGTCTTCCAATTATATGAGGTGAGTCGTTCCTGATATTGGAATCCCATGGACCTATCTAAAACCCATCTAGCTGATCAACTGTACATCCGGATTTTCTGGATGGACAGCGCATATGGAAGGTGCTAACGCTGTGCTCGCTCGACACCAACAATTCCTGGAAAGAGACAAATTATCCCTAATGTTACTTCGCCAGCTGAAACTATCAAATGTGAGCCCCCAAGTCACGCTTCCCCTGTCGTGGAACCAGAACTCATTCAAACAGATATTCCATGCAATAGGAAAATCCAAATCCGCCCTCGCATTCTGTCCGATGTGGCGGTTTTTATCCCCGAAGGACTCGGATGACCCCATCGACGAAATCATCGACATCCTCATGGCATGCACCAGTCTACTCGAGCAAGAAGATGAATTGCAATCTATATATGACGCCGATCAATTAACCCAGCAATGCTGGGATCTTAATACGCAAACCTTGGCATGGAACGACAAGCTCGAAGTAATCCATGGAAGACCGCTCTACACCAGAGTTCCGGACGAGACCAAAGTCACTCGAACTCAATCCAGCAGAAATATCTTACCTGAGAGATATCATTTCATCAACCTTGAAGTCGCAGAATCTCACATGCTCTGTTGGACTGCAATGCTCATAATGTACTCTCTTTTCCATCGACTGGAGATGTATAAAAAGCATCTTTCTCCGGGATACACGTCCGACGAAGATGCAGAATCGTTCCTCAAAGGAGCACAGTACTACGCTACGCAGATCTGCCTAGGCGTGGGCTACTTCCTCCAGCCCCACATGCACATCCTTGGCGGGCATAACTTGCTCTTCCCGGTGAGCATGGCATCTCAGTTCTTCCTGATTAACGAACTGCATGGCCAGTACCAGTGGTGCCAGGAGGTCTTTGTTGCACTCGAGGCCGATGGCCTTGGGCTCGCTAGTGTATTGCTGGGGACGCCCTGGTCCAGGTATAAAGAAAGTAGTCCGCCTGTGATTGCGATTGACACCGAAGCTGCGGCTGAAGATTTGGTGTGCGATACTTGACGTGCTGTATTAATTTTTTTCTTCTTCGTTGTGTATAAATACATTCCGTGCACATTCTCAGGGAAAAGTTTCTTTACTTTCTTCCAATACATATACCCCATCTGGCACGCCCATTTGACCAGATGTGACATGCTTCGCTGTGCATTTTGTCTATCACCATCATCGTCTAGTGCCCTGAAACAACCATTCCATCTTGTCTTGCAAGATTCCTTGGAGAGCTTCCATGACCGAAGCCTATTACCTCTGTTCATCGAGACGGCACAGGTCTTGTAGATGCAAATATCAATCTCGATCATCAGTTGAAATGGCAACGAACAACTTCTCAGATAGCATCCAGCGGCGAATTTCTCGCCTCTGTATGGGCCGAATGCACAGTACGAACTATAGTATGAATTTGATTTCCAAGCCCAAGCGTATTTAATACATTGCTAGGTACTCTGAACCAGTAGTGCATTCAAGATGAAATTGAAGTCCACTGGAGTCGATTAACCACGAAAATACCTGGTGAATGACCACAAGGCAGAGTGCATACGTCTTCACGAGATGAAAATATAGACACGCCCTGTAACCCTTGCTTTCCAGCGGAGAACACTCCAGGCTCCTGTTTTGAATTTAGTGGGAGGTCGTTCAAAGCTGTATCCTCAGCTTTAATTGAGTCTTCATTTCTCGTGGCAATCCCGTGTGAGGATTAGAAATGGTACACGGGAAAGAAGGCTTTGCTCTGCACATCTTTTCTCGTTGATCAGCCAGGTTTACCTATCCAGCAGAGCAGCGAAGAAGCACAATTCGTTTTTGGATCCACAGATGTGATTTAGTGTAACATATGTTCTGACTCCATTGATATGGTGCTTTCCATTTGAGTATCCAAAGTCGCCTGCCCCTTTTCGACCCTCGGAGTCACCGACGATACCTTTTGAATGAACATATACACTCTAGCCCTAATTTACACCATTTACCTAGACAACGGCCCTGACGTGACATCACGAACGATGGTAGGGTTTTTTTCTTCAATATTGACATCCTTGCATAGACCGCACAGTAGTGATAACCGGTCGCAATCCTACACTCCAGACCGCTTGAACGTCCGACCGCGCCATAAATGACTCTCCAATGATTCTTGATAACAAGGTGCGATGGCGATCCGTCGCCTCGGGGTCTCTGATTCACTATGATCATTCGTCCAGGTGTACGGGGACAGACCGGGTACTGCGGGACAAATTAGGAAGTCAAGGACCCTTTCAGGGGGGTTGAGATGATCTTCGCATGGTCACTGTTTTTCGGAGGAAATCCGCGATGTTACTCCCTAGTACTGTAGGATAACAATATCACGGTGAAAGTGTACATTTAGCCACTTGGGTTAACATAGAGGGGTGTTTTGATTATCATCTTCCAGGATGTAAATGCAAACACAGTGGCAATGTTTCAGCCCCCCCCCCGTTATACAGTACTCTCATGATATCACAGCGTCCAACCACTTCTATTATTATTTCTGACGTCCAAGCCACCCATGTATGTAGTGAAGATCAGCTCCACCGTGGGATGACAAAACACCCCAGCCCCATGGGTCCTGGCTTTTACCATGACGGCATGAGACGACGCTGAGAGCCTCAGCTGAGAGAGCGCGCTGACGGGCGCAGATGACTACTCTCGAAATGTACCAGGAACCGCGTTGCGAGTTGCGAGTTGCGAGTTGCGCATTCACATTTGGTCGTGCGGGGATTCGGGACATTCATTGGTGAGTATACTGATCGTGGCCTAGTGATGGGGACTTGGATCTGAGCGCTTGACCCAACTATATTTGGATGTGTTGGTCGGGGCACTTTGCACTTTGCACTTTGTTCCCTTTGGGGGGTTTCCCCCCCTATGATAGCGGTATTGTGTGTATTGCGCTACTTCGTAATAGGGGTACTGGGTTTTAATCAGCAAGTTCGTGTGGGATTTACCATGCAGCAAAGCCGCTAGGCTTGTTTCGTGGTGGTGGCTTAGGTTTCCCCAGGAGCCTTATTGGGTGCTGGGTTCCTGTGGATTCTGGTCAGATTGCTCCATTTGTATACAATGTACTCCGTCTGTAGGCAGATTCATTTCTACTCTGCGCGTTATTGGGTCAAGGTGTGATTGGAGTTTAGGTTGGGCGTTCTCGAGTTGGGCTGTCGGCTGTGGGTCAGAGGCTGTAGGCTGAAGAAGGGGCGCAGCGTCGACCGCCCTAGGTCTACTGTACTGCGTAGAGATGCTCGAAATACACGATGCGACGACAACAAACTCCTAGATCGGACCGATTCGAACCAAACCAAACCTAGCAGCCAATGCTATCCAAGCCTGTAGCCGGTCGATCCCTCGAGCGCTTTTAGCGTAGGCACTGCCACTGCCACTGCAAGGCTCGATTGCATTGGTTGCACGGCGCGACGACTTGGCAAAACAATAGATCAATGGAGTCCCCCATAAATACGTGCCAAGACACCATCTTGATGCCCTGGGGGTAGCGTGATCGCCCATGATCGCCCTTGGCACAGTTCATTTGCAATTGAACTGGCTTAATGCCTTATGTGACGATAGGGACTTGGCGCCGAGCCCATCAGCCCCTGGGTCTTGAATTCAAGCCAAGAGCTTGAAGAAAGGGGGATGAATCTGGAATCTGGTGGAGTCTGGACTCTAAGTCTGAGTCTGGGAGTCAGGTGGTCGGATACACTCCGGGGAGAGTGGAATTTCTCCAGATAATGGTCATTGACAGCTTCGGCTTCTAATGAGAGGGACACCGGTCGCATTCTGAAGATCAGCCGAGCCTCTTGGCAGTCCGAAATACCAAAGGTTGTCGCCAAGCATCACGGCGGAATGAGCTGGACCCGTGTCGCCCGGAAACTGGCCCTCCCTGGGTTCTCATCTGCCCTCGCCGGTGTTGCATGGAGGGGGTTGATGACCCGAGGAAAGTCTTGGCGAGAGAGAGGATCTGGATCTGAGTTCGCTAGTGGTCTCGAATGATCGATTTCCATCACTGCCTATGGGATGGTAGTATCTGCTGGAGATAATGGTGAGTGTCTGATCTAGATACGGAGGGCACCGTTGATCAGCTCGGTCGTCTAGAAAACCGAGTAATACCGGGGGTTCCGTCTGGAGTCAGTACGGAGTACACGGCACGGCGTATTGTATTAGTATTGCCATTCAGCCTTGGCCTTGATGCATTGAACAGGGAATTCGAAACATGAAACGCTTCCTGCTGTTGCGGCATTGGAAAAAAAAGGTAGGTGGCTTGCCTGAGCCAGGGTTCTCGTGTGTGTGTGTGCGAGTCTCACTGCAACGTTGACGGTAGACACTGCAGTGTCCAATGCTGGAAATTGGATTTCCAATTTCGTATCGTGCGGAGTATAGCAAACGGGAGTACTTGTCATTGATTCAACCATGGAATCCCCCAGAAAGCCGAAACCCTACCCTTAAGGTACGGTTTCCAATTGATGGCTCAATTAGACCATGCCAAGCGAGACAGTCGCTGTCAATGTGAAGCGTTGCAGCTTAACTGTTTCTGGCGTCCATCGCAGACAAGTGGAGAGGGCCGATAAAATGCCTCATACAAGTGACTCTGAATCCGGGCGCTAATGCGCACCACACGGCAGCTCTTGAACCCAAGTCTTCCCGCGTTTCTACCTTTGCATATGCTGGCGCTCCACTTCCCCGGTTGATGTTCCGGTCAGCTTTTTGAGTCCAATCTAGTGCATCTTGTGTGTGCTCGTGCCAGCTGCTGGCCCCCCTACAGTTCTTCATGTGTGGATCCTACCGGATAATATCTGGTGCCAGCGCAGCGCTTAAAAAAATTCGGGGCTGTTCTCTTGTGGGATTGGAAATGTACTCGGGGAGATGAGGGGGACTTCTTGGCCTATTCCACAATCCCAACCCGATCGTGTCGCCAGATTGGGTGTCCCGTTGTGGAGACCGTGCCATGTTGCTATTTTTCGAATTTTCTTTGCGCCCCGAGAATGACCAGGGACACGCAATTACTGCAAGTCGCGTACTTTTTGCACTGTAGTCAAAGGAAGTACCCAGTCGATCGCGGGGTCCCTGGTCCATAGAGGAACAGGCTTCCCCTCTGGAGACGTGAACCCCTGCAAAAGTCTCTCAGAATTGTCGGGATCCTTTGGCAACAAACTTCGCGCTCGAGGACGGCAACCTCTGACCGGTTCGTAGGCAAATGAAGGGGACCACTGGGCGTTTCCCAACAGAACTGGGGCCATGCCTGCTCGCGCAGATGGAGTGTGGGGTGATCGGGGATTCACGAAGCTTGTCGCGATGTGGGAGCTAGGGCTGCACCGAGCGCAATTCGAGGATTGCATGATTGCTGCTCCCCAGTACTTGAGAACTTAGTACTTGATACTCGGTACTTGCCACTTGGGTACCTCTTCAGGCCTCGGATACTCTCCGTTATATACTATGTACACGGTACCCGACACTTCTCACTGGGTCCGATCCCGGGGCGTATTCGGATCGCGGCTGACCGCTTCTCTGCATTCATTTTTCTCACGGCTCTCAGCAGAGGCGATTGGTGCCCGTTGAGGTCATTCAATTCAGGGAACTGCCCAAGTGCCAAATGCCGTCGTGGTGGAGTCGGCAGGTTAGTCACCTGTTTCACTGCAGTACAGCATGGTAAGCCAATTTTTTCTGGCCCACGCGACTACGATGTACTTTGCGATGTACTTCGCCCTGGGAGTGATGACAGATCATTGGCAAGATAAAGATGCCGGGCATCATGAGGCTTGGCACCACGCCGAACGTTACTGTCTTTCGGCTTGGCATACCCGATTGAGGAGCATGGAGCTGCATGGGGGATCTGTGCTGGGTCTAACTCGTCGTATACCAAGACCGATCTACCGGGCAGCTGAGCCAAAGAACATCCCGGGGGGGGTTGTGATGTGTCTACCAAAATACTATCCACCCGGAGAGGCCCGAAAGAGTAATACGTCAGAGCCTGAGAGGTATTCGCATCAGGAGCAAGGGAAGAACCATTGACTACCAAGCATTCCAGTATGCAGCCGACCACAGCATCCGAAACATGAGGAGAACCCCGATGATCAAGGAAGCGCGCACAGCGCGAGCGATTACGAGGGATGACTATGACTAGGTTCGAGTTTTTAGGGCCCCTGCCATGATGGTCTTAGTGTGACCGTAGTGAGTTTAGTCTGATCGGTCGGCGTGGGACTAGGGTTCCAACCAAAGAGGGTTCAGGTACAGGAACAGGCCGCTTTAGGACCCCGTTACCCTCTGTAACGCCTATCACCACGGCAAGGGGGAGGTCATATCGTCAGATTACCGTACCGTGACAATACCCAGCCTCGTGGCCCTGCAATCATCCATTCTGCCGGGGATTGGAATGCAGACAAAGCCAGATGGAGAATTCTTGGGATGATTATAGCGGCATGCTTGATATGATATAGCATCTATTGCCGACCGCATCTACATGAACGACAAAAGTGACAATCGATCGTTGTGCAGGGAAGTAATAAGACGGGTCGACCTGAAAGGGTTTAGCGGACACAAAATGCCTCATAGCTAGTCAACTCGACACACAATGGTCATCACTCCCGTTTTCGTCCACATAGATGTTCTCTTACTCTACGTCAGTACAATACGGATAAATTTATGGATACTCTGGACAAATGAATGACTGTCCAGTTTCATCAAAGGTCTCCGAATTACTCTAAAAAAGAAAAAAAAAAGGAATAAGATCAAAAATACAATAAATCAAGAACCGGTCTCTAGTTCTCTCGAGGCGCAGGAACCACATCGTACTGTAAGCTGCAGGTGGGTCCTTGGAACAAGCGTGGAAGCAGGTTGTGGCGAGGGAAAATGCAAAAAATGAAATTTTGAATGCAGGGAAAAAAAATAAAATCAAATAATTCCCCCAAGCCCCCGAAGGAAAAAGGGAAATTGGCTAAACCCAAAACAGCGGTGCCGTCTTCCCGCGTATCGTCACTCACGCCTTTCGCTCTTTCCCCCCCTCGTGAAGCGGGTTTATACTGTGATCTTCCTCTTCATCCTTTCTCCCCTCCATATTTTCCTCATGATTTGAACATTCCTTTTCCTTTTTCCTGTTGACTCTCTCCACTCTCAACAGCACAGACTTCTTGGCGCTAAGCCTAGAGGTATTCTACGTGCAGACCCTCCGCCATTTTCAATAACTATTCCTCTTGGCGACTCCCTCTCGCCATTCTTCTTTTTTGGTCTGCCCCCTAGTCATGCGCTTTATATCATGACAAGCGTCCTTAACGGGACTGTGTTATGCCCTCTGGGTCGATCCTGATCGATTTTCGAGAGTTGCGAAGTATACTTGACTTTCGCCACTTTTGATCTTTTCCAACCTCTTTGTTGGGAAACATGGCACAATCCCATGGTGGAGATCGAACTTTCTCGTTTCAAAACCTTTTGAAGATGTTGCTCTCGTCGAACTCCTCCACCCGCCTGGCGCATGACGATGCTGAGGTCGCGGAGGACTTGGATGAACCCCCGGATCAGCATAAACTACACGCCACCTCGATACATACCGAAGACACCATCACCTTCTCCCGACCTCTCATCGACCGCAAAGAATCCTTGCTCACACGCGCCCTCAAGAGCAGTCCCGAAATGTCCCCTACCGAACCTCAATCCGCCCTCCACGATTCCATATACAACTCCCGCTCCTACCCCCATAGTAACATCAGTGGCATTTCCACAGCCGAGTTGACAAGTGATGGAGGCATGACCAGTCCGTCCATTGCCAACTCACCGAGCCCTCCCCTTCCCCCTCAGATGATGGGCAAGGCGCCCGCATCTATGACTGGAAAGAGAGATACGACGCCCAAGGTCAAGGTTGCAGACTCCAACGAGACCTCGGTGGAAGCCAACCTCGGACGCAAGCGCTGTATCAGCTTCGCCTGTCGCCCCAAGGCCGATTCGACCATTCAACCCGTTGCGCCACCAGCTCGCCAGCCGAGCCCTTCAACTGTCAAGGTTTCCCCTGAGCCCCCCAAACGCAAGTCGACCCTCACATTCGCCTGTCCTGGACGCCAGGCCGCGTCTTCGATTCAGAGAGAACGCTCCCCGGCCCACAAAGCTGCTTTTCGACCCAAATGCCGTGGCTCGCCTGCCCCCGTTGCTCGCAAGTCATCCTCTGATGCCGGAAGCTTCAAGCAAAAGGACGTGAAGGATGTGACGGAGATCACTGCGATCACTGCTATTACCGCGATCACCGTTCCCAAGGGTGTCCCTACCAGTGGTCTGGGCAAGTTTGAGGAATCAGAGGCCACTCGGTTCCACGAATTTGCTAGCTCCGTTGATGAGGACGACGAGTGGGTGACCAAGTCAACCGAGTATTCTCAAAAGATTACTTTGAACGACTGCATGAAAAAGGAGAACGCCATTCGACGACTTGGTGAAGAGGCCGAGCAGGAAGCTCAGGAGGAAGAGGATGAGGAGGACGATATCGAAGATTTGGCCGACGATGACTCGACCGTCCACGACTTTTCCTCGGATGATGGCAACGAGTCTGATAATGAGGCCGGTTTCGCAGACTCTGATGCGAGTGACGATGATGGCTCCGACTACGAGTTCTGGGCTCCTGCGATCACTGTGCCAGAGACCAGTGTTCCCTCCATCGACATCTTCTCGCCGGTTCTGGAACGTCGTGCCTCCAACACCTCCTTCGACTCTTTGACCGATGATCACCAGCACTGGCTACCTGCGCCCGTTCAACGAATGCCCGGTCGTCGCCCTTCCAGGAATCTGCGCATGCGTCCCGGTACCCCCAACCTGCCCGACAGTACCGACTTTGTCTGTGGAACGCTTGATGAGGACCGCCCTCTCGAGGCTGCTTATAAGTCTTGCATGGAACAACGGCGTCTTGAGAAGCTTGTTCTGATCCCGCAAGACATCGACCCTAGCTTCCCAACCAGCGATCCCGAAGATGAAGCAGACCTGGAAGACCTTTCTGAGGAACTTGCCTCTGTTGTTCTCGAGCCCACTCGAGGCCGCACGGAAGGACTGAGCAAGGCTTCTCCAAAACACTCGCCCAAGCGCATGGTCTCTCCGGCGCCGCCTCGTCGTGCTGGTCGCACCTCTCCGAAGCGTCTCAAGTCTCCCCCTCCTCGCACCAGAGCTAAATCACCTCCCCCGCGAGTTCGGGCCAAGTCCCCCTCTCCACAAAAGTGGACACCGTCGGGGGAGATGCCCGTTATCGAGTCGCCCCCAGGTCTTAATATTAGCCACTTAGTTCAACGGCCGCCTATGATTCGCACCAAGTCTCTGCCTCGGACGCCCAACCCGTTCTTCACCGGCATGCAAAGTGCCCATAACTGGCAGGGAATTCCGCCCCTGAACGAATCACCGGAACATGAACGCTCACGCACACATGAGCCCCATACTCGAGGACCCGTCGATATCGTCGAGGGTCTTGAAAAGAAGCGCCAGAAACGAAAGGAAAAGTTCTGGCGCCAACACTGCCGCAAAGTTGCTAAAGAGCAGGCGGTACGCCGGCCAATTCCCGGCAAAGGAGCCGAACGGATGAAGGAGCTTGGCCTCGAAGTTGCTGAGAGGTGCAGAGCTTACGGCGTCGGACAAGACGCCCAGCTCGTCCTATCTGTTTAGGCTACCAGGGACCTTAAATGTCACCATAATTCCCCCCCCGGAAACCTTCTGTACATACACTTTTTTCCCTTTCGTTAGCCCGCCATGGAGCCGGGTTACCATTCACTTTTACATACTTAACCAACTTTGTGCCATCCACTTGGTTTCTCATATTTATATATCTATATAATCCCGGGGGGGAAACCTGTCTTTGCATCATATCTTCTACGCGTTCTTCTCTTGAGGAATTTTTTGCATAGTTGCGGTGCGTATACCCCTTATTTCAATTTGCTGCATATGTGGATACAAACATGACCTGGCTCAATAAAAATACCAATAAATACAAACACAAACACAAAGCCAAATCACAATTCCTAGGGCATTATCACTTCTCTAATGTGTTGTCACATCATATGACTTGCAGCTGTCACAATGACATGGCAATAACCCTCGCTGCCTCAAGGCGAGAGCGACCTTTTTTTCACTACTACAAGTCTCGCGTAGGTCTAAGGTCACGTATCTCTTGCTAGCAAATACAATCGATCATCTTGACTTGCACTCTCGTCAATATGGGCGACACTTTGGACAGCCGATTTGAGGACCTCTTTCCTGGTATCCGTCGATATCCATACAAAGGAAGGGACGACTTCGTTACTGTGATCAATCATGAGTTTACCCTTCCAGATAGGCGTGAATACTTCCTTGTTACAAATCTCAGCAAAGACACATTCGAAACGGACTTCTTCAACAACGACGACAATTCGTGGAAAGAATACTTCTATAACTTGCAATTGCTCGTTGCCAAAATGCCACTCCCTCCACACGAAGCAGCGGGCAGATTTTTGGGTCAAGCCATTTTGACCGCGGCGAATACCGACAGGCGTCTCGATGGTCTTATGATTCTCACTCAAGGAGCATCTCACGTTATGCTAGATACATCCGCCAAGTGCCCTGACGAATCCTTTCGTCCAATAGATCTCGTTGATCGAGCCTTCCCGACTGTGGTGATTGAAACAGCGTTGACTGAGTCTGGGCAAAAGCTTGAGGATGACGCTACTCGCTGGGTGAGAGCATCGAATGGACAGGTTACCGCAATTACTATCCGCCTTGAAAGGGCGACGGAAAATATCGTTCTTCGGAGATGGGTTTGGGCAAACAATACCGCTGTAATCAGACAGGAGACTACCATCACCAATGGATGCGGCAACAGAAGAGGCCAGCGGTCCCCTGCTCTGATCACGAATGAACCGTTTTTCATCTTACCAGGAGCTGTTCGGGCGAGATGCAGTGGGTAGCATGGACCAAGATATCTCAATTGGCAGGACGGAACTGGAGACGATGTGTGTTCAAGCCTGGGCTCCTATATAATATTATTAGTCAGCTCAGTTCTCATCGTGGATATATTTGTGCCTAAGGCATCAACACGGACCCCGAAAACAACATCCAACCTGTCTTCTTACTCTGATTCCCCTCCATCCACACTGTCGCCACTCTCTTATCCGCGACCCCCAGCACTTAAAGCTACTATTTTCCGCGCCTTTTACTTTATCCTCCTCGCTCTTTGTTTCCGCCATGTGGCTCATTAATTGGTGTAAGTACCTGATCCGCCCATCTACCTAGCCCAGTCACCCGCATCCAAGCAGCCGGAACAAGGGCACTTGGTCCCAGTCATACATGCTACGGACATCATGGGCTATGCAAGTGACTCTGATAGCTACCAGACACCCTCAGTAACCCTCGGAACCGTATCCGCGGCTTGCGGCTTTGACCTGGGGGTGAAAATCTGCGTTTAGTTGTACTGATTTCCGTCATCCAGTCTACGACGTTCTCGCTTCGCTCGGCCTGCTGAACAAGCACGCCAAGCTTCTTTTCCTGGGTCTCGATAATGCCGGCAAGACTACCCTGTTGCACATGTTGAAGGTGAGTGGATAAGTCAAAGACACAATGTGATCAAGGTCTGGACCGAGGTTCCAGACTCGGCGTCCATGGGCGGAAAATGTACCCGCCGGGGCGCATTCCTATACCTGTTGAATCATGCGCTGACAAGAAATACATAGAACGACCGCGTCGCCGTCCTCTCCCCCACCGCCCACCCTACCTCCGAGGAGCTTGCTATTGGCAACAATCGTTTCACGACCTTCGATCTGGGCGGTCACCAGCAGGGTGAGTCAATATATACTGGGAATACTAAAGAAAGGAAGCTGATAGGGGATTTGTCATAGCTCGTCGTCTCTGGAAGGACTACTTCCCGGAAGTCAGCGGTATTGTCTTCCTCGTCGATGCCAAGGACTACGAGCGCTTCCCGGAATCCAAGGCTGAACTCGACGCCCTTCTCGCCATGGAAGACCTCGCCAAGGTTCCCTTCCTCGTCCTTGGAAACAAAATTGATCACCCCGACGCCGTGAGTGAGGATGAACTCCGCCACCAGCTGGGTCTGTACCAGACTACTGGCAAGGGCAAGGTCCCGCTTGAGGGCATTCGTCCCATTGAACTCTTCATGTGCAGTGTTGTCATGAGACAGGGTAAGTCATTCGTTAGATCAATATTCATTGGTGATCGTTAACACTCTCCAGGCTACGGCGAGGGTATCCGCTGGTTGTCCCAGTATGTCTAAAGTAAGCGAGCTTAGACTTGGACGATGGAACCAGATTAGACCCAAATTGCTATTTGATTCAAAACATTTCGAATCAAAATTGCTGCCAACCACTTTCTCCATGCTTCACTTTTGAGTCCGCTGTTCTATATCCCCCTCCTACCTTTACCCACTCCTCGCTCCACCACTCTACCTCCCCTTCATGCTGTATCAACTTCCATGCCCCTTGATTTCGTCTTCCCCATTGCCGTCTATTATTTTTGACCTGCAGCCTGTTAGCCGGTGCCTTTTCGAATACTTTAGTTCTAAAATTTGGCTTTTATAATTGCTGAAATGTCTCCCCTTGGATGTAGTATCTATGAAGAACCCAAGTAAACTTGTTTCTCAGGTATGAATTGATCCCCGTAAAGAGCTTGTGATGTGTAAGTTTGAGACCGATCTGAGTATAGTCGATCAGTGGCGTTTTCCCCCAACAAATGCTGCAGCGTGCCTATTGAGGACAGAGATGAGAACCAATGATTGTTGTCAAAGGTCGTGTGAAGAGACAGGGTCCCACGGACTGGTCTGATTGGATGCCTTTTCAAGGTTGACGCCACTCGATCGAATATCACCCATGAGATGAGAATCACAATCTGTGAAGGCTGGTCTTGTCCGTAAAGACAAGTAGTGGGAAACCCAGCTTTTCCACCACGCTACATCTACACTACGGGTCCATGGACAGTCATAAATGGACAACACATGCGTTACAATTCAAGACAACCGATAAGCAGAAACAAGATAAAGATAAGACAAACCAGGTTCTCCCCTCTCCAGGATGCCTCGAGTAAACATTCCGTCCAGATGGTAAGAAACAAAGCAGAAACTTCAGGCGCGAGAAGAAAATGGAGAAAAAAAATGTGTAGAAGGATCAGTTGAAGAAAAATAAAGAATTCCGCTCCGAACGTTGACAAGAGGTCGCGTGTCAGCCAGGAAATGATGGCGAGAGGAGCACGGGGAAGCCCGGATAGAAGGAGAGGGATTAGCGGAGGAGAGGTTATAGGGAGGAAAGGTGGCTGCCCCGGCTGGAGGGATTCCTCGTCGTTTATCGCTTCGTCGGTCTGATAGGGGTGGAACTCGTGGTTGGAGGAAAGGGTGGGATGTCATGGGTGTTTGGCGTGACGTGGGGATTGCTGTGTAGAAATGGCTTATCTCCGCCCGAACCTGCTGCACATGGGAAAGCTCGTATTTGTTCCATTACTTCTTCTTTTGCTTGCGCGGAGGAGTGGCGGCGGATCCGCCGGAGCTCATGCTCCCGTAAACGTACTTTTGTTTCTTTTCGGCTGGTTTGAGGATCTGATGAAGAGAGCAGGTTAGCCTGGGACGGATAATTGTAAAAATTCAAGAGATCCACCAACCTGGAAGGAGCAGAGCAAGCTCTCGTCGACACTCATCATCGCACCCGCGTTGTCGAATTCACCGCAGTAGTTAGGTGCGCTGAACAGTGTAACCAGCTGGCGCTTCGAGAAGAACTCGTAACCATCTTCGACGACCTGATGCGCGCGGCATATCAAGTCCATATCGTGTTTCTGAAGGAATCGCGAGACCACGTCGGGACCGAATGTGAAGGAGACACCGCGATCGTTTTCGCTCCAGCCAGTAATGTCCTTGTCCGGATCGGACCACAACAGATCGCAGAGAAGACCGCAGTCGGGGATCTAAAGAAGTCAGCGAACATGGCCTTCAGCCGAAGGATATCTGGCACGAGATGGTGCATGTTTTGTTTCCATGCTACAGTTCTCGGAACCAAGACAATAACTGGTGCCACAGGTGATACTGAAAAACGGGATTACTTACATCGGTGGGACGCATGACCCGACGAATCTGCTCCATCGAGTTCAGATCGGGGCTCAGACCTCCATGCATGGTGAAAATCTTCTCGTCAATGATGGCCGCAATGGGAAGGCAGTTAAAGCAGTCGGTGAACGTCTTCCACAGCTTGATGTTGTAGCGGCGCTTGCACTCGTCGTAGAAGCCGTAGATACGGTTGATGGAGGCACACTCGTGGTTACCGCGCAAAATGAAGAAGTTCTCGGGGTACTTGATCTTGTAGGCGAGGAGCAGGCAGATGGTCTCGAGGGACTGCTTGCCGCGGTCGACATAGTCACCGAGGAAAAGGTAGTTGGCTTCCGGGGGGGAATCCACCGTATTCGAAAAGACGCAGGAGATCGTAGTATTGACCGTGGATATCACCGCAGATCTGCAGTGCCCAAATCGTTAGAACGCGCGGCCCGGGAAGTGATCCGGGCTGAGGGTAAAATCACAAACCTTGATGGGAGCCTCGAGTTCGAGCAGAATAGGCTGAGAGATGAAAATCTCACGGGCCTTGGTGCAGAGGAAGCGAATCTCTGACTCAAGCAGCTGCACCTGCTTTCCAGGGCGGCTACCCCTCACTTCCAGGAGCCGATCGATGATCGAGTCCAGATCAACCTCTTGGTCGGCCATAGTGTGAGACCTTTAATGAGAAGAGAGAAAGAGGAGTCGGAGAAAGGAAAAAGAACGGGACGAAAAGCACACGCGCGGGAGGGAGAACGACTTCCGGGGCGGCGAGAAATTGATGACGGTATTTATGTCCTACAAGCATTAAGGACGATTAGCAAAGAGCTGAAAGATAGCAAGGGTGCCAGTCCGATTCCCGAATTTTTGAATCAGGGTTAGAAGAGAGGGAAAACAGGCGCGTCTGGTATAATTTTGATTTGCCGCCTGACGTTTCCCTCGGCATTTCGTGGATCTCCAGGGTAGCAATAGAGGCTAGCATAGCGACCGAGATGAAGACTTACCAAAATAGAAAGAACTTCAATCAAGTCAAAAGTTTCTGAAATATGGAGGCCTTGCGGCCGCGGCTTTCTTGAGAGGTTTCTGGCAGGAATGCCAGATAGGGTGGACGGGGCAGCACTCTGGGGGAGATTTAAGGCTGACAGGAAGTCGAGACAGGGATGACAGCTTCTTGATAAGTCGAAAACTCAGAGACCGAGAGGTGTTGGCTTCAGCTTCGGCTGCGGCTTCGAGGGGACGAAGGGAGGGGTGAGCGAAGTTTTTCCGGAGGTCGGACCAGTAGGAGTGAAAAAAGGAGAAAGGTCAATCAAGGGACGAAAACACTTGCCACACAAGCGACAGTTACGAGGATCCAAAAGCAACGGGGGACACGATGAAGCGGGCCTTTTGGAGGATGGGGAGAGGAGAGAATCTTGCACAGGGAGAGAAAGCGGGAAGTTCCAGAGTTTGTGTTTGCGGTGTTTGGCTTCCCGTTATAGATCGGCCTGGCTATTTTCGTCACTCCACTATAGCGGTTGTTTTTTGAATCCTTAGCCTGCGTCTAGTCGGTTTCTACTCCCTCGTCTTATATTTCTCTTTCGTTCTTCATCGATCCAGGCGTGGCGTTTTCGAGGGGCTGCAGGTATGCACCTTTTGGAGCCGGTCGAGACCCTCGCGCTTTGTACCTCATAAGACCGAGCGCTAGCAAGAAGACGGACTAGTTGCAGCTCGGATAGACAAATGAACAGAGACGTCGTGAGTGACATTGTCCACATCGCGCCTTGAATTTTTACAAGCACGGAGTGGTGTTAGCTCACTTGCTATCTTGGACATCTCGTCCCACTTCATCTGAACGCGTGAGCACTCGACCTCCTCAACGTCCTCAACGAACGTTTATCAGAGAATCTTCATCAAACAATGTATATGACAAGGCTGGTATTATTTCCGAACTCATCGTGTTTTGCACATTCATAGGTACTCATGGCTCAGAATCACAGACAGGCCGATAAACGCAAAACAAGAGGGGAATAGAGCAGTCAATCCGCCAACGCCAACACGCAAAAGATACAATACACGCGCTCTAGAAATTTTCTCTCAAAATGCCTTCCACAAAGATGACGCGAAAGAAACGCAGAAGCATGTGTCTCGATGTGGAAGCCAAAACACAAGCACGCAAAAAGGCCGTAAATGTTCATACATCCAACCCACCATATTTCGTAAGTCATCCAAACGCCGTAAAAAGATGCAGAGGAGCAGCCCACGTGGCTTGCTCTAGAAAATATTAGTCCTCCGAAAAGATGGCGGCACTTCCGATATGACTGGAGGAGCGCAAGAAGACAAAAGCACTCGTGAATAGTGTCGAAGTGTGCAGACACGCCCAACGCCCTCTTTAGCCACTTAATGCATGGCCTCCGCTCAGAATGACCTGGGTGTTGGCTCGCACCAGAGGTGCAGTAGGGAGGACAGAGTGGTCCAAGCCTGTCGCTGCCAGCTGTGCGACCAGGTTCTGGGAGTTGTCCCAGGCATGATCTCCCAAGACATTCAGCCAGTTATGGCCTACTTCCTGTCGGAGGACGTCGAGCTGCTGCCGACACTGCTGCTCATCTAATCCCCATTCTTTTCCCGTGCCAGACTGCACTAAAGTAGGCTGCATCGGAGGCGGACTGGGGGAGGTTGGCTGCTTGAGTGGGCTTTGAATGCTGGAAGAGCCGGAATGGATGCTGCTTTCTAGCCTCCATTGGTGTTCAGTGGGAGTCAAACCAATGGGGTCGATGGGAGCGTGAAGTTGCTGGGTTGGAAGTACTGCAGCCATTGCTGGTTCGGCGCTACCCAGACCATCTGGATTGAAAGGGTTATCGACGGAGAGATCGATGATTCTTCGCCGCTGGACCTTCTTTCGACTTTTAGAGCCCCCTTCGACGTCGTTTCGGTGTGTGGCCCTGGGCGACTCGTGCTCCTCAGCCGGTGCCTTGGGAAGTGGCTTGTCCATGAGATTCGCCTGGACCGCGGCAGTGGCTTTCAGAACCATTGCTGATTGATCAGCGGCACTCGAGCGCACCACGGGTGTAGCCTCAGGCTCGGCGACACGATCAGCCAGTTGCTTTCTTTCCGTGTAACCTGGACCACGACCATCGATGATGATATCCTCTGCATACCCGGGAGTCCGACGGAAGAGATTCATAATGACCACGCGGTAGGCGGAATGGGTTTTCACAAAGGGGTTTCCGGAGACCCAAATCTCTCGTATCTCAGGGAGACTGGTTAGTCGTGCCATTTCCGTCGGATCCATGAGGTTGTTATCGCGGAGGTCTAGTCGCTCCAGAGAAAGCAGTCGCTCGATGCCGGCCAAAGAACGAAGTCGGTTGCCCCGAAGGTTGAGCGCAGTAATTGCGGGAAGGGGGTTTCGTGAAATGGAGTGCAAGGATTCGATCATGCAGTACGAAAGATTCAGCGCACGAAGTGCCATCAGGGTTGCCAGGCTATCCGGAATCTCGGTGAGAAGGTTCGATGAAAGGTCCAGCGAGGTTAGGGTGTTGGCCACAGGAGCAAGGCTTGCGGCGGAGATGGACGTCAAATCGTTCTCTGGAAGTCCCAAGTGTCGCAAAAACCGCCACTTGGAAGGTGGTAGGACGCCGACAAGAAGGGTTGACGAGCTGCCAGTGCGATATCCGCCCGAGGTATCGCTCGAGTTCGAACTGCCCGAGCCGGTGCGTTGAATCCGCTGAGACCGGCTGTGACGGTGACCATGCTTGGTGGACGGTCGGGTGGGTGAGATGCTATCACCTCGTGCACGAAGCTTCGCACCCTCCGAGCCGGCTCGCATCATCGGGGTCGACTTTGGGCTGGTGCTGCTTCCGAATGCTGTTTCGGCAATGGGGGAGCCAGGCGCCGAAATGGAATGATCCGGAGCTTGAACAGGCTGCGAGCTAGTGGTGCTAGTCCATCCAAGCGGCGGAGACGGTTGGGACTTGGCTGACCGTCGTCGTCGCTTATCGATATCGTCCAGAACGATACGCGTCAACAGATCAGCTGGGTCATCCAGATGAGCCCTTTTAATGGACAAGGTGCGTAACTGCTCGGACAGTCGATCCCATCCGTAGAAAGAACGATAGTCTATGTCAATGATCTCTAAAGCGCTCAAATTTTTGAAAGAATGTAGCGGCACAGCCGTGTCGAACGGAAACTCCTCATATCCCCGGATCAAGCGAGCTCTGTGGTCAGGGGCCAGACGCAGGCAGGGGATTTTGGTGAAGGCAGAGTATAGATACTTCAAGTCCGCTTCCAGGGCGAGGCGGGCTTTATCGGACTTGGAGGCCGAATCCTTGGATCCCATGCCAAAAGAAGACCAGAGACCGCTCATGCCAGACATGACACTACGCACACTGGATACGGAGTGTATGGATGCGCCATCACCCTTGGACCGTTGGGGCTTGTTCAAGAAAGAAACGTAGGACTGCGAGACCTCGGTGTGGATGTTCTCCAACCGGACATTCATGGGACCCACGGCAATGGACAGGTCCTCGAAGCGCGAAAGAAGATAGAAGAGGTGGTGAGGAGTCAGGGTGAGCTTGGCGGGCTTGATGTTCTGCGAGGTGAACTTCAATGGCCCAAAGGACAACGCGGACGCCAACGATAGAGAGGAGGAGAAAGAGCTCGAGGGGGTAAGGGAGGGTGCTTGGGTGGTCGCGACATTCTTAAATTGGCGGCGAAGCTGAAGGGCATTCGCGAGTGCTTTTTCGTGAGTACGGACGAAGCTGGCCAAATTCTAGGGTGGAAAAAAGGTCAGTCTTGATTCGATCTTATCTCGTGTAGACGATCGACATTTGCGACGGGGGGAGGACCCTCAAGTCGAGGAAGAATTTTTGGGACTCACCTTTATGAAGAGTTGTCCATCTTCAGTGTTGAGCTTCTCCATGACGAGAGCAAGGGATATTTTTTTTTTTGCTAGGCAGGATCCCAGCCAGGAGAAGTCTGAAGATGAACACTCAGATGCTGTCAGGGGGGGGTCGACATTGTGCCGCGACCTTGAGATCGAAGTAAGAGGTCGAGGTCTAGGAGGTCAGCGCGAAAGGGACTGGGGGGGGGGGGGGTAGTAGGGTCACCAACGTGGGTAGGGGAGTTGACAGGTCCAACTCCGATGAAACAAGTGCAGGGTAAAGGGTGAAGGGGGAAAGTTGAAAAAAGGCAAGTGAGAGGGTTGGTGGCACGGGGTAACCGCTAAATAAGAATGGCGTCTGATGATCGAGATAGCCATACCAAGGGAACATACAATACTATGGGTTTTTGTTACCTGGAGTATAATATCACCTCAGGTATTTACAGTATTTTTATTTTCTCGAGTCTGTAAATATGACCTTCAATTTAACGATAGACGGTCTGATCGCTATCTCATTTCCTTTTATGCTTCCGCCCCTCCCTCACATTACTATCCGGGAAACCTTGACAATTTTTATTCAGTTTTTAGTTTTTGGAGGGTTTTTCGACGAGAACATTACCAGCCGATCCCGAGCAGAAAAGGTTGCTAATTTCTTCCTGCAGCTATCGTGCCCACTAGCTCGAAGAGGAGTGGCGAAGGCGCCATGGAGGGGTCAGCCTGTTAGCTTCACAGCGTCTATCAAACCCTTCGGTTGGATGGACCGACGGAATTAGGGGGGGAGAGGGGGGGAATTTCTGCCAGTGATGGGTTGATCTACCTGCACGGCTGGAAACCGTGTCGGAAATTCTCGATGGGGTATTCTGAGTCGATCTTCGCGAGCAAGGATCCTAGGTCTTATCACGCCGCTGTGGATCCTCTTCGAAAAAAGGGTTGTCCTCTATCCTCCTCGATCGACAGTGGGACAAAAGATGGCAAGGTGTGAAATCTACGTAGTTGTGCATTAGGACCACACCATGCCCAATCTCAATGGCAATGACGATGTTAGCTTGAGGATGCCGTGTTTTTTGTTGTCTGTGCTTCTCTTTTTTATTTTTATTTCATTAACTTGGCCCGCTTTTTTTTTTCCCTAGTGCAAAGCCCGGCTGCCGTGTTCCCGAATTGTCCTTCCGAGGTCATCTGCATACATACAACTTCAGCCGCGTAATTGGTAGAGAGGCGCATGCCCCATCGGAATGATCATGGAAATTAATGAGAAGTTTAAATGTAGAAGAGGCAGGCGAGCGAGCCGTTTGGCGCTGGGAGACTTCTATGAACCACTGAGGGGCTCGGGTGGAGGAGCACATCCTTGGATTACGCTATCGGGCAGTCAGCCCGCACTGACATCTGACATTCCATGGTGGAGATCATCCCGATGGTTTTCTTGGGATTGTACTGTATACGGCCCAAAATGACCTCAAACTTTCCCTCTCATTTTTTATATCCCACTTGTCCACGATGAGCCGGTATACAGACATTCCATCGCATGACCCCCGCCGTCAGCCACACCGCTTCCACATTCCCGGCCCGAAATGGAAGACGGAGGACACCGAGCCATGGTTCACTACCATCCCTTTCCCGTTTCATCTACAATGTGCCCAGTGTGCGGTGTCTAGTTGGACGCCTCGCCAGTCCGGCGCGTTTCACTTCACACGTCTATTGAGCGTGGAAGAAGGAAAACAGCATTGCAGATTACCGCGAGCTGCGGAGGCCTTCGCTGCCTTCGATTCGCCTTGTTTGCCCAGCAATGGGATGCGCGGGGCACTTGTCTTTGTCCCATCCCTAACGCTCGGTTCAACCTCAGATCCCGGCTGCAGAGCGCATCTGCAGTTGCAAGGAGTTCGCAGCCGCCTTGCTCCACTCAAATCTTGTGTTCCCCAGGTTCTCAGCTTGCCGTAAACACTAATCAGAATCGCGATAAAGTCCCTGGCACCGCTGGAATGCGGGCGCACATGGGCGATTGCAACGATAATCAAGGGCGTAGTACACATGATGTGCCTATCGCGGGAATTGGCCCCGCCGCCCCCTCAGGACTAGTACGCACGCAGAAGGAGTACGGGACACGAGTAACCGCCCTCGGGCGTAGGCCGGGACCCACTGATCCAGCACGAGCATGTATACGATGATATCGTGGGCGACTTGCCTATTGGGTGAGACACAGTCATTTTGCAGATGCGCCAAGCCTGCCCGTGGCTCGCTCAATCGCGTCGTGATGGGGGGCGGGGGGGGGTTTCTCTTTTATTCTTGTCCTGTCGAGAGAGTACTCGCCTCGCGGCTGGTGCTTTCACCGGCGACGCCACAGTCCTAGCTCCGTGAGATTCGGATTCGCCGATCTGCATATGACTGCATCGGGAAATCTATGCGGCCGAAGGGGTTTGATCCGTAATGACATGATGCCATGATTCTCACTTTTTACAGGATGGTTGTCATGGAACGGGATTGCGAGATCAACAACAGTAACTCTAAAAAAGGAAAGGGGGAAGAGGCGGCTATCGCGCAACGCAAATAACTCCCTGAGATCATTCAACCGGGACGTATAAAGCCCAATGTGATCAGTCTATAGATCGCCCTCGTGAATTGAGGGATTTCAAGTTTGAATGGAGATCGAAAGCGCAAGTGGCAATGTTTACTTCTCCGTGAACATGTGTGGATGCGTCGAATCCTTGGAGGGGCTGATCAGCATGATCAGCGTCCAGGTCCACCGAGGACCAACTGAAAAAAGCAGTCCACGATGCGCCAGAAGAGCCTAATCAGTGACCAATGACGCTCTGCTGCACATCATCTCCGATGCCAGTCACCTGACTGAGGGGTACTGTCGTCCATTCAATTCAAACACCGAATTCGTCCGTCTCCTGCATCGTCCCAGGTCGCGTCTCTCTAATCCTGGCATGTGGCTGGCGGGACGAGTGTTCTCCAGCATCAGCCCATAGGCTGCTTCCCTGTACCTCCATCTTAGATGCGACAGAGCTAATGAACTCTCCCGGCCCGCCAATCACCGACTTGTACCAACTTTTGCCTCGAGATCTGAACGGCCTCGCATCTAGCGGTGAGCCCTGCCGTGCTCACCTCCTGGAGCTTGGAGAGCATTCGCTACCAGGATGCGCCTGCGATGTCTCCGCAGATAGAGGATTTTAGCGCCTTGGAGGGGTACATCTCGGAGAATTGATGGCTTGGATGGTCCAAGGGCGGCATACCATGATACATAGCTCGTATGCGTTTTGCATTATTGGGGTCATGAATGTTACACGAAGTCAATCAAGAGAACTCTGCATGACATGCGTACAATTATTCGTCGGGGTAGCGAATGGCGCATTGGTAGTAGATTTCCATAGTTGGGGTTTAGTAAAGAAATGAATGATCGATCAGGGACCGGAGATAGATGATCTTCCCGGGTTCCAATTGTCACGTTGTTGTGGTACTGCCATGTGTCACCGCTTATGCCCACCACGTTGTGGCTGACCCGGTGGCTGATGCCGTTTCCGGTGGGGTACACGTGATGCTGACGTCGTGAGTTCCCTCAACCGAATCCATCATGTTCCTGTCTTCTTATACACTATGCATTGAAAGATGCCTGCCGAGGGAAAGGCTTCACACGAGGACAGCTTCGATCCGGCCGGTCTCCCGGACTATGACTGTGACTTTATCGACCCGGACGACCTGCATCGTTTCGAAAAAGCGCTCAACGCTCCGGAAGCTTCTCCTTTGGTAGCCATCAACGACTGGCGCCCGATCAACCAACGTGTCCGCAAGGCTCGAGGGCGTCGCAAAGCCCTGAAAAGAAGCAAAGATGAGACGAGAGAAGGCGTGCTGTACACCATCCTGAAATGGCCGCTCCTGTTGACCGTGTTCACTTGGATCGTGGCCCTGTGCTGTGGCTATGTCCTGGTTCGAGTGTATATTTTCCTGTATGAGCAGTGGGTCACTTGGCGGGGCAAGAGACAACGACTCCGACTGTCACTGTCCGCTCAGACAAATTACCAGGACTGGTTGAAGGCGGCACAGGCGTTGGACGCTCATCTTGGGAACGAGAAGTGGAAGCAGATCGACGAATATGCCTACTACGACCACCTCACAATAACCAAAGTGGTGACACAATTGAAGAGCGCGAGGGAAGGTGCCCAGCGGGAAATTCAGAGCGGGAGGACCAATGACAATGAGATTTCTGCCGTGGAGGAGCTACGGTCTCTCTTGGAGGCGTGCGTCAAGAATAATTTTGCTGGAGTGGAGAATCCCCGGATGTACAGCGAGGCTTATTCCGGAACCAAGGACCTGGCGCAGGAGTACATCGATGAGGTGCATGCCTGCATCCAGTTGATCCTGGACAGTAAGCAAATTGATCGGGAGACCAAATACCAGCATTTCAAACACCTCGATACCAACTTCGGACGCACGGCACTTTGCCTCTCGGGCGGAGCGACCTTTGCTTACTACCACTTCGGGGTGGTTAAGGCCTTGCTAGACAATGGCGTCTTACCAGAGATCATCACGGGAACGTCAGGCGGAGCACTAGTGGCCGGTCTTGTGGCAACCCGAACCGATGAGGAGCTGAAGCAGCTGCTCGTTCCAGCCCTAGCACATCGGATCCGCGCTTGTCATGAGGGATTTGCAACGTGGATGCTCCGTTGGTGGAGAACGGGCGCTCGGTTCGATACATTAGACTGGGCCAAGCAATGCAGCTGGTTCTGTAGAGGTTCGACTACCTTTCGAGAAGCCTATGAACGGACTGGTCGTATCTTGAATGTCTCCTGCGTGCCCTCAGATCCTCACTCACCCTCTATCTTGGCCAACTACCTGACATGCCCGGACTGCGTCATCTGGAGCGCCGTGCTTGCTTCCGCTGCCGTCCCTGGCATTCTGAACCCGGTCGTCTTGATGACGAAGACGCGCAATGGTACACTAAAGCCTTACTCATTCGGTCACAAGTGGAAAGACGGCAGTTTGCGGACGGACATCCCGATCAAGGCTTTGAATTTGCATTTCAACGTAAACTTCACGATTGTGTCTCAGGTAAAGAAACTTAGAATCTGCAGGTTGTTCTGCTTCATTAACGCATTTTCAGGTCAACCCTCATGTGAACTTGTTCTTTTTCAGCTCCCGGGGAACTGTAGGGCGACCAGTTACCCACCGCAAGGGCCGTGGCTGGCGCGGTGGATTCCTGGGCACTGCTCTTGAGCAATATATCAAACTTGACTTGAACAAATGGCTCCGTGTCCTCCGACACCTGGAACTTCTTCCTCGACCACTGGGTCAGGATTGGAGCGAGATCTGGTTACAGAAATTCAGTGGCACGATCACGATCTGGCCAAAGAGCGTTCCATCCGATTTCTACCATATTCTTTCCGACCCGAGCCCCGAACGACTTGCACGTATGATCCACATGGGTCAGCAAAGCGCTTTTCCCAAAATTCAATTTATCAAGAACAGACTCAAGATTGAGAATGCCATCATGAGGGGCCTGCAGCAATGCTCCGCCACCGGCGGACGCTCTCTCTCCCCGATCCTCTCTCGTCGGCTCCACAACTCAGAAAACGAGGACGTGATGGAGCGGAGATTGGATGAAAGTTTACCAGAACGTAGCGAATCAAGCTACAAGCATGAGTCGCCTTATGTCGACTTCTCCGATAGCATGTCCCAATCAACCTTCTCCACCTCCTCACGCCCTCAGACCCCCACTTCTCGGAGGGGCAGCGTGATAGAGGAGATACAGCGCCAGTCGGCCGTCTTCTTTGACGATTCCGACCTCTATGGTGATGAAGACGCCGTAATCACCTGAGGCATTTGCGGCGCTTTCAGCGCCTCTGCTACTGGGACTTAACAGAATATATGACACTGAGTGCTTTCCATTTTCGGTCACATGCAGCTCCCTTCTCCGTCATCTCTTCTCCCTCCCGACGCGACATTAGGATATGACAGGCGGCTCTCGCCGATCTCTCTTGTCTCGAGTGGAGATTCTCGGCCCCCGCTCAGATTACAATCCCCTCGCAGCCGCTCTTTGACTCTTTTGTCTTCCACCCCGCAGTCCGTGAAGTTCCATTCGCATGTCAAGGGGATTGCCCTTAGCCTAGATACCTGGTCATCGCTTGATTGACGAGTCTTGAATTTTGTCCTTTTGTTTGTCAAGTTTCGCATTTTGCCTATCCCGGGTCCTATCACGACACTCACGACTGCCGACTGCTTTATTGGCTATATTGCGTTGAACAGTGTTTTTGTATTATATATTCCTTAATGATTGTACGATTACAATGAATTTTTGAGCGACTCCTTAAACTTTCAACTACGTGTGCTTTCCTGCGTCATTGTACATGTTCATTCAACGGGCGGGGGCTGATCTCAACGCCCACAGCACGATGACATCAGCTTCCGATGTGACAGGGAGCTAATAGCAGATTAACCGGGGCCGCTAATGCAGTCTGTCATGTAAGATGCTGTCATTCATATATGGACGGTGATCTTAGGACCGGGCAAATTGAAGGTTAAGTGTTCCTATTATGGACGCGTTTGTTCCAACGTTTGATCCTCGAAAGGTTGGTGGTGGCTACTTCGCTTTGACTACACTGCTTGGTCTGTCTATTACTGCGTATCCTGCGTTCTCTTCCTTGACTTTTTCTTTCTATGTGGCGGAGCACCGACAACATTTGACCAATTTGACGGTCTACTTTTGTCATTTTCCCCATACGCAGCTCCAGCGCACCTTGTGAGAAGTCCGGGTCAAGCTTTGAGTGAGGCCAGGTCCTTAATTGGTATATTGCTCGAATGTTTTATCATCTAACCAAGACTACGGATGGTGGAGAATCGCTGTCGCTAGATGATTCGAACGAGAGAAGCCCGATCCCAACAAGTGTGGACACATTTTGTCGTTTAGATGCGTGTGCATGGATCCCGAAGATGTGGCCATCGAGGAGGGCGTGATCGAAGCTGAATCTAAGAGGCAGACAGGACTTATCCTGGAGGCTCTCTATGCACCTGCAATCTTCAGAAGCTAGAAAAAAAATGTTTTAGGCATGGGTTTTTGGTAAAAATGATCATGAGGAATGAGACTCCGCGAAATTTTTCATACGACCTCCGAGGTAGACTTGTCGGGTTATTATTGCTGACTATAATAAACAAATCAATTTTGTAATCCCCAATATGTCCGACACTGCCAACCTTCATGATAGATCTGCTCAATGGAGTCTAATCGGAATTCACTATATTGAAGAACTAGTTCTTGGGCCCTTGCAGAACTCAGCATTCTCACGGCAAATTAATCAATTCATGGTGCCGCTAGTCGTCACCTTGAACATACTAGCTCTCTCATATACTAGCGGGCTCAGTTACTACCAAGTCGATAGTTTGGCCCAAATAGAAGCTCCCCATTTCTGATATGCCTCATTTGTATGCTGCATGATATTTCTCATCAAATAAGATTATCATGTCTCTCGAATCATACTTCACTATTTGCGATTCGAAGAACCACAGTGTCAGCATTCTGCCCCAATTTGAGTACATTGCGAAGATTGACTGAATAATGAAGAGGACGTGTTTTTTCAGTCGTGGAGCCATTGCGCGTCACCCTATTTGGTCCAAGATCTAGGAACTTAAAAAGAAGGTATTACCGCAGATTTCTACATGAGTTTATTGACAGGATCCAACCGTGGAAAGCATGAACCTTCAAAGGCTACTTAGATCACGCGGCCTCAATAATCATTCATACGCCCTGCATTGGTCATCACAAGTAATACACCTATTTATCTTGCCACTACAATTTCAATTGTCTCCCAACCAACTTAATCGTTACCGCCTGCTGGCCCCGTCGGCTTTGGTCAGAGTTTCTCCTTTGTGTTTGGGAACGATAACGTTCGGGACCGCCGCTCGAGAGCGATACGGTGAGTGCAGTAAGGACACCGCATATTCTTTGCCCATGGCGGAAACCTTCCTTGATACTGCGAATGTCCACCGAGAGAAGCAGTGCGAGACTTGGCTTGGTGAACGGCTGGTCTCAAGAAACAATCGCGATCAGATGGTCATTGCCACCAAATACACCGGCTATCAGGACCACCACAAGGGTCAAATCCAGGACGATTTCGGTGGAAATGGAACAAAGTCTACGCACGTCTCGCTGGTGGCGTCACTTCGGAAACTTCAGACCATCTATTGGACCATCCATTGGTGGGATGACACGGTGTCTGTTCCGGAGCTTGTGCATGCTCTGAATGATTTGGTCACTTCTAGGGAGGTTCTGTATCTCGAAGTCTCTGACACTCCCGCTTTGATGATTGCTTAAGTCAACCAACATGCACACGATCATGGATTGTGCCAATCCATGGTGTATCACGGAATGTGATATGCAGGCATGCGCGACTTTGAGAGGGAGACTATTCCCATATGTCGTGATGAAGAAATGATCTATATCCCTACAGTATGCGGGCTGGAGATTCAAATTTGCATAGTTTGTAGTGTTTAATTTTCAACGATAAAACATGAACTAGCATCATTGGTCTAGTGGTAGAATTCGTCGTTGCCATCGACGAGGCCCGTGTTCGATTCACGGATGATGCACAACAAATTTCTTTTTTTTTTTTTTTTCTTTGGGTTCTCCACCCTACCTACGTCTCCGGCATCATCATTCTTTATTCATAGAATATTGTTCGATGGGATTCTTGTATGGCTCAAGCATTCACCGAAATTCCTCCCTAGGTTAGAATCGTGGATAGCTTCAGACTTGCGCCCGTGCTAGGGCCTCTCTTTGCACTAATATACGATAGTTTCTAGGTAGACTCAATTTTGGACGATACAGAGCGAATCTATCGGTGAACTCGTTGATAGTTGCGTACTTGGCCTGGTCTACATACCCATAGGCTCTACCAAAGATGAAGCTTTTTCATCTGATAGCAAGTCTACTTCGAGAACTTTTTTTTTGTTCATATCGTACAAATGAACCCATCATAGTCGAGAATATCATACACATTATTTGCGAAAAATACAGAGCACCGAATCAAGCCTTCGGTGCTAGGTATGTTTCAGATGACAAGCCACTTGTCTGTCACATCTTTTGCAAGCTTTGCATTGCCAGCAAGTACGTGCAAAGTTTGAAGAGCAAAAGCAGCTTCGTGAGAGAAATCCTCGACAAATTGACTGAATCGAGCCTGGTCTGCTTCGCCCATCACCACATCAGTGCCATCGAATTTTTGTTGGGCATGTTTCTGAATATCATCGCCCAGCTTGAGCACCTTGTTGTAGGCCTCGATGGCCAGATGAGTCAATCCAAGGCCATGGTACACACGCGCAAAGTTGAACTCCATCTCTTGGCGCTCTTGAAGAAGTGACCCAGGTTTTTCTCGGACGCGGCGATATTCATCCATAAAAGAAAGACCCTGCATGATAAGGAAATGCCGATTCTCAGATTGTCGCTTGAACGAGTGGTTTAAGTAAGAGAGAGAGCAATAGAGAGAAGAACACCGGGGTTCTGGTCGTCCAAGGCGTATGCACGGAAAAAGTAATTCAAAGCAGGGTAGAAACTGCCTCCGGAGTAAAGCATGTGGCCGTAAAGAACAAGCAGAGCGGCATCCAATTCTCCTGCTGGAATGGGTTCGCCTTTTTCGTCACGAGTCGAAAGAGAGGCACGCTCCTTCCAGATAGTATTTCGAGTATGGTTGGGCCGCCCGCAAGATTCTGGTAGAGTGTAATCCATCGCCTTGATCTGGCGTAGCATGAATTTCATGCTTGCTGAATTATTGAAGATCGTCTTCCTTCGATTGTTAGAAAAGCTGCTCAACATCGCAAAGATCCGATAAGTGTCGGTAATGAATTGGTACTCCTTGACGAACCAACGCGCCTGGTCTAAGAGTGTCTCTTCATCATGAGCTCTGATTGCACAAGCTGCGCGGGAATTAGCAAGATATTGCCGGAACCACGATAGAGAGAACCTACTGAACCAGCAAACATGGACCAACTGCTTTTTGGCTTTGACATTGTGCCAAATATTGGCATGATCAGCAGCTTCGAGGGTTTCATATGCTTCCTCGTGCTCACCCTGATCAGTCACAAGGAGAGCATATTGGAGGAAGATGTCAAGCCACTCGTCAAAAGAAATCCCATGGTAGTCGGTCGGGACAATGTCATTCAAAGGTTCTTCGGTCGATTCACCTGCGCCATTGTGTCATTTCAAAGCCTATTGAAAAACTTCGAGCGTGACCTACCACCCATGGATTTCTGCAAGCGCCCTGCCATCTCTTCCATTTCGCTCATCATGGTCATATCTTTTCCTTTGCCCGATTTTCGTTGTGCGTCGCTGGTATATCCTCGAAATTCCATTGTGCGCGCGATAGGATAGAAACTACGATTGGCTTTGAAATCTCGCAGCAGCGCATCGGCAATATCAAGCCAGTCGTCAATGGCTTCTGTGTCGCCTTGCTTGATCAGTGGCTCCAGCTGCTGCATTTTGTTGTACAGAAACTGGATATTTTCCGTCCGACTACCTTCTCCGTCGAATGACCTCCTCCGGCCACCGGCTGCTGCTGCCGTAAATGCAAGTCCATCAGTAGGTCTGGGTGCAATCGGTCTAGCTGCTACAGCCCCAATTCTGAACTCATCAGCCAACTGCTCAAGTCTGTTGTCCTTTCTTCGTCGACGAGTCCTCGTCTCTTGACGCCCAATGAGAACAGCTTCGTTTACGAACTTGAAGGCCTGCTCGCTCATCCCGAGGCTCTCATACAGTTTCGCTAGCTCCACGCGGGACTCCATATTCTTTGAGTCATGCTCGGCAACAGTTAGGTAGCAAGTCTCTGCATCCTCCACCTTTCCCAGCTGTGTATAACAATCAGCCATGGCCATGAAATAGCTGATGTCTGCATATTCGGTGGTTTCTTGAATCGGGGTATAGAAACGGAGGGCTTCGTCCAGCAATCCGAATTCTTTGAGGGCATCTGCGACCTCGCGGAACAGGTCACCATAATCAAAGATTCGAGCGCCTTCTGATGTATCGTCTGGGTTCAGCCATTCAAAATGGTGCTACGAGAGGGTCAGTAGATGCAAGCGAATGCTGATGATATGATGAAACTCACCAGAGCTTCATTGTGATGTCTTTCACCCATCTTCAAGCGGAACAGACCCATCTTGATTCGAAGCTCAAGCGGAAGTCCAAGACCGTAGGCATCCCGAGGCCACTGGCCAGGAATGAATCCATCAGTCTTGATACGACGTGGTGAGTCTTCCGGGTCCCATTCCCGGTCGTCATCCTCAAAATCATCCCACATCTCATCATCCTTGCGGCCGAGAAGCCATCTTGCAAGTGCTTTTAGAGCATGGAGGCCTTCATCGGGTTGGCCAATGTAGCCGAAAAGTTCGGCGTAGATGTTGACATCGGACCAGCCAAAATCCCGTACTTTCTCCGGATCACACGTCAAGTAGTAGTCAACACTTTCTGTCCAATGCTCGATTGCCCTTGGCACATCGTTCAGGTCAATATAGATCTCCGCCAAGGATCGAAGGGCCCTAGGACTGTTTGGCTGGTCCTTCAGAATCCGCTCATACTCAGCAGCGGCACGACCGTTGTACCCGAGCTCGCGATAGACTGCCGCTCTCTGATATCGGACATTGTAGCTCTTGGGGCTGATTTCAATCACGCGACTATAACAGTAAATGACGTCGTTCAGAGCGCTTTGCCGATCTTCACCTGCACGCTCCAACAAAAGCCGAGCCACCTTCATCCACACTGAAGGGACTTTCGGTCGAGTATGCGCACCGTTCCACAGAGCCGCCAAGGCTTTGTCTTTCTGACCTTGAGCGAGAAAGATTTCTGACAGCAACGAATGAGCCGTAAACATCTCTGGATTGACTTGAATAGCTTGCATCACCAACTCGGTGGCACGCTCGTAATCACCATCGATGAAGGCCTCAGTGGCCCCAGAATGATACATCTTGAATTCTGGACCGGGTTCCAACGGCTTACGAGGGCCCCTTTTGATGCCTTTACCGCCACGGGCGCCCCAACGGCCAGAGAAGCGGCCTCCTCCTCGTCGGCGACGCCGCCGCGCCCCAGCTGAATCTTCATCATCATCTTCAGGAGGCTCATCGTCTTCCTCATCCCCGCTGGCATCGCCGTCAGTATTGACATGAATTTCCTGTGCTACAAAAGTGCGCACCTCTCATTATCTTCTTCCGTGTACACAAATTCAGAATCTGAGTTTTCTTCACTCAGGCCCGGAGGTCGGACTTGACTCTCTTCTGATAGCTCATCGGCCGAGAAATTTTGCTGGGCTTCGGATTCTGGCTGTGGTTCGTCTTCGGGCAATAAGCCTCCATACAAACGAGGATCAATCACCGATGAATCAAGGCTAACGGTGTTTGATTGTTGGCCCTGCCATGGGTAGTGCAGAGTCTCATCAATATCGGGGTATGCAGATCCCTCCGCCACTGAGGACGAGTCGACGGGAAATTCCCAGTCTGCCATGATGAAAAGCCAGGGTCGGCAAGACCACTCAGATCATGAAGAGTCAATGCGCTTATCTGAGTAGGGCGCTACAATGGTCGACAATGATCAATCGGGGTTTATCTGCGTGACGAACTAGGCCGTTGAGACCATGGCCCAGACCGTCTTAGGCGAGAGAAAAGAAGCGCGTTTCAGATGCAGCCCCAATTATTCATAGTAACAGCTCCACCGACTAAAGAGATAAATCGAATCCAGCTTGGGCTCAGGAACAGATAGCAGAAAGAGGTTCAGGCTGGAATGTCGTAGTCGAATTCACTTTCATTCCCGGAACCCGTGACCCTGAAACTGAAAAGCCTCTTCGCGGCCGCACTTGCTTTTCTTTCTTCCCCCTCCTACTTCCACCACCCTACCCCCCCCCCTTTCCTTTCTTCTAGGGGATCCTCTCGGCTTGTTGTGTTTGACACACTATTGCCTTCAGGTCCTGACTTTCCTTCGTTCGGGTCTTATACGCCGCGGCCCCCTCGTCCTCGAGTCTTCGTCGAAATTCGCGGTGCAGCCACTGGACTGGTCTGTGCCTTCGTTGACGCCTAAACTCGAGATTCTAGGCCTCGCTGTGTTGTCTGGCACCGAAATTTATCTAGGTCCTTTGGTCAGGTTTTCTTTGCTTCTATTTTGTTACGCAAACTCAGCAGGTGCTGCAGGTGTTTTGCAGTAATCTTTTCCTCCACTGTATTTACTATTCGCCTTTCACTTATCTCGCCTTTGAACCATGGCCAGTCATATCATCGGCAACCGCAACAGCACTCCGGAGGCTGTCCCGAACTCCACTCTGCGTCCTCCCTCGTCCGCTCGCAATCTCGGTTCTCACCAACTGCGAGCGTCCGCTGACATGTCCGGATTTCCCTCCCCGCTGTCCTCCCGCAGCATGCGTCCCTCATCAGAGGTTTTCTTCAGCCAGCAGACTCAAGGTCAGAACAGTACGGAGGATGCAATGGATCGGGCAGCTCAGCAGTGGCTGGCGGACATTGACCAGTACGAGACAACGCTGGAGGAGATGGCAGCCGCAACGCTCGATCAAGACTTCAAAGATGAACTCAGTGCCATCGAGCAATGGTTCCGTGTCCTGAGCGAGGCGGAGCGGACCGCGGCCCTGTATGCTCTGTTGCAGCAGACAACCCAAGTGCAGATTCGCTTCTTCATCCAGGTGTTGCAGCAGATGTCCCAGGGCCACCCTATGTCGGGGCTTCTTTCCCCGGCTAACTTTGGTGAAAAGGGTATGCCCTCTGCTTATTTTCCTTGCGTACCAACAACTTCAGCTAACGTAATTTCGTCGTTTAGATGCCATGTCAAGCCGCTTGAGCGATGCCATGTCGAAACTCAACATGGACAGCTCACGGAGTTCTTTGGGCCGGCCCCCGCCATCCCCAGGCGCTAAGCGCAACTCGGGACTCGATCCCTCTACAATTAATGCGATGTTCCCTGATGCTGCTGCTGCAATTGCGAAGAAGAAGGCGGAATTCACTCAACAGACCGGCAATGCCCCTCCCTCGAACCGCAACAGTGCCGTCTTCGACCGCACCTCGTTCGTTGCCCCCACCATCTCGGCTCCCGATAATAGCGATCTGGGCCAGCCTCCGTCATCTCCTTGGGCTCAGCGCGGTGGCCTTTCGGACACTCAGCCTCCCATTGCCCGGCCCAAGTCTTCTTCGGGTCACCATCCTATGGGCCAATTTAATCAGTCGTCCTCTGGCATGCGTTCCCCTCTTCCTCAGAATGCTACGATGCCGGCTCCCGACATCGAGCCTCCGCTTCTCTCGCCTTACAATGTTGGAAACCACAGCTGGGCCTCGATGACCAACACTCCAATGACGGCCACTTTTGGTCAGCAACAAAACAACCAGAACACCCAGGCGGATATGGTTGCTAATGCGACCGCAATGAAGTTGGCAGCTTTGTCCACGGTCAACAACCGCATTGCACTGGATGATGCTCGGAAGTACCGCCGTGCCCGCTCCAACGATGGCCATGGCAAGAACTCGGCTGGTCACCCCAGCCTTTCCCAGGGCTTGGCTAGTCCAGGCCTGTCCGGATCCATGGCCGGCCAGCTGTTGAATGCTCAGCAACTTGCCGCTCTGCAGGCTCAGCAGCAGGCAGCCATGGTGGGTCGGCGATCTCGCCCAGCGTCTCCCGGCATTGCCATGCAAGGAGGCGGACTCGGCCCCATGGGATTCACGTCCCCGCAAAACAACGGATTTTTAGCCGCGTATGACCCGAACAATCCGCTGATGGGCAACGGACTGAGTTCGCTGGGTATCAGCCAGTTCGGTCTCGGTGGTGAAGGGTATCTGTCTGATCATTCGGAGGTCACTCGCGGACGTTCGCCGCGCGGTCGTCGTGGAAGCTCTAAGCCTCCGGAGGATCCCACCGACCCGGCTCTTCTGAAGGACATCCCCAGCTGGCTGCGATCCCTTCGTTTGCACAAGTATACCGACCACCTGAAGGATCTCCAGTGGACGGAGCTGGTTGAACTGGACGACAAGGCCCTGGAGGACCGCGGAGTCAATGCACTGGGTGCACGGAACAAAATGCTAAAGGTAAGGGATTCGCACCATTTCGGGTCATTTCATCACTAACAAAACGATTAGGTCTTCGAGCAGGTTCGAGAAGCCCGTGCTGATGGCAAGCTCGAGAATCTCCCTTGATCTTGATCTCGTCTGCATGTGAGCATGGCATGGCGAGCTGGTTTTCCGAATCAGCGAATCCACTGCCCAAGCGATTTCATGGAATTGAATTTTCTTCAATTTCCACATATCATGTGTGATTTGGTTTTCTTTTTTTTTTCTCTTTTTCATTCTTCATTCTTCCTCATTCGTTCTGTGATCTTTGTTCACCTTAATACGATGGATGTGGGATTCGACATGTATCAAACGCAGTGATGTCAAGAAACGGAATCATGAGGCGACTTCGGGCTACTGAACATTGAAAAGGGTTAATTGTAGATATACACAATTATGTTCCCATTGCAAATCATTCTACTTCGTAGATTCTCCTGGTATGTCTAGTATCTATATGTGTCTATAGCTCAAGGTGGCATCGGCTCATAATGTGGTCCGTGCCCTTCTAGAAACCCGCGCCCGAACCTCCGACCTCGTTTCTCCGCCCGTCGTACGAGTCTCGCTACGACGTCTCTCAATCTTCAATTGCCCATTGTCAGAGTTGCCCGGGGAGACATCAACCGTGCATTACCTGTCCTATTCAGGCACACAGTCCTTGGAAGTATAACTCGAACCAAAGAAGACTGCGACAGCAATCAACCCCCAAAAGCAAGCCCAGTGCCAAACAGACCTTCAATATGGCACCAACAAAGCAGGAGCTCTCCCTGCTCATCCACCCCCTCGTCCCCGAAGCTGTCCAGCACAACAACCGCGTACGTCTGCTCTTCTCCACACCCTCTCAGCAACTCCTCCCGTCCCCCCCCCCCCCCCCGGGGGCCCCCCCCTCCGCCACCTCCCTAACTGCACTCGTCAGACCAAGACCAAGACCAAGACCAAGACTAAGACTAAGAAATAACAGGTTCTCTCCTCCCTCCACAGCCTAACAGCCTTCCTCCTCGGCCTATCCGCCGGAATTCTCGCCCTCCAATCAACAGCCGGCTTCGCCTTCTACTTCGCCGGCACTGTCTTAGTATCAGGCCTCTTCCACCTCGTCCTCCTTTCCCGCTCTGGCGGCGCCGGCGCCGGTGCCTTCTTCCCTGGCGCGGGTGGTGAGATCGAGGGCTCGGTCCAGATGAGCAGGAGTGGGGCTGTGAGGATGGATCTGGGATTGGGTGGGAAGGGGGGCTATATTCTTAGAAAGGGTGCTTGGAGGGATGTTTGGTTTGGCGGTGGTGTTGTTAGTGAGGCATTGAGTGGGTTTGTGCTTGGGTGGGCTGGTGTTGGAGGTGTCTTGAGGTGATTTGTCTTGTTTGCGACTCGATTTTGGTGGCATGGTATGGAATGGTATGATGTTGGATGGACTGGGTGGGTTTATGGCATTTGTTGATACTGTTGGTGTCTTCATGGTGGCATGGCATGATTTCGTGGTGGTGAATTGCTTTATCTATGTTCTGCACATGTGGGATGTCTAGCTGTATTTATCAATGCCAGAGCTACATTTCTCGGTGGAATTCCCATCGGTAGGCTGTATCGATGACTGTGACTCTTTTATAGGCTTTGCATGAGTAACGAGTCAAAATGATGAGGATGGTTGAATGATGTAAAATTCATGCATTTGTTAGCGAAGCAGACTTCTTCGGCTTTCTAATGAAGGAGATTCAAGTTGGAGTTGATTACGGTGGTTAGAAGGGATGGTCAAAAATGTTCAATGCGATCTATATAGGTTGAGGGTATCTCAGCGATTCAAGCAAGCCAGTATGTAATTTGGCCCGAACCCCGGGCGCCGAGGTCGTATATGTGAACTTCCCGAAACCAAGAATGACGAAACCAAGAATGGGAAGAAAGAAAAATAATAATTATATCAACAGGTCATATCAGGTCATGCCAAGTGGCCTCCAAACCAGGGACGGTCCACAGTGGAATCAAAGAACATATGCGTATGCTAGAGAAGAGTGCTTCACATATGTGGGATCTCGTCTGACGAGTTGGCGACTGCACTTTGCAGAGCGCTCGTCAGATCGATGTGGAAGAAGGGTCGATTCATGCCCTGCACGAGTGCCACCTTGCGTCGGCTGCGGTATGCTTTGCTGTCTGTCAGGTCGCGGGAAAGCTTGTCCTCGTGGATAGAGTCGCTGGAGTCGGACGAGGTGGTCTCGACGCGATGTGACTCGCGGGCGGTGGCAGTGGATCCATTCTTCAGGCCGGTCTCCACGTCTTCGTGTTGATCATTGTGGTGCAGGCTATGCTCGCGCTGGTTGTTGACCATCTCGGCCAGGGCGGCAGCGGACGAGCTGCCCTCGATCTCAGCCACGCTGAAGATGGGCTTCCAGCGGTGGAAACCGTCATTAGAGGTAGGTGTGGGGTATCCAAATCCAGCGGCGGCGAGACCACGCTTTGTCCAGCGATTGTTGATATGGGCGAAGTGCCACTGCACTGTTCGAGGCGAAGCGTACAAGTCCAGCTGGTTCCGCACATCGATCAGGTTTTGAATCGAAGTCACGTCCACGTTGTTGACGGAGGAGAAATCGAGAATAACGGCTTGAAGGAGTGGACGGGTGTCCACGGTCTCGTCTTCAGTCTTGCTACCAGCGTCGTTCCAAGGACGATCACCACGTCTCTTGAAGGCGTGGGGATTGGTGCGGCGAGTGGCGCGGAAGATTGTTTGAACCAAATTATCAGTGTAATGGTTGGCGTTGGGATAGTTGAAGCCCTCGGAGAATCGGTAGATGAAGATTCCAGGAAGGGGCTGCTCAACCTCAATGTCGGGGTTGGAGCCATCGGTGTGGTTGATAGGCAAGAATATGGACCGATGAGCATGATCGTCGTGCTGAGCAGGATCCTTGTGATTTCCGAGAGAACCGTACTTTCCATCGCTGTCCAAAAGGTGGTCTCCAACGACCGAGTGGATGGTCACACGTCCAAGGAACTGACCGCGGGCCTTGGCCACACGGAAGAGGAGGACGGCCACGGACACACAGATCGTGCAGTAGATACCGTCCTCAATTGAGGAGAAGACGGTCACAATGACACCAATGAAAAAGATCAGGGCATCGAAAGGAGAGACGCGCCAGAACTGGTAAACGGTATTGGGGTGGGTAATCAGATCACCCACGGCGTGGATAATAACACCGGAGAGAGAGGCCTTGGGAATATAGAAGAACAGGGCGGGCAGGGCATAGATGGCCAACAGCACCACGACAGCGGTGATGCAACCACCCAGAGGTGTCCGCACACCAGCCTTGGACTTGATGGCAGTACGAGAGAAGGATCCGGTCGCGGGATAGGCACCCAGGAAGGGACCAAGCAGATTGGTAACACCGATACCGACAAATTCCTGGGAGGGATCGATAGTGTAGTTGTTCACCCGGCCGAACGACTTGGCAATAGCAATGTGCTCAATTAGAAGAACAATGACGGCAGCTGGGAGCTGGCTGAGGAAAGCTTTGATGATCTTGGGGTCCATGGTCGGCACAGCGGCCTCCTGGAAACCACGCGGCACGGTTCCAAGCAGAGAAAACATCGGATTGTCCTTGCGGTGTAGGTTCACGGCGGCACTGATCATGGTGTAGAAGAGTATGACAAAGACAGTTCGCAGAGTCGATGCGAAAAACCAGATCTTAGCGCGCTGCGGTTGCTTCTTCGCGGCGTAGGTGCATCCAAAACGGATGATATACAACATCGCACAGGCCGTGACACCCATGGCGGCATCAATGGTCGAGCTGGGTAAGTACTTCAAGGTATTGATGATCACCATGTAAGTCGCACCACGGGTGGAGAATTTGGCAGTCTCACCCAGCATGGTAGAGACCTGGCCGGAACAAATGCTGAGCGCAGAGCCGGTCATGAAGGCGGAAATGGCGGGAAGAGGAATGAAATCGACGATGAAACCGAGTCTGAGCAGGCCCATGGCGGTGACAATACCACCTAGAATGACAGCGAGGCAGGACGCAATGACATGACCGGGGACTTCGGGGTACTGCTCCTGGACCTGGAGGACAATTGTGCCGGTCAGCGTAGACATGACGGCCACGGGCTGGGGTCGGTTAGCACATTGCATTTGAAATTCAGATAAAGATACTGAAACTTACTCCGATGGTAATGTCCTTGGATGTTGCAAAGAACCAATAGACCAAAACACCCATAAAGGACGAATACAGACCATACTGTACGGGCAGCTCGGCCAACTTGGCGTAGGCCATACCCTGAGGTACGACGACGGCACCGACGGTGATACCGGCAACCATATCACCGAAGAGCCATTGCATATTGTACCGCCCAATCCAGTTCAGGAAAGGGAACAGACTGATGAGGTAGTCGACGAGTTGACGACCGGACGGAGTGATCTCGCGGATCCATTCGATGCTGGTCGGCTCAGGTTCATTATAAGAGTAAGTGTCGACGGTGCCGACAGAGAAGGCGGACTCGCCGCGAGTGACCGGGTCCGTGGAGCCAAGGGGATCTCTATAGGCGACTTTGATACCAAGGCCCTTGGCGATGCTGTTGCCAATTTTGGCGGCCTTTCCACTCGCCATGATCAATCACGAGCGGGTCTGCAGTGTCGCGTCTGACGAGGTTGAATGACAGATAGCTTTCAATCGATCTCCAATTGAGGGTAGCACAAAAACGGGATGGCGACGACGCAAAGATACAGAGGTGAAAAGAAGCTTAATAGACGAAGCCCATTGTGCCAGCCAAAAAAAAAAAGACAGGGAGAGGACTGTGGAGGCGTGCGTGATATATGGAGTATATGGCGTGATATCGAAGTATGCAAGCTCCCCAGATCTCACTCAACTTCAAATGCACAGGTGCAGCGGGCTGAGGTTAAGGAAGAGGAAGGGTGAAGTGGACGTAGGAAGCCATAAGAATGAAACGCAGACGGTGTCCCACCGATGATCGCACTTCCAGGATATTCCCCGGGATCCACCCGGGCCCTTTCACGACGAGTCTGGAAACGATAACATTACGAACGTGGAAGTGGTTTACGCCGAGGGTCGAACCTAATGATTCCGACTCACGAACAACCTCTCTATATTCCTCCTTGTGATCGTATCACTATTCCTGCATTTCCCATTCCCCACGTCCCTTATTTTTTTCTTTTGTTCCAACTTTTCCTTTTTTTTTTTTCATATTTTCACTATCAAAGAAGCTCAAATCCGGGATCTCCAGTGACATAAGCATAAGCGTACCGCCAAGGGCATGACGAATCAACGCTCCACGCGGGCAACAGACGATCAAAGCAAAACTGGGGCAGACCCGCCTTCTCCCCCAATCACATCCCTTCCCGATGGTGAAATCGACCACGACGATGGTGACAGAGTCAACCAACTTCCCTCTGGTCTGCACCTGGGCCTATGGGTGCCAGGCCCCTCCTACCTAAACCCCTCGAAGTTTTGCCTCCCTCTCAAATCCTGCATTTAGCTTCGGGGTTCGGGCTTTGGGCTTCCAGCTTCCTAGGCGGGGGCCCCTCGTATGTCTGTCCCAGGGACGGAAAGGTATACGCTGGCCTTCCCATCTCCACTCGGTTCTAGGTCCGCTGCCGCGTCCCCAGTCCGCGTCGACTCAGCAGGTCCGCTCTTGGCAGGGGCTTCTCATGCGCCCTACTCTTTTCTGTTAAGCGGGTAAATGGCCAGAGTTAGTCCCCTATACCGTTCATATACTGTGTCGCTATACGAAGAATCGGCTTTGCACCGGTCCACCCTGCGACTGTCCGTTCTTGGAAGCCGTGATCAGCACAGTTTTGCACTTCCTGTCACAGCGAGGGATCACCGCTCCGTGCGCAATCCTTTGGAGCCTGCGCAACGGGTGTGGCAGGCCAACGGGGCCTCTGAAGTACGACGGGACTGGCTGTGGTCTGCACGTACCTTGCCACGCCATCCAGATCAGAATCACGTCATGGAGCTGATCACGGCCCATAATTTTTAAAACAGTCTCCGAGCTTTGCATATCAGATCTTGACTTCTGAATCCACCGTTCTTTCGAGAAATTGCTTCGTAAAGCTAGTCTATTTTTGTCATCCCCAGTCTAACACGTTCCATCCAGGACTGGGTGAGTGTCCCTCGGAGAACAGTACCACCTGTAGATCCGATGTGCCATTCACGTCGCCCTGTTCACCTTCGCAACGTGGTTGATAAAATCCTCTTTTCTTGTTACTTCTTCCATTTCCCCCCTCCTCCTTTAGGTGACTTTGGCGTTCTCATGCGGATGATCTGATTTGACCTGGCCCACGATACCATCTAGACTCCAGCACAATACTGTGGCACAGCCGCTCGATGCACTCCCCATACAAGAATACAGGGACTATTCCGGAGGAAACTATTGCCTTCCCTGAGCCTATGTGCGCATGATGTCAGCCCTCCTGGGCACAGATCCGAGATGGATATGCAGGGCACGAACAACGTGCTTGGCGAACCTAATCGCTTCAATCCCATTCGTCATGATTTGTCCTCACTTTCCTCGTTACACGATAGCTCTGTGTCCGAGGCTGTGTTTGCCGAATGGGTCTGTTGACCGCTGGTCTGCGGCTGATGGAACCGCGGATGGGTATCATCGGATGTAATGGGTGATGAGAATCCCACCCGATAGGCGTCTGTTTCCTGGAAATACTCTTAGACACCCATGATAGACAGGGAGTCGCTGCGATAATTGATTTAGACTCTGCACTAATTGCCAATACACGTGTTGGGACAAAAGTGAATATAGTCTTGGCTTGAAGGGCTCAGCGAGGTGCTACTTGCTGGTCCCAGAGTCACGCATAGCTCTTGTACTTTCTCTGAATAACCTCGTAACTCTCAGAGCTGCCAGGAGTCCCCGTATACTATGACTGATCGGATCAAATCATAATGGCATGATGACTGCGTGTCTCTTGGCTGGCAAACATGTATGAGCGATGATGCCATCTTGTCTCCAAGGCTCGTTCTGAACCTTGTCACTTGGATTCACTTTGATTCTCCAAGAACCGCTCTCGACCTTGGTAATGTGGTCATGTGGTCCATCAGGTGCTGGCTCCTCCTTGAAATATGCCCAAGACTAGGCGATGTACTAGAAGTCCCAGCAGGAACGGTTCCACGGTATCAGTCATGGCCCCCAGTTGACTTCAAAAGTTGGGAACACGACTTTAGGAACAAATAATGGTGGTTCATCTCTGCGGCTCCATTAGATGACCCCTGGCCCCATGTGCAGTCTCCAGTAATGGAGAGCCCGGGTAAAGCACCCCAAGCATGTCTAACAAGGTACTCCGCCGGATCGCAAGCCTTTTAAAGCACCTACTTTCCTGATAATCTTCACCCTCCATTCTACTGCAATTACAGCTACTCTCAAAAGATCGGTCATTGCCAACGAAAAATGCATTCAAGCGAAAAACCACGCAATGTCTATCCAGAGTCATCAGTGCAGGCTAGAAAAAAAAAGCAGAAAAAAGAAAACCCATCATGATCACCCCACGATCACCACACCCATCAATCAGACGAATGGAGGGAATAATGTCTTCCATTTGATTCCCTCGCATCCGAGGCTGCTTCGTGATCTCATCGTTTCATCATGGCTTCTCTTCGTCATCGCAAGTCCTGCCACCCCGTCCAATTCCCATGGCGAAAATAAGGTATAAACCGCATGAGAACAATGAGATGAGCATCATCAGACAAACAGGAAGTTACAGGGGAGAAAAGAAACAGAATTAAGAAGATATGGATCTTCTGAAATTCGAGCAAACGCCATCGCAAAGCAAGTGGTTCACATGACCAGAATAGAAAGTGAACGGTCCCAGCCTTCATGCCGGCCGGCCCCTTCACATGGTATCATAAGCGAAGTTTCATCAGTGGCTCCGGCTCGGGCCTTTCCTGATCACGTCGTTGCTCTCTCGCGCTTACTGAGAGGCGCACTGCACCCGCTCAGCACCCGCGGGAACATCGTCATCATCCTCATCCATGGCACCAGCAGCACCGTGGGCGCGGGCTTGAGAGCCTTCGCTCGCATCCGGGTCCTCAAGCTCGAAGTCCTCGACCATGGCATCGGCCGGGGGCTGATGCTGCTGGACACGGGGAGGAAGCACCTTTTCGAGGAGCTCGAGGTTCTGCAGCTGATCCTTCTTGGGGAACTTGACGTCGAACTTGATATAGAGGTTGCCGTGGTCGTGGTGGCGGAACGAGGCATACCCTGGCCGTGGATGACCTTAATGGCATCTAGGAGGAAAGAAGGATTAGCAAAACAAAGGATCCTCATTAATTAGTTAGGACGAAAGAAGACATACCGGGAACGATAACCTCGCCAGCGGCGATGTTAACAGTCAACCACCGCTCGTCAAGGTGCTCGATGTGAATGCTACCACCGGCAAGGGCAGTCAGGAGGTCGATCTCAGCCTGGTAGAATAGGTCGTCGCCCTTGCGCTGGAAGCGGGGGTGGGGCTTCTGCTCGATCTCGAAGACAACATCGCCAGGCATAACACCAGGCATCTGGTCACCCTCGCCGCGGAACTCGATCTTGTGGCCGTCGCGCACACCCTTATCGACGTGGACGTGCAGCACCTTGCGCTCGACAATGGTCTTCTTACCGTTGCACTTCTTGCAGCGATCCTTATCGCGGATGATTTCACCCTCGCCGTTACAGTCGGGGCAGACGGTCTGGAAGCGCTGGATCATAGGACCCATCTGGCGCATCATGGTCTTCATACCGCTACCGTTACAGCCTGTGCACTCCTTGACGGCACCCTCTTTACCACCGCGGCCATCACAGCCGGGGCAGATGACGGACTTCTGCAGGGCCAATTTTGACACCTTACCCTTGTAGATGTCCTCCAGGTTGACCTTGTGCACATGATGAATGGTACGGGCCTTCTTCGGGCCAGTATCGCGCATGCCACCACCGAACATGCCGCCGAAGCCACCACCACCGCCGCCGAAGAACTGAGAGAACAGGTCCTCGGCGTTCATGCCACCAGCACCGGCGCCACCCTCCAGGCCTTCCTCGCCATATTGGTCGTAGATGCTGCGCTTCTGATCATCAGACAGGATCTCGTAAGCGTGCGACAGTTCCTTGAACTTCTCAGCGGCCTCCGGGTTGTCGGCGTTCTTGTCTATATGGAGCGAGTCGAAGTCAGCAAAAATCCCGAGCGGTCTGTAGAATATACGATCGGACACATACCAGGGTGATACCGGAGAGCACCCTTCTTGTAGGCAGTCTTCAGCTGGGCCTCAGTAGCCGTGGGGGCAACCTATAAAAAGCGAAACGGTATGTTAGTCGATCCTCCTCTGCTGTATGCTCCCTAGCAATCTCAGAATTGGCCCAAACATACCCCCAAAAGGTCGTAGTACTTGGTCTCCTTGACCATTGCGACGAAGCAAAAGAACGTGGAAGATTAAATGAGAAAGAGACGACGAAGAGGGCGTAGAAAGAGATGCCCGAGGTGGTGGGGTTGGATGGGTGTGGAAAGGTTGAATATCTTAAGGATAAGAGGAGCCGAGAAAAGGCTGAGTAACTTTTTTCCCAGGTACTGTACGAACCCCGTTACAATAAATTACCAGGGCTTTTGGAACACTTTTCTTCGTCTCTCTTCGACCTGGCTGCCTTTTTGTTTTTGCTATAATAAAAAAATTTTGTCAAAGAAAGCCTGCTAGTACCTTCTCGGCCTCACCTTCTGGCGGGTTCTCTGCCTCACGGCGGCGTGTAACTGGCCCGAGCGCCGATTCCACGGGATTCCGCGGTCTTCGATGACTTTCGCTGATGTTCTCCGCGCTTCCGTGTGCCACGGTTGTAAATAATGTACAGTAATTAAAGCGCGTATTGATGAGTAATGATGATCAGCGATCATTGATTGACTCTGCTTATTCAGGTGAAGGATCTGTTCCTAAGTTTGTTTGTTCCCAAGGTTGACATCAACAGGGCTCGCCTCCCGGGGTTTAAACGGAGTTCTAGTACTCTCAGAGACCAAAACTTGTGAAAGGCTAGCATCTAGAATCCAACGTCCGCACTCTAGAATACTTCCAGAATACTTCCAGAAACTAGGCTACTGAACCCCAAATTCTACAATCACGAATCAATACAGTAGAGAGTGAACTTTCCCCGCCACAACACAGCCACATCTTATCGATAAGCGGAAAGGTTCTGCAAACGTCGGCACTCGCCGACGATAAGGTGATAATGAACTTGCTTCCCCTCATTCCGCTGTAGAACCCCCCTCTCATCTGTTAGAAAAAAAACTCATTGACCCTCAATTCCATCATGGACGAGCCCGGATTTATCGCAGCTGTGGAGGAGGCAAAGCTTGGCTACGCCGAGGGCGGCGTTCCGATTGGCGCCTGTCTAGTATCCAAGGACGGCAAGATCTTGGGCCGAGGCCATAATATGCGCGTGCAGAAGGGTAGCCCCGTGCTGCATGTCAGTGTCCATATTGGCTCCTTTGCTCCAATTGAGACTAACAAGATCCTAGGCTGAGATGTCTGCGCTCGACAACTCTGGCCGTCTTCCTGCCTCCGCCTATGAGGGCGCTACTATGTACACTACCCTCTCGCCATGTGATATGTGCACCGGCGCATGCCTTCTCTACAAGGTGAAACGTGTGGTCATTGGTGAAAATTTGAACTTCATGGGTGGAGAAGAGCTCCTCAAGAACCGCGGCAAGGAAGTTGTTGTCGTGGATAATCAGGAGTGCAAGGACTTGATGGCCAAGTTTATGAAGGAGAAGCCGGAGCTTTGGTAAGTCATGCTTGTCTTTGTTATATCTCTGAGAAGTGGTATCCGTGCTGGGCTTTGCTGAGAAAGTATGCGCCGTGCTAATTGTGACGCCGTACAGGAACGAGGACATCGCTGTTTGAATTCACAAAAATAGAAGATTTGCATATAGTAGCTCAGTCAATGCTTAACGGTGCTCCATATTCCACCTTATTCATGTTCATATTCAAATTGCTGAGTCCGCTAGGACCTCGTGTATCGTCAAAGCTATTTGGCTCGTGGCTGGAAATCATCTTTCGTTGAGTATAGTGATTATTTTGTAAGACGGTGGATCTCTTCGAAGAAGAATTTGAGATTCTCCGGGTCAACAAAAGGAGTGACGCCTGTTCTTGAGTCAGTATTAGACACATGAGAGGTGAGATCATGCACGTACCGTGTCCCAAGTTGCAAATCCAACCCTGCTTGCCCTTCTTGAAGCCCTCAACCATCTTCTCCACAGTAGGCGTAATAGACTGGGGACCACCATAAAGGATGCCGGGATCGGCATTACCCTGGATTGTAACCCGGCCATTGGCAACGCGCATCGCCTCAGCGGGGTCGTGCAGCCAGTCCAGACCGACAACATTATAGCCCGACTCGCAAAGGTCGTCGAGAGCGTACCACGCACCCTTAGCAAAGACAGTCATAGGAACGGGCTCCAGGCCCATCTCCTTCAGGCGCTTGGGCAGGTTGGTAGAGATGTGACGCAAGTAAGGGAGAGAGTGCGAGGCGAAAGTGGCTGGGGAAAGCTCGCCGGCCCACGAGTCAAAGACCTGAACCAGCTGGGCACCGGCAGCAACCTGAAGCGCCAGATACTCGACACAGACCTCGGCAATCTTCTGTAGTAGAGCCTGAGACTCCTTCGCGTACTTGTAAACCCAGGTCTTGGAGTGGACGAAAAGCTTGCTACCACCGCCCTCAACCATGTAGCACAACAGGGTCCAAGGCGCACCACAGAAACCAATGAGCGGGACACGACCCTTGAGCTTGAGACGTGTGAGCGTAATAGCCTTGTACACGTAGTCCAGCTCGGTCTTCACGTCCACATTCTTTGCCATGACCTTCTCGTACTGTCCGTCCGTGGGCGATTGCAGCGGCTCGGGGAAGTGAGGGCCCTTCTTATCCAACATCTCCACCACCATTCCCATGGCCTGGGGGATAACCAGGATATCAGAGAAGATGATGGCCGCATCGATGAGGCCATCATATCGGTCAATAGGCTGAAGGGTCAAAGTCGAGGCGATCTCAGGCGAGCGACAACATTCGAAGAAGTCACGACCACCCTTGGCTTCATGGTACTCGGGAAGATAGCGACCGGCTTTTTTGTAGCTGTTAGACACTCTCATTGGGACTGCAAGCCGAGGTGAATGCAGAATCGAGCTTACCCTGTCGCATAATCCAGATCGGAGGACGTTCCACCTTCTCACCTGTGACTGTCAACGCCAATTCATCAGGAGCTGCTTTCATGACTTACCCCGTGCTGCCCGCAGCAGCAGGTCGTTCTTCAAAGGCTCAAATTGTTCTTGCATGGTTGCTGGTCAAATACAAGAGGAGGGGAAGTGGGATTTCTCGGGGAGCCGCGGGCCGACCCAATTGGGTTAAACTGTTCCCCCACCATGCCTCATATAACCATCAGAGCTTTCCGGTCCCATTGCCAAGGCTGGTTAACTCAGTTGGTAGAGTATCTGATTCCAGTCCAGAAAGTCGGGCGTTCAAATCGCTCACCGGTCAGCAATTTTTGTTTTTCTTACACTCCTCCATACAATTGCTACTCAATTGATGGACACAGACCTTTTTGGCGCATCTCAGAAGAGCCTCAATGCCCCCCAGCCCAGCACGGGAATGGTGCTGAGATGGAGGGTCACGCGACATATAATTACCGAAGCATCTTTCAATTTTTGAAGAATGGGGAGAATCTTGAGAATTCAGCATAAGTAAATATCAGGTGGACGGTCTACAGCCCTAGAGCCGGGCCAAGAAGAAACATAGGATGGCCTCAAGATGTGTTAAACCATATATTGGAAGCAAAAAGATGCCTAGAAAAACCTTCAGAAACTAGCGCGCTCAATCTACCGAGACCCCTTGATGGACAGATAATCAAGTCTATGAGGCTGCCTAGACTCTCTTAACCTTGTAAAATTTCTCTTCTCATCATTCGTAACAGGAGTAGAATGGACTAGAACGTCAAGTCAGTCATCGAAACACGTCGAACAGCATCATGGTAGGACTCACTCTTCTTCACCCCTCCAACCAACACATTTGTAACAATCAAAGATATGAGTAGAGTCATACTTATTCTTCACCTCCAAAAGTCTGGCATAATTAGATCCGAAGTAGGTCTGCTGCGAATCTGGCTCCAGGTAGTGCGCTTCATTGAGGTACGCTCCGCCACCCGGACTCAATTTCTTTAAGGGTTCCAGCAATGCCAGGAATCCAACTGCGGTCTTCTGCAGCACATCTTCCTCCAAGGGCTCCAGCCATTCTCCAACATGAATTACATGCCAAAGTGCATCGCGCCAGGCTGGATTGGCAGATGATGCTTGGTTGCTATCAAGGTTGGTGACAGGAGTCTCCGGGACAATCTGGGTGCCTGTCAGATTGAGGAGACTCCTAGATACCGCTAGACCATGCAATACACCATCCACGAGCTCATCAATGCTTTCCGGGGCAGTGAAAACTTTGCGGGGAATGAGCCGAGAGCTAAGCAGAGAGAAAATGCCAGATGGCTCAGTGACCTTGGCATCGGCGGCAGTGACGGATAGATAGCTTGCATAATTGGTGTAATAATTGTAGTTGTTTTCTGAAACTGAAAGGTCCGTTCTGTTGCTGAGGAAATTGGCAAATGAGGCAGTGGCAGACTTCAACTTGGAGCCATCATCTCCATAGACTAGCACCAGGCCGACGGTGAATTTTTCTGGAAAATGATCAATCTGCCCTGTCACCAGTTGAGCTGACCAGTCAATTTGATTCTGCGCATGCGCTGTTATTATCTCGCGAAGAGCGACATTTTTTCGTCGCATCAGAGCTATAATCAACACCTGTCAAATTGGCGGTAAAGGTGTAGGTATGAATTGGTAGCGAGGGATAGACTTGAATGCGATACTTGGTGAGGATGGCATAAGTGCCGCCTCCTCCACCACGCATAGCCCAAAACAGTTCTGGATCATTGCATTCGTTGATAACGCGTAGCTCTTCGTCGGCACTTACCTCTTCGAATTCCACAGCATTGTCGACCATCAAGCCGTAGGTCGTCGTAAAAGACCCGATGCCTCCCCTTGACCGAATCCCCCCGCCAAGCCAACTGACTGCTCATAGCCTCCAGGAATATCCATGCCATGGCCATTGAAGAAACGATAGGCATCTCCTGCAATGACACCGGCTCCAAGTTCTCCAACGTTTTGTCTATTTGCCGAGGGACAATTGCTGGCGGTGAAATTGGAGTAGAAGTTGAGGGTATCGAGGTGGTGAGTCCAGATGGCAAGGGTATTTGGCACTGAAGATCGACCATAAAAATCATGACCAGTATTCTTGATACTGATGGGGATGTTATGGGACTTTGCAAATTTGAGCGCAGCAGAGATGTGGGATGGTTCACGAACATCGACATAATAGGATGCCAGTCTCCCAATAGAACATGTCGCATACATCTTCTCTTCCGGGTTACTCTCAAGAAGCGTGCAGCCGGAATCGCGACAGGTCTCCCAGTTTAACCAATAGGTTTGCCCGAAGTGCTCTCCACGAGCAACACTGTCACCGTAGTAGCTCTCGACAACTTTGCAGGCAAGCTCGTCATACCAGGGTGAGTTTCTATAGCAGGGAGCGGCTATAGGAATCGTTTCATAGAGATGCCCACCGATACTGGCGTTGAATTGTTGCCATTCGTGTGTGGACGGCCAGCATTCTCGACCAGGTCGACAATCGTAACCAGGGTCAGAGGCTGCCACTAGGCCAAGAGAGGTCCAATTGACCATGTCGAGTCTAGTTTCAATCGAATTGATACTGGATCTTGAAACCCGTGGATGAGATTGGGGCAATGAGAAGCCATTCTCCCGTATTATGGCTACGCCTTATATACTCCAAAGTCTTCTCCTTTCAGCAGCTCAACTGCTTACAGCTGTCCCTGACTTACTCCAAGAGGTATTCTCATCGAAATCTCACGCATCCGCTCGTTGTGGCCTGTGCCCGTTGTAATCGACATGACTGTTCTTTCCAAGGCTCTCCTCTCCGCCAGCGGACCAGGCAGCGAGTCGATCGGCTCCGAGGGGGAGGTATCATTCACGACGAACAGGGTCCCTTGACATGGCGCGACTGACAAGAAAGCAACTGTCTCAATGGCAACAAATGGCACTAGGATATTCCAGCCTTATGGATCCTTATGTCGTCGATCGAAACACTTTCTCTTTTCGGTTACGCGGGAGAGACCCACCTATCTGACCAATGATCTTCCGCAGCCACCGCCTCCCATGCACTGAATCGAACCATAGCGACCATTAATCTACCATTAATTTATCTCAAATGACTTTTCCACAGACCATTTGCCCATTGCGGCAAGCCTTACGGCCTGAGAAAATCATGAATCACGCTAGACTAGGGCCAGCACGGGTGACGGGGCCTTACGGGCTCCAAAAGCTTACTTTTATCTTTCGCTAAGTCGGGAATACAGTGAGTTTAATTTTCGCGTGAAGGCTTTTTGCAAGGCTTAGCTACTGCGCTGTCGTTACCATATCAGTAACTCAAGTAAAGAAGGATAATGGGGAGATTTTGTAGACATGGGATATAAAGACTGACTTTGTCTTTGCACGTCCATATTGTTTCCATCAACACTCAGCTCACTCGAAGAAAACCCACCCATATAATTATATTATACTCTTCAGATTCCAAATCACAACTTCTCAAGCATCCGCATTCACAATGGGTGGTGTCACTACAGAAGGCGTTGCTATTGCGGAGCTAATAGTATACATTCCAGTAGCACTGTGTGCCTTGTTCGTGGTCTTCCGCCACGGCTTTCACAAGCAGCTAGGATGGATCTATCTCGTCATCTTCAGTGGTATTCGAATTGGTGGGTCTATCATGGAAATTCTCAGCACCAAGAGCCCCGACAACGCCAGTGATAAGGAATGGGCCACGATTCTCCAATCAGTCGGCCTTTCACCCCTTCTACTCTCAACACTTGGGCTTCTTAAGAGAATGTTCGTTCGATCTTTTCCCCCTTGGATGCGATTAAACTTGACATTAACGGCTTGCAGTATCGACGAGACTTCTGAACGGGTTCCCTCGGATCCAACTTCAGGTGGGAATCTCATACTGCAAGGGTTTGCTGCTTATTCTGGCATCATTGGGAGACTGTAAGTTTCCACAACGAAAGTTCAAAAACATGCAGATGTCAATTGACAATTTCTTCTGGGTCAGTGTATCAATCTATACCAGCAAAGCGACCGCCACTTCCCGCCGAAGCAAAATTATCCAGCTCATCCACATCCCTGCCCTCATCGCCCTCATCTTAGCCATCAGTGGTGGCACCGATCAAGCCTCGTCCAACGTTTCTGACCACCAGACCGGCAAGGCAGAGACTAGAGCTGCCATAATCCTCTTCCTGGTAATCTATGTCGCTGCCTGCTTCTTCTGGGTCATCACAGTCCGTGATCTGGGCAGAATGGTATTGAGCCAGAGGCGTCTCTTCCTCGGCATTCTTCTCGCATTGCCTCTCATCGCCGTTCGCTTGCTGTATAGTCTGATTACTGATTTCACCAACAACCCCAAATTTTCATTCGTCGATGGAGATGCTGCAATCCAGCTCGGTATGGCTACAATTGAGGAGTTCATTGTGGTTCTCATGTACACGATTCTCGGCCTGATCACTCCTCGCTCTACTATTGATCCTGCGGTGGGCGGTGGGATCGTTTCTCAAGAGGCTTATGGTCTTGCGACGGAGACTGTAAACCCCAGGGCGATGGATGCTTCCAGCTCTCCTTATGATGATGTTCCCTATGCTCACGCTGGGGCCAAGCATGCTTATAATGCCGCGAAAAGCTATTAGGGGCCGATCTCCTGCATACGATATGAGTTTGTCCGAGGGGCGCATCAATGATTAGAAGACTTGACTAGATTGCTTGCTGCATTGTTTTCACATGATTTGAATTGCTATCTACAAGGAGTACAAAGTTCAAGGGTGCGATTGTAGATTCGCTATGTATTGTACGACATTTCACAATATCTTAATCTTAAGACTTAGTACGCTTTTTCCTTGATGATTGCAGTAAGCAACGCTTTTGAAATTCCGCATGGACAAAATATGACCCCGTACTAACCATCAAAACTCGGCGTACCGTTCTCCGGTGTCAGCCAGGCCCGAGAATGCATACCTTTCCGCAGTAATTTGGCCATAGCCAGCGCTTGGTTGATGCCCATGGAGTATCCAATCTTATCAAGACATAATGTGATCCATTTACGAAGCTCATCGGAGGCCAAGCCCGAATTTGCAGCAATCAATAATGGCCAGACTAGCGTGACGCCCCCTGCTCCCGTCACCTTGAACGGACTAGAAGGTGACTTCCACATGCCTCCTGATCCCGTGCTAATTGTGGGGCCTGGGAAGGAAGCAGTATAGGATTGGTGCGTGGAGTCAGCGCTAGATGATGACGGCCCTGAATTTTGTTGGGTCATCGGTGACCATGGTGACGGGGCAAACGGAAATGAGCCAGACAAGAAATCCCAACAGCTGATATCGGAGACGTCCTCGGCCGCTAGACTGAAAGTCTCAAACTCGTGGCCGCCTTCTATGCCTGCACCCAAATGAAATGGAACGCTAGCACAAATGTCTTCCACGAGTTGTTGCGCGATCTGACGGCTCTGGCTAGCCAAGTTGAGCCGCTGTTGAGAACCATTGTCATCATACCCTAGAGAGTTGATGTCATTCACGGTGTCAATGATCAGTTCGTGAATGAGGATTCGAGCAGAACGGTAGTTATTCCACAAGCTGCTTGCAGTCAGGTTGCTGTACACGTGATAGCTGTTCCCCCAGACAGCTTGAGTGATGCGCTCTCCGTCAACTATTGGGACCTTGACGGTTTGGTAGTTCCATGGAGGACGCACGCTTAGAAATAATGCCATAAGTTCTGCATCAATAGTCAAGGCAGTACGCAGAATCTCGCTTGGCTCCGTTATGGTTTTGTTTTTCAATGATGCGCAGAAGTTGCTGAGCTTGATAACTAAAAGACCCAAGTCATCCTGGATTTGGTCCTCGGAGTTCCGATGAAGCTTAGCGCTCTCCGTCAGCTGGGCGAGTATTGGTGAGCTATACTGTTCTCGGTAAATTTTGCTAACGCTCTGAGCCAAATCAGTCCAATATTCGGATAACACGTAGTATTCAGCTTCCAATGGCAACTTACAATCTGCGCCCGCAACTGAGTAAACATGTCTAATCCTTCCTGTCTAGTCAGCTGCTCCGGACCTCGAAACTCGATTAGCTTCGCGGCGCCCTCCATGTGCTTCATCCAACGTTCGATGAATGAGTCATCCGTGCAGGTCATCACCTTTTCTAAGTCAGACACCGATATACGAGATGGTCAGCTGGCATTGCTTACTTCAAACATGCCCAGTAAAACCACTGCCGCCAGGATGTCATCCCTCTTTGACATGACAGCATCTTTCAAGGCATGGTTCGTCTGCGATAATGCAGTGGTGTATTCGCGTCGTGCCTTCAACATCATCTGTGGAGCTAAACGAATGTTGGACAGGGCGGCCAATCCCACAGCATTCAGGGCAGCATTGACAGCCGAATTTGCTGGGTCATTGATCAAAGGAATTAAATACGACATGTGGCCGCCACGAGGACCGCCGGACATGTAATGTGAGAATAGATAGCCCTTCGCAAGTTCCTGCTCCGGATACACAGGGCCACGTCTGGGAGAAAGACCGCCAGTTTCGAAGGATGATGCAGCAGTGCTGGCAACCGTATGATCAACTGGGTCCTCGGTCGTTCTGGCGATAGTGGGCACCGTGCGCTGTTGCTTGTGTGTGAGGCGTTGCGATTTACGGATCACTTCCTGGCTTTGATCGCGGAAGCCTAGATCAAGTAGATCTCGATAACCTGGGCAATCCACCCGGGCTCTCATACATTGCGTACATTCTGGAGCTCCTTGATCACACTATGAAGAGACGGTATCAGGGTCTCACTCTCCAGCCCTGTCGTACATGTGGGCTGAAGCGTACCTTCAAGCGACGAGTCCGACAGCGCTCGCAGGCATTGCTTGGCTTTCCACGATACACCATCGAGAGTCGAGTCGCGGGGGTCGGGCTTACCGTAAGCAGTAGTCGATGCACTCGATCCCTTGAGTCTATTGGAAGTTGGTCTGTCAACACTTGAAGGGGAGATGACGGTTATATGTCAAGTTGGGCTAGCTGTTCGACAAGCTGCAGGACTAAAGTCGCCCCCACCCAAAGGACCCGCGAAGCTGGAACAACCACCGGATCAGGAAAATGGTATGAATCAGACTGAAGCTCCTGTAATTATGGTCAGACAACTTCGCTTATTCCTTCCGCGAACCGTGTTGTGCATGACTCGTCTAGCGCGATCGCCTCAGATAAGCAGAGACAAGGTTGTTCCACTGATCTGCGTCTCAATGACCCCAGTTGAGGGCCCTAAGCGAAGGCTCGTGTTCCTTTCCATCACCCTGAGAGGGGCCACCGGGATGCATAATTCGGTGGATCCATCTGCCTGTCGGTCTCAATTTGGGCTTTCAGTTAACTTATCATACAAAATGCCTTAGCTGCTTCTGTAGCTTGGGTCGTCGCTTGACTTCGGTAAAGAGAAAATGCCGCGAAAGTCTAGCCTTGACATCTTCGCCTTTTCAATTTGATTTTAACCAGGAAGTGGTGAGATGAGAATGCCCGTGAATTTATAAATAATTATCTTGGAAATAAATTGGGAGAACCGAGCGCAAGGAGAGACCTTATCATTGAAGATTCGCCCGCGAAGATTGAATAATTCATTTTCCTCAATCGCTCTCATTACCTAAGGTTCTGCTCATCCCAGTCATGCCTGAATCCACAACAGTCCTCTTTGTCCCCGACGCATGGCATAGTCCTGACTGCTTCGATACGGTGATTCAAAGACTCGAGGCAGCCAATTACGCGACCTGCAAGGTCCATCTACCCTCTGTCAACCCACCCAGTCATTATCTTGACTTCTCAGCTGATGTATCACACATCCGCGCTCAGATCGAAGCCGCAGTGGATGCGGGTCAAAATGTGGTGGTTGTCGTTCACTCTTATGGCAGCCTTCCATCAAACGAAGCTATCAAAAGACTAGACAAAAAGACACGACAAGACAAAGGGCTGAAAGGTGGTGTCTCGCACCTCTTCTTCTGTTGCTCCTTCATCATCCCCGAGGGACAATCGCTGATTAGTGCCTTTGGCGGGAACGACCTGCCTTGGTTCAATGTATCTGACGACCGACTCGAAGTTCACCCCGCGACTCCGAACAAAGTTTTCTACAACGATTGCGATGATGAACAGGTGAAGAATGCTGTAGCTGCTCTCGGGGCACACAGCTACCAAACCTTCCATAGCCCGTGCACTTATGCAGCGTGGAAACACGTCCCGAGTACCTATCTTTATTGTCTGAAGGATGCAGCGATCCCATTGCCCGTGCAGGTGATGATGGTAGAGGAGATGGCTAAGGGCTTCGACATAAAGACAGAAACGGTCGATGCGTCGTACAGTCCCTTTTACAGCAAGCCCGACGAGTTAAGCGCCGCAATTCGACGTGCGGCAGGCGATGACGTTTGAGAGCTGTCATTATATAGTACATAGGCGGCATTCAAATGCTCCAGGGCTTTAGTGGTAGTTGTCAAATTAAGTGGTCATTGCATGCATTCGCCCCTCAAGGTGCCTTTCCAAGCTTTTTGTCTTGGTATACATTACTGCATTGTAAATGCCTTGGCTCAATCTTCAAACTTCATCTTCCGAAGATTGACCAGTGTGTATAAGTAATCATCAAATGTCTTCTTGTCCTTCTCGTCAAGACTCGTCGAAAGATCAGTAGTCCCTGCGGCATTGATTTCAGCCGTCATTGAGTCATCTGCCGGGCTCCAGGTGAGACTTCCTTGGAAGGAGCTGACTTGGATCGTTTCGATCAATGTCTGAGATGCGCCGGGGCTCGATTTCCACGTCTCTGTTGAGCCAGGTTCCCGGACAGTGTCCACAGAGACGCAAATGGTTCCCTTCGAGGGAATAACAGTCACGTCTAGAACGTTTCCGGAGAGCTGGACGGTACCCTGAGACTTGAGGGTAATCCCACCCTCAAGAGTGAAGGATAGAAGCTGTGGGCACCTGGTGTAGAGGTTAGCTAGGTTCGTTGACTCATCTGGGGCGATACATACCCTTCCAAAGCAACCAAAATGGCATTCACAGGACCATTGACTTGTTGAAGAGACACTTCCCAGATTCCGCGAACAATGACATCTTGGGATTGCACAGCCTCCTTGAGTGAAACCTTCTGGATTATTTGCCCCGCTGTCCAGTTCCAGGCAATCAAGTAGCCATCGCCCCCACCAGAGATCAGTACCTGGGGGGCCCACGAGGGAATGCAGAGCTTGCTAACAAACGAGGTGTGCCCCAAGCAGTACTGCTCAATGACGTGTGCTTGAGGAACTCCGCGAGAGACACGAATATGCTCGTCGCGGTCAGCAGTGAGGACATAGTTCCGTGCGCGACTGTCAGGCGAATCTCCAGGCACGGATACGGAGATCAGATCCAAAAGGACTGACACATGACCAAGGATAGCCCGATGCTCGAAGTTAAGAGCCTCTTTCTCTTGCGGGGCGGGCCGATTAGGGGCTGTTCGCTTTTGCTGTTCCAAGGACTCCAGGTTGCGCTTTGTGTGCACTGTGAGTGACGTCGCCGCAGTAATTCCCACGTGGTGTGGCTTTGGCTCAGCACGCTTCACGTACTCCCCAGGAATCAATGGCAAAGAATAGGCATCTCCGAACTTATCACCGCACAGAAGAGTTTGACCATCAGGTGTCAGTACCAATGAACTTAGGCGCTTTGCCATTGTTCTGCGAGCATATTAGTATTTTCAGCTACTACAGATGTGTAGAGATATCACTTACCGAGAGCTGAGCTGCTGCAGCTTGCCCTCTTCACTCAAGCTGAAAACACGGATACACTTGTCCTCGGTGGTAACGGCCGCTACATATTTGCTGTCGCGAGAGACGACCATGAGAGGAATATTGGTCCATGTCAGGGCTTCGTTTTTGCCGCTCTTCTTTGGCGCCTTCTTTTGCTCCGTTTTTTCTTCGGAGACAATTTTGTTCTCTTCCGAGAGAGTCTGTCCCTCCATAGAAGTAGCAGGAGCAGCAGACTCCGAGCTGTCTATGTCTTGGGGCCATACATCGAGGCGCTGACCAGTGGCTGCGGAATAGACATATAGTTTCCGGCCTGCTGAGGCAATCAGCACATTCTGCTGGCCGTCTGCCTGTCGATTGACATATTCCAGACACTGAAAAGGGTGTTGGAAGCTCGCCATGACGAACGTGATCTTGAATGGACTCGGCAAAAATTTCCACGCTGCAGAAGGTCAATATAGGTGCACCAACCGGTTTCATAAAATATGTCCAACTCGTATGATAAAGGAATATCAGTCAAGCGAGTCGAATTGCCCAGTAATCAACAACAAAAAAGAACTTCAAGGATCTCGATCTTGATCTTGATCTCGAGCTTGAGGAGCTCCCACGTCGCTTACTCACCCGTCCCAGTAGATATCATCACGTGACGCACTAGCGAACCGAAAAAGAATTTCCCACAATTCCACACTCGGGAACTCTCTTCCTCCATCAACCACCAAATACCCTTAAACAACCTATCTTCATAACAACAAGAAGAAATGGGGGGCAAGTCCGCTACCAAGGCCGCTTACTTCGATAAGCTCAAGGCCCTTCTCGATGAGTACCGCACCATCTTCATTGTCGGTGTCGACAATGTGTCTTCCCAGCAGATGCACGAGATCCGTATCTCCCTCCGTGGAGAGGGTGTCGTCCTGATGGGAAAGAACACCATGGTCCGCCGTGCTCTCAAGGGTTTCGTCACTGAGAACCCTGAGTTCGAGCGCCTGCTGCCCCACGTTAAGGGTGAGTTTGCGTCCAGTTCGATCTTTCTATTTTCCGGGTTCAATTGAACTAATATTATTTGCTTTAGGCAACGTTGGTTTCATTTTCACCAACGGCGACCTTTCCGCTGTCAAGGAGAAGATCCTTGCCAACCGTGTCGCTGCCCCCGCCCGTGCCGGTGCCTTTGCTCCCGGTGACGTCTGGGTCCCCGCCGGTAACACTGGTATGGAGCCCGGTAAGACCTCTTTCTTCCAGGCTCTTGGTGTCCCCACCAAGATTGCTCGTGGTACCATTGAGATTGTCTCCGACCTCAAGCTTGTTGAGGCCGGTAGCAAGGTCGGTGCCTCCGAGGCCTCCCTGCTCAACTTGTTGAACATCTCTCCCTTCACCTACGGTATGAGCATCCAGCAGGTCTACGATGGTGGTCAGTGCTTCAGCGCCGATGTCCTCGACATCACCGATGAGCAGCTCCTCAAGGCCTTCAGCCAGGCGATCTCCACCATCACCTGCCTGTCCCTTGCTACCAGCATCCCCACCCTGCCGGCTACCATCCACTCCGTCATCAACGCCTACAAGAAGGTCCTCGCCGTCGCTGTCGAGACCGACTACTCCTGGCCCGAGATTGAGGAGCTCAAGGACCGCATCGCTAACCCCGATGCTTACGCCTCTGCTGCTCCCGCCGCCGCCGCTGCCCCCGCTGCCGGTGACGCCCCCCAAGGAGGAGGCCGCCGCTGAGGAGGCTGAGGAGTCTGATGACGACATGGGCTTCGGTCTGTTCGACTAAGCGCCTCATCATCCGATGGGACATGATGCCATGTATTAGATTTACTTGACCCAATCCCGAAAAGGATTGGTGAATGAAAACGACTATGACTGGCTACGACCTTTCAGACCTGTTCAATGGACGTAGAAGTACGCTCCATTACCTGTCTCGACTGAAATGGTGAGTTTACTCTTTTTGCTTCATACTCCCTCCACATCCTGCACTGCATCGGCGAATGATTATAAATTTTTAACCCCAAGCTTCGGCTTTGACGATTAAAACGCAACAACAACACTCTAATTTTTTGATGACGCCTTGCCATGTTTTGCATCTCTTCTTCACGTCACCTTGATACTGTTCAGGAAGCAATTGCTGATCATTTTGAAGTCGACAGGTTTTCTCTACCATCAGCTCGTAGTGTCCTGATGTCCTCGTAGCCGATGTAGAGACAGGCGGACTGGAAATGACTGGCCGTCGCATGGCATGGAATGTGGACTGAGTGTCCTTGTTTGTATTCAACCAAATGAACTGCTCACGACACTTTCCAAAACCTATCTACATGTCCTCGTAGATCAACAAAGCATTCTAGTTTTCACCTTAGATGTATGAGTCTCCAATAGTCAAGCACAAACTCAAAAGACTTATGGTATCCGTGCAGTCGATCTATTATTGATTACAATGGGCACCCCGACTTGAGATGCTATGAACATGAGGCAGCTCTACATCATCATCACTAGCCCCCGAAACGACCTCCAAATCCACCGAGATCTCGGCGGAAGAATTTTCCTATATTTTTCAAGTTTTCGTTCAAATTACCTGCAGCCGTGGACTCGGATGGAGTATGCGCGTGGCTGGCCTGCTGTGCAGTAGCAGGGGCGGGCGACGAAGATCCGGAATCCCGGGGGACGCTGTTGTTAGAGGTAGTCCCTGTAATACCCGCAACACCAGATGACAGACTGGGGTTTCCGAAGCGATCGACACCGTCTTTGGCAGCTGATATGATGGCTGACCCGAGCATGGAGGCGTCGAAGCGAGAGGGCAGGGACGGGCTAAGGCCTTGCGAGACGGAGCCGGTCGTCGGTGCCGTAGGAGGTCCTTGTAAAGCTGTGAGAATCGGGTTGCTTTGTTGGAGGCTGGAAGCATAGCGGTCCGATGCTTTGTGCAGTTGAAATAGCTCGACGAGGTGGTTCTGTTCTTGACGGCTGCGAATGCCTTTGATGTCAAGGATTTTGCGGAAGTTATTGTTGTTGCGGTCCGCAATGTGAATTAGGTATGCCTGTACAAGAGCCTCGGGAGGTGATGGTCGGACTTGTAAGGTTTTAAGGAGGGTCTCGATCCTGAAAAAGCTGGTATTGACCCGTTTGACGAAGCCTGCTGGGGCTGGAGCGGGAAGGAGAGATGAGAGTCCGCTCTTGAGGGTGTAGGAGTCAAGGAGCATCTGAAGCAATGTTAGGTTGTGACAAAATTGTAAGTGTTGAAGATACTACAGACCTGTTCGGCGCCTGTTTCTGAAACAGGCTTGCAATGGAAGATATTACTGACGAACAGACTCGACACCAACTCGACAACATGATCGGAAAAGGCTCGCGCATACTGCTGCTTTTGCAGCAACTGCAGCATCTCGGATGCTTTCTCTTTAACATGAGAGAGCAGCTCAGCAACGTAGGAACTCTGGTCGCTCACAGCTTCAATCTTACTCCACGGCGTATTGCGCATTTCTCGCCAGCAAGGCTCCAGATGGACTTCAACCTGACGAACAAGGCCTCGCACGGCAGCAGATGCAATTCCCATGAAAGAGTCTGCCTGGCTTTGCAGGTCAACGCTTTGTTTCAGAGACTCATCAAGTCGACCCTTGATCTTCTCTTCTAACTGGTTGCATGTGGTGTAGCAGTAGTCGGCTGTGTTAAGGACCGACACTAAGTCCTCTATCGACGGAACCTTTGATGGGGTGTGTGCTGAAGGGCGTTCGCTGATGTAATTGAGGAGAACCTGCTGTGCATATTGATCCAAGTATTTCGCAAATACCTTTGCCAGCTCTGCTAGACTGCCACCAGTCGACAGCTTAGCACACTGTTGCAAAGAGTGACGGTAGAAGTTAAAGAGCTCGATTGATGATGCGATGACGGTATGGGGGTTGAATTCTTCATCCGGGGGCCTCAGGGGTTGTTGGCGGTATTTCGGCAAAAGCGCAGCCAATTGCTTGTCCTGTGCTTCCACCCAGGCGCTGAGATACGGCTCAAATGCCTCGGAGATAGATTGTCCAAACGTAGGGATCTCGGTCGAAGTAAAAGTGTCTGTGGACGCACGAGATGAAGGTGCAAAGCGGCGTTCAAGAGAATGCTCGAACTCCAGTGTTTCTTGCAAACACGAGAGCAACAGGTTGACATCAATTGCCTGGCCGCTGCGCACCGACCGAGCCAGAATACCCTTGTAATCGTCTCGTGTGCCCTCACAGAAAACATTGGCCAGAATTTCATTCACTCTCCAAGAGGCCGGGAAGATAGACGCGTTCTCTTCGTCGTAAATCTTCAGTATCCGTCGGAACCACGAGTATCTTCGAGAGATGTTGTCCAAGGATCCAGCCTCTTCATTGTTCCGGAAGACCTGGCGATACTCTCGGAGCTGGGTATTGCAGTACCAAGTCACGAGGCGGGATCGAGCATGCTCGCCTAGTGCATCAGCGACTAAACAAGCCTCCGAAAGAATCCCTCGCTTCTGAGCCACCTCGTTTTTAGCAAAGGCGATCTCGAAGTCCTCACAAACTTGCTCCAAAAGATCCCGCTGTATGTCTGCCACGTTTCGGCTCAAAATGGCGATTTGGTCGATCGATCGGTACGACTTGAAATGGGCCATGAGCTGAATCACCGCCTGGAGAAGCTGCGCGCATTCGCTGTACTGTCGGGTGCGACTGAGCACTTGCAGCTGATCGTACGCGGTCGTAAGCATTTGTAGTCGCTTCAGTGCCGTCATCGACAGCGTAAGATTCTTCTTTGCATTATCCAATTGCTTGATGTCGGCGGTCATATCCGTGATCGCCTGCTCAGTGGTCAACGCGCGCTCTCGCACCTCATCGATCTTCTTAAATAGCTCCGATAGATCCGCTTTGGCTGTCTGGATTCTTTCCACACTCTCGGCATTGGATGTGACCTGCTCCTCCACCAGCGTGCTGATGTCGTAGTCCAATTCATCTTCGTAGGTATGGAGCGCGTCGGAGATCTGAGAGACGGAGGATAGGGTGGAGGGATGTGAGAATATAGCGTTCAAATGGTCGATTGGGTCATAGTCCACTGTACATTTATAAGTCAGTACACTGTTGGGCGCACACCATTCAGTTGTCCGCACCTGCATCCAAAACGTCGAGCGTGGGCTCCTCGGCCGGCGGCATTGAGCCGGTAGTTGACACAGTCATAGTGGCCATCCCATTAGCTTGCCAGACTCGTGCTGCACTTCACCAAACATTAAAGGGGAAATCGAAAAAGGTCGAGGGGGAAGTTGGACGGTGAGGTCAGGCGAGTCGCGCGGGCCGCATCTTGGGGCCACCAGGACCGCTTGGCGTCTTACGCAACCTCGCTCTATGGACATCAGACTATAACTACCATGTCAGAGGACATTGAATGTATATAGAAACTGCTTTCGAGCTCGTCCTTTTTGTTCCTGGCTATTTAAGATCATTTTTAAAGTACAGAGGTGAAAGATAAAATCACGAAACCGTTGCCATTCGCCTAAGCCATGCAAATAAGGAAAGCAACTTCAGATAAATCATATCTCCGGCATAAAGCGTACTGAGCACTGGCCTGTCGCGAGTCACAAAGAAGCGGAGCTGATTGGTAGCGACTACATTAGGGAGTGAGGTCAGGCTGTACCGGAGATCAGGTTGGAGAGACCGCTCATGCCGTAGGAAGGAAAGCGTCAGCGGGGAGAGTACCCTGTGCCTATTCGAGCCATGTTAGCGTTTCCTTATCCTCATTATATGAGTTTTCGAGCTTTAACTTACCTTCAATTCTTCGAAATTCTTCCAAGCGGCTTCGGGATTCCAACCATTACCCGAGAGGGCCATCTCCGAGAATTGGAGGGTCATGCCAGATTTGGCGCTCATCTGAGCGATGAGTTGCTCTTGCTGGACTTGAGTATCGGTTTTGCCGGGGGCAGGGGCTCCGTAGCCCGCGGGGAGGGCTAGTTGAGAAACAGGAGCGGCAGGAATCGGGGTAGGGATAGGGGTCACGGCGCCGGGGGGAGCAACTGCCTGAGGAATTGCCTGAGGAATAGCTTGACTCTCAGGGCTCCACGCCTCATTGCCACCGTAAGCTCGGAGACACAAGACATCACTGACTACTCGGATACCGCCGAGACCACCACCAGGCCCAATGATGAAAGTGCGGTCAAAACTGCGAGTTTCCACTTTGCCTCCAATGCTTTCCTCGAACTTTCCGTGCACCATGATGATAAGGCCACCAACGCCAGTAGGGCTCTGTCCAGTGGGGTCAGGAAGTCCAGGCATTTGATGGCATTCAATCAGATAATCGTCAGCATGCGTGCTGATATCGGGGTGGCGGGTTTGAGGGAGATCGTTCCACAGCTCGAGGATTTTCTCGGCGCCAGTGAAAGCACGCGACATGCGTGCAGAGAGGTGGCTGATTTTGAGAAGGTTGCGGCTTCTCTTGATATAGGGGTCCCAGCCCGCGGTTTCAGTTTGCTGAGCCTTGGGAGCCTGCGTGTTGATGTTCATGGAGAAGGTAGATTCCTGATCGTAAAACCCTTTGACGAGTTCGGGACGGTTGGTGTCATAGCCAACGAAGAAGCCGCGAATGAAGTTCTCCGCGATCTGAGACTCGTCGTGATAGACAGGTGCTGAGACTGGAATGGGTGTCTTTTTCTGGGCAGCGATTTCTTCTGCAGTTCGCACTTCAACATTGTTCAAGACTCGCAGCTTAGGATACCACTTGAGCATGGTGTCCTTGAATGTCGGAACCGCGCTGATGGGGTTCCCAGTCAGATCCAAGAATTCCAGGTTCCGAAATTTCCACCGCCAGCCGGTCAGCGATGACGCATCTTTGAAGTTATTGTTCTTGAGGTCCAAATTTTTCAGATCGGGGATGGTCTGAGCCAAAGTTGTAACGACTGTGATGTTGGCAAGTTGGTTGTCAGACAGACTGACACTTTCGACCGCCTCGCGTCTCTCGGTGGAGCTGGTGAACTGCATCTCCCAAACCTTCATCAGGGCCGGGAAAAACTTAGACTCCGTGGAGGTGCTGTTAAAAATTCCCATGGCCCGCAGACCTTCGTCGGTTCCGAGCTTTGAAAGGTCGAGAAGTTTCGATTGCGGAAAGTAGCGCTTGCTGAGGATCTCCGTCATCTTCGATTTAGTGTCTGCAGTCGCGGCAGAAGTGCCGTTACTAGTAGCCAAGTCGTGATCCAGGACTGCGGTCGAAGACCCATCGTAACGTTTGACGGTGATGTTGACGCCTGCCCACAGATTGCCATTGGTTCGGATCATCCGATCTGCTAGTTCTCGCTTAACGAAAACAATGAGAATGTCGCCTTCGACGCGCGACTAATCGATCGTTAGCAAGGTGCAAAGGACCTTGATGAACGCCCGTCACCCAAAGGAGGAATCGGCAGGGAGCCCAGGAAGTGTCGACCGACGTTGTGGGAGCTTATCCGTGACGAGCAATTACCGGTGCGGGTGACGTTGGCGTTGGCGTTGATGGATAAACCGCTTGTAATGTTGAACATACCTTGGTGATTTTAGCGCGGGGTCCAGACTTAACAATTGAATTCATTCGTCTCTCGAGAAATGCGGTGAGACTTTCGACGCCGCCGTCGCGCTTGCTTGCTGCCTTGCTGTTCTTCCATCCGCTCACACTGAAAGATTCCAGGTTGCTGTTGCTGGAGCCGGATCCTTGACCTTGGCGAATGTTGGCCTGAGAATCTTTGCCGCCTCCGGAGACTGCGGTCTCAAGGAGATCTAAATTCCTCGCGCGCGCCTGGGGTCGGCTGGTTCCACTTGACCGTCCGGTGTCGCCTCGGCCACGCTTTCCACCCCGCGCGCCAGGTCGGTCCATGTCCATATCACCATCTCGATCGGTGCGTGTCGGACCCCGCTGCTTGCGGATGCCCCCACCACTGGTGCCGCCGCGACGAGAAGATTTCATGGTTTTCATGGAGTGTGCTTGAGCGATATGAGGCTCGGGGAAGGTGATGCGAAGCAAGATCGACAAGTAGAATCCAAGCGCGGTGGTTGATTTGAGGGGCCTTCGTGAAGTCGACTGCGCGATGCGCGCCTTATATCAGGCAAGAGAGCGTTGTTCGCATACAACTAGAGGGGTTTCGGAGGAATGCAGTAAGGACGGGGGAAAGACGATGTATAGGATAGAGAAAATTCAGAGAAATGAATGAAGCAGGCACCTGTCTTTACGTAGACCAGGCAGCCGCAGGTACAATGCGCTCCGAAAAATAACCAAAAGATGCAAAAAAGTGACGTGAAGATCACGTGGCCGCGACTCTGCAGAGCTCCTGCTGACTCAGCTGCTGAGTCGTCGCGTCTGCCAATCAACGTCTGTGATCTGTCCTCACTATCAGCGGGTCCATCTATAGACGCCCTCAAGCCTTGTACATCTGGCCAACTTGCACTAGGCCTCATTCTTGGGTGGCTCAGCTAGGAAAATTAGGGCCGACAAAGTCAATTGCGTTGACTTGATCTTTTTGTGGGTAAGTGGACTCTTCCATACCCCATTCCATCGCTGCTCCGCCCGTGTCCCCTCCAAGGTCGCTTGACTCCCGGCTTGCGCGTTCCGTCAAGAGCTCTACTGATGTGTCCGACTTGTTTCTTTTAGACAATTGCGCCGCCGCCACTGTCCTTGATTCCCTTCCCGTGTATACAGTTCGCTCTATGATTGTTCTGGCGACATGCCGGCAAAGTCGCGATTCACGAGGCTAGACGCCTTCGCCAAGACCGTCGAAGATGCACGAATTCGCACGAACTCTGGTGGTATCATCACGATAGTCTCGCTGGTGGTAGTCTTGTGGCTCGTATGGGGAGAATGGGCTGACTATCGACGCATCGTCGTGGAGCCGGAGCTCATTGTTGACAAGTCAAGAGGTACGCATTTGAACTCAAACAAAACAACTTGCGCCCCATGGAATCTATTGATCCTAAATATTTGAGGTGTTTTTAACAGGAGAGAGAATGGAAATTCATTTGAATATGACCTTCCCTCGGCTCCCTTGTGAGCTCCTCACTTTGGACGTTATGGACGTTTCAGGCGAGCAGCAAGTGGGTGTCGCGCATGGTATGAACAAAGTCCGCCTGTCCCCTGCTGCTGAGGGAAGCAAGGTTATCGATGTCCAGTCTTTGGACCTGTAAGTTTCCCTATAGATTGAATTCAATCCACCTAAACAGCGATCATGAGCTCACCACTACCTCCTTCCAGGCACTCCCCGGCTGACGCTGCCACCCACCTCGACCCTGATTATTGTGGCGATTGCTATGGAGCAATCGCACCAGAGAATGCGATTAAACCCGGATGTTGCAGCACTTGCGACGAAGTTCGGGAAGCATATGCCGGAAAGCAATGGGCATTTGGTGTCGGGACCAATGTCGAGCAGTGTGAGCGGGAAGGATATGGCGAAAAGCTCCAGGCCCAGCGCCGCGAAGGCTGCCGAATCGAAGGTGTTCTCCGAGTGAATAAGGTGGTTGGCAACTTCCACATCGCCCCGGGTCGTAGCTTCACCAACATGAACATGCACGCCCACGATCTGGAGAACTACCTCATGCCCGGCGCCGCCGCCGAGGACCAGCACACCATGACCCATGAGATCCATGAGCTCCGCTTTGGTCCTCAGCTTCCCGCCGAACTTGCGGACCGATGGCAGTGGACTGACCATCACCACACCAACCCCCTTGACGATACTAAGCAAGCTACCAACGAGCCCGCCTACAACTTCATGTACTTCATCAAAGTTGTCTCGACATCTTACCTTCCTCTGGGCTGGGACCCAACCTTCTCTTCTGCGATCCACAGCGCCTACGACAAGGCCCCTCTTGGCACCCACGGTCTCGCATACGGAGCCCAGGGAAGCATTGAGGCCCACCAGTATTCCGTGACCTCGCACAAGCGATCCCTAATGGGTGGCGACGACGCTGCTGAGGGCCACAAGGAACGCATGCACGCCGCAGGTGGTATCCCCGGTGTGTTCTTCAACTATGACATCTCACCCATGAAGGTCATCAACAAGGAGACGCGCCCCAAGACTTTCACCGGTTTCCTTACCGGTGTTTGCGCCATCATCGGTGGCACTCTGACTGTCGCCGCGGCTCTGGACCGTGGTTTGTACGAAGGAGGTATGCGTATTAAGAAGCTGCACTCTAACTAGATTTACTTCTGTCGTGTCTTTTTTATGGTTGAGCGATGCCATATATACTAGCGTGGAACGCTGTGCGGCATGTGAAGGGCCGGAGAAGCGAGGAAGTGGGCACTCGTGGCGTTTTAGGGATACCTATGCATTGAATTTAATTTTTTTTTATTCGCAGGGCCATCCTATATGCATCTATCATTACAGCAATAGTATTACATGTTGTGTAAAGTCTACTTCAACACAGCCAGTGGGAGACTGTCATGTTGGAAGGCAAATCTCGCTAGCAACTGGGCAAGAAATGAATCTCGGCAGGTGTATCCATAGGTGGTGTTCGTGGTCGCAAAAAAACTTCAGGTGAGGAGGGATCGCTGTAGATTCGTCTGGTGCGGGTCCGGAAATGGGGTCGAATCCCACGGGGCTATTAAGTATGGCAATTTGACCCTTATCACTATCATAGTCCTCCTATGTGGCAGCGTACTTCTCTTTTACACAATCATAATGTCTTGCAAAAGGGAAAACATCAATACTACGATTCACAGTATTTCAATAAGACAGATAATCCCACGTTCCGTTTGATGGACGAAACCTCCGGTGCTATCTCTGTACATTGGAAGACTTGATCATTATCAAGGACAAACCGAAAGGATAGTAAGGGCCAAACAAAGAGAGCTCGCGTGCGAAAGAGAAGAACTCACGCCAGACCGATCTGGAACTCCATACTGATGCAAAATGCGAGCGAGGACAACAAGGAAAGTGTGTAGAGTCAAGGAAAAGCAGAAAGTGCTATCAGCCAGTGCCGCGAAGTCTAGTCTAGTTGGTAAAGTTGCAGACGCGGCGCTTTGAACAATAAAGGGAACGATTGAGAAGGATTATGCAGGAGGTTTCAAGACAATAATGAAAGGAATCAAGAGAGAGCAAGAAGCCTTCGTGGCTCAATAACGCATGGCGTTATAGTTGTTCGGAAATTCTCCAGTAGAATATTGGCGGCTTTGTTGGTAGCTCGGCGGAACTTGTGCGGCGGTCTGGGGAATTTGTCCATACCAAGAGCTTCTTCGGGGCTCATCAAGGCGGTTCATTTGGTGCAAGGCATCCCAGGTATGGCTGGCTCCAGGGAGGTTATACATGGGCTGCGGAAGATGTTGCTGGGGATGGTACATTGAACCGGCGTATTCTGGAGCATAGGGTTGCTGGTTCATAACCTGCTGTCGATGCGCGATGGCATGCTGAACCATCAGATTCGACATCCCCTCCCTCATCTCACGCTTCTCACGTTCACGGGCGTCAATTGTCGAGACTAAACCCCCGCCTTGAACTTGAGGTTGAGGAGTCTTATTGGCGTGGCTCAAATTGAAAAATGAAGAGCCAGTCACGCGGGCAACATGCTCCTGCTCACGAGCAGAAAGATTGTTCGAAAAATCGTTGTAGTTGTTCAGCACAATTCCGGTGCCACGCGACGAGGGACGGTAGTTGGGATCCTGATGAGCGGTCATGCGAGAATTGGGCCGCATCTGGTTGGCCCAGTCACCAGATACTGGTCGGGGCTGTGGCGGCGTGTTGTTAGATGGGGAACGGTGATGCATATGCACCGGGGGACTAGGTGCTGCTCGCTGCTGGACATACTGTTCCGGGGTAAGGCCTCCGGCAGGAGTAACAGGGCGATTGATGGCCATTCCAGGCTGCCACAAGACGCTTCGTCGATATTCTTCCTGGCTTGGAGATCGCTGGTGTCCCCTGTCCATTGGGCTTGTCGGGACCGACAGCTTGTAGCGCTCTGCAGCATCCAAGTCATTCCGAGGAGTTGAAGCCTTGCGCAAAGTGTCCCCCGTGCTCGGACGTCGAGTGGTAGGCATGTAGGTCAATGTGGGGCCAAAGTCGACAGTAGGAATATCGGAGTTGGCCTCGGCAGGCCTTTCCGTGGAGTAATGAGCGTCACCAATGACAAGATCCTGCTTGGCTGGCATCCCAACAGTCTTCATGACACCCATTCTTGGCCTGGTCACCGAATTTTGGGACTCCTTGCTGTAGATAGATTCGTGTGTACTTGCATAGTCCGGAGAAACAGTCGAAGCATCGTCGTATACGCTCTCGTCCTCAGTCTGTTGTTGGAGATGGGAAGCGGATGACGGAAATTGAGGGGCGATTCGGTTCAACGCATCTTCATCTAAAGTGTGCCGAAGATCATCAAAGCTCGGCTCTCCGTCGGGCGAGAGGGGTTCCTGTCCAAGAATCTGTCTTTGAGGAAGAGGCTTGCGCTTGACAGCCTTGGGAACTTCGACATTCACGCGTCGCTGGGGTGACGGAGTGCCGCTGGTACTGGGAGTTGCTGGACGTTGGTCTGTGGTCTGCGGGGATCGCGCAGGAATCGTAATACCGATGCCTTCATCACTCGAAGAATGCGTGAGGTTCGGGTTCATGTATGCAGCCTGCGCTGGAGATAGGCCATTATTAGGATACTGGTCTTGTGACCGATAATTGAGGCTTGAATTGGAATGCTGGTTGCGCAAAGCGCCAGAAGTACCGGCCATACCCATTGTGCCAACAGACGTTAGCTGTGTCAGAGTAGCATGGGACATTCTGTTATTGGCCCTTTTCTGCTCCAGGGTCATTTCGGGCCGATTATCGGGCATCGACCGAGGTCCATGGACAAAAGACGGTGGGCTAGCAATAGGAGACGGAGGAGTGCGAGGTGGGAATTGTTCTCCATTCAAGACAGGGTGGACAAGTTCGGCAGTGGTTCGATCACTCTCCGAGCTAGTGCGCTCAGCAATGGGCGCTACAGCACCTTGCGCATTCTCACGTTGCACCAAATCCTGAGCAGATGAGAGAGGTGAGTTTTCGTTCGAGCCCTGTCCAAGTCTAGGCCCTGTCTGCATGCCCGTGATGTCTGAAATTCCACGAGAGTGATAAACCGGGGGCTCATTTCTTGGAACCTCGTGAATGACAGCTTCTGCAGAATGATTAAATTCTGGCTTGCCTTCAAGGGGAGAGAAGGGTTGACGAAGACGGTTGAGTGGTCCGTCACCGTTGCGGACGGATATACTCGAGCGGTAGCGCGGCCTACTGCTGTGAATACTGCTTGTTCGACTCCGACCGGCAGATATACGCTTTTGTGTCGCTTCCTTTAACTGTTTCCTCCATTCTGCCTCGCTCCATTCCTGACTTCCGGCGATCTGGAGAAGGTTGGTGATATCCAAGACATCTAGATAACCATAACGACGCTGCTTGGGGAAAGCAAACATGATGCTTTTGATGTGGTTTGTGTCGGCGAGAAGGCGGGTTGGGCGGCCATAAAGGTTGAAAGTATCGAAAGTCGGGAATAAGAAACGAAGCATGGTTTCCAAACCAGAAACAGCGGCATGCAGCTCAGGCATGACAAAAACCAAGCCGTCTGCGGAAGACTCGGGTTGCTTGTGCATATGGATTCGGCCCTCCAGCTTCACCAGTGTCGATTGATCAATGAGGGCTTTGGACTGCGGGTAAATAGCATAGGCTGAGTACACATCGGTGATGGTGGCGATTGGTTGTACCTTCTTGGTCTTCTTGGTTTCAAAGAATTGAATGTTTCCAAGGACCGGGATCGACAAGCGGTCATAGGCAGACTTCTTCATTGCCTTTCGGGCTTTCTGGAGATCCTTCTGATTTGGCGGATTAATCACAAACCAGCATCGTCTCCACGGCGTTCCCGCGCCAAATCGCACACGTGCCCAATCCTCGTGCTTGAACTTGGTGGGTACCAAAATGGACTGGATTCCCGGAAGCGTTTTGCCTCTGGCAGCGATAAGAGAGCCGGTGTAAGCTTCATATAAGGATGTGTGCTCGTACATGGCGAGGCGAATTGCAGCCGTCCATTGGATCATTGAATGGAACGAGCTGAAATGTAACAAGTATCGATTCTTTCCGGCAGAGGAAAGACTGAGGACATTCTTCAAAGGTGCGACTGCTCCGTTGCGAATTGGTAGTGTCTCGATCTATGACACAATCAGCTTTTGAGGCAAAAAAGGCTCTAACGAGAAGCAAAATAGCAACGCACCATCTTGATCGACGCATCAGCCAGGTTAATGAAGGTCGCGGGGGGGTTCTTCTCCGTTTGCCGCGTCCAGCGCAGCCGCCTCCCAGAGAGAAAGGACTGTTCCAACCAGTTGGGCATAGCATTCTGTCCACTGGCGATCGGCGGTCTGCCGCCCGTCTGCGCATTGCGTTAATCCACATGGTTCCCCCACTTATGAAGCATATGAGACAAAGCCCGTAATTGCGGGCCATGGACAACTTACATGCATCCTGGTCATTCAGCTTCAAGAAATAACCTTCTTGGTAGACCTTGTTGGTATGGATATTGAGAAAGGAGAAAATTGGCGAGAGCTCCGGTGGGGTATCCTCGGCGTGTTCCATCAGAGGCGGGTTACGCGAGAAGATCACCGAGGGAGGTCGCGAGCCTGTGCCATCATTTCTAGGCGTGGCACCGTTGGCAGGAGACAATTCAGAGGGAGGCGAGGGCGTTTCGGGGGAAGGTGTATGCCAGCGGGGCGGTATTTCCGACGGGGCCACGTTCCTCGACAGTCTCTTGCTTTCTCTCTTAGAGTCGTTGTTCTTCGAGCCACCGAAGTTTGATATAAATGAGCGAACTAGACGGACGCAAGGGCGAGTCAATAATGGTGTTCCTGCCACGCGGACGCCGATCAACTTACCACGCGAGCCACCCATGACGGCGGATGGGTCGGCAGACCAAAAATGCCGCCTTCGACCAGCGCTGAGTTGTGAAACGAGGAGGTAAAGGAGACGACAAGAGAAGTGAAAGTAAAAGGACCCGACAGTGCACGGGCTTGGTGGAGCTAAGTAAAGGGAGGCCGCTGGGGACCGAATTCTCGCCAGGACAGGCTAATCCATCGAGGGTCCCTGCTGCCAAGTAGGGTTCTCCCGGGGTATATACGGAAGCGAAAGTCAAGGGCACGAGGGGAACTTCGCTAGATATGTGCCAAGCGGGAAGCTGACGTTGCGGATTGCCAAGGTAGGTCTCTAGTCACCAGGACTAGTACTGTTCGGTTTTGCGGAGGGTGGCGAGCACTGGGAGCGAAAGGAGATTAAAGAGCAGAAGAAGTGAGAAAAACGAGAGAATGGTGAGAGGTCGGGAAAAGAGTGAACGTGCCTGAGTGAAAGGGACGAGGCGATAGCAGGACCGTGGGTCACTCACTGTGTGGAGAGAAAAAAGTTGGAGACGGCAACGGCAAGACTGGTGGGACAAGGTTAACGTGTTTGACTCTAGTACCGATAGATAGTGTTGGTGTTGCCAATAGACAGTATTCTATTCCCTTCTAACGATATTACCGACTGTTTGCTAATTTACCCAATTCTCCTATTTTACCCCAGTTCCAGCTCTCGGTCATTCTGAACATCCAAATGTGTCGTCATCCGTCGAGATCGGCAGTAGAGTGTGGCCCAAATATAGAACTGCATACATGTCTCGGCCAAGTCGAACTACTAAATAGGTTTGTTTTCTTTCATTGTCTTTCATTTTTACACTGACGGGTACCTAGACTCTTCAAACATTTGACACCCTTTACACGCTGAAATCATGGCAAATACTTACCCTACGACAAAGACCAGCGGGTCTAACGCGGCCCAAATGAACGCCGCACTTGCCTTCTGCCGGGGACGCGTGGTCCTGCCACACCGCCTTCTCCTGGACGCTTTCCTAAGCCTGGGCGCATTCCATGCTTAACAGGCGCGATGGCCCGAGGAGATGACTGTCCACTGATTGCCTTTTCAAACCTTTGGAACTCGCGTGACAACGCACCCGGATCTCTGCTGAGCTCCAGCCACAGGACCAGGGATCCACCCTTGTAATTATAGTCGCAAAAGCGTCATCTTAGCGTTCGGTCCACAAATGTCGGCTTTTGCTCATTGTGGTCCCCTGTCATTACTTGATTGGCCTTGAACCCTGAGATCCCTCTACAGTATTTCCGCCTTCACCCCTCCCCAAAGATCCACGATGCAGCTGTGGCTAATTCTTGTACCCTGAACCCTTCCGTTATAAGGCAGGATCAGGGTCACGGTCAGGTTCATGTACAGGCGCATGGGGTTATGCCTGCATGTTCCACCTATAATTAACCCCTTGGCGACTTGTCCTACCTTTTTCAGTTTGGCGTCCGAAAATAATTGTCTTTCTTGATTGCGTCTGACTGAGACACAGTGGCCTCGGTGTCGGTGGGGCTGGTGACTTGGCTTCTTTCAGAGCCAGACCCTTCCTGTGTGGGCTAAGATCGAACACATGGTCGTGTCGCGGCAATACATCCATGTCAAGACGGCAACATGGCCCTCTGATGGCCCTTTGTTAAATAGGGGGGCGTGCCCCTATCCTAGTGATCACTTGAAATTTCTCTGTGCCTAATGACCTCTTAGCCTATTCGCCACAAACTAGGAGGCACTAATTCACACTAATGGTCCATGCTCTAGGTACCGTCGTACAGTACTGCCCCACGCGCCTAAGAAATTGAGCATCAAATTAGCAAGTAAAATATCCTTTTCCTAAGCGGAGAACTCTGCAGTTCGACAAAGAGCACACCCTGTAAATCTGGGGAAAGGGTGATGCCTGGCATCCACTACCTTCCAGGCTAATGCATGTAGCGTTGACTTTCACTGCAAGGACTAACTAGCCTATAAAGCCCATATGGGTTTCGATTTCCGGGATATTTAGTATGGTGGGACAAGAGACCCTTCAGAATGAGTAAACCCGAGAATATTCTCTGATATTTTGACACGATGATGACCAGGGTCGGCCCTAGTACGCGATGAGACCTCGATTCAATTTTAATCTATGACAAAAGGCCCAATATGCACAATGATCACCTGGAAATGTTACATGAGACTAATATTCTGAGGTATTTGAATTTCTCGAAGTGCTTCTCAAGGCATTTAGTAGATGTCACTTGTTCTGGGAATTCACTGAGCCTAAATTTGAGGGATTCACACTATTAATTCGCCCCTCGGTACGACTTATGCGTCAATCGCTGGATATTACATGGCTATCGTGCCACTCTGCATGCAATTTTTCATCGCGCAGTGGTATAGAAATGGTCCAAATGCCAAGACTGAGAGGATGCCAACTTCAGTTTCTCATGCTTCGAGACCCTGTGGGCACACTAGAAGCCAACGTAGATCTGAGTGGGAACAAAAAGGTGTGGGACACGAAATTCATTGCGTATCTATTGAGCGATTCATCAGGTGCCGATAAACAAGGATATATAGAGCATATCCTGATATTGTTGATAGTGCCATGTGCTAATTGTAAATTTTATATCACCGCGTGTTTGGCCGAGTGGTTAAGGCGCTGGATTCAAGCACAGCTTAGCTCCGTTAAACGGCGTTTGGAAATCCCAGTCACGGAAGTGGCGCAGGTTCGAATCCTGCAGCACGCAATATCTTTTTCGTAAATCTTTTTGCGGGTCGGTCCGGTACACATGCGATGACCCACATGATTTGATTTTTGGAAAATCGATTCACGAGGTATTCTTTCAGTATTGATAGGAGTGTTATTCCAAATCTGGTATCCTACTTGTGTCTGTGGTTACGAAGCGTACTCACGTCGCTGGAATTCTTTCATACTGAACTTAATATCAAGATGACCTTATTCTTGAAGTAGGGCCCACTGACCATCAATTATACAGGTTCATCTATTGCCAGATAACTGGAATGTGTGTGAGCTAGGTATTTTGATAGTCATGGTACAAGATATTCGACTTCCTTCCCATTTTTAAGAGCGTTCAGCGTGTACTCAGTTTAGGCGATATTACTTAGATAGTATAACAAAGTCAACAATCTATTCACGCCCCAGGACGTGTAGGTAGCGTAGTACTTGCTTTGATACTGCATTCACTTTTCCGGTGGACGCCCTTAGAATCAGACGAATACAACTAGGTCTCAGCATCTAAGCTCGATCGGCACCTACGAGTCACTGCATGTGCCCCGAGATACAGATGAAGTGAGCGCAAATAAACATCCTTTTCCCTCCTTCCTGTTGTATGCTTTGAGTTTGTCCAGTCCAAATCCCAGACATCTCGTTCACTTCTATCAAGCCCCCATTGTCACTTCCTCCGAAAATCATCAGCGTCGCCAGGATGGATACCTCGTCGCCAGAAGCATCGAGTGACTGCCGCAAGAAAGAAAATGTGCACAAGAAGCCCGCTCACACTGTGAAGGATGGCCTTGATCCACCGAAGGTTAAATTCTTACTCCCTGATTCCGATAGTGCCTCTACCGATTCGTTCCATGGGTTCTCAGATTATGAGATGCCGACAGTGTCAGTCACTGATGGAGACGACCAATTTTATTTCTTGGAGGAGAGTGGTTCCGCGCGTCCAGTACCCATCCCGAGCATTGTCTTTCGCGACAGAAGCCAAGACGATATCAAGAAAGCCAGCCTTGAATACCTAAACGACAACATCAAGGAATGGACTATCGGGTTCGACCTCGCCGCATTTCCCCAGACCATCAAGCATTGGATTCCTACTCTAAGAGCAGCAGCTCTTCCGGGATCGTACGAACACCTTCTGCTACTCATGTTTGACGATGTAAAGGACTTCAACCAATTCCAGACCACCCTACGAGAAGCTGGGGTTCCAGGTGCCATCAATCCCCGTCAGAGCGGGACTCTGACTGTCAATGCAGAGCCCAGTCGCCGTAATGTGGTTGGCAAAGGGCGAAGTCAAGGCCAGGCCAGGGACCTTCTGGTACCTCGAGGCCAAATTGTCCAGAATGACCAAACTGCCGACGAAATGTACTTTTGGAGAGAACTGCACATTATCAGACTGCTTGTGGCTCCCATCCGAGATGAGAATGAAGAGATAATCTGGATCACCAGCCGCGAGCAGCAGCCAGATGATATGATTCAACAATTCCAAGCATCGAGAGACTGCATCATTGACTTCAAGGCGCGTCTTTTGAAGGCACTGGATCAAGGTCCTGAGAACAGTAGGAATTTCGAGCCCTGGTATATTCCCTTTAAAGTGCTAACTTCATTATCAGAGGTCATCAACCTCCCCCCCTCCAAAGGTCTCGAGTCACCCTCATACAAGGAGCTGCGTCTCCGCACATCCAGCCTCCACCAGTTCCGCATGGACTCTTGCAAGGGAAGTCTTGAATGGGTGCGATTCCCACCGAGCGAAATTGAATCGCGACGACGTTGTAACCAGCTCGACGAGTGTCAAGGCTACCCAAGGAGTCTACCAAGACACGGATCAAGAACATGATGCCGCCAGTGCAGGTCTCTTCTAACCTGGCCTTTGAATTCGACAACGCGGAACTCTGCATGCGTCATGAAGGAAGAATCCTCTGTCTACTAGTTCAAATCGCCCAATGGCTTGCCCTAGCCCGCGGCTTCACTGCGGTCCACTTGTTTTGTGACGTCGCACGCTTGTTCAGCACCTGCGGCGTCGACCTTGCTAACAAGGCACAGGTGGAAATTTGCAAGCAGCTTACCAGATTTGAGTTGCTTTGTGATTCCCTGAACAGTCCCCTCCCTCTAAACTTCTCAGCTAGTTCCAGTGTCATCGATCAATTTTCGCCTACCTTCATCCAGGGTGTGATTCATGCAAATCGCAAGATGGTGGCAGCCCTTGTCAGTGTCGACACCTTATTCCACCGTATCAAAGTAGGCTCGCGGGCTCGAACCCGCCAAACGCTGGAATGGCGAATGTTGGCTGGTGAGAGAGTTCTTGCGCTCAAGGCACCTCGTCTGTTCTTCCCCCGAGCTACGGTGCAAGTACCCCTATGCTTATGTTGGGATCTTTTCGGACGAAGAGCTTGCTGCTCACTTGGATATGATGTATCCTTAGGCATGCGTATCCCCTACACATGTGCTTTCCTCCAGAGCCCTCTTTCACTCATGTTTCTTTCCTTTTTTTTTTTTACTAGACATCAAGCTTGTGTTTTGTGGGGAAGGGTGATCTCGAGACATTACATCGACGACTATCATTGCACTAGTAAGAATTCAGATGTCTTTTAGGAGAAGTTCGTCACTTCGTAAATTCGTAAGATTGCTTGAAAAACTTCAGATAGAGTAAAGTAACGTGCATGCATGCACTTCAAGCATGTCAGCTCATAATTCTGCCAGTTACCACAAATCAATGCGTAACATCCTCCCTCATCTTTCCATCAAGTGATAAGCAAGGACAGGGTCCATCAGCGCCAACTCGTCATGGCTGGGTATCACAGAATCAATATTGCGCTCAGCGTTGGCGGAAAAGGTATCTTGCATAAGAAAATCAGCATCCAGACCACCATGCCCAGGGAAACCGGACGGGTCATTTAGTTGCGAATATAGGTTGTTGTCCGAAGAAACACCATTAGGAGGCGTGGCTCCATGAGAGTGAGAAGGCTCAGAGCGGTCAAACTCCAGACCGTAGATACCGAGTGCATTACCACCAGGACCGGTCTGGTCGGACAACAAAGCACGCTGCATAAATAGGCCCTGGACTTCATCTTCGGAGCAACCATGTCTGGCAGTCATGTGCACCCATAGGTCATAATCACGATGGAAACGATGTTCACAAGAGTCATAGAAGCAGAGGATGTGGCGGCCTGTTTCCTCCGCATAACCTTGACCAGTCAAAGCTGCAAGAGTAGAGATATGACTGGCACTTGATGAATTATCTAGACCGAGCCGCTGGCGCCGCTCGGCCTTGGCATTTTGGTATCCCAAGTGAGCCGTGCGAATATGCTCTTCAAGTGCAAGCTTACTGCCATACCGCTTTCCACATCCGATGCCGTCCCATCCTTCGACCTTTTTGGAAGCCGAAAGGTCTGTCTCACCGCATCCAAAGCGCTTCTCTCCTTGGTGCACGGTACGAATATGAACGGTCAGATTGCCTTTCTTCGTAAAGCTGCGATCACATCCGTCGATCGTGCAAGGGAAGACTTTTCTCTCTTCGAGACTGACATCACCGTGAGCAACCTCAAGATGGCGACGCAGTTCTCGAGACGTCGAGCAGACGATTGGGCAGTTGGGGCATTTGGGCGGGTGGACATTTCGAATGTGCTCTTGGAGAATGGTATATGTTGGGAATGTGAGGGAATAGTCGTGGTGAGGGTCAAAAGTTCCCATGTCGGATGCTTGCTCTTGTAGGTGTTGTGAGCACTCCTCACAGCTAAATCGCTTCTCAGTGTGTACCCGGCTCTCGTGGGCTCGGAGATGACCCGCCGTGTCAAATGCCATTTGACATTTCTTCCCAGTATCCGGATCAACGAACAAACATGGAAAAGGCTTCTTATTCATATGAACGGTCATAATGTGCTTTTGGAGTGTGGTGTGCTTTCGGAAGGTTTCTTCACATGGCGGATATTCTGTACAGCGGTACTTGTCCCGCCCGTCGTGCGCAGCGATATGGCGGCGAAGCCTTGATCCAGTCACAAAGCTCTTACCACAGCCTGGGCGGTCACAGACGTAGTCGCGAACTCCAGTGTGGGCACTCTTTACATGATGGGTGAGATGTGAGGCTCGTAAGAAGGTCTTGTCGCAATCTTCGAAGGTGCATTGAAATAACCGCTCGTTGTTATGAGACCTGATGTGCTCTTGAAGTCGAGCAGGGCGATTGAAGGCCTTGTCGCAGCCTTCAAAAGGGCAGCGATGGGTTTTGAGTTCGGAAGGGTATCGAGACGAGGTGGTCGAGAAGGGGGTTGTCGGTGTATCCAGCATATCCTCGTCCATGGCACTCGGTGTTGCAGGCGCTGAGTACTCGGCATCTGAGTGGACTTCTTCATAGATCCGGTCTTTTGAGTCGGTTCTTAGTACCTTGTTCAGTCCCTATCATTCCAATTCAATGCTTACCGTCGCTGTCCATCGCAGCTTGGTGTAACCTTTTGGCCTGCGATACCCAGTCGGGGGACGCCTTACGCTTTGAGGCCATCATTGAAAATGCCCCAGAGCAAGGAAGAGTTCACATTGAAGCAAAAAAGAAAGATAGAAATTCAGCGTAGGACGCACTAAATTGTTTTTGCCGCGGCCAAAGGGCGGTGAGACCGAAGACAGACTAGCGTGGTGGAAGATTTTCCGCCTTTTTTGCGTCGCGAATCCTCACATCGATCCCGCGCTCAGGGTTTCTCTCTCTTTGATCCCTCTGACTTCGTTCCTTGAGATACAAAATGTCCGATTACGGCGACGACGCTGGTGGCGACACGTAAGAGCTTCCCATGGAGGCTAGAGCCGCGCGATCGTTGCAGATTGTGTCTTCTCTGGGCTCCGACAATTTCGAGATTGAAGCGCCATGCTAACTGGACCTATCTTGCAGCTACGACTACGAGCCTCATGAGGAGGTTTTCGAAGAAAATGAGCCCGAAGACTTTATTGACCAGGAGGGATTCGAGGACCATGAGGGCGGCGAGGGTGATGATTCCTACCAGCCGGCCGTCAATGGGGAGAACGTGGTAGTCTCTGGCGACCCCAATTCCGGATATTCGGGCAAATTGATGGAACAATCGCGCGAGAAGAAGGTTCCCAATGCTCAGCGCACGACTACTCCGTATTTGACCAAGTACGAGCGCGCTCGTGTGCTCGGCACCCGAGCTCTGCAGATTAGGTGCGTTGCAAAATCGTCGAAGCCTGTAGCTTGAAATCACTTTTACTGACATATGTCCTGTGCAGCATGAATGCCCCCGTACTCGTCGATCTCGAGGGTGAAACCGACCCTCTGCAGATTGCCATGAAGGAATTGAACCAGAAGAAGATCCCCTTGATCGTGCGGCGGTATCTGCCTGACGGATGGTAAGCTGAACTAACGAATCTGTTGAGATGACTAAATAGTTGACACGATGCATAGGTACGAGGACTGGTCTGTCGAAGAGCTGCTTTGAGAGCACGTACTCTCCTGCTTGTGGGGATTGTTTGATACTTTTTGGGTGGGTTCAGCATAGCGTTCGGAGTTTGGGAGTCTCGAAACCGTGGCTCAAAAAGAAAAAAGGCACTGTCCTGGGCAAAAGGCAATACTGTACATGAACTAGAAAGAAAGAAAAAATAATAACGGTTTCTAGTAACCCATCCACGTACCTTGAGCTTGATTTGAAGCGGCTCAGCATGAAGCAATAGAAACAGTAGAAAGGCCAGATCGGGGCAGGAACAATCCATCTTCTCTCAATGCAATCTAGATCCAGATCTGTTGCTGTCCAACACGTGAGCCGTGCATATCATCTCCGGGGAGAAACCTCCAATTTTGAGTCCCACTTTTGTACAGCCCCTGCAAGTTCTTCAACTTATAACCCCAACTCCACTAATCATTAGTCCTGCCCAGGCACGGTATGCATAAAGTCGCACTCGAGCCCCTCTCGCCTGGGTAAATCGGCACACCTTCCGAAGATCATTGGCCGCGCCCTATACTTGAGATCTTACCGCTCGTAGGATGGATCCCACACTTCCCCATGGTCGAGGCAAGTGGATGCCAGTGGGCCATGGCTACCCCCCCAATGTCCCCCCAAAACCACATCTTTTCGGGCCTTTCCGCTCCCCAAAGCTTCAGGGGTGCCCCGCTTACCCTACAGTGGTTGGTTTATAATCATCCTTGGTGAAGTTTTTTCTGGTTTTGAACACCCACGCAATCTATTCACCTCTCGCACTTCTCTCCTGAGACTGCCCTGTTGTTAGACTCGTCCGGGCTCTCGGTGGCTGTCTCTTGCGAAAGTTCACCGCTAGAAGGATGGGTTCAACCATTGTTGAAGTAGAGCAGAAGGTTCATGCCGAGCCAATCTCCCATGCTTCAATCGCCCAAGATGAAGAAAAGGCAAACGACTCGCCGGTCGAGAAGGAGGATGAGCCGACTTTTGATACAGGCCTCTTTTCCTGGCTACAGGTCTTAGGGTCGTTCTTTCTCTTCTTCAATTCATGGTCTGCAGACTCGTCTCGGTGGTTCGATGTAATCAGAATGCGCTAACCACGACCATTGGACCAGGGGTGTGATCAATACATGGGGTGCATATCAAACCTACTATGAACAAACCTTGCTATCGGACAGTTCATCTTCCTCAATCGCCTGGATCGGCTCTTTGCAGTCCTTCCTCTTGATGCTCATCGGGGTCATCACAGGCCCACTCTTCGATGCGGGATATTTCCGTGGCCTTATTGCTTTTGCAGGCTGCATGCTACCATTTGGCCTGATGATGACCAGTCTTGCCACCAAGTATTGGCAATTGATTCTAGCGCAGGGTATCTGTGTTGGTTTGGCGGCCGGCTGTCTCTTCGTTCCTTCGGTCGCCATCCTGCCGCAATATTTCCGTCGCAAGAGAGGCCTTGCCAATGGTCTCGCCGCTAGTGGTAGCAGCATCGGGGGAGTTGTTTACCCCATCATATTCAACCAGCTGCAAAAGCAGATTGGCTTCGCCTGGGCCACCCGCGTTATTGGCTTCCTCTGCTTCGGTACCATCTTCATCTCATTCAGTATCATGCGCATTCGATTCCCCCCGAAGGAGAAGCGAAAGCTCTATCAGTTCTCTGCTTTCAAAGACCCGGGCTATTGCATCTTCTGTGCGGCCATGTTCTTTGGTTTCTTGGGGTTCTACAACTTCCTCTTCTACGTGCAGTCCTATGCAATCGACACTGGGATCGTCGACAACAACCTAGGATTCTACCTATTGTCTATGCTCAATGCCGCCTCAACCTTCGGCCGTATCTTGCCCAATTTCCTTGCTGATCACCTCGGCCCACTCAATATGCTCACGCCCGCTGTGACCATCACCTCCATCCTTGCATTCGTATGGATTGGTATTCATACCGTCCCCGGTATAATCATTCTGGCCGTTTTCTATGGCTTCTTCTCGGGTGGTTTCGTGTCTCTGCCCCCGGTGGTAATGGCCAGCATGACTCCAGACGTGCGCAATCTGGGTACTCGTCTCGGCATGGTCTTTGCCATCACTTCGATTGGCCTGCTGATCGGCACACCCATTGGTGGTGCCATTTTGGCCGATACCAACACGTATCTAGGTGTCCAGCTGTTCACTGCGTCCTGCCTTGTCACATCTGCGGTTCTAATGGCCACTCTCCGCTTCGTTCGCTCCGGACCTGTCCTGAAATCCAAGACTTGAGCGACCTGAAGGACTTCCATCCATTAGTCTTTATGTGAGATAAAAGGTATCCGATGCCGCTCGTTAATTAGACGACCCAATTTGGGTTGTCGTTACACCAAAACTTGCTGCATCAGCGGAGGTTTAGGTGGACAAACATGCAGCTTTGCCGCACATTTGCTTCACGCACCACAGCCCAGCCCCTGGGTCCATCAGTTGCTTCAGTGATGCAGCTCTATGAACAGGTTATACACTTGGGTCGATCTGTACCACCTGGTACCTAATATCATGCATTTGCGGGCGTCTTGAATAGAGTGGACAGAACTTTCATGTTTATTGGTGTTAAAAGCCCGAAATTTCCATAGTCACGAGTCTACGTCCATTCACTGAGGAATGAAATCATAGTATTCTATTGCTCTTCAAGATTCAAAGTATATAAGTGAACCTCCCCAAAACTCCGCCTTGCAAGCTATGCAATAAGCCAGAACCCCCGCGCCGGTGAATCAATGCATTGCCCGTTCTATCGCGCCTAAGAGACATCCTCGGGGCTCACTAGGAAATCTTCTCCTTTCTCTCGTATGTGTTCGAGCTTCTTGTCTCGGGAGCAGGGTTTGCGCATATCGAATGCGTCCTCTCCTGAATCGGACTTGCCGGTTGGATCATCGCTGTAGTAATTGACCACTCGCCTGAACACGGAATAGCTATCATTCATGTTAGTTTTGAGCCCGATCCCACGGCGATAATGAAACATACCCCATGCCCTTGTACATGTCAACGGCAACTTTGTTTCCAGAGCGGACGTAAAGGTCCACAAACCACGCATTAGCACTATCAGATCCGTGCTCCAGCTCCTCAGTCAGCTGGCTGGCGTAGCCGAGTCGGCGCCAGGCGGGGGCAACTGTTAGGACGGTAATATGACCATGCCACGGGGTGTAGTGCTCAGAATGGCGCATTGAAGGGTGCTGCTCTTCGGTCTTTCCCATAACTACAATAGTCAGCTCGGGCCTCAATTGTCTGCTCTAAGAGAGATCCTTACTGTAACCCACCACGCCGGCATCGCGGTCTGTGACTTTGCTAAACAGCGACGGCCATTTGCTCATGTAGTTGAGGTAGAATCCGAGATCGTAGTTCTCGGTCAGCGGATCGAGGTTAGTCGCATTGAGCTTGAGTAGGTCCAGCGGGGACATTCGCGTGATTGAGCTCATCTTCGCGGACGAAAAAGGTGACCGGAGATCAAGTAAATGAAGAGTGCAGAATGTGGGGTTCTATCGTGGGACATCATTCTGCCGAGGCGGTCGCGGCACCAGTGCATTTGTTTTGCCTTTGTTGATCATCTTTACTTTCGTGAAGATCACAGTTTCTTTATTTTTCTCGCGACAATCTCTTGTTGACCAATCTCATATTAGTCTCGGCTTTGGATCATGAAGCATTAAAATCAGGAGACTTCCCATTTGAATCTCCCACACTTGCCCGCTATTACCATCATTACCGTTTCGGTAGTTCAACAACACTGCGAGCTGATGGTCTAATTTACCCCATTTCAATTCTTATTTACGGTGTTCTTCTTGTTTCCGACCTCGCGCTGTCTCTCTTCGGAGAACCGAGTGCTCCCCTCTTTCCGATGCCGCGCCTCCCTCCGTCTCCCCTGAAACTCGTTCACCGCCACCCCTCAATCATGGACGACTCTCCTGTTTCGCCTGGAACACAGGGTGCCAATGGATTTGCTCTTCAAAGCCCTGGATCCCCACGGACTCCTCGTTTGTCTGCGCCACCATCACCACTCATGCCCCGCCAAAACCTAGAAGCTATGGACGAGTCTCACCGGAAGTCTGTAGATTTCTCTACTGAAACAGGCGGCAGTGGTGGTCTAGGAAACCTTGCCGATGAGTTGGCAGATGCATGGGAGCAGGAGGAAGATGGATACGGTTATGCCTCGGGGCAAGAAACTGCCCGGACTGGGTCCCAGCAGATGGAACAGAGCGACAGCGAAGATGCTTATATACAATCGGTTCACGATATGCACTCCGGATCACCAGGGTCAGAGTCGCCAGCCGGGAACCGTTTGCGAGCTCCTCATCTCCGACAACACCGACGTGCGGAGTCACACTATGATGGCTCAGACTATGGAAATGACTCCGACCTCGACGGGTCTGCGGACATCTCCCCCGCTTTGGAAAGCCAAATGGCAGATATCGAAAGTCTCGCGCGGCGGGGCATTGAGAACAACGGTAGTGAAAATGACCATGTCATCCAACGAACAGTCGAGTCACTCCGGGATCTTGGTGGACAGAGCGGGATTGAGAATAGTGCAATGCGGTAAGTCAAATCTAACACAAGGCCCAACCCTCCAACGGATATCTAACTTTGATCCCAGACTCATCACTGCACATTCCTCCATTACATCGCATCTCACCCACCAAACCCGCACCCTTCAGTCTCTCATCCACCCAATTCTCTTCTCGTCATTCCCTCTCCTATCCGAAGACGCCATTGACTCCCTTATACCTCTGATTGACGAAGGCCTCCTTCCGAACCTCCCATATCCGTTCCCTGAACACTCTCGCCGCGATTCAAGACCAACCACACCCTCTCAACCTGCAGCCAACCCACTTGCCTCCCTGCAAGCTCTTATCTCTCAAACATCCGACATCACCCTTTCTCTCCGCAGTCTGAGTGACACTCTCTACGAGTCTCGCCAGTTAACCTCCACGGCCTCACGGCGCCTCAGATCTGCCCGCGAACTCGTCTCCGATCTACGACGCGAGGAGGAAAGCCGCGAAGAGGGCTCACGATGGCTCGAGCGCGGCGACTGGGATCGCCGATTGAAGGATCGTGAAGCCGGCAAGGAGTGCGCAGATGTTGTCGGCGGTTTTGAGGCCGTGTGTGGTGAGTGGCGTGAGAAGCTGTTCGGGGCTGGCGCCGAAGTAGCTGCGGCATAATTTGCATGGTCAATTTCTTTCGTTGAGTCTCTAGGAAGCCGGCGCGCCTCCAGGACACCACTAGACTGCTATGGGCTTTTTCTTCGCTTTCCTTGTCCGATATCCACGGTTCCATTCTTGTCCGTCCCTTTCTGCGGCCCCAGCTGGTCTGTTTATATCCCGATTTCGCCATGTTGGGTATTTAGCTCGCGCGCATATAGTTATACACTTTTGGATACCATTCATTGAACTTGCATATCTCTTTCGTCTGGTTTCTGACGTTTGAGCCGGTCAATGTGAATTGCCTGTTCCGATTAGTTCCACCTTGTTAGGTATAGTTCCCCTCGTACGCCGTTTCAAACCCCACTCTTGACTCCGCCCTCTGACTTGGCGCATAGCCAAAGATGTATACTGTATTGGATCGACTTTCATCATGTGTAGATAATTATGTGTTTTGAGGTTTCGATGGCTGATCATACCTGTATCCACGCGAGTGCCCGCACGAAAGATTGAATGGGGTGGTAGGGGCCTTTTCCTAAAATGTGTTAAGCTTCGTCTTAGCAGATGCTTTGAACTTGGCCTTTCGACCATGACACTGTCAATTTAGAGTTGACTGTGCAGAATACAGGAAATATACAGGGCGCTATCAGTCACAATGGGCTGAACAGACCCCTTAGGAACAGTATAAGTAGATAATATCACATTGATATTGGTGACATGCTGAGTCCGCCTGTTTCCAACAGAATAAAATCCGAACATCTCCGCTACGTAAAAAGAACATCAAGTGAAGATATAAATCAAACAGTTTTGAAGGTCTAAAATGATCCTATTCACTGAATCCCACCCAAAACGGGATCAAAACATGGGAGTTGAACAAGATATTGGCATCACTTGAAGCATCACGGATGACAACAGCCTATCCGGAAACAAGGAAATTAAAGGACAAAGAAATCGCAGGGCAACAAGATCATGAAGCTCGCTCGAGCCGATGATAGTCATTGCAGAGGGGGGTCATGAAAACAGGCGCCAGATAGGAAAAGGGTCACTTTTTGCTCGTTCCCTAGTAATGAGATGTGAAGAAAATGTAGTCAACCACCTATGAAGGCGCTTAGCTCTGCTGTTGCTTCCAGCGGGGCACCCACTTGCCGCCGGCGGCACCCTTAGGCTCCTCGGGCTTGGGGGCGGAGGGCTCGCGAGTATGACGGGGCACGTAGCGCTCGGTAGGAGCTTCGCGGGGCTCGCGGGGGGCAGGGGAGGCGGGGCGGAACCAGAGCTGGCAGCAGCGCCGGCACGCAGGTGGGGAGGAACATAGCCACCACGGCGGGGAGCCTCTTCGCGAGCAGGGGCGGGCTCGGGGGCACTGGGGCCGGCGGAATCTCCCTTAGCGGCCAGGCGGTCACGCCAGCCGCCACCACCAGCGGCAGCAGTGCGCGGGGCGACGTTGAGACGGGGAGCTGAGCGTTCGGCGGACTCGAAACCACCACCAGTTTTGCGGAGAGCGCGGCGGGCTTCCGCTTCTTCCTCGCGCTGCTTCTGGCGAGCGGCAATCTCGTCCAGTTTTCTGCGGAAAGAAAATTAGTCATATGTTTCTCTTGCTGTACTGGGAGAACAAAAACATACCCTCGCTCCTCCTCGCGCTTGGCCTTCTCCTCTGCCAAAGCACGGCGACGCTCCTCGTCCCGGGCAGCGCGTTCCTCCTCCTCGCGCTGGGCACGCTCCGCCTCCTCTTGGCGGCGGGCTTCTTCTTCCTCGCGCTCCTGCCTCTCGCGACGGCGGCGCTCCTGGACTTCCTTGACACGCTGCTTCTTCTTGGCCTCGAGCTCGCGCTCGGCAGCCTTGCGGCGCTTCTCGAACTCCTCGTGACGCTTCTCCGAGATCTCCTGGCGGAAAGTAGAGAAGCGAGGAATCAGACGCTCCAGGCGATGCTTGAGAGCAAGAGCCTCGACGTGCTTCTGCTTGGACTCCTTGAGAGTCTCGGCCTTCTGCTTCTCCCAAAGGGCCAAATCGGCCTTCTTCTGATTCTCGTAATCGGCAGTGATGTGCTTCAGCTCCTCGCGACGGAAAGCACGCTCCAGATGGTCAATACGCTTGGCAGTAGTGCGCACACGGTCATTGAGCTCGTTCTTCTCCTTTTCAAGCTGAGCCAGCTTGATGGCACGCAGGCGGTTGGCATCCAGCTCATCCATGTCGAACTCGCTGATATCAATACCCTTGACGCCGGTTTTAAGCTCCTCGAGCTGCTTCTTGAGCTCCTCCTGCCGGATGCGGTCCTGCTCATCCTTGATGCGCTTGAGCTCACGATCACGCTGCTCATCAGCAAGACGCTGCTTCTCGGCTTCCTGGAGCTGCTGGGTACGGATGCGCTTGCGGGTCTCCTCCTCACGCTGCTTGCGCTGAAGAGCATCGCTGGCGGCCTCCTTCTTCTTGTCGATGACCACACGACGAGCGAGGGTCTCCTCGTGCTCCTGAGCGGCACCCTCCAAAGCACGGGCCTGGGCGGTCTGCTTGGCCTGGAGGCGGGCCTCATTGTAGGAGGGATCCACATACATGGAGGTGATGTGAAGAGTCTTAGCCAGGCGAGCCAGCTGGAAGCGGGCAATCTCAGCGGGGGTGTGTTGGAGGCGCTGGACAGAGCCGAACTCGCTCTCGGCGGATCCAGCACCGCTACCGGCATGCATAGCCTTGGAGGAAGAGAAGACATCAGAGTCGAAGGACAAGGTGCCGGAGATGTGGTCCACACGGATGGCGAGATCACCCTTCTTGCAACCGTTCATGATGAATTTCTCAATCATGGCGGGGGTGATCTGGAAGGGATCGGGGAACTGAGCGAGCTCATAGACGAACTGGAGCTTGACGGAGTCGTAGACCTGGGAAAGCTGCTGGAACAGACGGGTGAGAATGACCTGCTGCAGAGGCACAACGTACTTCTCCATCTCGGGATCGGCACCGATCTGCTTGAGAATGGGTGTGATCTTCTTGCAGATCGAGAGCGGGTGGAAGTCGACCTCGAGGATGTTGTACAGTTCGCGAATTTCGGGGCGAACGCGCTTCAGGAGACCCTTGTTGAGAGCATCCCGGAACAGAACGGAGCGAGAGGGGGCAGAGGCCATACCCAGCAGGTTAGTGAGGCGGGTGTTCTTGTTCTTGCGGGCCTCATCAACGTCGATCAGAGCGCCACGGGAGCGGTCAGTGCTGATGACGGGGATGGACAGAGCGGACAAAAGAACGAAAGAAGCGGCCTTGGTGATCTCGGCATCAGTAACGGAGGGGTTTTCCTTCTTGGTGCTCTGGCCGGAAGCCAAGGCAACGGTGGAGAGACGGAGAAGGTTGTAGTAGCGGTTCCAGGCGGCGGCGTGGAAGAGGTAGTTCTCGCTGACAAGGAAGATACGGGCGAGCTTCTCGTAGTAGTTGGCCATCATAACGTTCTTAGCGGGACGCTTGCTCAGGTTCAGAAGAGTGTGGATGTCCTCAATACTGCGGAAGGCCTCCTGCCACGAATTCCAGCTCGACAGCGACGTTCAGCTGCTGGAAACGGGTATCCAAGTGGCGCTGCTGGGTATCGGCATCGCTCAGATTGATAGCGTGCATCTGGGAAGAGTACTTGGCGGCATTCTGGACGTGGTTGCGGAGCAGCTCGCAGAGACGGCGGAACTCTGTCTTGCGGGTATACTTGAGGCAGAACTGGAAGGCCTGCAGAGCGGTCGACTGGTACATGATCTCGAGGCGGGCATTGTTCTTCAGAATCTCGAGGACGGTACGGTACGTCTCCCATAGGAACTTCAACCAGGGAGTGACGACGGCGCGGTCGGTGCGGTCACGAGACTGCTCACCGGAGACGGTGGCTAGCAGGATGGTCTCGGGAGTCTCGATGGCCTCCAGATCTTCGATGTTGGAGGAGGGAGCGGCGGACTCGAGGGAAGACTGAATCTCATCGGCCTTGGTCTGGGCCTCAGTGACCTTCTGCTCGGCGAGCTCGATGAACTTCTTCAGGACGATCTCGATGGTGCCGACGTTGGTGTTCTGAGCGATGTTCTTGTACTGGTACAGACCATCCTTAGCAGCCTTACCCTTGCGCAGGTCGACAGCGAGTTCCACGAAGAGGAGCATAACGGGCTCGAGCGAAGCGATCGGGCTGCTTCGGGTGCGCTTAGAAGTGACATGCTCGTGGAGGACGGTCAGGGCAGCGGGAGCCTGACCGACGGCGATGAGTTCCTGGGCCCTCTTCACGGAAGTTGTTAGCATATGATGTCGCATAGAATGTCGGGATCGGCTCGAAAAGGACGCACCTTGAGGACATTCTCAGGTTTGATATGCGGTGGTGGCGGCATTGTCGATAATCACACCCCTTCAAGAGGATTTTTTTTTTTCGTTGGATAAAGTCGGAGCGAAATCGAGAAAAGCAAGCAGGCGTCTTGCACACGGGCAGTGGTCCGGGACCGTCGTTAAAAAGGCTGCCACGCGAAGTACCTATACCTGGAGGGGAAGATAGGCCTGTTGTGCGTGAACCAGCAAAAATTGCCCGATTCCCACTTTGGCTTCAGGCTAAGCGATGGGGCTGTCACGTGTTTTTGGTGTCTGCCTCAGGCGTGGTTATATATGACTCGTATCACGATTACCGGGGATATGATGCGAACCCATCGAAACCCAGAAATCGACGAAAAGAGCGATGAAGATGAAAAGTCATGCTGACGCCTCACGAGACACCAAAGAACACAAATAATACCTCCAAAATCGGCGACTCAACTATCCAATTTTGATGGGTCGAACTAATGAGCCAAAGTCGCCGCTACCCAAGTTCATTATTATGACCTTCCTGATCTCCGAGTGCCCGGTACATGTAATCGAACACACGGGCCCTCTCCGTACCACCAGAGCAGAACGGGGAAAATCCCTCTTTCGAAACCTACCAACTCTCGCATCCCTTCCTTTTGAAACCCTTCACTCTCTTTTTTCTTTATTCGACTTCCCCCGTCGAAAACTTACCGGGATTCCTCCGACCCCGTCACTTCATCCCCCTTTCTGATCCCGCCGTGATTGCCCCCTCTCTCTCTCTCTCCTGAAATAACCCCCCTTTCCTGCGATCGCGCGCCGAACTCAATTCGCCGACCACCATGCCTGCTTACGAACTTCGCTCCGGTGGTGATGTCAAGAACAAGAAGCAGAGTGTCGCCGACCTCAAATACCGCCGTCTGACTGAGCTCAATGCACGCCTGAAGGAGGATCTCGATCGCCCGCGGGTCAAGGTGTCTGAAGCTGCGCTCTCGTATGTTCTTCCCCCCCCCTATCACGCTTCAGTTTCAACCGCAACCGCAACCGCAACTGCAGGAACTAATCAGCTCTTTGTCTCTCAGTCTCATCAGCTACTGCAACAATACTCGCGATTTCATGGTTCCCTCGGTCTGGGGTCAGGTATGTCGCTATCTCTTTCCCGTCAGATAGGCGCGCACAGCTAACATTCGTCGCAGGTCGACAAGCGTGAGGACCCCTATGCCCCTCAGCAGCAGGGCGGCTGCTGCACCGTCATGTAATGCAACCCATGACGATAATATTTCTCGATCGCCCCATGACACGATTTCTTGATTTCCATTCTCCTAATTCCGGATCCCCATGATCGTTTTCTCGACCCCCTCGGACCCGAACCTAAACCACCGCTCGCCTGCTGGGCGCGGCGCGAGACGTGGACCCTGAAGATTCGTTCTGCTGGCCCTGCACGACCTTTCCACGTCTAAATGGGACCATGCGGGTATCTCTATCTCTCTTTATTGATCTATCGTTTCTATTCGACCCGGCAGTGTGTCCCGGACGCTGCATGCTGCCGAGTTCGCCTTGTCTCTTCTATTTCTTGTTCCATTTTTTTTTTTTTCTTCTACTACCAATACTTCTTCTCTTCTGATGCACCATTCCCCCTTTTGTCGTCCAGTGTTTTGAAGCCAATTTCCTTTGTTCTCTGGGTTCTCCAAAAACTTTCTCCAATGTGCAGGAGAGTCGGGTTGCCATTCGTGTATCATAGATTCGATTTGCATCCAATGACCAATACAATACCGATCTAATATCACACTCTTCGCGATCAATCTAACCTAGTAGAGCAACATCAGTCTCTCGTTGCCCCACCGTGATCGACCCATCCACTTCTCGGCTACGGTGTAGCTGATCGTCATGACCGATATCCAACCACCACTCACCTTTTTCAGTGGGTCTTTCCGGGCTCCCTCGGGAGATGTCGAGAGCCAGCTCACAGGCTCTCATGCTTGCAGCTTCGACAGCCAGAATAGGGGACGCCCCTGCACATTCTTCTAGCGAATCTTGAAACTGCTTTCAAGACAGCCTCGCACCACCCCAAATTGAATGTCCAATCTTCTTCGCGTATAGTCAGATGCCAGGCGTAGCCACTGATCTTGTCATCCGGTGCGATGATATCTCAATTGGTACCTTTTAACAACCAGTAGCATCGTGTTGAATCATGCCGTCACGTTTTCAACATTGTTCAATCCTTACAAGGTATGAGTACTCTTTAGGCTCTTGGCATGGCGTTCGACTAGCAGTTGTCTACGTCCCCTCCTCTACACAATGTTGCAGCATATAATTCCCACTAAGCTCGCCGTAGCGACGTCCTTGCATCTCCTACCCTATAGAGCAACGAAACATGTGACGAGTCTAGCGTTGGATCGAGTATTGAAGAAAAAGGTCTTCTCGCCACGTGAGTTTTGCAACTCCAAAGATACGAAACAATTAAGATTTTAATTGAGGAGGGTTGCTTATTCGTGACGCGCAGTCCTTGAGCGATGTAATGAAATGGACAATGTGGTTGGGGAGTCGGGATCAATATTCTGCCTAAGACATCACGATATCCGCCCTATCTCAGCAAAATCCTCCTTAATCCACAAAAGCAAAAAATTTATATACCAAATGGGTTCATAACCCAGTTGGTTACCGGTTCCATAACTCAGTTGGTTAGAGTGTGGTGCTAATAACGCCAAAGTCGAGGGTTCGACCCCCTCTGGAACCATGTGAACATTGAGTCATTCTTTTTTTTTCTTTTTTGCTACCACCCAGCCAAGGTACGGGAGATTGATTTTTTAGTCACCTACCAAGGGACCTCTGGTCAATGGGGTTGAACAACATTTCAAGTGACCAAGTGCTTGTCTAACTAGGTCTACATGACCTCCGGGAACACGGGCAAATAATATGTATGCCTTGCATAATCTGCACGTAGGTTATAGTCGTTCACACCAAAGAGCTGTCACGTGGTGAGCGTTCAAAAGGTCTGAGCCTCTGGGTGAGCTATTCTACCCAAGGAGAGTTAAGTAGTAAAGCCATGCTAGACTTTACGTCTAGAGACACTCGGCAAATATTTTGTGTCATTCCATATCAGATTAGTCCCCAGCTACGTGCAGCACAAAAAAGACCGAATCAGGAAATCACCCCCGCTGACATCATCCAGTGCCAACCCACTCCAATGTTCCCCTCAGGCACGATTCCCGGCATCAAACTCCCCGATCAAGCACACCCTTATCACTCCTCACATTTAGATACCGGCTTTATTGCAGAGTACAGTAAAACGCGAGGCTCCCTCTTTTCAAGATACCAAGATCAACATCATGACCGAACCAACTTCAACGGGGAAGACCATGACCGGACCCTCACCAATTGAGCAAAGCGTCGCACAGCAGATCACACCCCCAAACCCCCTACAGATTTCACATCGCGAGAGCGTGTCTCCCTCCCACGGATCTCAATCCAATTCTGCACCCAGTGCAAGTGGATGCTGCGAGCTGCATATGTACGTCTGATCTATACCCCCCCTTCTCATCTGAGCATTTTCATTGGATATTAATATGCACACGGAACACACCTTTCTGCATATGCATGCACTAATCAAGGGAACTGTCAACACATACTCGGACGCATCCTGACTGGTTTCTAGTTCGCGCAGGAACTTCTCTCCACTTTTGGCACGGACCTCGGGGAAGTGGCGCTGGTACCGAAGACCGGGGTGTGTTTACGGTTACAATCTGGTATTCTGATCCTGGTATTGGTACTGCCTCTGGGGGTGAGAGCGGGGTCACTACGCAAGAGCTGATTCTATGGGATCGCAAGAGAGATGGCGGATTCCCTGGTACGTTAAGAATTGTCGCGCTCTTTCTTTCTCTCTCCACACATATATATATATATATGTGGGTAGCACTTTTGCGATATGGACGCCTTTGTTTCCATGTTTCTTGGGTACTTTTGGTAATTGGGAACTCACACTTACACTTTCCTGGAATTACAGAGGTCAAGGTACTTAAGTCGCTGGTGAGAAATGTCATTGCTCCCGAGAGGGATTTGGGCCATACGGACCGAGCGTTGAGAAAAAACAAGGAAGAGGTGGATAAGAACAAGCAGGAGATTAGGGGGAGGGAAGAAGAATTGTGAAGAGTGTCAGTAAATAGACTAGAAACAAAATCATCATCAGCCCTTTGGAAATTGAGGTATTTACTCGTGTGACGAAAATATGTAGCTCTAGAGAACTACGTATTCCTTGAAATGTCGGAGAAACCCAACTCTCTTACAGCCAATACCTAAGCATCTAGATTGATCAGACTACAAGAACCGATCGTGACAAAAAGAAATGCAAATATTTATATTTGGAGAGAATGAAAAAAAGCGACCATCTCACCAGACCACAATCCCAAAGGAAATATAAAAAAAAATATACGACGCCACCCCCCCCCCAAAAAAACCGAATCTAAGATGACCGACCCATAAGTTCAAATGCAACCTCCAATAAAAAGAAATACCAGAAAAAGAAAAGAAACGTAAAGCAAGGAACGTCAAGCATGTCCATGATCATCACAATAGCGCAATGCAGTAGTACGGACTCAGAAAACGAGATACGCCCGCCGGTCGTCTAGACTGGGTCCCACGGAGGGCGAGCACACATAGTTTTCGAGCAGAAGTATACGCCCAAGACAGCAAGGCTCCGTTCGTCAACGTCATTTGGACCATAGATCGGACAGAGCCAAATTTTGTAGATGTAGGAAAATTGGGAAGGAATCGTTCGAGCCAAGTCATAATCGTGCCACCGACACCCTCAGCGCTCATCAATGCACCGTTAACCATAATCACGTAATATACAGCCGGGAGAGTTATCAACACCAGCTAGGAAGAGAAAGCAAGGAATCAGCTTTCGCCATGCACCTCGGATTGGTGGTGAGGGCGACGCTTCCAGAAGGCAAGTCGTAGGCGACTCCGCCGCTTTGTGAGCCTGTGCAGACCACCCCGTTCCCGTGTTGGTGGCTGTCCTGCGTGTCATCATTCTTGATGCTCTCGCCGGTAGTGGTGGACTGAGTTGGGCTCCGAGTGCCATTAAACCCGGCCCGGAGGAAGTCTTTGTGGTGACCATTCTCGGGTTGTGATTGGGCTGCATCTACGCCGGAGCTATGAATACCACGGCTGTAGGTGCTATCCCGGTCGGCATTAGAAGCATGTGATGTGCTCGGGCGTGTGCTATTGTCGCCAATCTCGCTCTGAGGTGCACTATCGTCTGACACCCGCTTCTCATCCCCGCTATCCACGGCTAAGAAGCTTGTGGCATTGGTCGCGGGTGAGATGGGTGTCATGTTGTTGCTGTGTGCGCTGATACTATGGGTTCGGGTGCAGCTGTTGCGGTTCGATCCTGACGGGGCAGAGGTGCGAACAGAGGAGCTGTGATGTGCGTGATGACGATGAGAGCCAGATGGGCCTTGACGGGAGCTGCTTGGTCGCTCCGGGATAGGCTCAGGGATGGATTCGTGCTCGGCGGCAGTCATGGAATTGACGGCAGTGCCAGCACTGGCCGAGTTAGTATTGGACGAATTGGCATTAGCGGAGTTGGCATAATGAGCAGCGGCAAGGGCGGCCGGATCCTCTAGAGAGTGGGCCGAATCGGTCAGAGGGGTATGATATTGTGTTCCAACAGATCCTCGGCCAGGTTGTGGACCGCCGGGGATGGAAAAGTATGAAAAGTCCGGCATGGCGCCGGGCACGGCACTCGAGGATTTTCTTGACGGCACGTCCGGAGCCAGAGGCGTGCCAGTAATCTCGATTTGCGGACCAGGAGTATCAGGTGACACGACTGGCTCGATGTTATTCTCATTATAGGCTCCATCGGGCGAGGCTCTGCTGGTCTCAGAATCTGGTGAAGGAGGGTATTGTGTGCTGTCTGTAGGCTTCAAAGAGGCCTTTGGGGTGCTCTCTTCGTCGTCCGCTTTGCCCTGAGGACTTTGCGAGCGAGGAGAAATCGCGCTTTCCGCCCGCTCCTCAACCGCTAGTCCCTGTGTCCGTAGCTCATTATTGGCGTGCTCCTGCCATTGCGCTTGATTACGGCGCATGTGATCGACAGTAAACTGCAATTGGGGGAGGAGATCGGTAACACCCTCAAATAGCGGAAGCGCGAAAATGGACATGAATCCAATTTGGCCGGTGGCCAGCTTGTAGATGTTGCCCAGCTCAGGCGGCCCGCCAAAGAGCGCAGTCTCCATTCCTACCTCTTTCTCCATCTCACCTTGGTTGGCAAATTCCTCCTGTAGGATTCGAGTCCACTTCTCGGCGATCGCCCAAGGCCGTGCCACGTTGCTGATATCGGCACACTTGATCAATAACCCACAAAGGAGGGTCTTGTACAGTTCAACATCCTGGGGCTTCCAGTCCTCGACGCACTTCTGGCTATCATGGTACCTCTCCTGCAGAGATCCCATCCGTTGCATGAACTTCTGGTGAACGCCCATGTCAGTAGCCAGAATGGAGCTAATCAGGAGCTTGCGGAGTTGATTGTCTTTGAAGGCTGAAGGCCAGTGACGGCGAAGGATCTGAGAAAAGGCTGCACAATGGAATGCCTCGAGAACAGAGTTGTCGTTGTACAGTTGCGCTAAGGGGGCATTGAGCTTGATGAGGAAGAAATTGTTGACTCCCGGGTGGCCCACGTCGTGGCCAATCGCGGAAATCAGTAAAGTGAGGGCGTCAAAAGGAGAGATAAGAGAAGCTATAGAAGCCTTTGGCGTAGAGATTTGACCAGAGGGTTCGTAAGGAGGGAGAGCGCCGATGCGAAGTAGGAAGCAAAATACTGACTGCAAGACATCAATCGCATGACGGAAGTTGTGGTAGAGGACGAAATTATTGTAAGCGGCGCGACAGGCAAGTAAGAAGGTCTGCAGTTCACCGGGCGTCAATCGCCAGTGTTCTAATCCGGGCAAGTTGAAAGCGTGCTGGATGATCTCGCAGGCTGCGAATACTAGCTCATCCTCGGAGAAATCGTGAGCACAGAAACTCCAACTTCCAACTTGTGTTTTAACGAAAGCTTCCCGGTGCGGTTCCACATGGATTTCCCTAAAAGTGAACAGATGAGTAAATGGAGTCCACTTCTGGACGGGACGATGAGACATACCGTTCTTGAAACTCATCAACAATCTCCTCTGGGTTGCATATTCCTTTCATGAGTTTTGAGACCATTGCCTCTCTCAGATAGGCATACGGCTGTTCATCGTGAACGCCCACCCAGGAGAGTTTACGGTTCTTCTTGTGTGCCAAGAATCGCGACATCTCCCTCTGGGCGGACCGATGATACCGGTAAGCATGTACCACAAGACCCTGAATTCGAGAGCGATCCAGGGGCGCCATCAGGACATCGATTGCACCGGCATCGAGACACCGCGCAATCTGCTTGTGTTCTAGAGTGATCGGGTGCTTACTCTGCGGCTCGCTTGTCGGCTCAGGCGCATCCGAGCCAGCGGCGCGCAGAATGGCGATCGGAATAACGAGCTTCGGGCCACCTTGAACTTGGATATCGTTTGAGACGCCCGAGAGGAGTGATAATCCGGGCGCTTCGTCCGAATGGGAGGAAAAGGTAAAGGTGCGCTGAATGGAACCGGGTGATGGAGGGCCGCCGTCGGTCATCCACGAGGCTCGGCTAGCCTTGCGCCGGGCGACACTGAGGTCGTCGCTACTGAAATCGATACCGAAGAAGGCGAAGATCGGGGTACAGTCGCTACCGGCCCGATCGCTTAGCTCGGCGAGTTTCATGGCGAAGGAGGCTCCACTCTGGCACAGATAGATCTTCTTACACACGCCCAACAGGAGATCGACATCGGTCTGCAGCGCCTCCGGCTCTTCGGGTAGGGCGAGGGAGCGGATAGAGGATTCGGTTGAGGTAGCGTCGATGGAGGTTCTGCGCACCCATCTCTCCGACCGAACTCGGTCATCAATGTAGACGCCCGAGCATTCCACGCGGTCCACCATAATGTCACAGAGGGGGAGGGGGATTTCACCGATCCACAGCACCGTGATCACAGGGCCACCGAGAATTACCGAGATATGAGTGAAGCGAGGCGGTCCGACCTGACCTGATGTGCATATGGTCCAAATGACCTTGAACCGAGAGCGCGCGGATACTGGATGGGAGAGAGGAGAGGTCTATGCGCGAGGAGAGCGAATTCAACCACGTCGCGAGGATTCCAAGGCAGGTCGAGAGAGTCGGTTCAGAGAAACGAGCGGCGAAGGGCAAGGGGAGGGAAGGAAGGACTAGAGTTCACGCGTGAACAATGCAGTTGTGATGTGGCGATTCAGGCGTCGCGAAGCAGACTGGGGAGATCCAAGACAAACCCAACAGGATCGCAGTTGGAGAATGCGCGCTGGTTGTCGGTGCTGGACGTTGGACGCCACAGATGACGGCACGTGAGGGGGAACGGGAAGGGGGCCTTCCTTTTTTTTTTCCCTTCCTTTTCCTTGTTCCTTTTTCCCTTTGGACGATGACTGGTAGGAAGGGTGTTTTTACCTAAGGGAGGAAGAATGATATTTTTAATACAAAGGAAAAGTGAATAGGGCGACATAGTGGATCGAGATCTGAGATATCGAGAAGAAAGAGAAAACAAGTGGAGGGGAGGGGGGACACGGGGAAGGGGCTTCTGTCCTGCTTCTGGAAGCCCTTGAGGGGGGCGGGACGGGATGATCCTCGACTGGACTCGACTCGGCCACTTTCCTTCTACCCAACCCTACTCACTCGGCCTATGATCATAAAGGACTCCTCTTTTCCTCCGTCAATTTTCCATAGCCCTATACTTCCTGTCCACCATGATCTCCTTCGTCTAGAGCCTCGATCCCGGTGGACCCATGACGCCTCTCATTTGAGCGCACAGTTTTTCTAGAAGGCCCACCTTACTTAAGCCCGCCGAAATCGCCCTGATCATTGGCTGCCGGCTGCAGGATCCCGTTCGAGGCTCCGGGGAGTCCGCGGGAAATGACGAAGGGCGAGATTCTAGGGGAATCCATTCCGGGTTGCATGATCTCATCACTCACCCGCGCTTTCTACCTCCCCGACCTTGGATCTCTAACGAGCGAGGATCCTAGGGTCTCTCAGTCTCAGTCTCAGTCTCAGTCTAGGTCTAACCCTTAGTCGTTCCCCGCTTTCCACGGTGCCTGATGCGCGCATCCTCCGTGGTTCTGCGGCCGAATCACGTACGAAGGACTAGCCAATCACAGTCCCAGGCCAGGCGAAGAATGTGAGGAATCAATTTGCGTCTCATTCCCAGGCTATGTACCCAGAGAACCCTTGTACATTACTCATATACCTGTACACCCATGCACATCCATGCACAGCCATGCACAGCCATGCTCACCCCCGGTCGGTGATCCCTCTTGAGTTGGCGAAGCTCTAGACAGTGCAGATAATCTTACCCTTGGTCGTGTTGCTTTCCAACAACTGGTGCGCCTCCATAACCTGCTCAAAGGGGAACACCTTCTCCACGAACACCTTGAACGTCCCATCACAGAACTTGGGCAGCGCGTGCGAGACCAGCGTATCTCGAAGCTTGGCCTGGTATTCTTCATCCCGGCTACGCAGTGTGCTACCTTCGACCCGAACCCGCTTGAAGAGCAGAGGGGCGATGTTCACGCCCTCGGGCAACTTGACTCCACCCATCAGTCCCAACAACACCACGCGACCATCCTTCGCGGCAACATCCAGGTTGCCCTGGAAGTAGGGCGCGCCGATGAAGTCAACAGTTAGGTTGACGCCGGCGCCGCCCGTCGCCTTCTGAATCTCGGCGGCCCAGTCTTGAGTCTTGTAGTTGAAGGCGGCGGTCACACCGAGCTCCTTCACGAGGAAATCAATCTTCTCCTGCGATCCGGCAGTGGCATAAATCGCTCTGGCTCCTTCGGCTTTGGCGAGCTGGATGCCTGAGATCGAGACAGATGACGCGCCGGCGTGGAACAGGACGGACTGTCCGGCTTGGAAATCGCCGATCAGGAAGAGGGCCTGCGAGGCAGTGATCCAGGTCTATCGAATATGAGTACACGCCACCGACCGGGAAAAATGTAGATAAGGAACAAACCTCTGGCACGCCGGCAGCCTGCTCCCACGAGAGCTCCTTAGGCTTGTGGACAAGCATCTTGGTCGAGACGGCAATGTACTCCGCGTAAGCACCTATTGCATCATCAGTTCAAGAAAAACCTCCAGGATAGCATACTCCGTAAAGATGGAAAGAGCAAGAAGCGAAGTGTCGAAACATACCACCATAAGCAAGGCCAAACACTTCGTCTCCGACCTTGAAATCATCCTTCGATCCAGTGCCCACGCTCTCCACCACGCCGGAGAACTCGACGCCCAGGGTCTCGGGTGCCTGCGGCGGAAGCGGGTACTGACCCTCGCGCTGCAGCAAGTCCATGCGGTTGAGACCGAACGCGTGGATTTTCACGATGGCTTGGCCGGCAGCGGCACTGGGCTTGGCGATCTGGTCGACGAAGAGGGACGTGGCGGGACCTTTGCCGCCCTTGACAGCTATGAAAATGTAAGTGTCATGATCTGGTATATTCTTGATTGGCTTTGCCAATTGTCAGGCATAGATTCCAGCGGGGTTTCAAGCTCTTCGTGAGCTGTGCTTGTATTCCAGCTGCACGCAATGTAGATTGCGGGAATGGCGGGGATGGCGGGGTCGCGGTCAACTTACCGATGGCGCGCATCGTGGAGCTCATGATGGTCAGAAGATTCAGAAAAAAGCTGCGAAGCTCAGTGGTTGAAAATGAAAATTTAGGAGTTGCAAGCTGGAATCGGTTATATATCCTGCCTGTGGTGGATGGAAATCGTCAGAAGTCGAGTGGACAAGGTGCGCTGACAAATGATGTAGAGAAGAGGATCCCGCGTGTGACGGTTAGCCGGCACAAGCAGTTGCCTTGATCTACGACGTAACCTCAAAAGTTTTCAAGTGCACAAGTTCGGTATAGTTGATTATAGCAAATGCAATCCAATTCTTCTGATCCTGCACAAAAGGGAATATGGTAATCGTCAGAAGTCAACCGCCCTACTCCATGCAATCCATGCCCGTTTCCATGGACGACCCCAACACTCCATGGTTTTTGGTCTGCCGTAATCGAAGACGCCAAGAAAATGAAACAAAAGAAACGAAGAAACAGATGGGTACGGGCACTGGGCAAGTGCCAATAAAATAGACCCCCAGCGCTTTTGTCTCGCAAGGTACCACGCATATGCAGACAAGAGGATCAAAAACAGCTATCATACAATCCGAAGAGCTCAGAACAAGGTCTGGCACGTAATGGAAAAATTATTAAGAAAGAAGATTCTTTAGAGAGGGACTCGCGCTCGCGCCGGAAGTTGCGCTAGTGCCGTTCACGCCGTGTCGATTGGCGCTGGAAGGCCCTCCCAGGAGAGGTGGTGTGTCCTCTGGCCGAGTGGGAGGAGCGGGATCAGTGAGTCCACGCGGGTCAAGGCGCGCCTGGGCCGCCGGGGGCGAATGTGATGGTGCTCCCATTCCACGGTCAACAGCGTACATCCGCGGGGGAGGGCCGCCGTTCAAAGCACTAAGTGAGGTTTGCGGGGACCGGTTGACTGTCGCTGATACAATTGGTGGAGACGCGGAAGCTGCATACGGTCGGGGTGGAGGTTGAGAGAGATGCGGCGACCGAGCAGTCATCGGGCCATAAGGGCTCTGGTGAGTCGGATATCCCTGGGTTGGGGGCGGAGGACCTGCGTTCGGGTATGGTGATGGCGACATTCCGGGATGGGGCGGCGGATAACTGCTAACGCGATGAGGCGGGGGAGGTGCTGCGGCGTATACAGGCGGCGACATCCCGTTGCGCATGACATCAGGCGTGGGCCGCTGCTCGTAGCTTCCAGGGTAAGCTGGAGGCATAGGACCGTGCGAATGAGAGTGAACAGGAGGCATTGGTCGCCCAAGCGGCACTCCAACCGGAGCAGGGTGTGAATGCGATGCAAAAGGATGTCCTGGCATAAGCGGTGGTGGATTGGCCGGCATGGGCCGTTGAGCAGTATAAGGTGAAGGTCGGGGGTCGGGCACAGGATCGGCAGGTGGGTTCTTGATGTGGCACTTGTGGCATTCATACTCTCCTGCGTCCCCATTCATCTGCCCGAATGAGTTTTGTGAAGGGTAGCGCGAGTGGAACGACGGGCTAGCGGAGTTGAGTCCCCCTCCGTTAACTAAAGGCGCCCGACGTCCGCTGGGCCACCATCTAGGGCTGTAATCGGATGCACACCTTACGCATTTCCGGTGTGTCACGGCAGAGACGGGTCGCGCGGCTGCTGGAGGTTCCGTATCGATGTCCATCGCATCCAATCCAATTTCGGTTAAAACTGGCTGGGGCTTTGGGATATCTTTGACGAGCACCCCGTTGCTTGTTGAAGCCCGTCGAGGGCCGCTCGCAGTTACATGGCCTTGGGACTGTGGAGCAGTGACTGATTGTTGGACGTAGGCTGCCTTTCGTGAAGTCCCGGTCAGCGTAAGGTCGGCCTGCTTGTACGTTTGCGCGAACAGTTGTAAAGCATTGAGACCATTTTGACCAACCGGCTCGCCGATTTCATGAAGATTTGACACGCTGTGGCTGGGGCAGTAAATCACCGGCGTCGCAGTCCCGATTTCCTCACCCAGGCGAATAGTCTGTAGACTGTCTCTCCGAGAGTTCTTCACCGGCGTAACATCAAGCCCAAATCGGTAATGTGCCTGGAATGCACAGCCGATGTGGAAGTACGCGTTACATCCAGGCGAGCTGCAGGAGACAGATGCGCCCTTGTTGGTTTTGCAAATCTTGCAAGTCTCGCGCCACCTTTCCTTGGGGATGGATCCGAACCCCTCAGCAGGCTCCAGTTCATCGGCATCTCCATACCTGATCTCGGGTGTCCATAATGAGCACAGAACGTGGGCCCAATTGTTGCCAGCGGTGCGCTTCAACGGCTCTCGGGGACCAACAGGTTTGCCGACAGCTTCCTGGCGCTGACGATAAAGCTTGATCGCCTCAGAAACCATCTCTTTCTCCAACCTTTCCTTTTCTTTCTCTCGGTCTGACTTTTTCCGGCTGTTATTCTTGGGCGTCTCCATGAGTTCGTGTTCGGTCCATGTCACAGGGCATAAAACACATTCATAAGTCGTAGAGATGGAAGGACTGCGGTCATTAGAGCACATATCACATAGCCACTTGTTGCCGGGCCGCGATCCCTTCACCCCATAGCAATTGCGGTGAACCGTAAGGCGGCAATCTCTGCAAGAGAGGTGCTCTTCACCAGTGGGGTCAACTCTGTTGCAAACCGCGCACGGAAGGATCTTGGCCCTAGGCGGATCAGGGATGATTGGAGGCGCATCGCTCTTCTCAATACCTGGCTTCTTCTTTACCGGCACGGGCTCCACTGAAGTGGCCGTAGAAGTTACAGTGCTAGGGTTGTCAGAACGAATCTTCTTCTTGTCTGACTTGCTTTCGTGCTGCAGTTGGGGGTTGCTGTCGACAGAGATTCCCATCGCGGTTGCGGTCGCAGCCGTGGTGCTGTTGATTGTGAAGGGTGTTTCGGTAGCTAGTATCAGCTGCGCCAGCATTTCCTCATCAATGCGACGTCTCCAAGATTTGTTGCCAGTGGCCGCGATTCGCTTCCCAACCTCATCCACGTCCTCATACTGGATGGCATACTTGCGCCACAGCAATGCACAGCGGAGACAGAGAGCGACTGTGAGCAAAGTGCCCTTGTCTTTTTTTGCAGAAGGATCGGAGGGGACTGTGGTGCCCGGTGGAACTAGAGGAGCCCGTCGCCATTGTCGCGAGTGGCGGGTTTCGCAAAATTTGCACTGAAAACCACGCTTCTGGGTGGCTGCCTTCTCGTTATCAAAGGCAGAATCATCGTGATCATCAGCCACGTCGTCGAGCAGCTTTGAAGAAGTAACGCTCTGCCGTCGAATCTCCTTCTTCCCTCGCCTTCCTTCGTAGCTTCCCCAGACCTGTCGGCCACGAGGAGTCTTCTTCCACATGTAATAGAATCGTACAATCTGGTAGATATGAACGGTTTTCACATGCTTCATGATGAGGCGCCACTCCGAGCCATGCTTGGCAACGCCCTGTTCGAAGAGCTTAACTTCTTCCGGTCGAAGATGGGGCTCCTTGAGGTCCTTGTACTTGTTGACCTTCTTCAATTTGGCGAGGGCGGTCTGGACGTTAAAGTTCTCAGAGTATAGGAGTTGAAGGGCCTTGTCCAGGAAATTAGTGCAATACTTCTCGACTCCAACATCGGGTGCGAGTGCTTTCGCCTGGCGCATATAGTCGTCGATGAATCTGACCCGGTCCTGATCGCTCAAGTGAGATCCCGGAGAGTCATCTTCACCTCTAGCGGAGATCTGCTCTGATGTTGGCATTTTGAATAGCAGCTCGGCCGTGCGTGCCTGTTTGCCGTTGGGCATTGTGACTGGCTCATCCTCGCCGCGCTGTATGTAGCCTGGTGGCTCATCCTGAACCCATTTTGGCCGGTTGGCTTTTTCGAGTTTGGCGGCCTCGAGCGCAGCCGCAGAGGGTTTCCCAACGGTCTTCGGACCACCTGTCGCCTTTGCAATCTTCTTTTTAGCATCAAGAGACTTCACATATTCCACTGGCCGACCTGGCCAAGCAGGAACAATCGCTTGATGCCGGGGTCCGAGTCGAGAGCTTGCACGAGGATAAATCCGGTCGTCATAGTCGAGAGCATCCTCTACTCTGCAGTGCATGCCCAGATAGCGGTAAGGCCACATCCTCACCTGTGCCATCTGCTCTACCGTTTCTGGAAGTGGCATCGATTCTTCCACTCCTGCCGGGGTGCTGGCCGAAGTTCCATTGGCGACTCCGTTGACATGATGATCGTCTTCTTCCTCCTCGATGACCTCGTCCTCACCATCTCCTCGGGCTTCTCCAATCAGATGCGTGTTGCGTGCCTCGAGTTTGCGTTCTTGCGCACGGCTGCAAGCAGCGCAGGCCCAGGCGAATCCTCGGGCGGGCTTCTTCGTCAACACGGGCCGGACACAATGCATGTGATAGGTAGAATGGCACACGGCACAATCCACAGACTCGGAATTAGCAGCGAACAGGTGACATCGCTTGCATGTCTTGACAGCACCGGTCAATTCCTTGCCTTTCCCGATCTCTACCAGAATGAACTTCCAGCGGTCATCAAGAACTCGCTTGACATTTGGAGGGACGTTCACGACATCCTTGGTGGGAATGACGTCGTATAGGCGATGAATATAGCGATCAAACATCTTGTCGTACCAGAAACTGTCGCGAGATTTCTTATAGCTATTTAAGTCAGTGATCTCGGTGACATGTCGAATTTGGCATTTGCCTCGTAATGAAGATAGCGGACATGTGTCTGAGTGCATCGATGCATAAAGATAGCGCGTGTCTGCGCTATGGCGCTGAATGTCGCGTGGGCGGTAGTACCAATTGACACGTAACGCTTCGATGACACCAGAATCTTTCGTCTTTGATGGTAAAAGCTCCATGATTCGAGCCAGGTAATACGGCTCACCAGGAGGCTCGCAAATTAAGTAGACATGATCTGGATAATTAGTGTTAGTCTTTTTCAATCACGACTGTGAGAAAATCAAAACCAACCATTCACAGCGAATGTGGTGCCATCATCAGCTGTGATTTTACCATCCTTGAGAAATGGCTCCGAGGATTCAAAGTGGACCATATTAGTGAAATGGCCCCCTTCGGAATCTCCCGGTGCGGATGTGAAGAGCTTCTTTGCAACACTCCCAGTGTTCGGGCCTGCGGGATTGCTGGTAGTAGCCTTCCGTTTCCTTAGGGGGCCAGATCCATTCACTTCTTCTGGCCGAGATGAAAATGAAGAAGTACCAGGAATGGAATCTCTGGGCACTGGAGTAGCGCCGGTGCCGTTGGTCAGAGTCTTTCGTGATTGCGTAGGTGATGATTTCTCACTCTCAGGGTTGGATCCGTTGACGAGGGAATTGAGAGCTAGGCCGCTGTTGCGCTTGGCAGCTTTTGCGGGGCCGGTGTCGAGTTCCATATCAATGTCACGGTCCTCAGCGTAGTTGGGCCGAGGGGCATTGCGGCCTCTAGATCGCGTCCCATAGGGGGCGGCGGAGGAGCCGGCCGAATCGGCCACAGGCTCCGGCGAGGTGCTCGCTGTCATCGAGTGTGACTCTGATTCATGCACTCTTATTTATATGCCAGCCGGCATGAGCAGAGCGTGTTTGAAGAGAGCGAGAAGCTCGCGAGAATGCTGTTGGCCTGGTCAGTCACAGCCGGGGGCAAAACACGTCGTGGCGCGATACATGTACGTGGACAGTGCGGATGATATGTGGGAACCACTAGAGGGAGGCGAAAATCCGAAAAAGCGGGTAGATGGAAAAGGTCAAGGCATGTGAGTTTGGGGGAGCAAAGAACACCGGGAAGGGGAAGACGAGAAAGAGGAAGTGTGGGAACAAGAAGAAATGGCACCGGGAGTGGACCAGACACACCCGTGTCAGATCTAACTGCAGGGGTGAAGGGTAGACGAGGGCAAAGATATCAAGGTGGACACCGTCCGAACTTCAATGATAGGGGAGGCGCCAACGGCGGTAGCCGTAGAAGGAAATATCATGACTTACTGTGGATTAGAATGAAGGAATGGGAGTGGAAACGGAGAATATGCCCAAGTTGGTAGAAGAAGGGAGGAGGGGGGCGGAGGGGGAGGGGAAGGAAAGAAAGATAGAGAGTTAGAGAGATGGGGAAGATTGGAAGACGGGAAGACGGGAGGATGGAAATGGAAATAGAAATGGAAATGGAAAGATGGAAAGAGTGGAATGGGAGGCGAATGTTCACAGACGCGATGGGGGGAAATAGTGCGAAACAAAACAAGCGCGCAGCCGGGGGAGAGAAGAGACCGAATCGGAAGAAGGAAACGGGCCGTTCAAAGTAGACGACGTTATAAAAGAAGAGAGAAGCACAGAGAGAAAAAAGCGTCGAGGATCCCGAATGTGCCCCTAGTCCCGATATGTTAATATGACGGATCCTGACTTTGGAACCAAGGGAAAAGGTGCAAATGGCCCAAATGGGTCGTCCAGATCCGATTGCCTGTTATTGGATGCTCGTCCCCTTGCTCGTCGATCTACCGGGGGCGCGCAAGATCGAGCTACATGTGGAAATCCATGGTGAAAGCCTACGAGGGGACTGGACTAGGGAACAGGCCAGGGAACAAGTATCTAGGTGAGTGACGACGAGGAATGCTGTCACGTAGGAGGCTGCGTGTTGGATGTGGCCCCAGCAGGGGGGGAGGGGGAGCCCCGGATGCATCTTCATGTCGGCTCTTCGATCATTTTGCGTCCTAAAGTTTGGAACAATCTTGTGTGAGGCCTCTCCTGTCCTGAGATCCGCAGGCGTAAAGCGAAAGAAACAGGCCCAGGGATATCGTAGACGGGTATAATTTCTACGTCCGTACCGGAATGCTAGACCGTTCGTGGCAACTGATATCGGCGTCAGGTTGTGGTAAAGGTAGCGTGGGAAAGGGCACTAAGCAGCCGGACCCCACAAGCATTTTAACTCCATCCACGATCCCTGCGGAAGGAAAAAAAAATACGTGACGGTACACATAGCCTTTCCTCTTTTCCCCTAAACCCGTAGTGGGCTCTAGGGCCCTTTTGATTTGTTTTGTACCATCCTTTCCAACAAGTGAGACCGGCCTCTCGACTCGCTTATTTTAATCGGACGCCTGGCCAGAAGCACGTTCCGGTGCTAGGCTTGTCGATATAATTTAGCTGGAAATGTACGCGGTACTGGTTGATTCACGGTGATATCCATGGGTCCTATCGCACGAGGAGGCAAGTGCACACCGGAACCTGATTAACCCATAATTTGGGGCAATCCCCAGGATGTTTCTAGCCAGGTCGGCGCTATTGAATCATATTCATTGTGCTCATTGTGCCAGTCGGAGAAAGCTTGGAGACCTTAGGGTCAACCCAACTAAGAAAAGAAAAGATCGAACATGGAAGCAAGGGAAGAAATGTTAGTCACTATCGAAAAAGAACCCTGGACTCAGGCTCCAAATCATCTAGGACAATAATTTTCCTGAGTCATTTCAACTTCTACCGCTCACTCGGTCCAATGACGATCAGAGCCGCCGAGAACCTGGCCGAGAATGATTTGCTCCCGGCGGCTGTTGCGTGTCGCCACCTTGGCCAAAGCTCCAGAACGTGTGGACTCGGCATCAATTTTCAAAGGTACCTAGGAAAAAGACATGCAGCTGATGCATACCCTTTGTACCTCTCGAGTCTTTCCGCATTCGCTTGGAATTGAAAGGAGACGCCATCTTGTGATCTAGGGTGATCAGACCTCCGGGAAAGAGTACCTGTCTATCAGTCTGCAAATCCGGTTGGATAATTGCGCACACGACATGAGCAAAGACCTGTAATATGGCTGGTCCACGTTGCTCAGTTGCTCGGGTGGGCTGATGCCTTATAGGGATCAAGTCGGCAATGGGCCCGGGAAAGGGGAAATATACAGCTCTGGGGTTCAACGCCGTATACCTGCATTCCACGAGAGCGGTACGGCGAATTCTCGGTTGATGATCTGCATGTTACAAGATTGGCTCTACACCCGCTCGCTCTGATTTTGGATTCGTTACTGTAAGCTATGCGTAGCTCTATCGATGGTAATTGCCACCGACCTCCCATTTACGGACATTTCATGACCCGTGCCCACCGACGCGACCGGGGCTCAGATTACAGCGCGATCAACCCAAATTGAGGAAGCCTGGCTAGATAAAGGCAGCAGTCCGCAGCAACCTGAATCCCGACCATGCAGGTATTTAGGCTTCGAGCAGAGCCTTTATTGCTCTAGGGTTCCTTGGACTACTACGTAGAGGGATCATCCACGGGATGACTCGAAATGACTTGGGGTAGCGCAGCGAGGGACTGACGTCCGCACGTACAACCATGCATCATATTCATGCTCGCGTGCAAGGGGACTCCTCACGGATCACTGGTTAATAGTAGTCTCATCGATCACCGCGTGCAAGACAAGGCACTCTTGTCCACTGCGTGGCACCGATCCAGGAACCGATTACTTAATATTAATGCCTGAGGCCTTTATCCCGTCGTCAAACGCGTTGCTTTCGAGACAACAGTGATGAATGAATGTTGACGACCTCTTGAAAATGATGGCCGGTAATCCGGGAACGGTGAAATCGGGCCAAAAATTTCATTCTCGCGGGTTTGAGACGTCCACGGATGTCGCCCGCCGGCAGACTTACCAGGTTGTTCCAGTGGCCGGACACAAACGACCATCAAGCGAGCAGCCTGTTGAATCCCTCAGGTCTCTCAACCTGCGGGGGCTAAAGGAGACCGAAGAAATCTTGGAATCGCCTTTGGAATTTGCTCGAGCCTCGTTGGCCCCTCCCGCTAATCGTTTTACGGCCAGTCAGATTCGTCCTGGTCCGGGAGCATTAGCCCCCCATGTTGGACAACGAAGGAGCTTGTCAGTCGCCCTCGGGTCCAGCCAGAATCCTCTGTTCTCGCTCACCAATCCAAAGTATGGTCTGCCCGCCTCACTGACCGCCAACTTTGGTGCCTTGGGTGTTCACACGATCTATGCTTGGCAGGCATCTTGCTTGTTGGCTCGCGGTCTACTATCGGGCGAGCGGCACTTGGTCTACACAGCCCCCACCGGCGGGGGTAAATCATTAGTGGCCGACGTCTTACTGCTCAAGCGGATCATCGAGAATCCTACCCGTAAGGCTATACTTGTCTTGCCCTATGTTGCTCTTGTCCAAGAGAAATTGAAATGGATGCGTCGCGTTGTGCAAGACGTCGAGAAGAACGTTCCCGAGGAAGAAGATGGTGATTATGACCGCGAATCACAATTTTCACGTAAGCCATGGAGACGACTACAGAAAAATATCCGAGTTACTGGATTCTTCGGTGGAAGCCGATCAACGGCCACCTGGGCTGACACCGACGTCGCCATTTGTACAATAGAGAAGGTGAGTCCAAACTTGGTGCTTTACGCACAATTCTGATTCATGACACTCAGGCAAACTCTTTGATAAATAGTGCAATTGAGGACTGCAGCATTGGAGATCTGGGTGTCGTAGTGCTCGATGAATTACATATGCTTGATGATGAGCACCGAGGATACCTCCTGGAGCTGATGGTCACCAAACTGCTCTTGCTGCAGCAGGACATTCAGATTGTGGGTATGAGTGCTACGCTTTCCGTGCGTCTATTTATATGACTTGCATATGGTCCAAGACTAACAAGGCGCTAGAACACGGAAATGCTGGCTCAGTGGATGAATGCCAAGTTCTATATCTCAACTTATCGGCCGGTTCCCATTGATGAATACTTAGTCTACGAGAACGCGATCTACCCAGCGGCGACATCGAGACAGTTATTCCAAATGGCTTCCAAACTGACCGCCGCATCTTCCTCCTTACATGACACGATACCTCCTGATCGAATCATCGAGCCTTCATCTTTCCAGGAGCTCAGTAATTCTGCGACCAATTCCATGGTAGCATTGGCTGTTGAAACGGCAGCAGCAGGCTTTGGCGCTTTAGTATTCTGCGGTAGTCGAGGAGCATGTCAAATACATGCTGCGACTATCAGCGAAGCTATGCCTCTGCCGTTGGTAGGGTCGGATGAAATGAACAAGCGTGTTGATCTCATTGCTGAGCTGCGGAGTCTCGCGTGCGGTTTAGACCCAGTCTTACAGAAGACTGTCATCAAAGGCGCAGGTTTCCACCGTGAGTATTGATCACCTTGTGTTGCTATGATTTCGCTGCTAACTGTCTTTAAGATGCCGGGATGACAACAGAAGAGCGCGAGTTGATTGCACAAGCTTATGATCAGGGTGTGCTAAGAGTGCTTGTGGCCACTTGTAGCCTCGCTGCTGGGGTGAATCTCCCCGCTAGGCGAGTAATTGTTAATGGTGCTCGAATGGGTCGAGATCTAGTCGGCCCGGCAATGCTGTAAGAAATCATGGTTCAGCGGATCTGATTTATTCCCCACTAATTGAAGCAGACGTCAAATGTGTGGACGGGCAGGACGCAAAGGCAAAGACGAGGCTGGTGAGACCTACCTCATTTGCGTCAAAGCTGACATGGAAGCCGTGTGCAACTTGTTGGATGCTGACATGCCAGCAATTGAGAGCTGCTTGGCTCCCGAGAAGAGAGGTCTGAAAAGGTACGTGATGATCGACTAAAAAAAAATTGCTGTTTGTGTCAAGTAACACCCTCAAGGGCACTACTGGAAGCCGTAGCGACAGGTTTGGTATCTGGAAACGAGGCGATCAAAGAGTATGTCCGGTGTACACTTCTGTATCGGACGCTCGATAAAAAGATTGCCTACCGCATCATGCAATCGGCCTTGCAGGAGCTTATTAACGAACAGCTCTTGCTTTTTAGAGATGATGAGTCCTACGAAGCAACGCTCATCGGACAAGCTGTTGTGGCTTCGGCGTTTTCTCCCGAAGATGGTCTATTCGTTCATGAAGAGCTCAAGCGAGCATTACAAGCATTCGTCATGGACGGTGATATGCACATTTTCTACATGTTTACCCCTCTGCAGGTAGCCATGAGCACGCCAATTGATTGGCAGATCTTTCGCAATCAATTGGACCATATGGACGACAGCGGTCTCCGAGCGCTACAATTTGTCGGCGTCCAGCCAGGATTTGTCAACACGATGTAGGTATTTCAGCCCCATATCGATGACGAAATCAAGCTAAGTAGACGCTGAACAGGGTCCAATCTGGAGCTTCCTTGAAAGAAACAACCCCGGAACAAATTAAACAAGCCCGCATCTACCGACGAGCATACACAGCTTTTCAGCTGCGCGATCTAAGCAATGAGGTCCCCCTTTCGACCATTGCCCAGCGTTACAAGATCCCTCGAGGCACAGTCCAGACACTAGCACAGCAATGCCACGGATTCGCAGCTGGAATTGTCAAGTTCTGTCAACGCATGAAATGGGGCATGCTAGCAGCCGTGTTGGACCACATGCGCGATCGACTTGAGTCGGGGGCCCGAGCAGATCTTCTTGAAATGGCGCAAGTTACTTTTGTCAAGAGCTGGACGGCTCGATTGCTTCGTGATAATGGGTTTAAAAATCTACGCGCTCTGGCTGAGGCCGATCCCAAGGAACTGGTGCCTGTGCTCATGATGGTACGGAATCTCTATATAACGAGTCATGAATGATGGTGCTGACATGTCGTCAATGGCTAGGTCAATCCTCGCAAGGCCCAAAAAAGTCAGCTTTATCCTGGGGAAGCAGAGAAATATGCTGCGAAGTTGTTGACAAAGGCGGAGACTATCATTGCCTCTGCGAATAAGATATGGGGTATGTGTTCCACAAGTCTCATCATCGTGTTGAAACTCGCTAATGCTGAATCATATCAAGATCGCGAGCTTCAGGTTGAATTGGATGAATGAAATCACAATTGAAGGCTTGGAGTTAAGCAACCTTTGACAAAAACGACTAACATCTAAGCCATGCATTGAAGAGCGTTGTCTTGCATAGATATCACAGGTGTCAAAATGGGAATTCATTTTGTCAATTCCGCAATCATTCATCAAAGTTATCCGTATCTAATCCTAGTAAATGGTCTAGAACCCATTTAGTGCATTCTGTGACGCAATAACATTACCCATGTCCACAAAATCAGCCAGCATTGCGTTCGGAGCACGGCCATATAGAGCCTCGCATTCAACTGCTTGTGCCCCAAGACTTCCTTCTCCAGTCTCAGCGTTTGTGATAGCCGCATGCTCACGGTCAGGGACTAGGACCCCTAGAATATCCAGGTCCAAGAAGTGGTTGACAATGTACATGCGGCCTGATGCAGATGCGCCACTGGGACGATTGATGCTGCAGTCTGGAAAAGAAGAGTTGGTCACGTCGTAAGGCGTCTCAAAGTAGTAATCGAACTCGTTGAGGATGTAATCAACTTTACTGGTGTCGGCACCGTAGTCTGTGCGGGATTATGGTTAGCATGATGCTCGTTTGCAGTGACGGAAACTCACCTAAGAAGACTACCAGTCTTTTCCCGCTGGAGATCATATCACCAAGAGTGGGCCAGCTGCCGATAGCAAGGGTATCAGGACTCGAAGATGGGACAAATGCATAGGAATCGATGCCACTGCTGGTGAACGTGTCTCGAAACTCGGTAATAGCGACCGAGTCCCCATTGGTTAGAAGCAGGGTCACCACTTCGTTTGGATTCTCATCCAGCCAGGTTTTGACTGTTACAAGGAATGCCTCGAGGGTTCCTGCATCCTCGAGCCAGCAAGATGTATGACACAATTCCAGGACGTTGGTGTCTAGAATTGCATGGTGCGTCTGGGCCTGAAGGAACCTGATTCCCATGTCCAGCTGGGCCTGGATGTCGATGTTCTGGTTCTGTTGGGGGAGTTCTCCGACAAACGGGGAGTCGTGCGATCCCATGAACGTGATATTTGAAAATGAGCGCGTACAATACTCTGGGCGGCCGTTGCAGGTAGTCGCAGCAGCGATAGCTGTCTTGGACGCCGAAGCGGACATATTCAAGGATGCGGATGCTCTTGATAGCAGCCTCGAGTCTCCTGGAATACCCCGTACATGTCGGCAAAGCAAGAGTGCACCGAGCAGAGCTCGGCTCAGTCCGTTTCGAATAGAACTCATCGTATCCGTGTTACAGAAAAAGGGACAGTAGAGAGCGGTCTTGAAGCAGCCAGGAAAGGAAAGCGGACTCTTTCACTGTCATCAAATGTCATTCAAAGAAGGACCGTGATCACTGTTCTAGCACACGGCAGGTATCATGACTATATAAGTTCGCGGGCAGTCATGCCGCCCGTAGGAAGTGACCAGGTCCCCAGCATTCCGCATGTTGTCGATCCCTAGCCACCAAGAAAAACATACAGCGAGATCCGGATGACGAAGATCACGGCCTCATGGCTGCTTCGGTCATAATGATAGGGCACCGGGACACCGTCCAGCATGAGCGCACCCCTGTGACTTGATGTAACAGCAACCCTGCGCTAGGTCAGGAACAGCAAGAAGACCTCCAGTATCTAAAGGGGGCTGGGACTTTGTATCCACCGCGTAAGTGGTACAGCTGCGGGTGCTTCGTGGTCGCGTTCAGGCCAGGTCCCGCCAATGACGGATGCTTGATGCACGGTCGGAGATGGCTTGGTACGGAGATTTGTTGACAACCGGGTTATATGCTCGAATCGAGCAAGTGTGTGACTATTTGGACAGTAGTGCCTCTCGTGGAGTCGCATGACTTCAAAGATAATCTATTGCCAAAAGCTGACTTACCATTCAAATGCCCAGAAAGCACCCGTGGGCTTGCTGACAATGGCAAGTCGTGGACATGCATAAGGCGTTCCTCTGTCTGAAGACTTCGGGAAGTGTTGATTGCCAGAGTCAAAGATTGTACGTGCTCAGAAGACATGATAGGTTATATGCAATGCTCTCTCGAGCACTATCACTTACATTTGGAGCTTAATATCGAACATTCGGGATCTTCTTCCTGAACTTGAAAGCTATGTATATCTTGCGGGCTGTAAACATAACCCCAGCGATAATCCCAAAATTCTTTCCTATTCGGATAGCAAAGAGGTGACGCTCAAGTGCATGAAAATGCAATCAAGATGCCAAATTATTCATGAAATCATCAGGCATAAATTCTCTAGGCGCGATTAATGTCACTTCATTGAGGCCAAGCACTTGGGGTATAAACGTGTCTCCGATGATGGGAACCCGGCTAATGGATATACCGCCAGGAACATCTACACGTCCCCCGTTCCTGCTTCTTTCGAACCAAAATACAAAGTATAAGACCCGACTATACGACTGGAATATAAGGCACGATTCAACACAATAAAGAATACCAGGAAAAAAATCGGTTATCATGGAACGTGGACTGAGCCGGGCGGTGAATCCCCGCTCCAAGACGAGGCTCCGCCCCAGGCAGCGCGCATTTCACGTAGTTCATGTCCGAGCTTGAATGGGCCTCCGTCCTGATCCCGCATCACTTCCGAGGAAGAGAAACCACGAGCTGCATCTCATCTTCTATCTGACCGACTAGGAAGCTTTATCTCCCTGATCCGGCTCCAGCAATGATCATTCGGACACCTCGCTCATGAGCTCGATGGCCGAGGGCAGTGAGGGCAGGGAACGAGAGGATGAGCTTGATCTGGGCAATGAAGACGACTTTCCCCAACAGGCTGACCATGAGACCCTCGCCCTTGAGGGTCAGCCCTCCTCGCAGGAGTTCGTCGACCAGGAATTGGACTCAGGAGACAATGTGGAGGTACAAGATCAGGCCTCCGAAAAGACTGTCGCACCCGCAGGCCCCGAACTCCCCCAGACTCCTCCGGCGCAACACGCGCAGTTCAACGCCACTTCGGGAAGTGTAGACGAAACAGCCTCGACCCCTGATGATACCCCGTCTTTACATGTCAGTGATGCCCTGCGCGCTCAGCCACTGGTAGCTTTCTAATTGTCAATAGGGATCTGTTCTGTCCTCCCAAAGCAGCAGTGCGCTAGCATTGCGAAGCTCTCCACGAGTCAGCCCCAGTCCAGCACACCGTCCCTTTGACCTCCGCTTCCAATCCCGGCTATCCTCATCGACTCTTAGCCCCTCTAGGCAGGGCTCGCCATTCCTTGCCCATCTCCATTCCCGGCAATCATCCTTTACGAGCCAGCTTTCGCCGACACCAGAATCGGACAACGAACCGACTCAGAGCCCATGGGATGTCGTACGATGGACAAAGCTGCGAAAAATAACTGGGCAAGCCTTTTCAGAGATTGGGAAGCGCAACTTTGGGCGGCCCACATGCCTGGCGGTTTCTACGTCCATTGTGATCGGTACCTCGAAAGGAATTATTCTGGTATTTGATTATCAGCAGAGCTTGAAGACTATCATCGGGACTGGTACGAAAGGTACGTTCGTCATTTCCTCGGAGACTGGATTCATACTGACAATCTGCCAGCTGTTGAATGCGGACCCATCACAGCTCTAGCACTGTCTGCAGATCACTCCACTGTGGCCGGAGGACATGAAACGGGTGATATTTACACATGGGAAATCTCTCGATCAGCACGACCCTTTCTCCATATAACCCCACTTCCAGCAAATCAAGTTGATACTCGAACATCCGATGGGCATATCGCGGGATCCGCGGTCATTCATATCGGCTTCCTTGGCACCCGGCGCACTGCAATCGTTTCAGCTGATACCAGAGGAATGGCATTTTCCCATTTGGCAACACGAGGCACGGGATCATTGGGTCGAACCATCAAGACGACTCGAATCCTGGGCCGATATCCAGCAACTGCGCCGGAAGAGCGCCGGCGAAAACCTAGCTCTGTCTTAGCTTTCTCCCCTCTACCTCTTGGCAACGTTGAGCAACCGTACGACTCATTAGGTCTTGTTGCCATGTTGACACCTTACCTTTTAGTGATAGTGTCCACAACTCCGGTCGCGCAAACCCAACACAAAGCGCCGCGGCCCAAGGAAGTCCCGGCGCACAGTGCCATGACTGGAGCTCTAGCCTGGTTCCCCGCCATTCGGCTGAAGGGCAAAGATAGCCAGACGTCGAACACCAAGCTCGTCTATTGCTGGTCCAATGTTTTGACTGTGCTGGACGTGACAGAAGCGGAGACTGACGAGCCATTGGACCGCGATCGGCGGCCTAGCCTTGTTTTCAGAGCGCGAAGTAGATGGAAGGCCGAGGAGGCTATCGTCGCCGTTCAATGGCTCAGTCGATCTGTGCTAGCAGTGTTTACGATCACCCAGCGACTGCTGATCCTTGAGGATTACACTATGCATGTCACAGAGTCCATCGATCTTGCCCACCGCCACATCTATCATACCGACCTTTTCTCATCCCAACTCCATAATCTTGTCGAGCAACTTGATGAAGAAGATACGTCGATGCATGGCGTCGTGGCTGATGCGTTTTACATGAGCTTCCGGGCCTATAAAGGCCGGCTTTTCTTGCTTGGCTACAATGAAGCCCAGGTCGGTAACCTCTCCAACTGGGCTGACCGACTCCTTGCTCTCATGGAAGCGGGTGATTTTATTGGAGCTATTCGATTGGCGACATCTTACTATACGGGAGCCGCAGAGAAGCTCACAGTTGGCCTTCCCGAAGAGGATGCTTTGAGACAACCAATTGTCCAAGAAAAGCTCCTTGAGATGATCTCTGCGTCTCTCAAGTATGCTTTTGGGCGTAATGATGAAGCACACAACGGGCGCGTACAGAACGAACAGCTTGAGGAACTCGCTGAAGTTTCCATCGCCGCTTGCATCTATATGGACGATGTCGAGTTTCTGTGGGAAGAAGTGTTCACTTGGTATGAGGAGCAGGGATCCGCAGGAATTTTCCTCGAGGTCCTTGAACCGCGTATCATTGATGGAACCATTCGCTCACTTCCCCCGATTGCTGTCAAAGCTCTGATCAATCATTTCATCAAAACCCACTCGCCTGGCCGTCTGGAGGAAATTATCTGTCTGCTAAACACTACGACGATGGATATTGACCAAGTCACAACCCTATGCAAACAACATAACCTGTTCGATGCGTACATTTATGTGTGGAACCGTTGTCTAGCAGACTACATTGGGCCACTGGAGGAACTCCTGCAGATGATCCCCACTCAGACCGAGCCTCTGGTCAATGGAGACTATGCTCTCGAAGTGACAAAGCACACTAACGCGATGAAAAGTTTCGCTTACCTGTCCTTCGTGCTCACTGGACGTATCTACCCCACTGGGGATGAGATGGATGAAACCGAGGCATCACGGGCCAAGCTATCTCTGTATCAATATCTTTTCTCGGGCAATCTAGAGCCTGTCGACGGCTCTAGTGAGACCAAATCATTCTCACAACTCCGGGCTCTGCTCAAGTTTGATGCGTCCAGCTTCATGAGCATGCTCAACGAAGCTTTCGAGGACAGCTTCCTCAACGAGCCCGACTCCGAAGAAAGCCCTTCTCCAGGAGCGTCGATCAATCGACAGTACCTGATCAGCATTTTGCTCCAAGTCATGGATGCGTCTTCTTTCACTCCTGCTGATACCATTTACCTGGACATGTTTGTTGCACGCAATCTCCCCAAATACCCCCAGTACATTCTTCTTTCAGGCACAACTCTGCATCAGGTCCTGACCCGCCTGTGTCAATACCCGGACGAGAGCATGGCCGACGACTGCGAATTGAGTGCTGAGTACTTGCTGTCTTTCTACCATCCACCGGATATCCAGAGCATGGTGCCGTTGTTTCAGGCAGCTCGCTTTTTCCGGATTTTGAAGTCCATCTATCGCTCTGAAAAGCAATATCCGCAATGGATCATGACATATCTCGAAGATCCAAATGACAAAGAGGCCATTTTCACCTCCATACATGACTGTCTCCGCTCGGGATCCGGGCTAGGCAAGAAGCAGAGGAAAGATGTCGTGGATGTGGTTCAAAAGCATGCCAGAGAGATTGCTGATATTGACGTGATGCGGACTGCTCAGACAATGCAGATCCTAGCTCCTGAAGTCCATTCTACATTTTTACAAGTGCTGGAACACGACACCTACAGACAATACCAGTATCTTCGAGTCTTGGTGGAACCCGCTGGCCCAAGTGGTGAAAAGCCTCCGTCTGTCGAGAACTCAATGATCGAACGCTACGTGCAGCTTCTTTGCAAATACAACCCCCAACATGTGGCAGACTTTGTTGAAGGCTTACGAGTTGGCGACATTCATCTTGAGGAGCTTCTTCCGGCCATTGAGGAGAGTGGGGTCATTGATGCCGCCGTGATTCTCCTTGCTCGACAGGGCCAAGTGCGAGCAGCTATGGACCGTCTCATTGCACACCTGAGCACGCTGGAGTCGGGCCTGATTGGCATACTGCAAAGCGCCAACCAGACTCCAGACACGGCGACTACAGTGGAAGCGATTGATGATCTGCTTGATTCCCTGAATAAGTATGCCGGGGTCGGAACCTGGCTCTGCCAGGTTCAGTCTAAGACTGCGAAGCCGAGTCGACCGAGCCTGAATGGACAGCGTGGCGTGTCGCCCCTTGAGCAGGCCCTCACATTCGACGAAAATCTCTGGCTTGACCTTATCGAGGCAGTGGTGCGCATTGCTAGCAACGTGTTTGCACTCTTGGATCAACAGTCCAAGGTCTCGGAGACGCATCAGCCAGCATCCCCACGAGGGGACACTGGACGGTTGACTACATCATTCCGCGCCCTCATCCAGCAGGCCTTCACGACATTACTTGCCAGCACCGTCAAAGGTGGTACTTCATCCAGCAGTGAACGCACCGACATGTCCTTCCTCCGCATTCTCCGCGCGTTTCTCACGCGGGCTGCTACCTGGTCACCATCCCTCCTTGAGCTGCGAGCCGTCTTGGCATCTATCTTCTCCGCGTATTCCTATGAGAAATCCCTCCTGGCCCTGGCTAACGGCATGCTCGACCGCGACCTCTTCGTGCACGTGGACGAGGTCACCCGACTCCGGCAACAAGGCTGGCGACCTCGTGGCCAAGTGTGCGAGATCTGCCGACGACGAACCTGGGGCATCAATGTGGGCTCATCACACTGGACCGCATGGGAAAAGCGACAACGCGACCAACACCACCGCCGTATCGCCAAGCGACTCGAAGAGGGATATAATCCGGCCGAGCGGGGCAAGGGTAAAGCGGCAGCTGTAGACGCGGGCCAGCTGCCCCTGATGGACAATCCGCAACACCATGCCTTGGAGGAAGGGGTCGAGACCGGGTCGACCGGCGATCTTCCCCTTGAGCCGGTGGTAGTTTTCTCGTGCCGACATCTGTACCACCGGCAGTGCGTTCTAGATGCCAGTACCCATAAGCGACCCACGGATTTGGATTCGCATTCGCATTCCTTCGCCGAGATAAAGAATGGGTAGGGGTCGAGTTATTCTGTCCGGCGTGCACATAGCGATCTTCCTCCATTCTTCCACCCCCCCCCCCCGGCTTTTCCTTCCTTTTTTTTTCTCTTATCTTTCCTTTCTCTTTTTCATTTACCTATGCAAGAGATTCTATAGGTGGCAGTTGCAATATGACAGGAACGTGCTATATACTTCCTTCACCATCTCCCTGGTTCATTTCTCCTCACCCCCATAATCTGGCAGTGATGAAGCTCATACGTACATGGGCAACACGTGTACCTCTCAACGCTGCGGCATTAGCTACCTCTTGTTTCCTTTTGTCATTTGGGAATTACACCAAGAGTCATCTCGGGGATCGGACGATGATCCCAAAGCGAGTGTGGCCGAGTGGTTAAGGCGGAGGAGTACGTTGCCACACCTCTTCCCTCCGGCATCTCGTATACTAATCGATCCATCAGTTTAAGCAAATTAAATACTAAAACCCCTCTTTCGAAAGAAATCTAGGGTTCGAATCCCTACGCTCGCATTTTTTTATTATTATTTTTTAAACTTTGTATCTTGGGTTGCGAATCGACACCAATGGTCTTGAGCGTTCTAGTTCTTGTCCAGGTTCTATTAAGTATCGGGTGTGGATAGCCCAGTGTAGAAGGGATAGAGGTAATGGCACGATCACAGGTGAGGGTCTTCGTAGTCTCGGTCCTAGTGGATGAGCGGCTGGGGCCCGGCTCCCGGCTCCCGGCACAAGGGAAATGGGTCCCGAGGGCGACTCTCTCTATCTGCGACCTCCCCCACAATGTGATGGGTCGAGCATGTATATCGAAGACTACTTCTTACCTCTCGGTGATGTCGGATGTCACTAGAAATCTCAAATTGACATCTGAAATAAGCATAGAGATGAAATGGGGGATCGGCAGGAGACTACCAGTACCGTAGTGATGAGGGTCGAGGGGGTGCCGAGTATACCGAAAAGACCGAAAAGTCTGGATGATTCCCGATGGTCTCGCCCGACTTGGACCAGGCTCAATTCTCAGGTTTTTATTTTTTATTTTTTAGATTTTTGATTGTTGGAATTTTTCAGTTCTTTGGCCTTTCCACGGGTTTCGAGTTTCCTTTCGCTCATCTGCCAAGAAGAACCAAGGGTGCAGGCGTTGAAAGAACCTGGAAATCAAGACTATAGAAAAATGAGCAAGATAGGCAAAAGGAATAAAAAAAAAAAAAGAAAGAAAATTAGAAAAAGCTTAATTGAGTTGTCACGACCCACGATTCGTCGATCTTCCTCGCCACCCAGTGACTTGTCTCGTGACTTTTCAGGGAAAAGACAACCGCTCACTCGCTCTTCGGCGCAACATTGGCGGTTGCCCGCCACAATCTCCACCTCGAATCCATGTCCAGCGAGTCAGCAGTCAGGCCGCTGTGATCACCCTGCGGTTCCGAAACACCCCATCCCGAGCGCTTGTCTAATCCGCTGGGTTCCAGACGCTACAGTACAGTCCCCCCTGCTGAAACAGGAGAAGGCGTGCACCTAAACCCTTTCGGACCTGGCGAACAGTGCAATCAGATGTGATCGGCTTCTGTCCAGCTGCCCCGATGATCGTCAGTGTTGCAGTGTGCCTGATCAGATGCAGGAGCTGCCCTGAACCGGGTGATTCACCATGGCGTCACAATCCCCAATGGGTAGAGACTGCAAAGAGGGCGCCATGGTCTAGCCCGAGACGATGAATGGTTCTGGTTCGCAACGACCGGACAGGTTCCATTGTTCCCTCGAGAAGAACTAGAACCATCGGCTTATCCAGGCGAAGATGGGGGGAGGGTGAGTCCTCAGCCCCAGCTTCGGTGCGTTTCAGCGTTTGGGACCCGCCGTTCGGAGGGTAGCAGACTTGCCCTCCTGCCGCAGTGAAAATATTTCGCGTTTCGTATCTCTCACATGGGTCAACGGGTCCCTGTCATGCATGTTCCACTGGAGTCTCAAGATCGGGTCTGGTGGAGGGTGCTCCACGCGTCGATAACTTTCTTTCGCCCCCCCTTGTATAAAGAATTCGTTTCTCCCCTGATGCATTCGCTTCTCCTTCATCCTAGACCTGTCCTTCCTTTGTTCGTGTGCTATTTACATTCCTTGAAAGGCTATATACCCCACATCCTTTTCGTGGGTTGTATACTTGCCTTCCATCCTTTACTTTCCTTTTTAGTGACCTCTGCGAGGCACATTCGGTCTTTGACAATTTTTTTCCCCACTTTCTCTTGAGTTTAGCACGCGACACAATGCACTTCACGATCACTGTTCTTTCTGGTCTGGGTCTGTTTGCCCACCTCAGCGCGGCCGGCTACACGCTGCAAGCCGATTATGGCACCGATGATTCCTTCTTTAACGGGTTCGACTTCTATACCGACAAGGATCCCACGGACGGCTATGTGAGCTATGTCGATCAGTCGACCGCTTCTACCAATGGTCTCATCAGCACCGGTAGCGGCTCGGTCTACATTGGTGTAGATCACTCCAACGCCGCCTCCTCCGGCCGCCAGAGTGTTCGTCTGCAGAGCACCCAGACCTATACCCATGGTCTGGTGATCTTGGATCTCGGGCACATGCCCGGTAGTGTCTGTGGTACATGGCCATCCTTCTGGATGCTCGGTAATAACTGGCCCAACAATGGCGAGATTGATATCATCGAGGGCGTCAGCACTGCATCCACCAACCAAATGGCCCTGCACACCAGCGACGGCTGCTCCATCAACAACTCCGGCTTCAGCGGTTCCCTCACCACCAGCAACTGCTATGTCGAGGCCTCCGGTCAGTCGCCCAACTCCGGCTGTGCCATCCAGGGCTCCAGCACCCAGGGTTACGGTGACGGGTTCAACCAGGCTGGCGGCGGTGTCTACGCCACCGAGTGGACCAGTGATGCCATCAACATTTACTTCTTCTCCAATTCTAGCGTCCCATCCGACATCACCAGCGGTGAACCCGACCCCTCGGGCTGGGGTACTCCCGCCGCCAGCTTCACTGGATGTGATATCGACTCTCACTTCAGCGAACTCCAAATTGTCTTCGATATCACTTTCTGCGGTAAATGGGCTGGCGACATGTGGTCCTCAAGCTCCTGCTCTTCCTACGCTAGCACCTGCAACGACCACGTCGCCAACAATCCTTCCGCCTTTGAGCAGACTTATTGGGAAATCAACTCCCTAAAGGTCTACCAGGATAGCAGCTCCACCAAGCGTGACACTATCCTCGAGCCTCTCGCCAAGGTGCCCATCCCCGTCGATGCCAACGAGTCCGTCGAGGAGCCCAAGGTGGAGCGTTCAGCTCCCTATGTTCGCCCTGCTCCTCGCCCCGCCTGGAAGCATCGCCGTAATGCCTTCAAGCACGGCCACGGTCACAGCCACTAAGCTGGCACATGATGTATTACGACTTGACTTGCAGGCTGGAACTTTAGAAAGAGATCTGTGATCTCGTCAGATGATTTGATGTTTGATGATTGTGTGCTGGGCATTTACATTTGTTTATTTTCTCGTCATGTTCATGGTCACATGGACCTGCATTTTTTTTTTACTCTGTTTCATGATCTGCAGGTTTGAAATTTTTTTCTCTGAGGCGCAATGTTTGTATACCCGTTTTCCCACTCATCTACAAAGCACATATTTGCATTGCACCAAGGCACATATTTGCATCACGACTGCATCTTCACATGCAATAGAAAAGTATTGGTTCAATAGAAGTTCTCTACTCCCAAAGCGACTTTGATCCCAAATCTTGAATAACATCTGAGCCCAAGGCACCTTGTAGTCTATGCCCGTCATTTTTCGAGATGCTACGACTAGCCTGCAAGGCTAGGACTTGGTTCTCCAGAGATTCCACGTGAAAAGAAATCAGGAACATACATCAAAATCATTACTATGTACAACTCCATTTGAAGATACATCCATAAACTAAACTCATGGAGCCGGCGCAAACGCAAGAACATCCCTATTATCATCCGTCAAACGCCCCCATTCAAGCAGAAGCCGGAAGAAATAAATCTCCATATCCTCCTTTCTCAAGGCAACTTCCGTCCATTTCCGTCCCTGCTCAGCAATCCACGCCCCCTGTTCACTATGCGCCTGCATGCGCATCGGATGGCGCGGATCGTCATGGTTCGGCACGCCGGCGAAATAAGCCAATGTGCTCCACAGGCCGTGTAGTCGGATATCGACGGGGATGAAGTGGAACCATGAGATGACGCGTGAGTCGAACCATTGGCGGAAAAGGCCTGTTCTCAAGGGGAGGCTGTGGCTTTGTAGGAAGGGGAGGAATCGTCCGCTGAAGCCTGCACCGTCAAGGTCGAAGAGGAAGCGGTGTGACCAGTGGGATTGGAAGTCGACGTGAGAGATGGTGCCCATCTCTTGGTACTGGATGTCGCAGTCTTCGCAGCGTTGGATGGGATCGGCGAGGTGGACGTTGGTTTGGAGGTCGAGGCGTGAGGTGGGTGCGGTTCCGTCCATGATTTCGTACTTGTAGAGGCCTTGGCCGGCGGGGAGAAGGACGGATACTTGGTTTTCGGTGTTGTTGTTAATGAGATGAACGAAGCGCTGTCGAGGGATGCCTTTCCAGTCGTTGAAGCGGCTGTATCCCTCGGATGTACTTCCGACCCAGTAGAGGGAGTTATCCTTTTCCTCGTATGCCGGGTCCGGATACTCTTTTGACGGCTGGTACTTCATTTTGTCCATGTAGTTCCATGGACTAGGGTAGAGAATGTCGTTGAACCCTGTGAGAGCGCTTTGACTGAAGACGGGGATCAGCTCTTGGGATACCTTGAACGAGGCTGGAGAGATCAACAGGCCGTGTAAGAATGCCAAATCGGGCTGATGGCAAATTTCAGAGGCCAGATTAAAATCTAACGGGAATTGTCCCATGGTATGAGGCTCTGCACAGCCCAGGCAGATGTCACGACGGTTCCAGATGCGTCGAGTGCGTGCCCTGGACGATGGAGGGCAGACTGCGCTCACGTATGGATCCCAGATACCTCGCCATGCACCGTCTGTGAAGACAGTCTCGTGGGTCTGATCAGCAGGCTCGATAGAACCCCAACCTTGATCTCTGTTGGCAGACCAGCGGTCTATCACGGCTCCCGAGGCAATAGGCTCACGCGCCCTCGCCGCTCGCTTTAGCCGCATGGTCTTCTCCCAAGGTACCGCGACTCTCGGCTCGTCATTCAAGTTGAAGACGAGGTCCATGTCTGGTAGATACTGGGAAAAATTTTCGATCATATCTGCAGCGCCCTTGACCATCCATGCATGTGTTGGCTTAACGCCGTCCTGGACCTTCGGTTTTCCATTGCGAATGCTGATTGCCCCGAGGTCGTTGAAAGGATTTGTCGCCAATTTCTGAGTCATATCCCGGATTTGCGCGGGAGGAATAGCTCGGAAAGGAAGGATATCGTTGTGAATCTGATCAAATTCGTCGATAATTAATGAGGATCGATTCGTTGCGTATTCCCACCATTTGTCGAAACCAGGAGGCGGAAGCTGTGTATATCGTTTTTGGTATTCCAGAACAGCATCTTCGAGAGTTTTGCTGGAGCCAGCCTGGGCGACGTATTCGTCGAAATGATTGGAACCTTTGTGAATGAGGAGGTCGATTGGGTGTAAGTGCGCGAATTGGTGCTTGCCCATGGCGAAGACGGCGCCAAGTGCACATCAGGATAGTGAACACTATCTGAAGCGTAATGTTCACACGAGAGAGCGACTTTGAATCTTCATCGGAAATGATGCGCGCAAGAAGAAAGAGGACGACACCGGTAGATGATGTCACCACAGTGAGAACGGCATGAGTCGTTGAAATAAAAGGGAACGGCATCTGTTGTAGAAGGAAGGTCGACGTCGCGGCAAAGTAAATGAATACGAAACTGCCAAAGATCGAGAGACCAAGAATGCCGTAATGAGGCAACTATAAAAGTTTAGCTTCTATGCACAGGAGAGGATGGAGAAATCCTCACCATCTGCGAAGCCGACGCAAGCAAGAACACGATCAATAAAGCCTCGCCGAGAGCACTGCGTGAGTATTTCACATCTAAGAATGGCTGGCCACTGTGTTCAGGACGACTGTTCGTAACCCGGTACGAGATAAAACTCCAAGCCAAAGCGATGCCCTATAATGATGGTCAGATATACTCGTCAAAGAGTCCTCCACATTGAGACTTACCAAGAGACCCACTCCCAGTGACACCAATGCTCGCTTTCTCCGCTGTCCCTCGTGATCAGCACCGGCGCGACTTAAATCGGCAACCCCGATTAGCAGGATTGAATCTATCAAAGTGCTAAGAACTCTGATGACCCGAAGACGTGCTGCTGCATGGATAATGATCGGGCAAACGTAAGTGGACTGGCTACCACTTGTCAAGGAAGAGACTAGATAGCCCGCAATCGAGAGAAAGGTTGCAGCGATGATTCCTCGAGCGCGGCTTTTCGTCACGAAGTGGAAGCTTCGTCGACACGTAGAGTAGGCCAATTGGGCAGGTAGTCTTTGGAACCGTTGCAAATGTACATACTCCTCCCGCGGTTGGGATCTTTGGTTGCGCCAGTAGTCGTAAATTGAGACTATCAACGGGATGGCGTACTATTTCGGTAGGAGACGGTCAGGATTTTGACCAAAGAATAACAGAAGAGCAGGGTGATCCTTACAGAATATCCATCAGGCACGCACTCTGAATGGAGAGTAACTCGGCGAAACAGCTCAACTCGCAAGCCACAGAGAGTCAACAACAGGCCGACCCTCCACCAAAACCGGGATAGCCAGAAGCGAGTCCGCGGTAGGACAGGTTCGTTGAAACCTAGGATAGGAGATGATGCAGACGAGCTCCGCGGCGACGACGATAGTTCAAATTGGTCGGATGAGGGTACGGCACTCCATTGAGGCTTCGGCGAAAATGCCCGAGATGCTGCCGGCGCAAACCTACCCAGAGTGATGAAGACGACTCCGGTGAGGAAGCAGACCAGAACGGCCGTATGAACTGGGCGGTCTTTGCTCGTTCATCGTCAGTCTACGCGCTTCCACAAGATTGATCGCGACTCACCGAATGCGAATGTAGCATTATAAGATGCGGCGAGGAAAAAAGAGCTCAAAAAGAAGATCCTAAAAGACGCGCGACCATTACTAAATGCCGTTTTTCCCTGTTGGAAAGCGTCCGCTGTTGACTTACCCCACACAGACCTTGAGCCCAGTGTCGGCGGAGATTGATACCATCATGCGCCCAAGCTTTATCTTTCTGAGCAAATGGTATCCCAGGCCATTGCGAATCTTCGCAAGAGGGTCAACGGTCCGGCTGAAGAGCGTGTCGTTGGCGTGACAGTCGCAAGAAGATAGTCAGGACATGGCCGAAAGGGACGGGGACCCTTCCCAGTGGAGACCTCAAAGGAGATTGACACTGGTCTGGATGGCCGGAGGACTGGTTGAACCAACCGCTCGAAAGATGCAGCTAATCAGAAAGGGCACACCCAGGCTCGCCGGTGATCAAGTTGCGTCAATAGTGGGTGCTTTGGATACGCCGGTCCACGCAACCATGGGCTCTCCCTCTACGAGCAAATGGCCTCCGTCCAATGGGACGCCCGGAAAGTACGATAATTTCCACTGCGGCATCTTTCTTGGCCTTGATTCCTCCCTGGCAGGAATGCGCCTCCCAGCAAGATATGCCCGGGCGATCAGCATCGAGAATCAAGACTTATCTCCCGCGCGCTCCACTTGGCGCATCGTGAGTGTCACAGCGCACGAGATCGGCAAAAAGCATCACTCAATCTGGGTTCCTGATCTGTCTCGCTTCTCTGGAAGGCTGGAAAAGGAATTATCCTGAGGCGTAGTGCAACGGTCCGAGCACCGAGCACCATCTCAGCGCGTCATTCAAGGGAGGTGGAGCAACGTGTTTCTCAAAGCGGCGGGGCTTGTCCCAATGAGGTAACTCATATTGAGCCCCCTTCAGAGTCATGTGATATGTTAATCCGAGCGGAGGCGGTGAATGGACCCAGAGGCAAATCGGCAGGCGGTATGGACTTGCAGTATGATTTTTTCTTTCCTTAGTCTAAGTTAGGACCTGGAGACTCGGCGGGATTTTCTCTAATCAGCGACCTGGAAATTATCGCAATTCAATCGAGGGCCGAAGTTTCTAGTGCCTGACCTGCGCTCTGCAACCTCGATCATTTCTCCCCGATATCTCGATAGGGAGTGTTAAGGTCCGACGATACTCGCGGCCAGCTCCGCATCTTCATCATGCCGCGCAAAGCGATTGACTCGCGCATCCCCGCTCTCATTCGAAATGGAGTGCAGGAAAAGAAGCGCAGCTTCTTCGTTGTCGTCGGTGACCGCGCGAAAGATGTCATTGTCAACCTTCACTATATCATGTCCAGCGTCGACGTGAAACAGAACAAGTCAGTGTTGTGGGCATACAAGAAGGATCTTCTGGGCTTCACAAGTCACCGCAAGAAGCGCGAAGCTAAGATAAAGAAGGAAGTCAAGCGTGGTATTCGTGAACCCAACCAAGAGGACCCCTTCGAGCTATTCATCACCCTCAATCAGATCCGCTACGTGTACTACAAGGAGACCGAGAAGATTTTGGGTAACACTTACGGCATGTGTATCTTGCAGGACTTCGAGGCCATGACTCCCAACCTGTTGGCACGCACCGTCGAGACGGTCGAGGGAGGTGGTATGGTGATTTTGCTGCTGAAGAGCATGAATAGTTTGAAGCAGCTGTACACCATGTCTATGGATATTCACTCACGATACCGGACGGAAGCCCACGATGATGTGGTTGCCCGCTTCAATGAGCGCTTCATTCTGTCTCTGGGAAGCTGTGAGTCTTGCTTGGTTGTCGATGACGAATTGAACGTGCTGCCTATCTCCGGCGGCAAGAATGTCAAGCCGCTTCCTCCCCCCGAATCCACCGACGACGCGATGTCCGGCCCGAAGAAGGAGTTGAAGGAAATCAAGGATAGCTTGGCAGAGGCGAAGCCTATCGGACCGCTGGTGAACTTGGCCCGCACTGTGGATCAGGCCAAGGCTCTATTGACCTTTGCTGATGCCATTGCGGAGAAGACTCTGAAGAGCACGGTTACCCTGACCGCAGGCCGTGGACGAGGAAAGTCAGCCGCCCTCGGTGTTGCCATTGCCGCCGCTATTGCCCACGGTTACAGCAACATTTTCATCACCTCCCCCAGTCCCGAGAATTTGAAGACTCTGTTCGAATTTGTGTTCAAGGGTTTCGATGCCCTCGGCTACCTTGATCACGTCGACTACACTATCCTGCAGTCTACCAACCCTGATTTCAACAAGGCCATTGTCCGAGTCAACATTCACCGCCAGCACCGTCAAACCATTCAGTACATCCAGCCCCAGGATGCGCACGTTCTGGGTCAAGCAGAGCTTCTGGTCATCGATGAGGCTGCCGCCATTCCTCTCCCCCTGGTGCGGAAGCTGATGGGCCCCTACCTGGTTTTCATGGCGTCTACCATCAATGGTTACGAAGGAACCGGTCGCTCTTTGTCTCTGAAGCTCATTCAGCAGCTCCGTGAGCAGTCTCGAGGTGGCGCAAAGACCGACGACACCGATGTCGCAGACCGCAGCACCGGCAAGATCGCTAAGAGCGCAGACAAGAATCTCGGTGGTCGAACTCTTCGGGAGATTACCCTCGCAGAACCCATTCGTTATGCTCCTGGTGATCACGTCGAGAAGTGGCTAAACAAGGTCCTGTGTCTCGATGCTACGCTGCCCAAGTCTCGCATGAATACCCAAGGTTGCCCCCACCCGTCCAAGTGCCAGCTGCTTCAGGTCAATCGTGATACTCTATTCTCTTTCCACCCCGTTTCCGAGAAGTTCTTGCAACAGATGATGGCGCTTTACGTTGCCAGCCACTACAAAAATACTCCTAATGACCTTCAGCTCATGAGTGATGCTCCTGCTCACCAGCTCTACGTGCTTGTTCCTCCCATCGACGAAGAGGCTACCAAGCTGCCGGAACCCCTCTGTGTGATTCAGGTTGCCCTCGAGGGTCGAATCAGCAAGCAGAGTGTCCTCAACAGCTTGAGCCGTGGTCAGCGAGCCGGTGGTGACCTGATCCCGTGGCTCGTGAGCCAGCAGTTCCAAGACGAGGACTTTGCCGGTCTCTCCGGTGCTCGTGTCGTCCGTATCGCAACAAACCCCGAGTACGTCGGTATGGGATATGGTTCGCGTGCTTTGGAGCTCTTGGTCGACTTCTTCGAGGGCAAGTTCACTTCCCTGGACGAGGATATGTCGGCTCCCCAGGAGGAGATGGTCCGTGTGACAGACGAGGAGCTCACCAACTCGAACCTTTTGGACGACGATGTTCACGTTCGTGACATTCGCACCATGCCTCCGCTATTCGGCAAGTTGACTGAGCGTCGTCCCGATACCCTCGACTACGTTGGTGTCAGCTACGGTCTGACCCCGACCCTTCACAAGTTCTGGAAGCGCTCTTCCTTCGTCCCCGTCTACCTTCGTCAGACTCCGAACGAACTGACCGGCGAGCACTCCTGCGTCATGCTTCGCACCTTGTCTGCTGGTTCCAATGATGCTGAATGGCTGGGCGCCTTCGCACGGGACTTCCACCGCCGCTTCCTCTCTCTGCTGTCTTACCAGTTCCGTGAATTCCCTTCGGTGCTGTCCCTCAGCATTTGCGAATCTGCCAACGCTGGAGCCAAGCTGGATGCGTCTGTTCCCCGTCTTCTACAGAAGGCGGACCTCGATGCTACATTCTCGCCCTTCGACTTGAAGCGCCTGGACAGCTACGCCAACAACCTTCTGGATTACCACGTTATCCTGGATATGGTTCCCACCATCTCCGAGTACTACCTTGCCGGTCGTCTCGGCAAGGTCAGCCTTTCTGGTGTTCAGCAGACGATCCTCCTCGGCATTGGCTCGCAGCGCAAGAGCCTGGACGACCTGGAGAAGGAGCTCAATTTACCCTCTTCCCAGCTCCTCGCCATGTTCTTGAAGATCATTCGCAAGGTCTCCACCCACTTCCGCAGCCTTATCGAGGGCGCCGTAGCGGTCTCCTTGCCCGCCGAGCAGATTCCCTCCGGTCCTTCCGACGGTGCTCATGACGACGTCGTCGAGGAACGCTTCAAGCCCCTTGAGACTGGCCTGGAGGATGAACTTCGCAAGGGCGGCCAGGAGGTCGACGAGGAGATGCGCGAGAAGCAGCGTGCCCTCATCGACGCTCTTCCCCTAGACAAGTGAGTGATTTCTTTCAAGCATTTCTTTATGAGGCATTTCAATGAACAATGACTGATTATTAGTCTCCAGATACGCAATTGACAATGGTTCCGCATCTTGGGAAGAGGCCGAGAAGCAGATCCGTGGTGGCAAGAGCAACACCGTCAGCGTGAAGACGAAGGCACCCAAGCGCAAGAAGGGAGAGACTGCTCGTGAGATCTTCGACAAGGAAGTTGACTCCAAGAGGCAAAAGATGATCAAGAAGGGCACCGAGGGCCGCAAAAAATAGATTTGTGTTTGATACTCCTGGCGTTGATCTGCATTTTCTAATGGTGTTTTTGTGGCTTCTTTTTTCTATGTATTCTAAGAGCTGTGAGATCTTCTATCTATGTCCCTCGCCTCTTGTATATATGAATGACTTGATATGTCCTTTTCAATCGAGCTGAGCCGGGATGCTAGACCATTTTTGGGAGTAGTTGATGCTGTCATCAAGCTGGAGATCTAGAATCTCGCGACTCGACCAGAAACTGTATCAATACTCTTGGAACACGCACCCATGAACGTCAGCCTATATCACTGCTAAGCCATTATGAACCGAAGCAGGGCTCTAGCAGTCAACATCCTCTGACGGGCGATAGACCAAAAGTCTTTTCCTCCTCTTCTACCTTTTCTTTTATCATGTTTTTCATCAAATTGTGATTTCGTTTAGTATTCTGAACCTCCAATGCCCTACTGGAAAATACACCTCATTAGACACAAAGGCCCCTAGGTTCATTTTGAAAATGGAAGGGCTTCAAAACTAAAAGCCAAGCTAGACTCAGCACAGGCTCGAATAAATCTCAGACCTAACTTTTACAGTTCATCGTGTTCTGCTTCCTTCGCCTTCTCAGCCTCGCCAATAAGGCCGCCGGGCAGCTTCTCCTTCTCGCCCTCGCCGAGACGGATAGCATCCACCCAACGCTCAATGGCGATGGCAGAGAAATCGCCTTCGGCCACGTAGTGACGCCACCATCCACGGCGAGCATTTAGAGCAATTACCTCCACCTTCTGCTTATCCTCCAAACCCAATGCAGTACGGAGATATTGGGAGCCAGAGTTGGTCTCTGGGACGGCATAGATTGGGAAAAGGTGTGTGCCGCGCTGCGCGTGCTTGTGGGCAATTTCTGCCAAGCTGGAGAGTGCATCGGTGGCGGATGCGGAGAGTGCATCACCCTGCTCTGGTAGAAGGGCGAGTACACAGGTCCCTGACTTCGGTGCCAGGCAAGAAGACTCCAGGGACTCGGAGGTTGCGAGGGTAGGGAGTGGAGGCACTGGAATGGGAACAGGAGCTGGCTTGACTTCAGGTTCTTCATGGGATTCGGCAGCCGACTCGTCATCTGGAGTAGATGAAGGCTTGGAGGGGGATTTGGCAGCCTTGGACTTGGTGTTGGTATTGGCCTTGGAGCTTGTAGACGATGCCGCCTTTCCACTGGCGTCAGGGTTCGGTGTCGCGAATTCACTCAAGAATTCGATAATGGGCTGCTTCTTCAGCTCGCCTTCATACAGCTGGGGCTCCGCGTCGCCAGTGGGGACCACGACGAGAGCCGGGAACTGAGCGACACCGAACTTCGCGACGGAGGCGGACTCTTTTTTGCGCATCTGAGCAACATCGGCTGCACCGAGGAAGTCGACCGCCACAGCGCGGATCAGCGCACTGGTCGTGCCTTTCTCCGTGAAGAGAATGACCTTAGGCCGTTCCTCGTTCTGGTTCAGCCAGTTGTCCAAGTCCTTATCCGTTACGCGCTTCACATGGTTGGGGATGCGTTCAACAACCGCGTCGACAATGGCCTTTGCGGTGCGTGCGCCCTGGTAGTCCTCCACGCGCGGCTTTCCGGCTTTCTTTGAGGGTGTCACGATCTTCAAGGTCGGGAAGCCCTGCACGCCCATCTGGCCGCAGAAAGGCTTGTTCTCGTCTTCATCGCAGTTGATCGCGGCCACTTTCGCGAGACCATTCAAGTTCTGGGCGGCTTTTTCGTATGCGGGCTTAAGGTTTTGGCAGTGGCCACACCAAGGCGCGTAAAATCTAAGTGTAAGCAGGGGCTATTAGCAGGAAGACCGAGGAAACCGTGCGGGGAGAGCTCACTCGACGATCTATACCAGCTAGAAGTTAGCCCGCTAGTTCACCAATGTTGCAATGGCAACGTTCAAAGCGCTTACCGAAGTGTAGTTCGAGTTAGCAATCAGCGAGTTGTAATTTTTCCCAGTGACCTGAAGCACCGGGGACTTTTTCGTGTAGATGCCATCGGCGTTGACAGGCAAAGCCGCCAACAGCGAAGCAACGAGCAAGAACGAGCCTTGGGGAAGCATGGTGATAGAGAACTATTTGGCCAGTAGCTCACAAGAATTCAACTTCAAAGCATCAAAGCAGAAGGAAGAAGGCGCCTTAGCTTGGTCAAGAAGCGGATTACGCAAGGTGTCCTGAAGCTCTTGGCATGCGGAGAGAAAAAGCTTCTCCAATTAAAAGCTTCAATCGTCCACTATTTACAATGTCGAACAGTGATGGCCATCCAGCCCCGACTCGACACTTGTCATGATCTGGCATACTTGCCTCGGGACATTTTCTGGCTTCTGCTGGGATACTTGGACCCTGTGGACATGATTCGTTGCCGCCGTGTCTCGCACGCATGGAACGAGGCCTTCAGCAACCCGACCATCCTGGTCCCATCCTTGAAGAGGCGATATCCATGGACAAGGGAAGCACAAGCTCTTGAATGGGACGACAAGGACCCTGGAAGTCGAACTGTTTACGACCAGGTCGTCGCGCGATATGACCATCTACAACGCGGAAAGCCCCGCTCCGTACAAAAATACCGTCTGTGTGACGACTTCGGCAGCTCGGGCGACCGCGAATGGTTCCAGGTTCAGCCTTGGGAGTCGCACGCGAGCCACATGAGGCAGGTTGTGGACCGCCAGTTCTCAGAAGCCTTGTGGACCTACGAGGATGGGCTGCTAGTCTACCCAAGCGCGGATCACCAGTGTTTGGTGCTGATGGATCTGAGCTCTGATCGCCAGTTCATGGTACCATTCATTATCCGTGGAAAGGTCGTCCGCCGAGTTCGAATTCAGATGCGATTATTGGTCGTTGAGTGGGCAGAGCCCAAGGCCTTTCACTGGCTCAATGACAGCGACGGCGTGCATCGGCATTTCGCCTCGTCCTTCGATGTCAAGTCCGATGACAAAGGTGGATGGAGGATCGTCCCTCGAAATGAATGGAAGATCATGTTTTTGGGTCATCCACTGAGTGAGCGTGATCGTTTCTTCTCTGCGCATAGCAATACGCACTATGTGATATACATCTGGCAGCCAAACCGCAGTCTATACACAGCTGATGAGGATGCGCCTATCGAGTCTCTTTTCGTATGGGACATCTCGAAACCTTCTTCTTACAGGCCGTCTCTGGATCCCACATGTCAGCATAGCGGTCCCAATGTTGACCAGGCTCCCTCCATCGTGTCTCGTTTCGGCTTTCGGGATCTCGAGTTCTTTGATATTCGGCAACGAGGCCTGCCGGCCTTGCAGAGGCTCGGCATCACAGACGACGGCTATGCCGTGAGGTTTACCGAAATGGCCTGCTTTGGCGACGAGGATGTGATGACGCCGTTCGGTTATCCTCACACCGTCACCACCGTGATACCTATGCAAGGATATGGACCCCACCAGAGGCGCGTTGAACCAAATCTGCCTGCTTATCGTGGAACACACAATTTGCACACGCCAAAATTGAGAGATGATGAGTTCCTGCCAGAGGCTTGGTTTGGCATGCTCTCCGAATTAGCCAACGAATCCACCGGCGTGGCTATCAGCTTGCACTTTGATCCGATCAATTGGACTCAAGATCAGAGAATCTACTTAACTTTCGAGACCAGAGACGGTTCGGTTTCTCGTGAGAACCTAGACTTTACTGGCCGCGGTTTAATTTGTGGTGGCGATTACTATCTAGTGGGCGAGAACTGTAACCGTGAGCTGGTGATCTGGCGCTTTGATCGATGAGGTTTTGATGCGGTTTTGCGGGCGACAGAATCTTCGCCTGGGAAAAGTCCTGCAGAGCCTACCTTCTCCTGCTATATCACGGATTGAGCAGCGAAGTTTGGTCACCAAGGCCAAGAACAACCTTGGGATGAAAGATGAACCTTCCGCGACAGACTCAGAGTCCACTAATGACACCCAGACGGATATCGTAAACGTTACTGACTTGATGAATGAGAACCATGACTTTGCCCAAACAAGTGAACGATTGCCAACTATAGATCGCTGAATGAAACCCCCATTGGAAAAATGACCTTCCAAATCCGCAGGTTTGATCGTCCATCATATCATGTGAGATTGGGCCAAAGGCCTCGTGAATTCTCCACTAATCTCTCAAGCAACGGAGGTCAAGACAAAACATACTGTTTAAGGTTAGATCTCAGTAATACAACATCGACAGATAAATGCATTCTGCTGCTTGTGGATAGATTCAGATATTTCCCGATTGCAAACATGGAAGAGGGGGAAAACCAATGGTCGTATTGGTACTGAAGACAAAGAGGACATTTTTAAAAACTGATAGATCAGCAAGAGCACATTGATCTCTTCAAATAGCCGTGATCCTTTGATCAAGTCGAAAGATCACGATCAACTATGCAGACTTCTGAAACCTGCACCGGACGCAAACCATCGCGTCACAGCCAGAGCATTCCAAGACATATAGTGGCTTGAAGATACTGCAGACTTTGCACCTGGGACGGTTGAGTTGTCTCACCCACATGTTGGCGTGGGAGCACACCTTAGCACTATTCAGAGTAACCGACACGGTAGGGTTCGGGTTCGGCAAAGGTTCTTCTTTGTGTCGTCGAGCATTGTGAAAAGCCTGCTTGACAAGACCTTCGAGCTCTGAGTAGAGGTCTCTAGAAGTATACCGGCCATGTGGTTCCCTCAACTTTATCTGATAGAATGGGATAAAAGGAACAAATGACTTGTAGTCCCCTGACATGTCATCAGATTCTTCTTCAGCGTGGCCAATATTGTTTTCAACAGGTTCATCAGCTGGCAGTACAATCCCACCATCCGAGTCATCATCCGTCAGCTTGGCGGAATCGACGCACTCTCCTGAACTGGGAGAATCGAGAGAATTGACACAAGAGAAAATCACTGTCTCATCAGACGGATAATTCCCCTTGTTGTTAGGTGAATTGGTTCTTTCATCCGCGAAGCCGTCGCCCTGTGAAGGAACAGAAGGACGACGAGAGTAAGATCCTCGTTGGGCATGCCGTCTCCTGTCTTAGGAGCTGAACTATCAATCGAAGAACCATCATCGGGAGCGTGTCCATGATGCTCGTGCTCGGCTCCTGGGAAACAAGCCGTGTGGGTTGGGTTCACACTTCTCTTGTCATTGTCGGGGACCGCTGGAATGTTGCCAAAGCCCTCATATCTGGTTGGGAGATGATTTTCGAAGAAGATTTCATGTTTCAACTCTTCTTCATGCGCCTGCATCAGTGCTTTCAGTGCCTCCATACGTGTCTTGATTCTTCTTTCCAAGACCTCAATATAGACATCAGAGATGCCTTCATGCGAATGGGAACTGGTGGCACTCTGCCTCGGGGCTCTACGCTGGCTCGAATTTGCAGCCTTTGCAGCTCCTTTGTCTCGCTCTTCACTGTAGATTCCCCCAATTTTCTGCTTCAAGAAAAGTTCTTGCTGCAATTCATTGTAAGCAGGGAAGGCATCCGTGGTGTCGGGGCCATATTCCATTCCATTTAGCCTAGAGCCGTACAAATATGCCTCCCAAATATCATGTTTCTTCAGAGGCGATGGCTCGCGGGACTGAACGGGGCGAGGCTGGGTATGTGGCGGCCGCCGAAGGGGTTTATCGTAAGGGGTCTCCCAAGACCTGGTATAAGGTGCCTCACAAGACCTCGAACCCCAGTTATTGGCTTCCCAGGGGCCTGTCCAATACCCATCATCTGTAGCAGCAGGCCTTGCATAGCTAGGTCCGATTCCAAAGTTATCCCAGAAGTTCTCAAGGCCTAGACCAGTAAGCGCCGATCTATCGAGTAATTCATCATGCTTGCGGCGGAGTCCTGAGTTCGAGAGAATTTCCACTGCTTCTGCAACCTAGATCATGTAAGCATGATTACATCTTGTTCTTTCTGGCTTTCATAGAAGTGAGCCGAGAGGAAGCAGGAATGGGGAATTACTCACCTTGCGGAATTTCGCAGTACTTTCTTTACCATCGCCAGCTTTGTCGGGATGAAGCTTGAGTGCTAGCTTCTTGTAAGCAGAGCGAATGTCCTGGAGGGTCGCATTACGGGCCACGCCCAGCACAGTGTAGTGGTTGGTGTGCGAATCAGCCGACATCTTGGCTGTTCAACGCGGTGTCAAGTTTGGATTCAACCGGTATACGAAAGACAATGAGGAGGAAGTGCTTCGGGTGATGCAGAGAAGCGAAGCTTGGGAATAGGGAGGCATACCGTAGACGAACCAAATTCGACCGAGTTCGAACGACGAGAACTGAACGTCACAATACACTTCGAAGCGGAATCCTCGTGGGATGAATGTAAGCAACAAGGTCAGGTGCAGCAATACGAGAAGCGAGCAAGGTAACGGAGATGGGCGGGGGAGATAGTGAGAGAAAAAAGAGAGCTGAAACCTGAAACCTGGTAATGGAGGAGTGAAAGCGAAGTGCTCCGCCGCATGGAAGCTACGATGTGCTGCGACTGCAAGCTACTTACACGCAGCTGCTGTAGCTACATATCGTGGCGAGCGAGCTGGTCACGGTCTTTAAAAGGGACAAATGAAATCGGAATGGATTGACACTGATTTTACAAATGAAGAGTCGATCTAGATATCAACAGGTCTACACAATGTAGAGTAAGAACCTCAAGAAGGTTTTTACATGTCCGCGGAGGCGGTGGCACCAGTAATAATCTCGACCAGCTCTCCAGTAATGGCGGCTTGACGCTGACGGTTGTAGAGAATCTGGAACCTGAAGAGATATTAGAACTACTCTGCCTCGAACGTATCAGGGTTAAAACATACTTGTTGATCATCTCACCGGCGTTCTTAGAGGCGTTCTCCATGGCATTGCGACGAGCAGAGATCTCACAGGCGTGGCCCTCAGCCATGGCCCAGAACAGGTTGTTGGCGAGGGAGTACTCGCGAAGACCGGCCAGAGCTTCATCATCAATCTCGTAAGCGGCGATGTTGGCTATTTGAGAGTCAGTATGCTTGGATGGAAGCCGCCATATGGGCATTGCCTACCGGACTGGGTGATAGCCTCCTCGGAGTAAGCCTCAATGGTGGTGGGCTCGTAGCTCTGGGCGTTGATGAAGGAGTTGTAGAGCACCTTGACGCTGCTGTAGTCGGTAGGGAGCAGGGTGATCTGGTCGGCAATGGCCTGGGCGTCGGCAAAGGTAGGGATGTCCTTGCAAACGTTGGCGAAGCTCAGGAGAATCTTCTCGGGCATGGACCGGGAGAGCTGAGCCTTGGCCTTCTCGCCGAGGATGACGATATCGGCGTTAGGGTCGTTGGCCACGAGGCGACGAGTGGCCTTAGCCAGACCGGAGTGAATACCACCGCAAAGACCCTTGTCGGAGCTAGCAATGACATAAAGAGTCTTGCCCTCCTCCAGAGGCTTGGTCTCGGCCTGCTCGAAAACAGTGTTGGAGGTCTGACCATAGGCGCGGGAGTCGTCCATAGCCTTCTGAGCGCGAGTCAGACGGGTGGAGGCGACAATCTTCATGGTCTTGGTGATCTTCTCAATGTTCTTGATGGACTTGAGACGGCCTTCGATCTCACGCAGAGTCGCGAAGTTGGCGGCATTGGGAGGGGCAGTGCTTCATTAGAGTCAGCAATCAATGCAACACCTCTCACTTTCGCCTATGCAATTGATCCGGGAGGCGCGGTTGGCCGTGGTGGCCGTGGTGGCCGTGGTGGTAATCGACGGATGTTGGGGTGAAGAGAACCGGCCACGAGCGGGCATCGGAAGGAGACTTACCGGGTGACGGCAGCACTGCCGGCTCTGATGGCCGGGCGAACGGCACGGGAGAACATTGCGATGGGGATGACGAGAGTCTAGATGGCAGGTTACTGCGGAGGGGAAGGAGGGGAAGAGCAGGGCAGGATGCAGAAGCCTCTCTTTGCTGGTTGCTAGACGGTCGGGAAGTGCGAAGTTCAACCTCCTAGGCTCCCGTGCGGCGCTAAACCGAAAGTGGTAGGCATAGTACGGTGCGCCGTTCCGGCTTCCGGCGCATTTCGCTGCCTCAGAAGACAGGCACCTGTCTGCAGTATGCGTATAGAAATAAAGCTAGTGGAAGCTAAGATAATTAGCGTTTATCTAATCTGTCGTGAATCAACGTCTATATGCTTTACGTTTCATCACCATTTCTAGAGTAAGAAAGAAAAGATCAATTTTCTGCTAAAATTGCTTATGTCACTCCGCGGTTGCTACTTATGCCTGAGTCTTCAGGCAAGAATTCACAACAGATACTAACCCGTTCAGGACAGTTATGTAATTTTATGCCTCAGGCCACATCACCGTGAGTTCAAGGCCTCGCTTTCCATTCCATTCTCCCCCCAAAGACTCTACCTCTTTGCCTGTCGTTCTCGGGTCTCTCATCCCTCTTTATTCCACCCGGGTACATCCTTTCCCCACCCAACCTTTCGCCTGATCGTCATTGATGTCTTTTCTGCTTTCTTGAACTCTACTCTCTCTCCATTGGCCAGGATTTCCTTGACTTCGTTCTATCAGGCGGCTCGTATTGCCCGAAGTCGCGCACGAGGGCATTTCCTCGGACCAACACCCGTTTCTTTTCTCCTCGCTCACTCTGGCTGCTTCCACGCATTCAAACCGCGATTATGAGTTCTTCTGAGGATGATGTTCCTCTCGTCCGCGCCAATGGCCGCGCCAATCGTAAGTCTTCCCCAGGTTGACTCGGCTGCCATATGTACACCACCGTCTCGATTCTCTTTCGAGGGCATCTTTCATCGAAACCGCCTTCTATCACTTTCCCTCTCACTTCACAATGTTTACTCTGCCTTTCTCATCTCATTTCCGGACTTGCTAACATGCGACCATTTGCGCGTCTAGCTACACCCCCGTCCGCCAAGTCGAACGGCCAATCATCAACAACCAGTGAACTTGATCCTGGTGTATCTGTGCGATTTGGTGCTGTGCAGGACGAGGATGTGAAGATGGACGACGCCGATGAGGACGCGCGCGGCGTGAGCAAACGCAAGTCTCGGTCAAGCATCGACCAGAAGAAGTCGTACGCGGAGTTTGACAGCAGTGACGAGGATGATCAACCTCTGGTACGCCCTATTTAGCCCCGATACCTTTCCCTTTGCGACATTGGTCGCGATTGGTTTCAGCGACTGACCATTCGACAGAGCAAGCGCCGGCGAACTTCCGTCAAACACGAAGACCCCGAAACTGACGACGACGTTCCATTGGCACTCAACGGACGAAAGCTCCCTAAAGCCTCTGAGACGGCCATCGGCGAGTCGTCCGATTCCGACGTGCCTATCGAGCGAAAACTCTCTGCGCAAAAGAAGAAGATCGAGGCCAAGGCTAAGGCGGAGGCTCCCTCTGCGCGCAAAGCAGCAGCCGCAAAGAAAGACATCAAGCCGGCCGCGGCCAAAAACCAAGCCAATGGTGTCAAAAGGGAACAGACTGGCGATAAGTCCTCGGTCCAGAAGGTGAAGGCCGATGTCGGTAGTGCGAAGAAAGGCAGAGGCAAGGTCAAGGCCGAGAGTGCAGAAGCGGAGGACGAGGAGGACGAATACCGCTGGTGGGATGACCCCGCCAAGGGTGACGGAACCAAAAAGTGGACGACCTTGGAGCACAACGGTGTGGTCTTCCCCCGCCGTATGAGCCTCTTCCCGAGAACGTCAAGATGAAGTATGACGGCGTTCCGATTACACTTCACCCAGATGCTGAAGAGGTTGCTGGGTTCTTCGGTAGTATGCTTAACTCGACTCACAACGTTGAGAACCCTGTCTTCCAGAAGAACTTCTTTGGAGACTTCAGGGATATCATCAAGAAGACTGGCGGTGCCAAGGACCCTCAAGGTAACAAAGTCGATATCAAAGAGTTTGCCAAATGCGACTTCAAGCCTATATTTGAATACTACGATGCGCAGCGTGAGGAGAAGCGGAATCTGCCTGCTGCTGAAAAAAAGGCCCTCAAGGCCAAGAAAGACGCGGATGAAGCGATGTACCAATACTGCATATGGGACGGTCGCAAGCAGAAGGTGGGCAATTTCCGCGTTGAACCTCCTTCCCTCTTCCGAGGCCGTGGTGAGCACCCCAAGACTGGTCATGTCAAGACTCGCGTGCAGCCTGAGCAAATTACTATCAACATTGGCAAAGAAGCCACCGTGCCACCCCCGCCCCCAGGTCACAGATGGAAGGAGGTCAAACATGACCAGGAGGGCACTTGGCTCGCCATGTGGCAGGAGAACATCAACGGCAATTACAAATACGTCATGCTGGCCGCGAACTCCGATGTCAAGGGTCAAAGCGACTTCAAAAAGTTTGAGAAAGCCCGAGAACTGAAGAAGTACATCGACAAGATTCGGAAAGATTACCAGAAGAATCTTAAGAATGACCTCATGGTCGAGCGTCAGAAGGCGACAGCTGTGTATCTCATTGATCAGTTCGCTCTGCGTGCTGGTAATGAGAAGGGCGAGGACGAGGCCGAGACTGTCGGCTGCTGCTCGTTGAAGTACGAGAACATCTCTCTCAAGCCACCCTGCACGGTTGTCTTCGATTTCTTAGGTAAAGATTCCATCCGCTTCTACGATGAAGTCCAAGTCGATCCTCAGGTCTTCAAGAATTTGAAGATCTTCAAGAAGGCTCCCAAGAAGAACGGTGATGAGATCTTTGATCGTTTGACGGTAAGCGCAAATCCTTAATCTTGTTTATTGGCATTTCACTGACATCCGTAGACATCCGCTCTCAACAAGCACCTGCAAAATTACATGCCTGGTCTGACTGCTAAGGTCTTCCGTACTTACAATGCTTCTTACACTATGAGCACTCTGCTGCAGGAACTGAAGGCGACGGGCACCGTTATCGAAAAGGTCAAGGCCTATAACGATGCGAATCGCAGGGTTGCCATTCTGTGTAACCACAAGCGCACAGTTACAGCAGGGCATGCCAATGCCATGGAGAAGATGAGTGAGCGGGTAAGTTGAACTGAAGCCGTCCCCGAAGTTTCAAATCTGACAGATTTCCTACGCAACAGATCAAAGGTCTCCGTTACCAAAAGTGGCGTCTGAAGATGCAAATGCTTGATCTTGAACCCAACCTCAAGAAAAAGAAGGGTGCTGCGTTCTTTGAACGGGACGAGGACCTTGACATGGAATGGATTAAGGAACATCAGGCCTTCTTGATAGAGGAGCAAACCCAGAAGATCAAGAAGAAGTTTGAGAAAGACAACGAAAAGCGAGTTGCCGATGGCGAGAAGGAGATGAAGGTCTCCGAGCTCAACGAGCGCCTGGAAGTTGTCGGGGAGATGAAGAAGAAGTTCGACAAGGAGAACAAAATCGGCAAGGTTGAGGCCGAAGGCCGAGGTCCTACTGTTGAGAAACTTGAAGCTCAGATCACGAAGCTGGACCAGCGTGTGGCCACAATGTCTGTTCAGGCCCAAGATAAGGAGGACAACAAGGAGGTTGCCCTGGGCACATCGAAAATCGTGAGTAATTTCTCTCTATGCAACCCGACCTTCACTAACTCGCTCTAGAACTACATTGATCCTCGCCTCACGGTCGTCTTCAGCAAGAAGTTCAATGTGCCCATTGAGAAGTTCTTCTCTAAGGCTTTGCGCGAGAAGTTTGAGTGGGCTATCAAGTCTGTGGATGAGGACTGGGAGTTCTAGTTCTCAACTGGGTCCGAATCCTTTGCTATCTTCTTATATTTCCTCTTATCTGGTGAGTGGGGTTGTGTCCCATGTTTTCGCTTCTTTTTTCTTGCATGAGATAGGGTGGATCCCCCTCTCAATTTTTTTTTCTCGTCTGATGCACCCAATTGGACCCGCATCGCATGCTTTACGATAGTCGCACCTGTTGGAACGGAACATCAACGCATACCAAACTCCAAAAAGAAAAGACAAAAAGAAAAAAAGGAGACCTGAAACCACGCATCGCATCTATAGCTTGGTGGCATTTGACATGGCAAATTCCGTTGCCTTTCCGCACTGACGCTGGTCAGTTCATAGATGTCTATAAAGAAAGATCAAGGACCGCAATGTACTTTTACCTCTATTTCAAACCATCGCAATGTAAATTACTAATTGTAGAAATCAATAAATCGCACCTAGCTCCGAATAAGAGGACTACGCAGTCCCGGAGCGGAACCTCTACGCGAACTGCGTACATCGTCATCGTGCATCGTGCATCATGCATCGTTCACCCAGTGGCCGTCTTGAACCAGGGAAACATGCCCTCCCTTGTTATTACCCACTCCTACAGCACGGAACCCACCATGTTGAAAACAAACTTCAAGTCAATTCTAAATTGCTTATAGCACGCCGCTAGAAGACATTATCACATGCGGGTGTAACCTTGAAAATGGATTGGAATTGTTGGAAGTATGGGCTCAATATGCAAAATGCTCGAATGAATGGTAAGACCGTGAGGGTACACGTAAAGGCCAAAGATATATGCATGAAAAATAACATCCCGACCAGTGGAGAGGTATTACAGTACAATCGTCCGTACTGGGCTGCTAGGCCCAAATTTGACAATGTAGAATGGGGGAGAGCGTAAGGTCTGGGAGTCTGGTATCTAGTGGGAAGGGAGAATAAGAGAAGAGAAGTGAAGTGAAAGGGTTGAGACGGGAATCATAGGGGGTCGTGTTGGCGGGGTTAACGGGAGGGGAAATGCTCTTGGTGGACACAATGCGATGCGATGCGAATTTCGAGAACGATCCAAAGAGACCGTGTATGAGAAAAGAAAGGGGGGGTATTTTGTCGCACTTTGTTCAGGGCCACCAGCCCATGCGCTTGTAGCTCTCGACCATCTCGCGGATGCTATCGGCGTCAAGACGCTCGTACTTGGGTTTCCAGCCGGTTGTCTGCTCAAAGTGCGAGCCGTCGATCGACATGTCCTGATCCTTGAGCACGTCAAGCTCCAAGAACGGTCCAATTGGACCGGGCCGCTCGATCTTGCTCTTCTCGATCAATTCAGCCCATGTCTGCAGGCTGACCTCGTTCATGTCGTCAACCACGTCGTCTAGGTTCATCTTGGCTAACTGGGAGATCAGGGTACCGGTGAATGTGACCTTGAGACCAAACACTTCGGATAAAGCCTTGGCGAAGTGTTCTTGCCTGGTATCATTATGATCGACGACGTTGAAGGCAACCGTTTCTGAGGCCTTGGACTCCTCCAGCGGACCCTTAGCGGCGCGCCATTCGGCCGCGGCCCAAAGTGCACTGGCGGCATCCTTGACGTGCAAAGTGTTCACTTTGACGTCCTTGGAGTAGAGGAGCTCGAGATCCTGCTTCAACTCGAGGTGCACGCGCGCCAGACAGATACCCATGGCAAAGTAGCCCGGATTGTATTCACCGTATACGTGGGGCAGACGCATCGCACAGAACTGCAGACCGGGAATAGTGAGCAGCTTGTCCGCCGCCTTCAGCTTCCACTTGGCCAGATTGTGCCATGGCTGGAGCTTGTCACTTTCCTTGCGCGGCGAAGATCCGCTCTTGTAAACGTGCGCGGTCGAACATTCGATGAAGGCGGGGATTCCACGCTTAGCGACCTCCTTGCCGAGGGCATAGCTGAGTACGAAGGAGCGCGCTTCGTAGACGTCGTCGGGTTGTGAATGTCGTGTCTCGCCGCCGCAGTTGATCACGTAGTCGAATTCTTCACCATTGGCACGGTCGAAGACGCGCGGAAGATGCTCTGCAGAAAGGAAACATTCACTTGTTAGAGGGGGCAAATTCGTTAAGCGTCGGGGTAAACGGGGCGCCTACGTTCTCGGCTGGCATCGGCCTGGACGAACTTTTCCTGCGAGCAGGCCTCTTTAAATTCGGGAGCCAACCAAGCCAGTTGGGGCAAGACCTTATCAACAATACGGACTTCCGAGGCCAGATTGTTTTCGTGGATGTAGAGGGCCAGATGACGGCCAATGAAGCCTTTTAGAGTGTTAGCGGGGAACCCCCGAGATTTGAAAAATAGGGGAACGCACCAAGGCCACCGATGATCAAAACAGCGGGCTTTTTGTCGGCCATTGTGGAAGACAACAGCAATTCCTCCCGACACAAGGGAGAGGAGGGGAAGAGAAGGGGAGACAGACAATGATTATAAGGGGGGTTGGAAGAGGGGGAGAAATAGAAAGCCTCAAAGTGGGAGGCAAAGGACGCAAGTGACACGAAATGCTCCACACGGCGCCGTAGAAAATTCCAGGATCGTTCCTCAACCCTAGGACATCCTTTAGCACATTATCCCGCGCCCTTCCCTAATTTCCCATGGCGCAGGCCCCTTAACGCGGTTGATCTATAGTCTCTCGGGCTAAGTGGGCTATGGTGGACTACAGTGGACCCGCGGCGAGACATCTCGTCACCCGTGTGTCCCATGGTTCTGGAATTTCCTTCGATCTGGGGTTCATTGACTTAATATTCTGCAAGGCTGCGTGGCAATCTTCAAATATCAGGCTTGAGAGTCACCCCAATCTCAAACTCGATCATGTTGAGCGCGCCCTCGTCTTTCGCGTTCCAAGCACAGATCACTCGATTCTCCAGTGCTTGCAGATCCTGCCCGCCACGGCGAATCACGAACGAGACGCCGCTCCAATTTAGATGGACCACCGCGTAACACCGGTTCAGGCAGACCATCTCAGATAGTAGTTGCTGGGAGACTGCGTCGCCGGCTTTATTCTCCATTTTGTTCAGGAAGTCGTCCGCGTCATGGTAGAATTCGAAAGGGACGCATACGGGCTCCTGTGGGTTGTCGAATTCTGATGAGGTCACCAGGAAGTAGGTGGCCAACATGTTCGATCCGGGGTGCGTTTTTGGGCGCTGAACGACCTCTGTGGTTGGAGGATCTGTTAATCGGTGAGCATTAGTCAACAATTGGCGGTTTTGGTGTTTTTTTTCTTTGGGCTTGGCTTGGCTTACCATCCTTCCGGAGAAGGCCTGCAGAGGCGTTGAATTGACCAGGGATTACCGACGGACGTAGCAGAGACATGCTCATCAAATCATATCGAGAAATCAGACCTTCGGTAGCAGCGCGCGGAGAAGCAAGATAACCACCGGTAATAAGACGCCCAGGACCGAACAATCCTCCTGCGGTTTCTTTCTGGCGACTTGGAAATCGTTGAGTAATCTCGACGCTCGGTAGCGGCGTCGAAATGGTAGAATCAAGCTGGTTGACATCAAGCATTTGCTTGATGGCTTTCTTTCTGGTGACAGAACCGGCGACAGCGCCAGTCGCAATAGATTCATCAGAACGAGTGTTCGGTACCTTGAAACAATCAGCAAAGTAAACCTCAAATGGTGAAAATGTAGCAGAACCGTCAGATTAGGGAAGCTCACGTCCTGCGTCGTCGAAGTGCGCCTGGACTTGGATGATTTCTCGAGGAGGATCACAAGGACATCGATCATCCTGTCTCGAGTGAGTAGCAATCGATGGTCATCTGGAGCAGGCTACTTACGGTGTCTCGTCATCGGGGTATTTGCAACCGCTATCCTTCCCATCGAGACGATCTTCAATCAGATTATTCTCTCGATTTTCGTCACCCCAATACTTGGTTGCGTATTCCTCAAGAAATTCCTCGGCGCACAGAAGACGCAGAGTCTTGCTGTCCCTAAGACTTGTCCAAGAGTAGTTTGACTGGACGTGGGTGTTCAATTGGCCTCGGAGCCTGTCCCATGGTCCTTGCTTCAGGTCGAAAAACAAACGAAATTCATCAAGCTTGCTCTTGATTGACAATTCTGTCACCATTCTTGATAAACCTGTAGGGGTCTCTGGCTCATGGAACACTGTGTCGCTAATATTCGCGCACGTCTTTCGGGTGCTTGGTGGTGGCATTGTTCGTACTTCGAAGGTCAAGACGAGAAAGGAATGTAATGGTGGTGAGTGGCAACGAGAATTGAAAAGAAAAGCACAGATGAAGATAAAATACTAAACGAGGGAACAAGTGAGCATGTCGATGAGCTGCATGCTGAGAGATCAATTTACATTAGGACAGTGCATGCGCTCGTCTGTTTGCTGAGAATAATATTCTACGACTACTCTGCTTTTTTGTGTTCTTTCTTCAACACGAAGAATGAGCACGTATTAACAAGAATGTGCCTTCTGTGGCCAGAAGAAGAAGATAGTGCGGGAAGGCCTAGAGGTCTTGTTCTCTTATTTTTTCCGACCTCTTTCTCAACGTGTTTTGACAAACTCCCGGTGAAATAGATCGACTTCTCATGAACAGATAACTTGAAATAGGCTAAGCTTCACCAAGCCGACCCCGTAACTTCAATATATTGTATATGTGACTTCAAAAGTAATCCTAAGAGCAAAGATAAATGGGGTTTGCTACAATTAAATCGCGCCGAGGTATCTCAGAGAGTTCCGCAGCTCTTTGATAGCCGTGTCAACATCATCAAACGTCATTGCTGACACTGCCCACCGAGCATGCTTCTGAGCTAAAGCAATAGAATTATCATCCACCCCATGCGTGGGCTGACTCGGCGCAGCAGGAGGGGGAGCAATGGGAGTCCGAGCTGCAGGCGCAGAGGGGGGCGGGAGGTGGGCACTGGCACTAGTTGGATCGTAGAATGAAGCAGGATCCGGCGCGGGCACTGACGGACTAGCCGGCGGTGGGAAAGACTGGAAAGTATTGGAAGGCTGTGAAATGTGATGTGCGTGGGAGCCAGGTGTGTCTGGTAGATTGAGGACTCCGCTCGAGTCTCCAAAGGTGCTTGGTGCCGAGGGCAGCTCCAGGCCGCCCGAGGGCGCATCATTGTTAATTCGGCCTGAAGAACCAGGGGCACTCTGTGGAACAGAGGGGATATCCGGAGTTGTGGAGGTAGGCGGTCTTGGAAGTGATGATGCACGAGACGGGTGGAGAGACGCGTCAAGAGAAGACTGATGAGCCATTTGTCGACCCAGACGATCGGCCTCATCCGGAATTTCCTCGACAGAGGCCTGTCTCGGCTTGGACGCTTGTTCTGCGACGGATTCATCGAACGCCTGTACATCAGGATCGGCGACAGCAAGCTCCTCATCCTCCTTTGGCACGGGGTTCGTCTCATTGGGGTCTTCCCCGGCCTTGATTGCTTTCACAATTCGGACAGCATGGTATTTGGCAAATTTGATTCTTCCAGCAATCTCAGGTTCAAGGTCTCCCCAGATTTGACATAGCTCAAGGAATGTAGCCGCCGCTTGGAAGGTGTCTGCTGTTTGCCTACGTGAATTTATAAGACTTTGTTGACTTGATCATAACGCAGCATAAATACTCACTTGGTGACCTTGTTGGCCGTCATAGCCGCCTCGGCGCGACCGAAGACCTCCAATCCAAATTGTTCAATGTATGCACTGGCTGCAACGTTATCCGTGATCGTCTCATTGTCCGGGTTCTCAATTTTGACCTGTTCTCGTTGATGTCAGTCACGGCCAGGGGAAGCGGGGTGAAATTGCGATGGACCTGCTCTAGCTTTTCCACCAGGTTAGTCGTATAGAGCTTGATCTCGTCGTCTGAGGTGTGAAGGCCTCGCTCGATGATTTGATTCACAATATGGAAATTGCCTGCCACATTGGTTGATCAGCTTATGTCCCATTCGCGGGGAAGTGCGCACACTTACACCAGTAGGCAACCACCGGTTTAGCCTTCTCGATCTGCGCAGCGCGCAGGGCAAAGCGCCCAATATCGGCCGTTCGTAGACCAGCGGGAACACTGCTTGCCATGGTCGAATTGTTGAAGATGTTCACAGAGGGGGAAGCCAGATGACGTTTGGAGCTTTCCGCCCGTGCGGAGAACGATAAAGTCTTATCTATGGAGGACGCCGTTCAAGGTGCGCGTACTGGAAATACCGAATAAAGAAACGTGGTCAAAGTTCATTAATTGGCTATATAATAAATGGACCGCTCTTATGCGTCTTCAAGAATCCACTCTCCAATGTCCACACGCTCCTCTGCTAAAGCCTCAACCTCGAAATGGTCTTCTACTTGTCCACCTGGCCCACCTATACGCTCAATAACAATCCATATTTGGCCCTGTGAATCCAGACTCGGTGACAAGTCAAAATCATCCACTCGGACTCCCGACGGGGAATCACAATGTGATCCATCTTCCGAAACGGCGAGAGTCTTCTTATACGGTCCCTGTCCCAACTCCACGGTCATCAACACGGGGGACGAGGCTACAGTCCGAGAGCCGATCATGGATGACTTATTCCGGGCTATAAGCTTGATGCGTGTGAGGCGAGATATTTGCAAGGGAGCTAGCATCCGGTCTTTTCCGGGTGGTAGGATGCCCACTCCAGATAGGGTGACTCGACGGCCTGCAGACTCGGAAGCTAATGGTCGCACCACACACGGAATCGTAGAGGAAATCCAGAGCGTAAAGCGACCAATTTGGTCAGGGGCGAATGTAGAGCAGACGATAGTATACACCCCCTTATCAAGAGATCGGGCCTCTGCCAGAGCGCATCCTCGACGGTAGTCGCCACTATCTGCGATGATATCTCTGCTTCGTACCCTGGCAATGCGCTGGCCATTAGACCAGAAAAGCTTCACATGAGTTGCAAGCTCGGCTTCTGTGGATTCAAGTAGAATGGAAACATCGGTCTTTTCGGAAACTTGAAGGCTGAACTGCGGGTTGGATGAATACCGGGCTGACTCTGCGTTCCCGCCGGCAGTCAGAGCGGTCCACGAACCACTGGCTTTGCTCAAGCAAAGGTAGCTGTCAAGGGAAGGAGCTAGGGACACTGGAGAAGTCGAAAATGCGGAGAGGGTGAAATTCTGACTGGATGATGGGAGGGATTGTTCTGAGATCACAGCCGTGTAGGTTGTCCGTGGGGGCATCTCAAGTCTCATGAGAGTGTTGGGAGAATCCACATAAGGTCCCCGATGTAGGGCACCATCACTCAGAGAAACCCGTTTGCCGTCTGCTTGGAATATGTAGATGCTGATGAATCCAAGCACTCCAGCCTCTGGTCCGTGGTTTTTCAAGTAGTAATGGTGATCCGTCTTGAAGTGTTTGCCCAGCAACAGCCAGACAGTTCCTCCCAGTTCACTACGGACAGAGAACTGCGGGTTCTTCACGAAGCATCCCGCAATAACGCGGCCATGAGATAAGTCCCACGTGAAGTGAATATCCTCGCGGTACTTGAACAGACCCGGATTCCAGTTGAGATAAAGGTGCTCGAAATTTTGCAAGACCTGCTCGCAATCCATCCAGAAGACTCCTGGAGAAAGAGATGGTGCATCATGATCGTGCTCAGTTGCACGATTCTGCATGATCTTTGGCTCTGCGCCAGCCCAAGGATTTTTCAGAAGACATTGGCGACGCCCGTTGATTTCCTTCATGTCTAGGATCGCGTAGTCATGCTCACTTACCAAGCCCAAGCCTTGTTGTTCGAGCTCTGTCAGCTTGCCAGTTCCGATCGTCAGAACCACATCGCCATATGAGAAGGCCTTGAACAATCGTCCCCAGATCTCGTCCGAGGTGGTATCGTCGTTATGTAAGAAGACTTGCTCTGGAATCCAGCCAGTGAGGACCCATAAGTCTGTTCCCGAGTTACTTCCCGGGAAGTCATAGCCACCGCGAACTTTCAAGTACGCCTTCTCGACTAGGGCAGGCCATAAGAAATTAGGATGGTTGCGGTCAATCACATGGAGCGACCGTGCCGTCTTGGAAGATGGCAGACGGTCGTCTATGACCACTTTTCGAAAGCATCCGTTGAAGTAGAAGGAGAAAATGTATTTCCCTGAAGGTGACAAAGTCGGTTCCTCGGGACTCTCCGCACATGGATACATTGCCGGCGAGGCATGCTGCGCTGGTTAGCTTCAGTCTAGCATTACAATATCACAATTCGTACCTTTGCCAACCCACGTTCGGATCTGGAGGTAGTCGCGCAAAGGCTAGCAACTACCGAGCAGTCGGTCAACACATCTTGCACGAGGTCGGTTCGCCCTGTCACCGAGACCAACGGCTGCTCGTCGGGGGTCCAGTCCAACTTCCTCGCCCGCAGCAAGTCCGAAGGGCGTCTCCATCCCGCAAAAATATCGCCCTGCAATTCAGATATGCGGAGATCTGGTGCATCCCTAGGCCCAGTTAAAATGGTCGCACAGCACGATCATGGCACCATGAGAACACGTACGTGAAAGGCTGGCCATCAATGGTAGCGAACTCTGAAGGCAGAGGGGCGCGATTCCACGGCGGAAATATGAAGCCGTTTAGTTTAGCACCCTCGAGAATGATGATCTCTTCACGCGTGGTGAGCTTTCGCTTGGATGCGGGGAGCCGCAAGCTGGTATTTATTTGCCGAGCAACCGATTGCCAATCGGCAGCGGCTTTGATCCTCTCGGCTCGGGTCAGAAGTTCTTTGCATTTGGAGTCGAGTTGCTTCTTATCGTCTGCGGGTGCCAGGCGCAAGGCTTTCATGTAGTGCTCGGCGGCATCGATCGCAGCATCCAGAGCCGCTTTCTGAGTGGTCGCGGTAGCTATGACCCCCTCGGCTTGCTAATTGCCGGTCAATTTCACCAATCGTCAAAGATTCCGGGGTCGGATAGACTATGACATACCAGTGCTTGAGCAACATATTGCCCATGGGGTCTTAGACATGGCGCGCTTGTTTGGTGTAAGCCAGTGAAAGTTGGCGATCGGATGTGTTGGAGCCGACGCGCCCCGCCAGAAGGCTCTACGACCATCTACTTTGATGACAACAACGCCATATACACTGTTGAGCTAGATCTTCTCGGAATAAACAGAAACAGCCAGTCATAACAGATATCATAACGACTCCTCTGGCCTAGCCGCTATGATCGGCTCGGATATGCAGCTGGTCGGCGGGAGCGGTGGACCTCGGCTCGTTTTCATCACCGCGCCGAGGCCGTTTTCTCATGCCTGTGGCCGGTTGTCACCTTCTCCCGGGTGACATCGATGACTATGACTTGAGTGCTCCTGGTGCTCCTTCTCTCAAGTCATCTTGGATTCTATTGACCCTTTGTCACTACCATCCATAGCTCCTTCGTCTTCGGAGCAAGTGTCGTTCAGAGGCCCCGCTCCGATCTCCCCCCTTTAGCCTCTTGCTTTTCGGATTTGTCGCTATCTCGACTCGTGAACCGGTGTTTGGTCGATACAAATCATGACCGGTCAATCGAAACCTGTCCGCTTGTCACCATGGGGCAGCGCAGTCGCCGGTGCGACGGGCGCCGTGCTTGCCAACGCCATTGTATACCCACTGGATCTGTGAGACTTTGATCTGATAAACTCCGCATTTTGGAATCAGACCCGCTGACCGCTTTTGCTTCACGCCAGGGTCAAGACGAAATTGCAAGTCCAAGTCAAGTCGACAAAGGGAGATGCTGGGGTGCAAGAAGTCGAACACTATGAATCGACTATGGACGCCATCAAAAAAATTGTCGCAAAGGAAGGTCCCACCGGTCTATACTCGGGAATCGCCGGTGGTCTGCTAGGTGTTGCGTCTACCAACTTTGCCTACTTTTACTGGTACAGCATTGTCCGGACCCTTTACATGGCCTCGAACAAGAGCAACACACAACCCGGTACCGCGATCGAGCTGTCCCTGGGTGCCGTCGCCGGCGCGGTCGCCCAGATCTTCACCATTCCCGTATCGGTCGTTACAACCCGCCAGCAGACACAACCGAAGGGAGAGAAGAAGGGCCTCATTGAGACAGGTCGTGAGGTTGTCGAGAGCGAGGACGGCTGGTCCGGCCTGTGGCGCGGTCTCAAGGCCAGTTTGATCCTTGTCGTCAACCCGGCCATCACCTACGGCGCCTACCAACGTCTGAAGGATGTCTTCTTCCCCGGCAAGAATAGCCTCAAGCCCTGGGAGGCATTCTGTGAGTCAATTATACTCCGCCCTCGGGCCTTATGTTCGCTAACACCACAGTAGTCCTCGGTGCCATGTCGAAGGCTCTGGCAACCATTGCCACTCAGCCCTTGATCGTGGCCAAGGTTGGTCTGCAGTCTCGTCCCCCACCGAGCCGACAGGGCAAGCCCTTTAAGACTTTCGGTGAAGTCATGAAGTATATTATCGAGCACGAAGGCCCCCTGTCTTTGTTCAAGGGTATCGGCCCGCAGATTACAAAGGGCCTGTTGGTGCAAGGCCTGTTAATGATGACCAAGGAGAGGTACGATCTGCAGTGCATTCACTCAAATATTCATATACTAACATTCTAATAGGATGGAACTCCTCTTCGTCGTTCTGTTTGCATACATCCAGAGGATCAGAAAGGAGAGACTGAAGAAGGTAGTTGACACTGCTGCGTCAGCGGCCCAAGCCAGCTTGTCCGCCACCCTGAAATGAGGTAGTTCTATGGAAACCTCTACCTAATCTGTGCCTATGATTTTCTCTTTTGACTTGACTTGTGTCATTTGTCGGCGTGTTAGTACTTCCGGTACTCCCTTTTGTGATACTCCTGAACAGTCAAGACATACCCGGCTCTCTGATTTGGAGGCGCCGCGTGATGTACCCTGCCGTAAATGGAAATAGATTATTTTATTCTTTCAAATTTTCACACTGGGTTTTGGACACTTGATGACCTACGCTAGGCTACATGAAGTTGTTCTGTTGACAGATTGTGGATGCATGCAGTTTAGGTCATTGATTCGCGTAGGCGTTGAGAGTGACAATGCATCAAAATCATTTAGGTAGCAGGAATACATACATCGAGATGACTGTGGATATGTCCCCGAAGATGTTCCTTCTTTAGGGAGCCTCATGAAATATATTAACTCTAAATTGTGCTTCTTAGGAAGCCATCCGTCAAGCTCAACTTCATCTGAATTTCCTTTTCAAGTCACATCCGTGATAAGGAGACCTACAATGCTCAAGAAAAAAATCAAAGGGCTCGAAAACGTATCAGACCAAATAGAATGTCACAATTTGACGTTTGAGAACAACCAAAACATTGAGCAAAGGAAGTCGCAGAACACATAGCTCAAGTACAGCATTGTAAAAGCTAAAATAGAACACGACCATAAACAAAGCTCACACAGAGCGCGCGGCTAACGCACGCGGCGACGAAAAGGCTTGAAACCTTTCCAGTTATAGAGACATCACCTCTTACCATCTTAACTGTATGAGTATATTTATAAATCGAGTAGCCATAGCCTATTAAATTATTTAGCTCCTATTTCAGTTCGACAAGACATTATAGGCAGTGTCTGGATTTGGACCAGTTAATGACTCTACGTAAGCGCTTCAGGGGCTGCCATGCTAATGATCCTATGATTAGCATTAAGAGGCACCGTGCCTCGCTCTAGCAATGTACTTAATGTGGCTAGTGGAAACGTATAGGCTCCCGGAAGCTCCTGACATAAAGTATTGACATTGCATGAACTGCTAGAGCCAAGTCCCACAGAGTGCATCGAATGAAGGGCTATAACAGGAACAACCAATACTTATAGCTGATAAGCGTTCCAGCCACTGTGCTTCGAGTTTCACATAGTGAATTTCTGATTGGCGGGATAGGTTATGTTTGGGTGTTTGCTTGACGCTCCTTTTCCTCTTCAACGCGATTTTTCCCGATTTCTCATGGCTCATATGTTTCTGGTTTCACTTTTTCTCCAGGTTATGGATGGACTGCAAGTCTCGCTCTCTATTTACAGTAGTATTTCTGTCGACTCAATCAGATAAAGGGACCATACTGCACTATAACTCCTGTGACCGCTCTTCAGTCACGACCTTCCTTTTCCATCCTAATCGCCCCACAACGCATCTGAAAACATGGAGCCCCGGATGTGTTACGACGATGTCGCATGGGAACAATCCGACGATGTCTCCGACAATTGGTTGCTTCAGTTTCTTGATATCGACGTCAAGAGACCGATTGGGAAGTTTATCCTGAAGCATGATTCTGGTGCCGATCCCGAGTTTACAATCCTTCGAAAGGGGGCTTTCAATATCGTATTACAAATGAAGTACACGTACAGCGCCACCAACATCCGCTTTTCACAGCCTGGGGCCATTCTTTTTCCCGAGGAAAAAGTTCAGAACGAAGTTGCCGTGATGCGATATATCTCAGACCAGACATCAATTCCAGTTCCATTCATTCTTCACTCGGGTACACGGGAGGAGAGCCCCCTCAATCTGAGCCCTTGCATTATGATGAGCCACATAGAACATACGACAAGCATGTATGATGTTCTCAACACACCAGGATGTCCAAATGAAGAGCGGGGAGTCCTCGACCCAAAAATTGAAGAAGATCAACTTGGTATGCTATATACACAACTAGCAAAGATCCTGCTGCAGCTTTCTCGGCCAGATGAATTCCCCAAAATAGGGTCCCTTAATCAGGTGGATGACTTTTCCTGGGAAGTGACTAGCCGTCCATTGTCAATGAATATGAATGAGCTTGTCCGTTTAGGGACTCTGCCTCGATCAAAACTTCCATCCTTAGATGCCACTTTCAAGACAGCATCTTCATACATTGAAGCCCTAGCACAGCTCAACATCCAACATCTACTGCATCAAAGGAATGATGCGGTGCAGTCTGCAGATGACTGTCGCCGGAAGTTTGTTGCAAGACAGCTATTTTACACGCTTGCCAGGGACAAGAAACTGTCTCTGCCAAGTTTCGAGAATGGTCCATTCAAACTCTGGTGTGATGATTTCGGGCCAGCCAATATTCTTCTCAATGAGGTTATGCATATTGCCGGTGTGGTGGACTGGGAGTTCACATATGCAGCACCGGTGGAGTTTTCATACGCGTCACCATGGTGGCTCCTTATCGAGAAGCCCGAATACTGGTCCGAAGGTATCGAGGACTGGGCCCGAGTATTCGATCACCGCCCAAAGACATTCCTCACGGCAATGAGGCATTGTGAAGATATGGACGCTCAGCACAGCCAGCGCCGGCTCTCGGATCAGATGCAACGGAGCTGGGAAAGCGGAGAATTCTGGGTGGCGTATGCGATTTTGCACAGCTTTGCGTTTGAAGCGATCTACTGGCAGAAAATCGACCAGCGGTTCTTTGGGCCTACGGAGACCGACGATCCCAGCGAGGCATGGAAAGAGCGGTTGGACTTGCTGGACGAAAATCAAAAGGGTGAGATGGAACGGCTAGTGACGAGAAAGCTTGAGGAGATGGAGAACAGGGTTTTGGCGTGGGACCCGGATTAGTATACTGAATCGCCAGGAGTTGATGAGAAGGAGAGAAGAAAAAGCAAATGAGGCCAAGGAATCTCACCAGTGAGCTTATGATAACTATGTACGTAATATGAGCAGGATATTCAATGTTCCCTTTGTTTTCTTGTAAAAACGGTCTTCTCAGGATTCGATAACTTTCCAGCCTTCTACGCATTTGAAAGTAATTTGTAAATAGATTTGGTATCAGAAAGCAGAAGCAACCCAGTGGGCTCGTGGGGTCGTAGTTTCAAAGCGCAAAACAACCGTCATCAATGATATTGAAGTTACCAATATCCTGATTTTACTAATGAAGAAGATGAATTTATAGAATTTGATTCTTATATAGTACCTGAAAGTGATTTAGAAGAAGGTCAATTTAGAATGTTAGAAGTAGATAATAGAGTAATAATTCCTGAATTAACACACACAAGAATTGTTATATCAGCTGCAGATGTTATACATTCTTATGCTTGCCCTTCATTAGGTATTAAAGCTGATGCATATCCTGGTAGATTAAATCAAGCTTCTGTTTACAGGCGCTCTCCTTATCTATAGGGATACTAAAGGCCGTACTTCGTCATCACTAGCTGTAGAGCTAAGGCGTTTCGACTATATAAAATTGTCGTCGAATCTAATACTAATATCAATTTAGCGGATTCAAAAAGCTAGAGGCCACTATTCTAGTAGTTTCGTAGCAGCATCATTAGACGACGAAAACCGGGCTCACCTGTATGTTAGGCTAGAAATGAAATGCCTGGGTCTGCAATCGCGTATCTTCGGCAACGATAGGCCGGCCTCCGACTTCCTACGCGGCGATCACTCTTCCCTGACTTTGGGAAGTCTCCACACCACATCTGCCAGAGCAAAGGCAGGGGACAGCATGAGATGGCCACCATGGAGCTCCGAGTCAAGCGATGACCAGAAGGAACATTCGGAGTCTAGCCTCGGAAGCTGGTCCTCGCACCCCACATCAACAAACAACAGCTCCCCTCTCGACTGGACTGCTTTCACCGAGGCCAGAACAATCCTTCCAACCCTTCTCTTGACAAGCGGTATTCTACTCGCAGTGCGCTTCCATCGCAGCTACCTGCGCCGCTTCCCCGATGCCGCCAGCATCTCACCTTCGTTTCTCCGCCGCCGAACGGTCTTCGGCCAAGTGACCAGCGTTGGCGATGGTGACAACTTCAGAATATACCACACACCTGGGGGCCGACTTGCTGGATGGGGCTGGCTGCCATGGAAAAAGGTCCCTACCACTAAAAAGGAGCTAAAGGATAAGACCGTACGTCTCTCTCGATTTACCCTCTCCTGACACTCGCATTCATGACCACCTCCACCTTTCACGCTTCCCAGTACTTACCTCAAAAAAAGCTATTATTGCTAATAATGTTGACAATTATCAGATCCACATCCGTCTAGCTGGCATAGACGCCCCCGAACTCGCTCACTTCGGTCGCCCCGAACAACCATTTGCCCGCGACTCCCACGCCTGGCTAACATCATACCTCCTTAACCGACGCATACGAGCCTTCGTCTGGCGACAAGACCAATACCAGCGCGTTGTCGGAAGCGTATATGTCCGACGCGCATTCGATTTTCCACCATTCCGCAGGCGCGATGTCTCCTATGAGATGTTGAAGCGCGGTCTGGCAACCGTGTACGAAGCCAAGGTGGGCGCGGAATTCGGAGGCGAGGCGATGGAGCAGAAGTATCGTCGTGCCGAGTGGTGGGCGAAGAAAAGGGCTAAAGGACTTTGGAAGGATTATCGTCGTGTTGGGTCGGGTTGGGAAAGTCCGAGGGAATATAAGATTCGCATGGGCATGGGTGATCCGCAGGACAATGGCGCAAAACGGAAGTCTAAATCATGATTGCACATTACGACATGAGTGAACGAAGTCAATTGAATCAAACATTCAGGTCTCTGAACATAGTGCTGCGACACTTTCCCTTAAAATCAATCAATGTTTATATTCTAGGCTCAACGTACAAGATGGCCCGGCCCATATTTATATACGGCACGCGTGCTTGACCCTTCAGGTGTATGCCCAAGAAAATCATATGACTGAGTGAGCGAAGCACTATCAAGGAAAGCACTAGAGCTAATTCCGCTTGTAAGGATATGGTACATCACGTTGAGTATAGCTGTACAAAGGCACCGAGGCGACTTCGGAGATCCTCGGCCCTGAACCATCACAGGGGTATAAAAAAGCACCGGCAATCATCGCGCATGTGCCAAGTATATGAGAGCCCAATTAAAGATATGCATATATGTAGGAGTCAGCCCTAGCAGAATCGTCGTTCAAATTCCGCGAATAGCTTCGGGGGTTATCTCGTCACTCGAATTACCCTCGACTCGCCAGAGACACCCGCGCCGCTCGTAATGCTCAAGAAGAGCTCTGCTGGTCTCTTCGAATTTTCGCAGCCGCTGCTGCCATGTTTCGATTGAGTCGTCTTCTCTCTGTGTCAATGTCTCGCCCGTGACGTCGTCTTTGCCGGGGACCTTGGGCGCGTGGAAGTCCGTGTTGTACACCCGCCCTGATGGCTCGTGAACCCAGCGTGAGGCAATGCGTGCCAGTATCACGGAGGGTGGAGTGACGAGCTGCACCACGAAGTTCACGGGGACCAAGGTGTCAAGGCTTGTTGCTTGAGCAGCAGTGCGGGGAAATCCATCAAGAATGAAGGAGGCAGTGGGGAGAATCTGGGGAGATGAAGCGGCGGGCTGCGAGGAGGATGTGGATGTGGCGGAAGTAGAAGAAGTATTGAGTGACGAAGACGGCTTGAGCCAGCCCTTAGATGCCAGTTCAGAGGAGATGAGACTGAGAATCATCGAGTCTGGGACCAGATTGCCAGACTGCATTGCGGCCTCAGCTTCTTTGCCTGTGATTCAAGTCAGGCAATGGGTCTTTTGCGGCGCATAATTATGTGTTCTAGAGCCAGTGAGACGTACCAAGCTGTGTCCTACGACGAACATTCTCTCGCAAAAGATCACCCGAGCTGATGGATGCCAACTGGGGGAAGCGCGCGAGCAGTCGCTCGGACTGCGTTCCCTTTCCTACACCCGGAGCACCGACGAGAATGATGCGCGCAGCCTTCTTTAGCTGCCTCGTGGTGTGCGACATGCTGAGGCGTTGTCTTGTCGGTGTGTCGTCACGTCGTTTGCAGAGGCCCCGATATAAAATTGTCCCCGGGTAAACCCGTTCCTGGGAATTTTGTGGGGCGGTAGTGAAGGGGGCCAAACGTTTTAAGCAGAGCTGAAGCGCGATATTCTTTCGCTAATTCATGGTAGAAGTAGGAGCCGAGATAGCAGGTACAAGCGTTGTAAGCCCCAATGCCTAGCGCATATTACCAATTTGCGATTTTGTGGGGGTGCATGCAGTTGCTTGCTTGGGCCTCCGGTGAGAAGCTCCGAGGGAATGTTGAATGTCCGAGGGAAAGGAAGTGAACGGCCCAACAAGGTCAGCTACAGTGACAGTCTCGGCTACAAGAAAAGCAAGCAAGAAAAAGACAAAAGTACAATAGACAAACGGGGAAATGGAGATTCGGTAATGGCGAAAGCACGGGCAGTTCTTCACATGCATCTCAATTGTTGTGTTGTCGCCCGATTCCCAAGGCTAACAGTCATTAAGGTCATGTGATATGGGGCGCGGCGCGTGTCGCGTCGCCCCCAATCGGTTTGATAACGAGGAATCTTCTAAGGTTGCCCAGCGCGCAACGGACTTTGGCATATCTCACGACTCCAACTCGTCATCATGATTCGACAGGATGCTCACCGTATCGATCCCAAACGCAGGAATACCATCGATCACAAAAAAAGGCAGTTCGCTGTACCTATCTACAAGCAGCAGGACTATCCGTACCGTCTGAATCTGTACGACACGCCGCCGACGGCCGAGATCACCCTCGAGCAATTTGAACAATGGGCCATTGATCGGTTGAAAGGTACGCGAGGCGCAATTCCGTTTCTTGTTTTTTTTTTTTTGGCAGCTACTGAAACCGTTACAGTCCTCGCCGAGATCGAAGCTTGCTCCTATCGCAACAAATCCCCCGCGGAGACTGAACAACACATTACTCCTCTTCTCCAGAAATATCTCCCTCTATCCGCCAATACTTCTTCTTCAAATGGTGCCGCCGACACGCGTTTGAAAAATGAACGCCAAAAGGACCATTACTCACACTTCATCCTCCGCCTGGCCTTCTCCGCCACAGAGGACCTCCGCCGCCGATTTGCCCGCGCCGAGACCATGCTCTTCCGCTTCCGCTTCCAGAAGGACGATTCGAGAGAACGACGCGCTTTCATTGAAAGTTTGAGTCTCGACTGGGATCCAGTAAGCGAATTTGAACGAAATGAAATTGCCGAGCACTTGGCTAGCGCGACACCTGGTTTGCAACGGGTGAGTGATGAGACATGGTACAAAGTTGACTGGGAGAAAGTTCCCGAACTCGTCGAGAGAAGATCAGTGTATATGCGGAGGGGTAAGGCCTATGTTCCTGGAAGAGAACAGCTAAGCATGATCATGGCGGAATTTACTGCCCGCCTGGAACGTTCGCTGGAGGTATGTCTCGGCCAGTGTACGAGCCCGATAGCCTTTTTCTAACACAGATTAGCTCACAAGCCGAGCACTACCCCGTCTAGACGAGGACGACCGGCTCACCCCCATCCTCAACCACCTCTCTAAGAACTTTGGCAGCGCCGAGTCTGTTTACACTGAAAGCGAAGGGCATGTCGACGGAGCGGAGATTAGAGCAAGCTCTATCGACGCGCTTTCTCAACATTTCCCACTGTGCATGCGCAGCCTACACATGAACCTGCGCAAGAATCACCACTTGAAGCACTTCGGACGACTTCAATACACCTTGTTCCTAAAGGGCATTGGTCTCTCATTAGAAGAGTGTATACTCTTCTGGCGCCAGTCCTTCAAGGGAAAGACCGATGACGAATTCAACTCTCAGTACAAATACAACATCCGTCACGCCTACGGTGACGTGGGCGGTGATGTTAACCGCCGAGGCCGGGGATACGCGCCCTATTCCTGCCAAAAGATCCTTGGCGACAGCAACCCCGGCATTGGTCAGACTCACGGATGCCCGTACCGCCACTACTCCGTTGACAACCTCGTTGGACTACTGCAGGCAACAGGCGTCAGTGACAAAGAGGTCCTACGCGGAGTGCGTGAGGACATAGGCAAGCAACGATATCATATTGCGTGCAATCGTGTCTTCGAATCGACACACAAGAATGAGATTAAAAAGGTCAAGGAGGATGGGACGTGGAGCCAGGCTGACTTGGATACAATCGTTCATCCGAATACCTACTTTAAGCGCAGCTACTTGTTGAAGCAGCTGGCCAAAGCTCCGAGCCGAGATGTTTGAGCATGTGAATATTTTTTTTCTTTCTTTAAGTCCATCGCGGGTGATGGCTATTCGATTGGCGTTTGGAAATAGGATTGTACACAGAGAAACTAGGAGGTTCTGCAATAGCAGGTTCATTACAGGCACAGAAACAGTCCATAAATCGTAACATTACAAGGGGTCTGTGACCACAGCTGATTCCCAGTGAATCCGAAAGGATCGGAACGACCTTTCAAAACCAGGTGCCCAGCAACGGGTCAAGTCGTTCTTCGCTCGACGCGGAAACAACTTCATCATTGAAAGGAGTGAAGTTGACAAATAAATGTTATATTCTGCGTTGGCGTGGAAGAAATATGGAAGAAAAAATGAAGGGAGCGGGACGACTTATATGGGCAACGGATACGGTGACGGGTAGAGACCAGAAGCGTTGCAACTCTGGCCTTAATGGGGGCATCTCCTCACACAACCGCCCCAACTCCACCTTTGTGATCGATCCCTAGTCATTCGGGGCTTACTTCCTGGGAACTGGGTCAAGCTCCGTCTTTCTTTTGTCTGTGCTTTGGAGAAGTCCGATTCCAATCTTACTGCGACTTGACCGTCCGCTGTAAAGAACCCCTCCTCCCTTGTCAACACTGGACCGAGACCTCCACCGCCACCCGCTACGATGGATTTCGAGGCCTTGAAGGATCAATGGAGTGATGTGGAGGACCGCGATGGTATCCGACTGAGCTGGAACACTTTCCCGAGCTCTCGCATGGTGCGGTATTTCCCTGGGCCACCTGCCCGATGTCCAAGTGTCGCGTCATCCCTAACATTGTATCTTTAGGAAGCTTCCCGCCTGGTCGTCCCCATTGCTGCCGTCTACACCCCCCTGAAAGAGAAGCCAGAGTCTCCACTGCTTCAGTATGAACCGGTGACTTGCAAGCAGCCCTGCCGGGCGGTTCTCAACCCATATGCGTACGTGCCGTTGTTGACTTCGCCAGTCTTGCGGTGAACTGATAATCTCCGTCTAGCACCGTCGACATCCGCGCCCGGATTTGGATCTGCCCTTTCTGTTTGATGCGCAACCCTCTTCCGCCTCACTATAAGGACATTACGGAGAACACGATACCACCCGAGCTCCACCCTTCCAGCACCACGATCGAGTACCAATTGGCGCGGCCAGCCCCTGCTCCCCCGATCTTCCTGTTTGTGGTCGATACTTGCCAGGAGGATGACAGCCTTCAGGCCGTCAAGGACTCGCTCATCATGAGCTTGTCCCTGCTGCCACCGAATGCGCTGGTCGGTCTGATCACTTACGGCACAATGGTAGGAGCAACAACCCCTGTCCAGGATACAACAGTCGAATACTAACTTTGATCATTAGGCCCAAGTTCACGAGCTCGGATATACCGAATGCGCCAAGTCGTATGTCTTCCGAGGCAACAAAGACTATACCTCCAAGCAGGTTCAGGAGATGCTAGGCCTTGCTCAAGGCGTGCGCCCTGGCATGCCTCCTCAGCAACCGCAGCGCCCTCCCCTCCCTCCAGCTGCCCGTTTCCTTCTGCCAGTTCAACAGGCCGAGTTCCAGATCACCAATGTCCTCGAGCAAATGCAGCGTGACCCTTGGCCTGTCGCCAATGACAAGCGTGCCCTTCGCTGCACCGGTGTAGCTCTGAGCGTTGCGGTTGGCTTGCTAGAAACTTCTTTCCAAAATGCTGGAGGCCGCATCATGAATTTTGTCAGTGGCCCAGCTACCGAGGGTCCTGGAAATGTGGTTTCTCCCGAGCTCAAAGAGCCAATTCGTTCGCACCACGACATTGATCGCGACAACATCAAGTACTACAAAAAGGCTGTTAAGGTAAAGTCCTGAAACTTCAGCTTGGTGTGTTCCATCTGACGAGCAATAGTTCTACGACGCCCTTGCCAAGCGTGCCGCAAACAACGGTCACATTGTCGATATTTTCGCCGGATGTCTGGACCAAGTCGGTCTTCTGGAAATGAAGAACCTTTCCAACTACACCGGTGGTCACATGCTTCTCACGGATAGCTTCACATCGTCCCAATTTAAGCAATCATTTGTTCGCGTGTTCGACAAAGATGCCAACGACAACCTCCTCATGGGCTTCAACGCATCTTTGGAGGTTCTCACGACGAAGGAGCTGAAGGTCACGGGTCTCATTGGTCATGCTATCTCTTTGAACAAGAAATCGAGCTCTGTCGGCGAGACGGAGTGTGGTATTGGTAACACATGTGCCTGGAAGATGTGTGGTATCGACCCATCTTCCAGCTATGGTGTATACTTCGAGATCGCCAACCAAGGTGGCCCCGCTGCTGTGCAGCCCGGCCCTCAAAGGGGTATGATGCAATTTTTGACATACTATCAGCATTCCTCTGGGCATTACCACCTTCGGGTGACTACCATCGCGCGTCCCCTCAGCGGACCTGCAGGCGACCCGACTCTGGCACAATCCTTCGACCAGGAGGCCGCTGCCGTGCTTATGGCCCGGATTGCCGTCTTCAAGGCTGAGGTTGACGATGGTCCGGACGTCTTGCGCTGGGTGGATCGGATGTTAATCCGACTGTGCTCTCGCTTTGCCGACTACCGTAAGGACGATCCTACATCGTTCCGTCTGGAAAAGAATTTCACTTTGTACCCACAATTTATGTTCCACTTGCGACGAAGCCAGTTCCTGCAGGTGTTTAACAATTCTCCCGACGAGACTGCGTTCTATCGTCACGTTCTGAATCACGAAGATGCTGGTGATTCCCTTGTCATGATCCAGCCCACCCTGGACTCCTACTCCCTCGAAGTGGAGGGCAGCCAACCCGTGCTGCTCGACTCTGCTTCCATTCAGCCCGCGCATATTCTCCTTCTTGATACCTTCTTCCACATCCTCATTTTCCACGGCGAGACCATTGCCGAATGGCGCAAGGCTGGTTACCATGAACAGGAGGGATACGAGAACCTCAAGCTGCTTTTAGAGCAGCCCAAGGAGGATGCCAGGGTTCGTGACTCCACCTTTCCCTCTTCTGTCGAGAATTCTTACTGATAGCTTTGCAGGAACTCATTGCCGACCGGTTCCCTCTGCCCCGTTTCATTGTCTGTGACGCTGGTGGATCCCAGGCCCGCTTCCTACTGTCCAAGTTGAACCCGTCAACTACCCACACCACCGGTGGATATGGTGGCGGCGTGTCGGCACAAACCATCTTTACTGATGATGTGTCGCTCCAGACATTTATGGATCACCTGATGAAGTGAGTTCCCCATTGTCCAACGAAGTCAAATCTACTTCCTTTACTAACTGTCTCTAGACTTGCGGTGTCCGGTACTAGCTAGTTTTGTGATGAAAACTATAGCCATGAGAGCAAAGGGCGGTCTCACATCCACCCTCGGGTCTTGTGTATCTTTAGCGGTGCTTGAAACTTATTTTTTATATTTGCAACATAGTTTGTAGTAGATTGAATGGATTGATACCAAGGCACCAAGGCAACACTGAAAACACCTTACTCGGTCGGGTAGTGTCTGGTCATGTGATCAGGGCTTTACCCTAACGCACCCCTTTAACGGGTCTTTCGCTTAGAGCGCAAATGGGTGGGTCCCCGAAGAACTTCCCATTAAATTTGACGCGACTTTCCTTTCCTTCTCACTCATCCATCCCCTTCGACAATCCAAGGCAGATCGACTACCTCTCGCACTCGCCATGCGTGAGTATCATCCCCTTGGTCAGCCTTAATGGCGGCGGCTAATTTGTTTCTGTAATTCAGCTCCCAAGTTCGACCCCAATGAGGTGAAGATCATTCACCTGCGTGTGACTGGTGGTGAGGTCGGTGCCCAGTCCGCTCTGGCTCCCAAGATCGGTCCCCTTGGTCTGTCTCCCAAGAAGATTGGTGAGGACATCGCCAAGAACACTGGTGACTGGAAGGGTCTCCGTGTGACTGTCCGCCTCACCATCCAGAACCGTCAGGCTGCTGTCTCCGTCGTTCCCTCTGCCTCCTCCCTTGTCATCAAGGCCCTCAAGGAGCCCCCGCGTGACCGCAAGAAGGAGAAGAACATCAAGCACAACAAGTCCGTTCCCTTCGACGAGATTGTTGAGATCGCCCGCACCATGCGCTCCCGCTCCATGGCCAAGTCTCTCCAGGGTACCGTCCTCGAGATCCTCGGCACTGCCTTCTCCGTTGGCTGCCAGGTCGATGGTCGCAGCCCCAAGGACGTCTCCGACGACATCCACGCCGGCGAGATTGATGGTGAGTTTTCGTTCTCTCCTTCCCTATTCTTGATCAGTGTCTGACAAGTTCACAGTCCCCGAAGAGTAAATTATCCTCTAAACTGGGAAAGAGGTGGCTATTTGCTTTTGTAACAGCATTGTCTCCTTGATGCGGAGGTAGTTGCGAAATACGAATGTCCCCTCAAAACAAAAAAGCAAAATTGTTCATGAGTCATGACCTTGATACCTTTTTCCTTCGCGTTTCTTGCGAATTTTCGAATGAAGATTGATCATTCGCACTCCCTTTCCGGTTGTATACCTCCTTCCATTCCCGATCCTTCCATTCACTCCTCTCGTTTTAGCCTCATGGCGACGAGGATGGTGGAAGTCGTACTGCCCCGATGCAGCCAACTCTCCTTCAAGGAACCTCCACAACACTCTGGCCCTTACCGTTCTTTCCTTGCGAGGATTGGACATTATACTGCGTGGTATAGGCTTATTTTAAGTGGAGGAGAGCAAATGATCCATTACTCACCGCGGTAGACGGAGTTCGGCCTTCTGGTCGGGCTCGGTGGCTACAGTGGTCCATATACGGGTCTACATCCGAAGTCCAAGATTCGCTCTGGTCTCTGTAGAATGTAAGCGTCTTAGGACATCCTGCTGAACTGGTCCTCAAGCCTCGGGCAGCTGGCCGTCAGCCAAATGAATATCAACCAATGAATATTGAATTTATTTTCCATCATTACCTTTTCGATGAAGGCATCGCTCACGGTTCGCACTTCGCACTTCGCACTTCGCACTTCGCACTTCGAGATCGTACGTAATTTCAGAGGCTACATACGGCCTTCTACTCCAATGCAGGTGCTGCAAGGCTGTCTGCGGGTGGATGTCTGCATGTATCGCTGCGTGAGGCACGATTGTCCACCCATGCCAGATAAGCACTTGGGCTAAAAAGCTCCCATCGAAAGACTCGAGGCTGCATAAGTCCAGTAGACAGTTCTTTTTGGATGAGAATAATGTATTGCATAGATGGTTCAAAGATAATCACCTACGCAGGATTCCCTCCACACATTTGAAATATATATATATCTTAGCATCCCAGTCTCGCACGGCAGTGAGCCTATTTGCGCCATCATCCTGAGGTTTCCACACTACAGAATGCCAGAGTTATCTGAAACCATCAAACAGAAAACAGAAACCAGCGCAGAACCTGATCAATTCATGACAAACAGGCCTTGAGCATCCGGTCGCTTGACGAGACGTTATGATTGGATCTAGGACCGTGTACCCGGGCCTTGTCCGCAGCACCTGGTCGCTCCTCCGGCCAAGAAAGAGGGAAAACAGAACGATAAAAGTGGAGCGTCAGCAAGACCACGCAGCGCATCAGTCAGACCCAGGAGACCGACTCCACATCCAGGACGATCATTGCTCGGCTCACCCTGGCAAAACAGCTTGTTCGGCCATCTACTGGGGGTGGTGGGGACTCTGGGACGGGTGCTGCATCGTTGATGGTCCAGGAGGTGCACGGTGACTCTTACTGTATTTAGTGACAACACTTCGTCCTGGGTCACTAGGCCGGGGAATATCGATGTTGGACAAATTAACGTCCCGGGCTCATTGATTAGCTGTACCTGTTTCCATCCCCCTCGGCGCCTTGTATCACCCGACTAGCGTTCCAGACGTTGGGGCCCATACCTCAGTGGGGGATGGTGCTAGGTTGAGTTTGCCGATCCTCTGGGACAGCAAAAGTCGTGGTATGGAAGATTCCACTCTTCCTCGGTGCGACCGTAGAGCGATATGACCATAACATAGCTGCCTAGCCACGCTTGGGGAGGGCTGGTGTGTAAACGAGATGGCTCAAGGAAAGTGGCGTCATATACGGCGAAAAGAAAAGTCTTTTGAGAAGAAAATTTAAAAGGACAGGGATTGGGGCATCCTTGCAACCCCAGAATCCACCGGGAAAAGGCAAAGGATGCGGCGGAGAGCACATAGGGGGCGCCTGTCACCGAAAAGGAATTGACGGTGGCTGCAGGGCGCCTAGCAATGAGATTCGGATCTTGACCTAGTGGATGTGGACGTAGATGAGGATGTGCATGTCAAGCAGTGAATAGGGTAAGATATCAGCGACGAGGTCTCGACTCGATCATCACAGCGGGGCGTCACCGATCCATGACTAGTCGCCCGGGCGGAACCTATGATCCACTGACGTTGTCTGAATGGAGACTTAGCCAGAGGGTTCAGCCGTTGGATCGAGTGGGTCAGTGGAGCTTAAGGTGCGACAGGGAATGAGATGGAAGATGAAGACGAATTAGGGGGCGGGGAGAGGTTCAGTACTAAGAACAGACGCTGAGAGAGTCGGGGAGAATTGAAGTGTAGACTAAAAAGAGAAAGATAGAAAGAGTAGAAGAGACGAGTAGAGTAGAGCAGAGTTGATTTAAGTCGAGTCGAGTAGGTAATTTAGAAGATGATGATATGCCCTCCACTCGGCTTGGCTAAAGGCCCGCTATGTCTTTGACCTACTCTGCGACTCCTCTATTCCTGTTCCTCTTCGTCTTCCTCTTCCTCTTCTTCCTCTCGATCTTTTGCTGTATTCTTCCCCTCTCTAATCTCTCCTCGCCTACTCCCTTCTCTCCCCCTCCCCTCTCCCTCTCTTGTAACTATTCTCCTTTCTTTCCCAATTCTTGCCAAGATCGCCTGCATATCATTGCCCCCTCCTCGTCTCGGCCGCTAGCAGATCACCGCGCCGCCATCCTCCCTTGCGTCCGTCCTGATATCGAATCTTGTTCGACGTGGTCTCCCCTATTCTGTCCCGACCTTATCACCCTGCGGTCCCTTCAAGACGATACAGTGAGCCACCGTGCTCATCCCAGAACTGTGTGGCCATACCCATAATGAGGTGTCGGAAACGCTTTAAGGATGCTTGTTGATTACCTACTCGACTAATTCAAATCATTTTTCCTCGATCGCCTCAGCTATCCCGGCCGCGAAGGAGACGGACCGTGGTGGTCGAGGTGGTGAATGAGAGAGAGAAAGATGTTTCCGACCGTCGCGACCTTCCCTACGGTCCAGCCGCACCATCTTCACCATCTTCCCGCATACGATGCCATACATCAGCCTCCCTACGACGTGAATGACCCCGCTTATTACTCTCATAATGACCCTTCTGTACCCAATTTTAATTCAATATCTCACTCGCGCCTCCAACTGCCTCATCCCGTGCAACGCCTCGACCCCCGCGACACCACCGGCTCTAATTCGAACACAAACGCCGCCGGGGAACATGCGCTGAGGAGGAAGACCCCCAACGGAACTCTCGCTGCTGGCTATGACGGCACCCCCGGAGACGTTACGATTCAGCCTGCGACGAAGCACATCCTGGTTTCGCCGCTTGAGTCCGGGCACTATCTTCATGCGCAGACAGGGCTGCCAGACAACTGGCAGCCAATATCTCTCGACCAAGCCGCGTCAAAACACATGAATTTCCCACCCATCTTCAAAAACGAAGCCGGTAACCCGATCGCCGCAGGCGAGGTGATTCAGGATGTGAACGGCACCAGCTGGGTCCGTCCCGTCAACTACCCCCCGGGGGCCGACTCGGTACTTAATCAAAGCTTGCCCCTCCATGGGGCCCAGCGCTTTCTTCTGCATAATGGGGCCTATATTCCGACCGTTCTACCTGCAACATTGCAGCAATGTGTTGGCCCGACAGCGTCTGCTGGCACCGGCCCATATGGTCCGTACTGGCCAGACGGCGCTTACATTCCCTACCGCCCCGTAGCATTTCGCGACTCGCGTTTCGGCTCACCTGGTCCAAACGGGCAGCCTCAGCCTCTCTTTGAGATAAACCAGCAGGCCTACAACCAGCCACAGATCCCACTGAACAGTCGCGCGGACTCGGGACTTGCATGGGGACAAAATGCACCTGGAATTTCGCCCCAGGGTCCCCTTATGAAAGCATTTCCTCCACGACACTCGGAGCATTTACCCTTCCATATTCGCGCCAATCGTTCCCTCTCATCCTACCCGAATCCTATAAACAATGAACATACGCCTTGGATTGCTCACTCTTCAACCCACGGATTTAAACCCTCGGGAGTAGCGGTCGCTGCAAACACGGAGTTTAAAGAAAAGATTATGACTTGGGCACACAGTGTCTATGTTGATCTTCTCGCAACAATCCACCAGGCTCGTCGAAACAGCCTATCGAATGGAGGTGCAGATGGTCAAAATCCTCGTTTCCTGAAACCGAGCATCTACCCCAAGCCTCCGCGTCAACCAGGCCTCGATTTCTCACAAAACACCAGCCCTGAACTCCACCGACACAATAGTTACCCATCCAGTCAATATGATGTACAAAGGCAGAAAATGGGTGTTTCGGCGAACTCGCGAATGGCGGATTCCCCAGTGATTGCTCAAGGCCGACGTCCTTCATTGAACCAATTTCACCAAGCGCATCGTGGATCAGACTCTCAGATGTACGATAGTGGGCGCTCTTCAGGCACGTCCGGTATGCGATTCCCCAACAGTCTTCTCAACGACGGGTCTCCAGTCACCAATGCAGCGTCTGCTTTGGAAATGCTATCTCATTTGTGTATGGAAAGCCATTGGGAGTGGACTGATGGGATCCTTCTTGGTGGCTGTCTGGCTTATGGCTTGGGTGATTACAACAAAGCCATGCGTTGGTATTCTCGCATTATCGCACGCGATTCAACGTGAGTATTTGCGTTTCATCAAGCCCCCATCCCCTCCTTTGATACTAACATGACACATGCAGACATGTAGAGGCCATATCTAACCTTGCTGCTACACTCTTGGCCCTGGATAGGCGAGAGGAGGCCTTGCAACATTGGCTTCGTGCCGTGAAGCTACGTCCGAGTTTCTTCGAGGCTGTAGAGCACTTGATAGGTCTTTTGTGCAGCAGTCACCGTGGCAAAGAAGCTGTCAACATAATTGACTTTGTTCAGTCCTCTCTTCGTCATCCAAAGGATGGAGATTGTTTTAAAACGGATGAGCATGCTAGCGAACCTGAGAGCGATGCCGAGAGCAATGTTTCTGATGCTTGCCTGCATGACAAAGTGTCCTTTGATTATGAAGACGACGTGGGACACGCCCCGATCTTGAACCTGAGCTCGCCAGGTGCCACGCCTGTCGGCTTTGCCTCAAGTGGATATGCCATCCCAGGCTCGGATAATGGGAGAATGCTCGCTCTGACCCACGCCAAGGGAAATATGCTCTATGCACTTGGCGATAATGCTGGCGCTGCCACCGCGTTTGAAGATGCTGTCTTGATTGCGGCTGGAAGGAGACGGCACGGTATCCAAAGTCTCATCAAACAGATCTTCGCCGCTTTCTCTCCCGGGTCGAGTAATGGTTACCAACAGCCAGAGTCAAATTCAGGCGAAAGCGTACTCTTGTACCCGGATAGAGCTCTGCAGACTGCTAAGCTCGTGTTCCGGGCTAGCAGTGGTACTCGCCTGGTCTCCAATACGTGGCCGAGGGAATCTCCAGAAATGCTGCCATCTCAACTACCAGCAATTCTCTGCTCTCCCTCGCGAAAATTTATCAGGATGGGATGTCGACTGTTTCGTCCAGTACGCCGAGATCTGCACATGGCGTCCGGGATATACTCGCCCTCTACTACCTCTCGCTCTCCCTGCAGCCTAGTCCGTCCACCGCTAACAACGTTGGGATTCTACTTGCTGGAATTCAGAATAATCCACCTGCGCGAGGACTGATTCGTCCCAATGGCGAGAGTCAACATCCCGAGATTCCTGGCGTCATCCCTGGAAGTGGCATTTCCCTTGCACTGGCGTACTACAACTATGGTTTGCACCTCGACTCTCGCCATGCCCACCTTTACACCAACCTGGGAAGTTTGCTCAAGGACATTGGGCAACTCCAAGCTGCCATTAAGATGTACGAGCAAGCTGTCCAGTGCGACGGCAATTTCGATATCGCACTCGCAAATCTTGCCAATGCTGTCAAGGATGCCGGGCGGGTAAATGATGCGATCTCATACTACAAGCGCGCCGTCAAGGTGAACCCTGACTTCGCAGAAGCCGTGTGTGGACTAGCCAATGCGCTGAACTCAGTTTGCAACTGGGTCGGTCGGGGGGGGTATTGTCCATGGGCAGGGCTTCCATGACAGATGGCATGTGGATGACAAGGGAATGTTGCGAGATGCTCAGAGCAACGACGCCGGTGCCGGCTGGATCAAGCGTGTTGTCGACATTGTCGATCGACAACTTCGGGAAGGCGAATACTGGGGTCGTGGACTGCTGACACCAAGCACGGCTGAGCATTTGTGCGCCCAACTGGCGACGGCTTTGGACTCTGGCCGCTTTGCTTCAAGTCGGCAATCGTCATTGGTCAAGGTTCTCCTGTCGTGGGCGGGGCAGAAATGGGAGGGATCGCGCATTGTCCGACTCATTGAGCGTGCAACCCGATCCATCACATGGCAATGGTACCAGGACCGCTATGTCTACGGCAAAGACTACCCTGCCTCCAAATACCGTCGGCCGCAACTTCCAGCATCACTCACTGCGCCTAACGCGCCGACGGTTTTGCCTTTCCACACTTTCACTTGTCCGCTATCTGCCAAACAAATCCGTCAAATCTCGCAGCGTAATGGTCTCCGAATCTCCTCATCAACCCTTCGGCTGCCATGGCTCCCAGGCACAGTTTACCCTCCCCCGTCACCGCCAAAACCTTTCCTTAAAGTTGGCTATATCTCGTCGGACTTCAACAATCACCCTCTGGCGCATTTGATGCAATCGGTGTTTGGATTGCACAATACCAAGAGAGTGAAGGCATTTTGTTATGCCACTACAGTCAGCGACAAGTCTGTTCACCGCCAGCAGATTGAGAAAGAAGCTCCCGTCTTCCACGATGCGAGTGGATGGTCGGTTGACCGGTTAGTGCGGCAGATTGTTGACGACGGAATTCATATTCTGATCAACTTGAACGGTTACACTCGAGGCGCTCGGAACGAAGTGTTTGCCGCCCGGCCTGCACCCATTCACATGTCGTTCATGGGATTTGCCGGGACTCTTGGCGCCGAGTGGTGCGACTACATTCTGGCGGATCAAATTTCTATCCCACCCGAGACTTTGAGCCCCGGGCAACGTACCACACGCATCGAGGATCGTATTCTCGAGACGGATAATGGTGAAGACCTCGATGATTGGGTCTATGGGGAGAAGATTGTCTATACTCGTGATACCTTCTTCTGCTGTGATCACCGACAGAGTGCCCCGGACGCAGGAGAACGAATGCTCTCTTGGGATGAGGAGCAGACCCGACGATGGAAAATGCGAAAAGAGTTATTCCCGAAGCTCAGCGATGATACCATCATTCTCGGCAATTTCAATCAGCTGTACAAGGTGAGATTCGACGATCTACTGTTCACGTTCAGCTGCTAACAAGCCCCACCAGATTGAACCTACGACATTTCGAACGTGGTTGCGCATTTTGGCGCGAATCCCCAACGCCGTTCTTTGGCTGCTCCGGTTCCCTGAGACCGGCGAGAAGAATCTTCGGGATATTGCCAAGGCGTGGGCTGGCGACGAAACGGCTTCGCGGATCATCTTCACCGATGTAGCTCCAAAGAACACGCACATTGCGCGAGCGAAAGTTTTGGATTTATTCCTCGATACTCCCGAGTGCAATGCACACACGACAGCGACCGACGTCCTTTGGAGTGGAACGCCGTTGCTGACCCTGCCACGATACAAATACAAGATGTGTTCCCGTATGGCGAGCAGCATCCTGAGCAGCGCGCTGCCCAAACCGAAGCCGGGCAACAAGCGCGCAAGGAGCTGATTGCTTCGTCGGACGAGGACTACGAGAACAAAGCCATCCGACTTTGCATTGATCTACAGTACATACCGGGCGGCGAGGGCCGATCGCACGGCCGCCTGGCAGATATGCGACAGATGCTGTTTACGCAGCGACACAGCAATAAGCTGTTCGACACGGCGCGTTGGGTGCGTGACCTAGAAGACGCGTACGAAGCGGTGTGGGCGCAATGGGTGAAGGGCGAAGAAGGCGATATCTGGTTATGATCTGCACAGCGAACTATACCCCTTGAGCGATCTTTTGTGTTTACTATGGTTTTTCGTCTAGGTCATGACGGATTTGGGGGTTTGGAAATTTGGACTTTGGCGTTGGATATGATGTATACGAAAGGAAATCATGGGAAGCGCAGGGAAAAATTGATTCTCTCCTCGATATAGATTGGGTCTCTCCGTTGTTCCGTCGGTCTTAAGAGAGCCCGGAAATCAATTTACTTTTCATTGACGAATGTCTGTATATTCACACTTTCGCTTGGTAGTTGCGCATGTGAAAACGACCGGGCCCTTTGACCTCTGCCCGATATCAATCTCTGGCAATGTGCACACGGCCATCACCAGCCCTAGGAAGCCTGCTAGAGTACACACCTGCCTTCCTCGGCGTAGTTCCAGCGGGGTCGAACCTCCGATTGAATCTCAAAGGTTCGTGCCTCTCAATTTCTTCGACTTCAGCCGATCACTGAATTTCGTATCAGGCCATGCCCCCCCAGTATTGACTCCTTCCGGAGAATGAGATCCAATACGACTTGTACACTTACCTAAGTCGGCATAGTATACGTACCTGGTTGACTTTATAGAAAGCGGAAAGTAGATCGACAAGAGATCGCATTGCTCAAATCTGCGACCATGAGCCAGGTGCACGAATCCATGAGACTCTCAGCACACTATGCAGTGTATTCCTGCCGACCGGCTCAACGCTCCCTATTACTGACGTAAACATCTCCGCCTGTAAGGTATCAGCACTTGATCCAAAATAGGTCACAGAGTGCGACTCGATATCCCCAAAGAAGCAGGTGATGGAGGGATTCATCATCTAGAACCTTTTGATCGAAAGCATGGAAGACTCAAAAATGAAGCTGGCGGAGCACATATCAGCGCCACGCTCTCCAGAAACTCAACTTCTCCTGTTATAGTCTTCGGGTCCGCTTGATAAGGCTCACCGGTCTCCTAGTCAGTGTTTCCACTCGCGGGTCTGGTTTACTGACTCGTCATCGAAGCCGTGAAACTGGATGGTTCCATTCTCCTACGCTTAATGTCGGAGCTTTTAACCCCCCCCCCCCCCCTTGACGTTCTTAAATTTGGTGTCATTCACAGTACACACAGACCTAAGTGGACACCTAGGGCGCCAGTATGAAGCCTCCAGTGTACGGTACGCACCAGCCAGGGCACACGCCCGCCGGTGGTCTATTCTTTACGATTAATTCCAAATATCCCATTTCACACTGTCTCAAGGGTCTCTGTGCGCCACGGGGAATCCTCATCGCTCAGCTATCGAGTCAGATAGCTTATGAATCTGTGATTTGCCGTGGGTCCCTCTGGAGTGTCTTTGATCGTCTAGTGTCTTGACCCCTCCTATAGTGCCCTTATCGAGGCGCCATGGATCAGATCTACCGATCGGATCGGGAAGCCTTAAATTAAGAAAAACAGAAAAAAAAAAAAACCAATTTCTCGTCGTGGATTCCGACAGGCCGGTACCTCGTTTCTGCTAGACTTGTTTGGGTATAACGTGCCGATAGCACCGAGATCCTCCGTAGACCAATCAACGGGGGGGGGTTTCCCTGTATTTGAAATCTCACAGTGGCAATGTCAGTGCTAGTGCCAGTGCCACCTGGCTTGTGCTGAATCTTAGTTTCTTCTCTTAAATGTCAATTGTAGAAAAAAAAAAAGGGGGCGCTCTGAGATACAAATACACCAATATAACGGTCTCAGGTCGTGGCCAGATTCTTGTTTTGGAGAGAGAGAGAATATAGAATAGTGGTCTAGTGGTACACGCTACCCTACTTTTACTCACCCTCTCAAAGCCATAGCCAAGGCTACGGTAAGGCTAATGCCGAGCCCTAGTTACGCTGCATGTGACAGAAAGCAAGAAACCCAGGAACTACGACGTATCGAGTGTGAGAAAAGAAAAACTGACCCGCGACCAAGTTAACTGCGTCGCCAGTGTCGATCTTTCGATCCGGTTACAGAAGGGGGAGATCCGATGCTTTGGGACATAACGGGCGAAAATTGAACCCCGTGTATTGTCACCGCTTACGCCCATCTCTGTTTTTCCCCCCCCCTCTCCATGCTTCCCCGTTGCACCCAATCTCAGCCAAAGATCGGGTCACCCCCTGATCCAGTCATGGATGACCCATGGATCCAGCCCCTTAACGGCCCCCGTGTGTGTGTGTGTGTGGATGTGTGTGTGTGTGTGTGTGGATGTGTGTGTGTGTGTGTGTGGATGTGTGGATGTGTTGGCTACATTACATATTACTTACCTGGGTGAAATTGCTTACCCAGATCGTTAGAAGCCCTGTCCTGATCCTGAACCTGATCTTCCGTCCTGGTCTTGGTTCTGGTTCTGGTTCTGGTGACGCCGACGCTAGTAGACGGTCGAACTATGACCAACTTTGGACTTCTTGGTCTGCGCACCCGTCTTGAAGTCTTTTTCTTATTTTCGTTGAGTTTCTGTCTCGTCTACCGGAGTGGACCCATAATAATCTTATATTTTTTGCGTCCCGTTTCAACGGCATCGAGTGTTTGATCTTTTGCCGTGCTACATGATAGATTACCGGACAATTACCATAACATTCCAAATACTCACTTCCCGCTCTGGTTGCGATCTGCTGAGACAGTCCTGTTCCAGGATCATGATTCGATCAGACGGTCATTTCATATCACGTCGACACAATAGACACAATGGACACTATGGGCACTTATCGACACTATTGAAGTTTTTGTATTTGGTTGGGCTGAAGGTTGGCGTAGCTGAGTCCAAAGAGGTACATGCAGCGTGCATGGTGCAAAAACCCCCAAGCCACCAGAGTGGGTAAAATCAAGGAGGAAAAAAAAAAACAGGGAAGATCCAAGTAAAATCAGAAGAAAAGAGATCTCAATACAACAGATAAAATTTTATCATTATATTGTATTCATGATAAAAGGAAACGGAAAAGCACTCTCGATCGCAGCCACAGTGGAGATCTGAACTGAAGGTAACGAGGGAACAAGATAAAAAAACAAAGGCACAAAAGGCACATCGGCAACGGGAATTCAAAGTCCGATGCAGCCCCGCCGTTCATTCCGTCAGCGAGTTCCTCGATCCAGATCACAATTGGCCCGCAGGTCTTCGCGCGAGCACGAAACGGGGTTCACGCCGGCTTCTGACTCGTCAGGTCGTGAGGCGAGGGCGATCGCACTAAAGTGGTTGGTGGCGCCCGTTGCAGCTTGGGGGGCCCTGATGCAGCAACGGACGAACCTCGTTTAAACTTTGGCGCCTCGTCTTCGTCACGGTGCAGCCGAGGGTGCGATTTTGGGCAGCGTGCGTCGTGGGTGGGGATTTTTTTTTTTGGTCCTTGCGTAGGCCTCGTGAGTCGAGGGATCTGAGATGAGGATGTGCGATGGGCGATGGGCGATGGACGATGGGGACCTTTTGTGGTTCCCCCGGCCGGGAGGGGTGGTTTGGTAGTAGTGTAGTATCGTAGTATTGTAGTATTGTACTATTGTAGGATCTAGTACGGGTACTATGAGAGTTATTCTACAGTGCTGTAGAGTCGAGTATACTTGTAGCCAAGTCGGTAGTCTCGAGTACCGTCCTATTAGGGGTCCGGTCTTGTCTTTGTGTGCTGCTGTAGAATGTAGCACTGCACTTCTCAGACGGTACGATCCTAGACTTCCCTCTTATGCGAGTCTCATTCGCACTACTCTAGGCTACTTTATTCATAAAAAAAAAGAAGAGTCAAGTCGAAATAATGGATTCTGACAAGGGTATTATGCGATCCAAAAAGAAACATCCAGGCGGACCCGCCAGTCTCATCAAAACGCCCGGAAATAATGAGCCAAATTATATAGACCCCGCTTGACCGAAATAAACAGAGGGGAAGAGAAGAGAAAAAAAAACACCCATATTTTGAGTTCCGAGTCATGATAATACACATTAGAGTACAAAGGAGAGTGGACCAGAGAGGGCAGAGAGCGAGCGTGGGGGGAAGAGATGGAGAGGGTGTGGGTGAAGCACATGTACAAACGGCCAGGACGCGAATCGTATCGGCCCTAGGGCGGGGGCGGGAGGGGGAATAATTCATGGAACAAAACGAAAATCGTAAACATCATCACAAACGCCTTCGCTCTTGTTTTAATTGAGCAGGTTGTTGACTCCCATCCGCGTATCGCGGGGGGTTTCGGGTCTGGACCAGGTCTTGGGCAGATCGGGAGGCTGGTGCCAGGAGGCGAGCGTAGACTGGTGCTCCATCCATCGCCGCTTAGAGGCGATCTCGGAGAGGGATTCGAGCGAACGACCCGGGTAGCTGGGTGAATCCTCGACTACCTGTACCGAGGTGCTTGGGCGTCGGGCGTCGTAGTGGGAGACAACCGGCAACGGAAGCATCTGGGGGGAAGGGAGGGTGCGGGGAGAGGAAGAACAGACGGAGTTCTGGTCCGAGACCATGGAGGGAGGTTCGATCGAAGTGGCATGGGATACCTCTGAAAAGGCCGGGGACGTCAAGGGGGTTTCAATGGGGCGGTTGATCGAGGGCAGCGTATAAATCGGAGAGAGTTGACGGGTGGTGGAAACGGACTCGCGGCGGGAGAAGATCTCGGACTCGACGGGCGAGTCCGCCCAAGACGAGTCGAGAAGCGTGGCCGAGAGGGGCTCACGACAGAGGCGCGGGCATAAGGTGCTTCGATGCGGCCGCTGAAGGTGCGCGAGGCGGTGGGTGTGGACAGACCACGGCGTTTGCGGTTCATGCTGCCGTTCCACCAGTTCTTGACGGCGTTGTCACTGCGGTTCCCCAGCCGGCGAGCAATCTCCGCCCAGCGCTTGCCCATCTCATTGACCATGCGTTCGATCATCAGCCCCTCGTCGGAAGAGATAGGCTCCCGGTTGAGCGATGGTTTCAGGTTTTGGTGGAAGCGTTCCCGACATTGCTTGGGCGACCGGTAGGCCATGTGCTGGGAGATGCGAACCCAGTTGTTGGGGCCTTGTTCACGAACGAGTTGCAGAAGAAGCTGGTCTTCTTCGGGGACCCAAGGTCCACGACGGTGAGCGGGAGCCATGTGGAAGTGGTAGAAGTTATAGGTGGATGGTTGGATCGGGTGAAATGGTGAAGTAAGGACAAGGGAACAGCCACCAAGAGCAGCAGGCGATAATTATATCTGCAACCCAGGGGGACGGGTCCAAGGAAAAATGGCCAGCTCCACTCGCACACGGTATAGGAAGAAGATCACGATCCAAGATCTCGGAGCTGACAGTTCGGAACAATACACGTATTGACGTATGTGTAATTATTTACTGGTACGCTCCACCATGTTCCCATGGCTCACAGGAGATCATAATAAACATCGGACCTCTCTCGCCGGTCTCGCTCCACAAAACATTTGTGGGAAAAAAAATATAAAATAATAAAAAATCTAAATATATTCTGCCGATTCACTTATAGTGTTTCCCACCCCCCTGGGTTTTCTATGTTCTGACCATATCTTAGGAACAAAGACAAAAATGCTCCGGGGATCGTCAGTACGACCCGGGAATCCGGGCTGAGGAATACCGTAAAGATCGGAGGGATCGACCCTGAGCCCCGTTGTTGGAATTCCAAATCACTGCCCGCCGTAAAGAAAGCTATTTTTTAAAATCGTCCGAGCGTAAAAGAAAATCGATTTAAACCCCAAACGGGACTGTACGGTTCACCACACTAGTCACCTCAGATTTTAGTAATCTTCAGTGCAGACCCAAGGCGTCGGTAACGCGAAGAGCAAAGGAGGTCCTGGAAATCGAGTTTGTTCAGGGTATCCTGGTACTAAGAGGAGTCTCGCTTCGTGTACCCTTTCTTTCTTTATTCTTTTTTTCCAACGTCATTTGAACCGTGACTCTTTACGAGATGTAACAGACTCCCCTGCTTCTCGCCCCGAGTATACCCAGAGGGAGAGACTGAGTATACGCGTATGCGAGTGGCCCCCCCCCCCACCCCCTGACCCTATACCCAAAGAGCCAGAGTCAGAGCCAGAGCCAGAGCCACAGCCAGGGGCAGATCTGGCTTCCGAGCCTGACAAGCGAGCGGTTAGGAGGGTCGTTGCCCCAGTCCTTTCTCAGCCAGCCCATGCACGACACTCACGTCCGATCGTGTTCGATCCACGCACCATCCGCCTAACTCGCCTCGTCATTGGTTCCATCGGCGGTTTCCAGACCTCCCACGGCAACCCACCGTGGATCCCGAGCTCGGATCGTAGTGACAAATTCCCTACACTGAAGGACAATTTGAAAATATGGGGAAATTCCCTGACTCAACGGCACCTCCGTCAGGAGCTGAGAATGACATGGGCCCCTCCGAGCAAGTCCGACAGGAATGTGGATCGAGCGTTGTACTCCTTTTTTGACCTTTTTCCATTTTCTCTTTTTCCCTTTTTGCCCTCTTTTCTGTCTCTTTATTTTCAAAAAAACTATTTTTTCTTCTGGGAATGTTTGAGATGGGACGTTGTGCCTTGCAGACTGTCTCTGAGATCCAATCATCCCGTCGTCACCGTGATATCCTCCCGTCTTCCCCTTTGACAGGATCCGCGTCTCCTCGACCTGCAGAATCTTGCCTTTGCTTATGCAAAAAAAAAAAGAAAAGAAAAAAACGAAAAAAGAAAGTTAGGAAAAAAAAAAAAACCTGCTCAAGAAACATACAACAAATAAAAGCAAAGAAACAGAGGACGAATAGAACAGACAAAGAAAAAAAAAGACGACCGTGAAAACGAAATGCATGGACCACCTGCCACCTGTCACTATAGCCCATGGGCGATCCCCGTGACGTGGATGTATTGACTGCAGGCCGATCTGATCGTCTCTCGGCTGCGCGCAATGGGCCCCCCTGGTAACCAATCTATTTCCCCTCCCCTTCATCCCACTATTCCCACCCTAACGCCCTGGTGTACCGGACTTGGGATACCTCGATACCTCACCTTCGATCGGGGCTAAGAGAGATCGCCGTTCCGTGAGATTACCATTTTGAGAGACTCGCATCTGGTCCATTGGTTTACCCCTCCTCGTCCTCCCCTGTTCCCTCCACTTGGGTGAAAACCGTTGAGCGATGTTGTCGCAAGCCACACCTACTTTTTTCTTTTTCTGACCCGGAGGTGTGTGTTTTACATCCCTCCATCCCCCCCCTCCCTCCCAAACCCACTTTTCGCACCCCCCTATTCCTTCCACCCCACCGTAACGAACCTCTTAACCTTTGTCCCCACGCGTCATTGGCCCCAGTATTTGTCACTCTGGATCCGGTTACTGGTACAGGAAAGGATGCACGGGTAGAGACAGATTCTGTTGGCAACACGATGCTTCATTAATTCCAGACGGGATGCTCCAGTCTCTGTCTCAATTCCATTTCCAGTTCCAGTCCCAGTTCTAGCTCCCGCGCTCTCGGAATAGATTAAGGGGAAGTTTGAAGCAGATATTATTAGCCTTCCACCGGGAGAAGGTGTAGCGCGTATATACGGTGGAGCTGAGCCTGTGCTTCAATTCCAAATCTGAAATTCTATGGCAGGTTCCAAAGTTCCGTTGCAAGTGCAAGGTACAAGTTAAAATCGAGTCATGCAAACTTCTTTAAAAATCGAAGTTCAGGGGGGGAGAAGATTTCCTAAATGACGAATTACCCATGTGGTCAGGATCAAGAACGTGTGGACCGATCGGATTTCCATACCTCTGGGAAGGAAAAAAGCCGTTGTCAACAGGATGAACCCGACCTCCTGGGATGCAACATCGACTAGGGTATTCCCGAGATGTGACAGGTCATGGCTTCCCTCCGCCAATCACTATGCCAGAAGGTATTTGAGATATATCCCTGTCGTAATGCAGGGATCAACGCTGATCGCGCCCGTGCACGTTGAGACTGGAATGTGGTGGTTTCTCTTTTCCCTTTCTTCCCCCCCCTGGACCCTCAACGGGTGGTAAGAAGAACAATCAAATACGCTAGATGCACTATATCCCGTGTGACGGGAGGCGTTTCGCTCTGAAACGATCAAAGAATCAACAGGGGCGGGGCCAAAAATAAATTCCTGTACAGTAAAACAAAGGTGGAGCGAACGGCCTCGCAGCCGTTTCCCGACTGTCGGGTTCGCCGCTACGTGGCGCGGGCCTACTGTATGCGGGTGTCACGTGGTTTGACTGGAAACCCCCCCCCGGGGGGGGGGGTGTGATTGTGTTCGAACCCGTAAGCAGAGAGAGATCTGGAGAGGGGTGATTCGGAAAACCCCTGCAAGTCCTACGAATATATTGACAATAGCAAGCGATCGTAACTAGCATTGAGTCTAGGCATACAAACACTGGTAGTTTGCCCAGTTTTGTGGATGTTGATTGGCCGATCATCGGGGTTTAGATGTCGGGGACCATCACGTTATGATGGTGCCCGAGGCGGTGGGAAACCGTCTTGACGCACCACGCTCCTTTTGGTCGATTCGGGCCCTGAAACTTCAGGCATGATTACGAGCCTGACCGATCCGTTCTTGACTTGTTTTTGTTCTGCTGCGCCTGTACCTAGGCATACCATACCGGGGTCTGGCCAAGTGACGTCGACCAGGACTGGAAGGGGACATAGTTCCCGAAAAAGCGGGCAGCAGCTTCTGGACTCGAGAGAACGGGCCTTTGCCCCACCGATACCTGGCCTTGGCTGGGGATGCGTTTGACAGCGGTCCCACGAACCAGTTCGCTTCTTCCCCCCCCTATATCCATTCCTGTAGTGTCCGGACAATAGAACCAAAGTCAAAAAGCCACACGGTCAAAGGAAACCAAGAAAGGGGGAGGCACAAACCAGGTTCTATCGGACTACACACCTAAACGGACTTGCTATCAGGCGGTCGCTAAGCTGCCACAACGCCCAAACCGCCCCGAGACTATTTGGGTTTGACACGCCCATTCTCCCATTCTGGGAATTCAAGTGTCAATCGATGGGAATGCCGCTGCTGCGTCAACCAACCACAACTGCTTCCCACTCCCGGCCCAACCCTATCTACCCGGTTCAAAACTCAATCGGACTTTGTCCACGAACTTCTCAAGGTCCTCAACATCTGACTGGGGAAAAAGGTCTGTACCGTAATCGTACTTTTCAATCCTGAACCGGCGACCGTTGGGCCATCTAAGTCCGAACTTTGGACCAAGTCACTTGTCAGCCGTCACTGGTAACATTTCTTGATTTCTATCCCTCGGTCCCTGGTCCCTTTGTCCTTGTGCCCTGTTCCTTGTACCGTATTCTCGGTGCCACCTACCCTTGGCCCCTAGGGCCCCGGTTCAATACAGTGGAGTTGGGGCCGGCTTACGCCATAGCCATGGCCATTCTAGCCGGGACATTTCAAACACTGATCCATGGTGTCGGTCTCCTTCAGCCCCGTCCTCTCACAGATGCCGCGTGAGAGGAAGGGAGGCCGGGGTGGGCCCGTTTGAGCCGCAGTCAGGGGGGAGGGGCCAAGCTACCCGTTCTGATTTGTTATTCGCATTTGCTGAACTTGGACCTTTGCCGTACCACTTCGACCCGTTTGGGTGTTTCAGGGCGAGCTCCGTCCGTGAACTGAAATCGTGGGCGTTAGTCTGGGTCCGGTCTCTGGTTTCTGGTGTTTTTTTTTTTTTTAAACCGTTTACGATGTTTCGTTGAAGGTTTCCTGTCTCGGGGGTTCGCCGCCTCGTGAGATTCCTTCGTGAAGCGCTCCTAGCTAGGTCCGAATGGGACCACGCCCATGCTCGGCTTTCTCCACATTAAACGCTATGATGCAATTACTCGGACAAGCCGAGCTTGTCCCCTTTGGAAGGAATCGGGACTACACGTGACTAGCGCGTGTTAGGTGTGGGGGGCCCGTCTACTGTAGGGCATGAGCTGTTTTAAGGCGCAAAGTTTGAGAACCTTGAAAACCTTGGGAAAAATACGGAACCTGGGAACCTTTGACCGACAGTAGAAGTAAGCAAGACTCCTGGTCGTTCTCGATCGATAAAAGCAATCTGCGTCGGTATTTGCTTCCTAAACCCCTCAACCCTGTTCGTGTGGCCCCGGCTCGTGTTCGCCCTTCTCTGTGAAACCACGGGAATATATTGTCTCCTAGGATTCAGAAGGTCTAGAGCGAACACATGGTACACGGGTACACGATACATATGCGGACACCTGAATAGAGCCAGAAAAACGGCGGGAAAACTCAAAAACCAGCTCGAGAACCTGGCAGCAAGCCTCATGCGCTCCCCACTGGGTTCTCGATCGATCCGTACCACTATAGCCGGTGGCGTCCACCATAGTACGCCACACCAGTGAGATCGCAGCACAAACGAATGGCCCCCTTGCTGCCGTCCACTCACGGGCACTTCGTGGCGAAACTGCCACAATACAGCACACATGGGGGAAGACGAGATGATTTACCGAGGGTAACTCGTGGAGTGAGACCGGATGTAAGGGTTGGAATAGGAAGGTTGGAAGATCAGACGATCAAGGCGATCAGAAGATCAGAAGATCAGCGGATGTGGATATGCAAGGTTGGCCTCGATTTAGCTTTTCATGGCTGGACGTTATTGCTTTTCTTTACGGCTTCATGCACCCTAACACTTTTTGCCTTCCCAAGTGGTCCACGGTTGCTGGATTGTGCATACAACACCTACCTTTACCATATTATCTTCTTTGTTGTTTTCGATTCTAGTTTTTTGTCTTCGGATGTTTTTCTTTTTCCGTGTTTCTTTCTTGTTTTTGATTTTCCTTTTGAATTCTACTCATACAATGCAGTTATTGAAAGGTTTGTGCCAGTCCCAACTCCGTGGGTAGCACCATGTGGCCTGCACCTGGGAACCTGCAGCGTGGACGGGCAACGGGTTTCCGCATGTCTCAGGCACCTTTCAGATGCAGTGTTCACCTCCGTGCTCACGGCTCATCACTCACTGCTCGCCTGTCTCCCTCTGTTTGCTGATCTACCAGGGGGGCCTGGACTCGATGCTTCTTCTCGGTCCTTGGAGACGCTGGAACACCGTGTCTCAGCTCGGGTATGTGCTCTGATTTCATCATCTGGCGGTCTCGGGTCACACGGCTGGACGGTGTCTCATAGGGTCAGTGCACCATATGGTTCCTGTATGTCTCGTTGCCGATACGGCACTTGCTGCGTAGACTTTCCAGTCTGAGCTGAGCTGCATGGATTCAAACTCTCGTATGGACTAGTTGTATGGGAAGTCCTCGTACGGCCTTGAATTCGTATGAGGTCTGACAGAGACTTGAAATTAGAATCCCAGAGGCAAAGCCCGAATGCAGCAAAATTAAACTAAATTATCCTGCCCCGTTTGGAGCGGCAAGCTGACTCGCCCTGCTATCGAGATCGAGACATCATCTACGATTAATGGCCCACACGGTAGAAGACGGGGAGGGTTTCAATCGGACAGTCCACCTGAACTTCCCTGCCGCCCTGATAGATCATCGGAACACCCTCACAGATCGCGCTCAACTTACCCCAGAGTGTCCAATATGCACCTGCGGGAAGATAGACGGTGACAGTGCGCTGTCCAGGCTCCATGACTGGCACAACCATATATCGAGATCCAAACATGTACTGCGTTTCAACCTCCCAAGCCCGTGGATCCTGAGGGAACTCATAGAATAAAGTACGCATCACTGGGGTTCCCTTCTCGTGAGCCTGTTTCATCAAACTTCGAGCATACTCCCGCAGCTCCTCTCGCACCCCAATGAACTTCTTACAGATTTCGTATACCTCCGGCCCGTACGACCAAACCTCGTTATCTGCTCCACTGGCAGTCGGCTGCCCTTCAGGCTTGGGCTCACGGTCTCCGTGAAGACGCATCACCGGACAAAACGTACCCCATTGGAACCAGCGGGTGAACAACTCTCGAAATGCTGGGTCATTAGGATCACCACCATGGAATCCACCGATATCCGTCGTCCACCAAGGAATCCCAGCGAGCCCCATGTTCAAGCCTGCTGCGAGCTGGTTCCGGAATGAACCCCAGCTCGATGCGATGTCTCCACTCCATACTAATGCGCCATACCTCTGCGATCCGGCCCATGCACATCGAAGGAGATTGATTATGTCCGTCTGACCCTCTGCCTGCATTCCTTCGTAGAAACCGCGAGCATACTCTTTCGGGAAAATATTGCCAATCTGCATATTACTTCCTGCATGGTAGCGGTAGATGTCAAAGTCATAGATAGAGTACTCGGGCTCAGCTTCGTCTAGCCAGAAGACCTTGATTCCGAGATCATAGTAGTTCTTTTTGGCTTGGCTCCAGACAAACTCGCGGGCTTCGGGATTCGTAGCGTCAAAGTGCGTAATATCATTGTTGCACTGCATTGCAATACGCATTCCACGGTCGTGCCGTATAAGTAGCCCACGCTCTAGCATCTCGGAATAGTTCTCAGAGGCAGTTTCCACGGTCGGCCAAATAGAAACCATGAGCTCGATCTTGAGCTCCTTTAGTTCTTTCATCATACCGGCTACAGTGTAAACGTCAGTATTGAAGCCAGGTGATCGAAAGTACTTGTACTCACCGGGATCCGGCCAAAATTCCGGATCGAAGCTCCATTCCCCTTGGTGCTTCCAGTGGAAGAAGTCAATCACAATGAGATCGAGAGGAATTTCCCGACGCCGGTACTCTCGAGCTACATTGAGTAATTGTTCCTGGTTCCAATATCGCAGCTTGCACTGCCAGAAACCGAGACCGTATTCCGGCATCATGGGAACGTATCCAGTTACACCTGCATAGGCTTCTTCAATCGCAGCCGGCGTATCGCCCGCGACGACCCAGTAATCCAGTGCTCGGGTGGAATGTGCCTCGAAACTCATTACATTCCGGCCCAGTATCGCTCGGCCAATGGCAGGATTGTTCCAGAGAAATCCATACCCGCGAGACGAGACGGCGAACGGCACACTCGCCTGGGAGTTACGCTGCGCCAGCTCGAGATCCGTACCTTTCAAATTCAGATACGGCTGCTGGTACTGACCCATCCCGAAGATCTTCTCATTCGGGTCCAAAGACTCGAAGCGCATGGTGAGATGATAATCCCCGCCGAGAATGGGCCTGAGCTCGCGCGCTTCGATTTCCAATGCACTGCATTTAGGATCGCGCGGGTCTCGTCGGTGCCGGGCATACTCTTCGAGGAGCTTAGTCCCGTTCGAATCGTAGATAATGACCTTGCCTAGTGGTGAAACAGTCGCTTTGATCTTTCCATTCGTGATACTTGCTTCTCCTCCCGTAGGGACATCTATGATGGGACGACGAGGACTGCTGGGTTTGGATAGAAGAGCCCAGTCCTCTGTTGGCATGGATGCGAGCTTCGTAGCTCGCACACGCAAGGCATTATCGCCCCAGGGTTGGATCCAGAGGAGATGGTCATCGAAGCGAAATACAAGCTTATCTTCTTCCGAAAAGATCATTTTGGTTGTCAATATGTTTTGCTCGGTTGAGAAGTTCGTTATGAGGGGGTTCCAAGGAGGGGTTGCCTCTTGACGCCTAAACGCCTAGCCTAAACGTCAAGGTGGAAAGTTCAGCCCCATGCACTTATACGACAGGGATTCGCTTTTCTCCTTGGTGGGAATAATAGCTTGATATCCATTGAATTAGTAAGTCCTTTTAGTGGAGAATTAAGGTGAGGGTCCAACAGTCGAGACTTGACGTGCGGGGTTGGCCTGGATTGACTTGCATCACACCTGTCATTCAACGCGTCTTCTCTTCGTCATATCCTCACTGCTGAGGTGATTAGGCACGAGGATACCGTATAGTAAATGCGGACGCCCGGGGCAGACTTCTTTAAAGGTACGTCTGACATTGGGTGGCATGCCGTCATGTTCCCTCCTACCTTTCCACTATTAATAGCTAGCGCGGTCCGTTCGGTATATGCTGTGAGGCCTAAGACAGAGCCTACAGCAGTCCTCAGGTTCAATACAATGAATGTAAGGCTCGCAATCATTAGTATTGATGAAATGTTGGGTAGTAGGTGCGATGTTCGCTCGACGAAAAGTTTACATTCTGATCGAAGTTGTATGGCCTAATCAATCAACCTGTACAGTGACAAACGTGCCCAACGGAGCGCAAGTCTTTTAAGATCCATGACTTAGCTCTCGGCATGGTATATGAATTTTTCTGCGGATCTCCCTGATCTAGCTACGTAGGGGAACTGAGACGATGCAATGAATAATATTAAACATGATTCAGAGATTGAGAGTAACCCTTTTTCCACAAGAATAAGAGGTCTTGGAGAAGAGACTTCTAAAAATTGTAGACCAAAGTAAGATCTCTCGAGCCTTGAGTCTGTCTGGCTCTCTCTCTCTCTCCATGAAGTGTGTTTCAAGAGTTCCTGGCGAAGATGCAGTGAAACATATGTCATGAACCAATATATATATACGCACCGAGTGGCCATACATATGTAAATAGCCAACAAATAAGTTCTCACATGAAAAAAAAACATGAACATGAACATTTGCAAGCCACACAATTTGGCCAATTTCCAATGTAGCTACTAGGACGTTCAAACCATAGCAAAAGATAATAGCGGGCAAGTCAATGCTGCCAGGTCCCCCCACACGCTAAACCTGAATAGGCATGACGCAAGAAGCTCGCGAGGCGCTTTTCGGCCTCCAACGCTGAACATCTCCCCTCTCACTTCGCTGAGCCATCACCCTCCATTCTTCCGACTATCTCTAGCCACACCATGGCAGCTACAGCTGTATCCACAGGCGATCAATACACTGTTGCCGACGCTTCAATGGACATTGACATGGATCTTGACCTGGGCCCGGAGCCCGAGCCCGAACCCGAGGCTGAACCCATCCAGACCGTGAGCGCCCCGGCATGATTCGACTGCGTTCATGTTCGGCAAAGCGAAAATGTACCAATTTACTGACTCCGGTAGGATGCGATCACCCAAGAACCAGCCATTGACCCGCTCACCGAGGAGGCGTTATACGAAAAAGTCCACGTTCGTGGCGTCGACGAATTATTGACCGATGATATTAAGCAATTCGCCAGCAGTCACTTTGCGACAGAGACTCCATCGCGTGTTGAATGGATCGACGATACCTCTGCCAACTTGATCTACTCCTCTCCCGACATCGGTCTCCAGGCGTTGGCAGCCCTCACACAGGTCACAGAGGAGGAAGACGCCTCAGCCCTGCCACCTTTACGCTTACGGTCGGCCAAGCTCCTCGCATCTCATCCGGAGTCCGTTCTACTCGTACGATCCGCCGTTAAGTCCGACCGCAAACAAGCGCGTGCATATGAAAAGAGTCGTTTCTACCTGATGCACCCTGAGCACGATCCCCGCGAGCGCCTACGTGATGAACTCTCACACCGAAGACGAGATGATGACGAGGAAGGCTATCGACGCCGCCGATTTGATGATCGCGAACTGCGCCGGCGCAAGGACCGCGACCAGGATCAGTTTGGTGCCAATATGTACGACGATCAACCGGCGAGCCACTCCGACTCGGAACGTGGCCGTGGGAGTCGGAGGCGTCGTGGCCAACAGGACTTATTCCCCGATGATGATCGTGCTTCTGGACGGCTTCGCAACCGTAGTGCTTCTCCAGGTCGGGACACTCTTGATGAAGCAGAACGTGTCGATCGATCGAACGATACTCGCAGGCGATTCCGCGAGCGATCTCCGCAGCTTGACCGTCGGAACAAAGGCAAGGAGCTCTTTGCAGGAAGTGGGGACTCTAGTGGACGAGAATTATTCCCCAACAAGCCAACCTCCAGCTACATTAAAAAGGAGCTTTTCCCTAGCAAAGCAAGCAACCACCGTCGATCGGACGCATTCGATGCTTCAGAAGACGCAACAGATCTTGGACGAAGGATCACAGTTCCTGGAAACCGTGGGGTTGAGCTTTTCCCCGACTCCAGCTCCCGTAATGAAGAAGACCAAGGCTTTGCGATTCGAGGCGCATCGCACGGCATGTCAATCAAAGGCCGGGGCGCTTCCGTCCGTGAGCTGTTCCCGGACAAGTTCAACCAAAATAAAAATGCCGGAAAGGAGTTATTCGATGAAACGCTGGAAGGGCGTGGTGGGCGCCGACGGAGAGCGGAGGACATGTTCAGCTGAGATTGAACATGCAACAAATGGAGACTGGGCGTTTTTCAATGGCTTCATAGATCCTGGATAGCGTGGTTGAACATGGCGTTATGTAAATGGGGCTTGGAGAAGGGGATTTGAACAAAAAATCGCATCTCCACTGATTTGAGAGTCATAACATTTCACATTAATATAATGAATACATTCTGAGCTACCAAATTATTCTTGCAGCCATCATTAAAACGCATAGAGGTATCAATTCATCTGAATGAGACCCCGAAATGCAACTGACTCCAGAAGACATGTGTCAAAGTTGCTGGAAGTGATTTGTTTCCTCAGCGCGCGATCAGTATCGGGGCTAGGCGAGTCGGAAAACTGCGACCGCGACCCAACTCCACCCAGAGCTTCCTATAACTAATTCATTGTCGCTGTCAGAAACCATGGCATCTTCCACAACAATAGATGCGCTGACAAGTGCATTGGTTGCTCGCTTCCTACGGGCGAACAACTACTCCGAATCTCTTCAAGCTTTCATCCGCGAGGCGAGTCTGCCTGTAGACGCGGGCAAGCATCGGGTGACGATACCAACCACTGGACCATCCAGAGCTTACTGGAGGAGAAAAAGGCATTTGACCATACAGCCAACTTTGAAAGATATGGCCAAGGGAATAAGAAGACAGAAGCATGGAGTGTACCCGGTGAGTTGGCTGCCAAAACAGTGTCTTGTGTTGAATATTCAACCTTTTCACCGGTCTGAACAACAACATTGTGTTTTTCGGCACTGACGAGCATCTCAGCACCATCAAAAGCTACGATTCTGGACACCCCGACATCTTCAAATCTTCTTGCCGCATCAGTCGACTTGTGGCAGGTGCCCGAGAATGACATAGAAGCGGCCACCGCCGCGCCTGTGATCATTGCTACAGGTGCTGATAGACAGGTTCACTTGTCTAAGACTTCGGAGAGCCATGATTCTATTACCTCGTTCTCGAGTGTATCAGACTCGCCTGTGCTGTCGTATGTCTCCATCCTCCAGGGACGATACGTCCTAATGACAAATATGTCCGGAGGCTTGATACTTTTACATGGATCACACATTCTCGACAGTAGAAAAGACCACTCCAAGTACGCTGTCAAGGTCGTTGTCTGTGAAGAAAAAGGCGAGGTCGACTCATCACCGCAATTCTGGGTTGCCACCGCCGGTTGGGATGCAACTATCTACCTGTACCGTATCAACATACCGAATGGAGGAGACGCACCGGTGATCGGAGAGCCCGTCGCACACATCAAGCTCACCACGAATCCGGAGTCATTGGTGTTTGTGCGCCATATCGACACTAATGATTTGATGCTCCTGGTTTCGCGCCGCGATTCCACACACATCTACTATTATCAAGTGGCACGATCATCCAATGAGGCAAACGATCAGGATCAGGATCAGAATGAAACGGACAGCCCTTCATGTCACCTCCTGGGACAACAGAATCTGGCACCTCATTCGAATGCCTGGATCGCCTTTTCCCCGGCGCACATGGCTCTCAGCCCACACGATTCTGGTCTGCTGGCGGTAGCTACATCTACATTACCACACTTGAAGGTGATCATCGTGCGTCTCTTGTTCCCTTCAGTGGCGTCCTTGGCTACGCGCAACCCATCCGAGGAGGCACCCATGACGCAGGCATCCCAAGCACTCGAGTCTTTGGCGCTGCAGAACCGCGAGGATGCAGCCATCTTGGTACAGTCCAATACATTTGCACCACAGACGGCATACTCAACGCCCCAGGTTGCCTGGCGACCAGATGGATCCGGTGTGTGGGTGAATGGAGATGACGGTGTGGTCCGTGGCATTGAGACAAAGACAGGAAAAGTGGTTGCTACGCTTAAGAATGGCCATGAGCCCGGCTGTAAGGTGCGCACTATCTGGGCAGGATATGTTGATGTACGGAGTGAAGGCGAGGAAACGACACGAGAGGAATGGGTCCTGAGTGGAGGATTTGATAAACGGTTGATTTTGTGGAAAGTATGAATTTGGTATATAAAGTTAAAGTTCCATTTGACTATAATTCATCTGCAATTCACATGGTAACCGAAGATTTGAGGTATCAAAATCGTATCCAAGTTACGACATATTACGGTTTACGGAAATATCGCCGTCCATAGATCAACCCTTTCACCACGAGGCGCGAAAGGGCAGTAGATACGGGTGGACATTGTTCTTGGCACGTAATAGAAAAAATCCTTCAGCAAGCGCGCATGAAAAAAGCACGTTGCTGTACACACATATGCCGGAATGGGAGAATGAGACCGAGACAGTGCTCAAGCGAGCGAACTGCCTCAAGACCTGCGACTACAGAAGTCACGGATGACTATGCAGAAGGGATGGAGAAACGCGGGAGAAAAATAGCTTCCCAAATGGGAATGAAACCGCTGCGTGGATATCGAATTTAAGCCTGTTGATTTCTGTATCTCAAACAACACCAGACACGCCGCGCAAGGACACTAGCAGAAACCAGGCCTATTCGAAACAGCGGACCGTTCTTTGATCATCGCACGTTATGGTCCCGGTCCTTGCGCAGACCTAATTTTTCATTTTCGAAGGCGTCCAAATCTAAGCGTTCTCACGCTTGCCCTGGTTGCGCTCCTTCTGTGTGGTTGTTAGTATATCTGCTCCTCATGACAAATTCTCCAACCGAAAGCGGATGGCTGGGACGGTCCAACGTACAAGGGCCTTCATGGTGCCGTGGAGAGCGTGACGGTGGTTGCGGCGGAACTTGGGGTCAACACCCTTGAGGGAGGGGTAACGGTTGGTCTTGGGCTTCTTGATACTGTACGGAGAGATATCACGTCAGCGTTTTGGTCAAGATACCGGCTGGTGAGATGGCATTGGCGGAAAAAAGAGAACAAGTCGAAAGTCTTGAGTCGTGACGAATTGTCTGTCCCAATGTCCACTTCGAGAGGCAATTTTTCGAGTCCAACCTTTCGACTTTGCTCATTTCTCTCTTTCGTTGCACAATTGTCGCCCCAGAATATAATATTCGAAGGTCGCGGGGATTCTCGTGTTCAAAAGGGGGGTTACGCACCCGTTACGGTGAGCCTTCTGGCTAGCGTGGTGCTGGGAGGCGTTCTTGGACTCTGTAAAGCGCAGACAAGGTCAGTGGCCGTACTTTCTTCGACAAGAAATTTGGACTGAGGCAAGGCAGCCGTAGAGGGTGACACGTACTGGCCATCTTGACGGATGTGGTCGGTGATTGACGTTTGACGGGATGGTGAGAGAAGAGGAGGTGCTTTCCGCACTCGACCCAAATGGCGGATCGGCTAGGGCTCGCTTTGTGTGGGATCTCGCTTACCGCCGCGGTGCACGGACTCTATCAGTTTCCCTACGTCAAGATACCCCGACTTCTTGTTGTGCCTAGCCTTGTCTATTCAAGCTCTTGAAGCTATGCTATAGCCACTGGAAATCATTACCCTACTTTTTTGGGACTCAACAGCTCTTTTCTCTTCGCGCTTACCAAGATTTTTATCTCTCATCACGTGACTTGATACAAAAATCGGATGTCACGTGCGGGTTTGAAGTATTAGAAGCGTCTGCAGCATACATGTCTTTCTATAAAGATCAGATGTAGACACATGATACAAACGGCGGCTCGCGAGTCTTTTTAATAATATTATGGACTATATCTGCTGATAATGACCATCCATGCGGTACCCGAAAAGCCTGAAAATCAGAATGTCTGTCTAAGCGGACGGTCAGGAAATGGGAGCAGGATAACAGAAGTGACTTGATGATTGCAATTGCTACTTTAGATTTCGATTAATCACAAGGACCCATGCCATTATCAATCTGTGTAGCTGCGAATTGGACTCCGTAAACACTGCGCATACCGGGTGGGCTCGACACGTGACCCGAGCCACTAGGGAACAACCGGCTCCGACTTCGACCTTTGCAACGCAACCTTCAATAGGGACTCTCCAGCCTTTGCATCCCCATCCATTGCACAATGAGCTCCTTCCGCTTCACTCGCTCTGCCCTGAGGGCCCGCCCCTCCCTCTTCAGCGCTCCCATCCAGCGCCGTGGATACGCCGAGGCCGTTGCCGACAAGATCAAGCTGTCCCTGACCCTTCCTCACCAGGTACATCAAACCCGTCTGATATGACCTCCCAGTCCTCGGGTCCCGGACTAACGTTGTTTTTCTATACAGGCAATCTACCGCTCCACTGGCGTGTTCGTTCCCCTTTTTTCGTGCGCTTCCTCGACACTCCTTAGATACTGACGAACCTTCGCGACTACAGGACCCAGGTTAACATCCCCGCCGCCTCCGGTGAGATGGGTGTCCTTGCCAACCACGTTCCCTCCATTGAGCAGCTCAAGCCCGGTCTTGTTGAGATCGTTGAGGAGGGTGGCGCTACCAAGCAGTTCTTCCGTACGTTCGATCTTTGCGCCCGAGTTGTTCCGTGACAGACAACTCTTCAGTCGAGCCAAATTGCTAACGGTCGCACAACGACAGTCTCCGGTGGCTTCGCTGTCGTCCAGCCCGATTCCCAGCTGAGCATCAACGCCGTCGAGGGTTACCCCCTCGAGGACTTCAGCGCCGACGTAGGTCCCGTCCGACTTTGCGACAGTATGATTGATACTAATGGGTATTATAGGCTATCCGCAACCAGATTGCCGAGTCCCAGAAGATTGCCAACGGTAGCGGCAGCGAACAGGATATTGCTGAGGCTAAGGTTGAGCTGGAGGTACGACTCTCATTTCCTTCTAAATTTCTATCACAAGCATTGACTAACTCTTCTGGAATAGGTTCTCGAGACCCTGCAGGCCCTTGTCAAATAGATGTACATATCCACTCGCGCCTTCGTCATTTGACCTGTAGAATTATAGCAATTCTTTGATTCAGTCGTGTTTTCCTCTTTTTGGTCAAACGGGGATGCACCTTCCCTCGGTGCACGCCTGATGTTGCGCGTTCTCTCTTTCTTCTCTTCCTCGCTTCATTCTTCACTTTCTCACTTCTCCATTTCTTCCCAAGAATGCGTTCGATAAGACAACCTCTGGGTAGCATCGATACTCGTGTGACAATGACAATGACTGACACTCCCGCGGACGGATTTCTTTTCCCCATCATTCGCATCCGTCATCGCGTATGGTGACGACTTGCAGCATGAAGCGCCCACTCTCAGTCCACTGGAATCCCACGCTCATGAGCTAAAATCACCGCAGCGAATTATCAGTGATGAACTCGACGAGGGGCCTGAAGAACATGATGATGGGCGATATTCTCGACTGGAGTTGGATCCTGCCATGGACAAGTATCATACCCTGGACGGCCTCGCAGAGCCGGGAAACCCGCAGAACACTCCTGCTTCTAACAGTGGTTGCGATAGCTCAGGCGACGTCTATCGACCAAGCAACGGCGAGGGTCTGCGCACCAGCTCCGCCCCTATCACCCCGGCCTTGACTATCAACTGGTTCGAAGACCAGCCGGATGAAAGTCTGCATTACCTTCTTGGCGAGGCAGACGATGGTCCCAAGAACCCGAATCGGAAGCGCCGCTTCTCCGCCGATGACCAGCCGCGCTCGACCTCCCCAATCACTGCACCAAAGGATGTCCATATCCGAGCCGCTGCGGACGTCAACTCCATGAGAGATGACATTGAGGGAGCCGTCACGACTTTGAGATGCGTTCGATTCACCCCACCCCTGGACTCGTCCCAGGCTCGTTCTCCGCCAGGCTCTCCCCGTGCAGTAAGCCCGCAGCTTCGCCCCGTGGGACGAAAGCAAGACTACGTCTCCACTCACCAGCAGCAAAAGCAGAATGAGAAATGGAGAGGTCCAGATCGCACTCGTGGCAATCGACGTTCGCCAAATAGCAGCCCTACGCGGGCTTCTCAGGCTTCGTCCAATCCTTCCAGCGGCCAGCCGACAATTCGCTTTTTGTCCCCTTCGAAGTGCCCTTTTGGGGGTGATCGACTACAGTCGACAAGTCGGTTCCAAAGCAGCTCGGACCAGGATGGCCTAGAAATGTACGGTGCTCTGACAGATCAAACTACTGCTACCGATGAATATGCGTCTTCAGGACAGGCATTTGATCTTGCTGTGATATCATTCTCGCTGTACCGCTTCCGATGCCCTGGGTCATCGCGCGCAGGGGTTTTTCAAGTCCGAATGAACTCTACAATCATCCCGCTGAAGCCTTCACCTCAAAAAGGGAAGACGAACAAGACGGTGGTGACTCGAATGGCTGTTGATGACTTGTTATTGCATACCTATGTCATTGTGCCGGCTCTCATTCTACGCCTCCCTTTTCTCGGCGTGTCAGTCGCCAAGCAGTTTAAGCATTCGCGACTTGGTATTGCTTCAACCAACTCTGTGAAAATACTCTGGAAGATAGTACTAGGAGTCTTCTATTACGTGTTACTCCGACTTGGCCAGGATGTTTACTATCACTCCGAGCCGATGACCTCGCGCCAGGAAAAGAGATGCTCAACTTGAAAGTTTCCTGAACCAAGTTTGCACACCCGCTTAGTCTGCCGATGATGATCCCGGCTTCAATTACTCTACGGTTATGTTCTTCATGTTCTAAACTCACCGACACCTGAAAATCAGTTTATTTGTGGCCAGATGAGCACGGCCTGAACACCTATTATATCCCACTATCCTTGCTCTACAGCCTATGTCTATCGGAATTGACTTTGTCTATGACTGATGTTTGTCTCTGGGATAGTCTATTCTTTTTGTTCTTCAAGCCTATGATATCTTTTCTACTCACAAGATTTAACGTACGGCAGGCCATGTGGGCAGTGTCTGATTATGGTAAACGTAGGATACATGAAGCATGAATACCAAATGATGAAAATAGCAAGATTGAAACGGCCGATATTAATATCTGCTCAAAATTTATGCGTTGCCATCTCGTATCTAGGTATCACAAACATAACAGAGAGAAACTCGGAACCGAATTACAGTTCCAAGCAAGGTTACCTCCCATTTCAAATCATTTTCCATCGCAGAACATGTCCATCCAAACAAAAACAATCACACACATCAGAGCAGTCATATTAACAAGAAGCTGAATACACAACTCATTTATACAGGTCGTAGCAATGTCCATCCCGGACAAAAAAAAGATGACACTAGGAAAAGGGCATTGAGATTGAAATCATTATTCGAATTCCACGCCAGGCCGTTGTTGCCTGTCCTGACGTGCTCGAGCTCGCTCTGCACGTCGGCGACGACGGTTATTGGCGTAGGATCCGCTTGCTTCGGTGCCGGTCCATGTGCCAGGCGAGGTGACACTTCCAGCACCGTAGGGCATACTCGAAGGCGCGGGATGCGGAATAGGAGGCGGCGGCGGCATGACGCTGATTTGAGAGTTAGATTGGGGGAAAGGAGAAGGAGGCATGCTGCCTGGTTGAGCGGCCATTGCGGCCTGCTGTTCTCGTCGTATCTGTTCAGCTTGCTGACGCTCCTTCTCTTCAACGCGACGCCAGCGGTCTGATTCACGTTCACCACCGGATAGGGAGCCTGCACTGCTGCCGCGACGCCGGGAGTGTCGTCGCTCTCTGCGACGTGCTTCACGTTGTGCAGCGGCCTCTTCTTCGGTCAGGCGACGTAGTGTAACGTGTCGACCGTCATTGTGCATCTTGACTTTGACGGAGACCGGCGGGGACTCGACATGGTCGTCTCGTCGACTCAAATCGCTGCGACGATGACTGGATGCAGCTCCCAGTGCAGCTCCAGCGGCAGCTCCAGCTGCTAATTCCTCGGCGTGATGAGAATGAGAGTAATGGGAAGTTGGAGGCGGCGGTACTAAATCACCGGAGAGCTCGTGGTGCGCTGGAGGAACGGGAGGAATGTCAGAGCGCGAAGGATAGACAGCGCCTGTTGCGACTGGCTCTGGCGTGAGAAGGGTGCTATGAGATGGTTGATGAGGGGGTCTAGGCGGACGAGGAGTAAGATCGGTTGGCGTGAGATCACTTTCAGTATAAGGGCTCGGTCGTCGTCGCTGTGGGTAGAACCCTTGACTATCCTGTCGTCGCTTACTATTCGCTCTTTGCAAATATTCATCTTCTTCTTCTCGACGGCGGATGTCATCAAGCCGACGCTTTTCTTCGTCATCCTTGCCCTTGCGGCTGAACATTCGCTTCACCGCAGCAAGGGCACCGGCACCGAGAAGTGCGTCACGAACTCCATGCGACGGACGCCTTTCCTGAGGTTCGGTAAGATATGTACTATCGTAGTAGTAAGACGAACCGGGGCTCTGGGGTCTGCTCGGCACACGGCTTGGCGGTCGATTGAGTGGCGCTGCTGGGTGAACGGGCTCCGGTCGTCCATCTTCCAGTCGACTAAGAGATTCTTCTGAATAGCTGTCCGTACGCGAGTGGGCGGGCCTGTAACGTCCAACTTCTGAGTCTTCTTCGCGATCTCGTCGACGATCCCACCATTTCTTCGCGAGCATACCAGCACCTGCCAAAGCCCCCCAGCTCAAGGATCTTTTTGCCCCAGCCACCACTCTCATGACGACGGGATGATTCGTCAGAGTACTTCTCATCGGAGATTGACGTGCGCGATTCTTCGTAGACCTGGCTCGAGTGGCGGCTTCGTTGGCGCCGCTTGAACATCGAAGCCAATCCTGCTCCTAGAGCACCTCCAGCCAAGGCTGATCCGAGACCACCACCGCCACCACCACCATGATGTTCCTCTGCAACAACTGATGGCCCGGAATATCGACTACCATGCTCGCTTGCCATGTGATAGCCCTCGTCGTCGTAAAGATAGGATAGCACGAAGTACAACATCAAATAAGCAAACGCAGCAAGCGCAAAGAGAATGAAAAGGACTTTGGGGGAGCCGTAGAGCGTCAGTCCGAGAGGAATCTGAACGATCCCCAACAGACACAGGCACGACCGAGCCAGCGGTGAATCTATACCCAAGAATTAATTTTGACCGATACCAGTTAAGCATGGTTTACTTACCACCAACTTCAAAGGAACATGGTGCCGAGTTCTCTTGCTCTCCTTTTTATGTAAGAACCAGCCCCATAGCATCTGGAATATGACCATGACATAGATTGCCAAGCCGATTCCATGGTGTGGGTTAGTCAAGCTCCTCTTCGGGCCAACGGCAAACCAGCCAAGCATAAACACCACCGTTGACAACAATAATGTCAGTACTTGGAACCAAGCATGAAGCTTGAATGCCCAGTATGGATTCCATCGGGAATAGTATCGGATGATCAATGTTGAGATAGGGACGAGACCCAGGAAAACAATGGTAGCAATCACACCATGGGCGATGATGATGGAATGGTACCCAGCCATATCCTTGAATCGGTTACCCATGCCTAATATATGTCAGTTGGACCGTAATGAATCAGCTGAGCCTTGAGAGCTCACCATTGTATCGCATTGTCTCAAAGTTTACGCCCATCAGATTGGGCAGCAGGAACGTGTCCCGCGTCAAATCCCATGTTCCATCGCCGACATGAAGTGTGTTCGACGAATACGTACTGCTCCCGGGAGCAGTAAGTGTGTCTGACATCTTAGTGGTGCTTGTCCAGGACTTGCGCAATATCGAAGTTCAATCTCTGGAATGTCGGATTTACTGACGGAGATCTATCGAGATCCCCCGTTCCGAAGAATGCACCATGCGATAGGATCGGCGACTGCAGAGAATGCGAATTGACGGGCGACCTGACGTATGGATCTTTAAACCAGGCTATTGAAAGATGTGTATGCGTGTACGAGGGCTCACTCGGTCGTCTGGCGGTGAGTGGGGATTAGTGTAAGCGGACTCTTGACTGTTGACTGTTGACTTGGGAGACGCGTGAAGGGAGGGAGTCGCACAATCTCAGAAAAGAGTCGAAATGGGCTGGACTGAAGGAAGACTGAGAGATTGAAAATACGACTAGTAGCCACGAAATTGATGAGAATGAAAGGGTTGTACAGGATCAACAACGGGCTGAGCAAGTCCCTTGTCAACTGTATACCGTGTTGGGTTTAGTGCGCCAGCGCATAACCAGAGCAACGGGCTCACCGCCTTCTGGCTTCAGACAGATCAGATAACATCATGTGCTCTGATCGACGGGTCACCTGACTCTTATCGCCACGGGACCCATGACACCATCACAGCTCGTCATTCTTCCTCTTCGGTCACAATTTCACGCCCGGTCCGGGAAAAAGAGGAGTAAGAGGTGTTTCTCATGCTTAGAGTATTCCATTTTGAAAATGGTTCAGCCTCAGATAGAAATATTTGTTCGGGCTTTGTCCCGGTAAGCCCCCCTTGCAGACTTGCAGCTCATACCCCAAGACTTCCCCGTCAACAATACTGATAAGCGATGACAGCCTTTTGGGATGGATATAGTATGTTGCATCCAATCCTGGCTGCCTTTCCTGGAGGAGTAAAATTCCAAGATGTTTGATATTACATACTGACCGTCTCATTCAGCATGCTGAGCTGGTCGGCATCGTTCTACCCTCAGATTGTAATCAACTACAGACGTCAATCGACGTCAGGACTTTCGATTGACACACCTACCATTAATACCTTGGGGTTCGCATGTTACACGATCTACACGGCGACCTTTTTGTATTCGCCCATGATCCGTGAGCAGTATGCGGCCCGGCACCCGGCATCCGAGGAGCCTACCGTGCGCTTGAATGACTTTGCATTCGCTGTTCATGCCGTGGTCTTGTGCTTCATCATATACACACAATTCTGGCCCTCCATATGGGGGCTGCACGTATCTCGTTTCCAAAAGAACAGCAAGACCATGCTCGCCCTATTCTGGGGATGTGTCTTGGCGCCCGTGGTCGTGATCTGGATCGTGCTTGCGAAGAGCCCAGACGGGGGGTACGACCCGTCGACATGGGCGTGGATCGATGTGGTAAGTGGTCTTGATCAGTGTAAGAACGGCATGATTCTGTTAACACAGTGGACAGATCTATGCCGTTTCTTATATTAAGCTCGTCATCACGGTTCTCAAGTACGTGCCGCAGGCATGGTTGAATTATAAGCGGAAGTCGACCTACGGGTGGAGCATCATCCCAATGCTTCTAGACTTGAACGGCGGTATTCTGTCACTGGTGCAGTTGGTGCTTGACTCAAGCCTCCAGAGCGACTGGAGCGGCATTACGGGCAATCCAGTGAAGCTTCTTCTAGGCAACGTCACCATCTTCTTCGACCTGATCTTCGTTGTGCAGCACTACATCTTGTACCCGGATACCTTCGATGTGAAGAAGCCCCAAGACGGAGAGACCCGTCCCTTGCTCGTCGACGCAGCTCGGTAGTCCATATTATAGCAGGGTTGATGCCAATAGACCGGTATCGCACCTTGGGGCCAAATGAGAGACATGTGGTTGGGGGGGGGAGGAGGATCGCTATTTTTGTAGACTCGGTTGGAATCTCGGTTATTTTGGGACAGTGGGGGCGGAAGCCGAGCGGGATGCGACAGAAGGGCTCTGGTCATGAATCATAACCAATCGGTGCGTTCAGCATCGTCCTTCCTCAAGCTTTGATATTCCCCCCATTCCTCAATCACCTGAGCGATCGACAGTGGAGCCTTTGATAGACAGCTGTTGGAAGTGCGCGGGGACTAGCGCAGTGAGACTAAAGATTGTCCTCGGAGTTAGGCTTTTGTAATCGACGTCTTCATAGTGCGGGCGAGGATTAGAAATCAAATGCCCTCTTGCCGTACAACCGTTCGCCAGTAGCTGACCGGACGACGGTATGAAGAGTGGTCTGTCCCTGCTGCTGGTGAGGGGGAACAGGCATGAGAGAGAGAGAGGGGAAAGACCGCCACCACGCGGCTTGGACAAGCATTCTACATAGTAGCAAGACACCGCTTCTCGGGTTTGCTGGCGTAGGACCCGCCCGTCGTGAACATGGACAATGACTGGTCCATCCCGGAACTAAGCACTAAAAAAGAGCGAGCGAGCCAATCAAGACCCCAACTCACGCCCGGACAGGGATCCTGTCTCGGTTGTAATCGTCGGTGTCGAGCTCGTCGGTGACGGTCTATGGGAATTCGAGCGCTGAATCGCTATACCAGTCCATATGCGAACCTGAAGATCTGACATTTCCATCTTGTTTCAGGAAGGATCGCCATGGTATGCGGGATGTCTCGAACGTGATGCTGGATCCCAATTGCCCCAGCTGGGCCCATACCACCCCACCCTCGAGGCACGGCCACGTCGGCGATACTACCTTTATGTCCTCGTTACCGCCAGGCGCCCAAATGAGATAGAACCCGTACCTGAGACCTGAGACCTAAGACCTGGGGAATTCGGCAATTGGGATCCATGAGAGCTCGAAAAGAGGGGACATTCGGGAACTAGGGAACACTAAGAACTATGAATGACGGAACGGAGGGACTAAACAATTACCGGGTATTTTCTAGTGATCGACAAAACGACAAAGACGGGGGCCAGTGGAATGGTGGCTCTGCAGACATGAGGCTCATTGTCCCCACGTATCGCAATATTGACTGCAATAGGTCTGGGTCAGGGTTAGGGTCACAGTTACGGCCCCATGTCATCGTATCCACGGTATCCACGTTATCCACGACCACCCCTAAATACCAAAAAAAAACAGTGTGGCTTGGTGGAACTCGACCCAATAAGCCGGGGATGCGCGAGGCTAGAAACGGTTTAATGCCGCGAAGCATACCGACTCTAGGAACTCGGGGCCGCAAGTCGCCGCACGTCCTAGACTCGTCCGCCAGAGGCTATCATCCCCTAGTGGCCCACTAGTGGGCCACTGAGGTTCGGCCGCCCCCTGCAACGCTTCTCGACTCGGGTCCTGTCGCATTCAGCCCTATCCACATTGGTCTATGCATTTACATTGATTTACATTCATTTCCACCTATCTTCACTCACATTCCGATCTCGGATCTTCCACGATGATTCAGTCCCAGCTGGGGCCCGGATCCCAACCCTGCCTCATGACGAACGGGGACGCACGTTTTCCTGCCTTGACCATCTGAGTCAAAATTGTGCAGATCTATCCTGATTGTCGCATTTGGGTACGGAACGCCTGAGACTTCCATCTGAAGCACTGCCTCATTGATATTGCGGTATACGATACAGATCGGACTTACCGTCCCCGGACCGATGGTCCTTGACTTGTCCATGTCGGCCACTGTTGGACGTGACTCGAGGACCTTATAATGCCGCCTCTTGCTCACCATCCCGTGCCTTGTTGTCTTTTTCCCAACCCAACGTCATCCCATCGTTAGTCTGACACTAAGCACATGGCCAGTGGGTTCATAATCTCGGACTTAAGCCTTCCTAGTATTCCGAGCATTGGCTGATATGCGAGTGCACTACCTTTCAAACACCTTGTTGCACTCTGAGGAGTCGGGCACGCCACCAGTGCTATCCCATCAGAACCTCGTCAGCAAGATCGTATACTCTCTACCCGATATGTCAGACACGCCCAGATTGAAGAGGACCGACTGGGGGACCGGAATGAATGGCTTGGTGCCTGACAGCGCTGGACGCGGTCGATCAGAGCAACCCCAGCTGGCAGGCCTGGCCGATGTCCCTGTCAGCTCTTCATTTAACGCTCAGATGCCCGTTATGCAGCCACAGCTCGGCTTCGTACAGGCTCAACCCGAGCACATGTCGTCTTTCTTGTTCCCGGAAAGTCAATTCTCGGACCGGAGAGCCTCGCCCGTGAGCGATGCTATGGGTTCTCTTTACGCATGGTCCAGCACATCTGATAGCGACATGCTGAGACCAGCTGCGTCATCAATGGTTCCCGCTGCCTCGACGTCACCCTTATTGCAGCCGTATTACAGCTTTGATACTCCTCAACATATGGTCAGCCCACCGAATCAAGGTCTCTCTAGATACACCTCGCAGGAAATCAACAAATGGTGCATGGAAAGTGACCCATCCTTGGGGTTCTATCAGCCGAGTACATCTTTTCCGGCCCTGAACCAGTTCGCAATCCCTTCGCCGGAAGCTCCGTCGAACGTATTCCCCCTCTGAATGAGCATATGAACATTTCTGAGGAATGGTTTACTGCTCCTGCCTTTGCCGGCCCTTCCACCATTCCGTGCCCACCCCCAGATGCATTCCTCTCTCCGTCGTCTGCACCGGCAGTCTCCGTCGCCTCTTCTTCCGCGATGAGTACCTCACCAGCCCCCACTCTGTCTGATTTCGAGTCACCATCCTCTCGCCACCGACCGGCTTCGCCCGCCTCTAATCCCGCCGATCTCACGAGATACGGAATGCCGGCTGGAGAGGGTGTCTGGCGATGTGCCTATCCGGCTTGCACCTCGCAGGCCCTTTTCCGTCGTGGCTGCGACCTACGCAAGCACTTCAACCGACATCGGAAGCACCTGTTCTGCCGACATGAAGGTTGTCCGCAGTCGAAACAAGGCGGATTCTCCAGCAAGAAAGACCGTGCCCGCCACGAGGCAAAGCATAATCCTGGTATCGCATGCGAGTGGGACGGATGTGGGCGGGTGTTTAGTCGGGTCGACAACATGAAGGATCATGTGCGACGGATACACCGCCGAGGTGGCAGTCGCTGATACCCTAAATTATGGATTACGCTTTATGGTTGATGGATACACGAGCTCTGAGGATACGGATTGCATTGCGATTTTGATTTTGATTTTGATTGGTGAATTCTTGGGATGTATAACTACAAAGGGCAAAGACGGTGAAACAAGGCGAACACGGAATAAATTGACTCCTGGCGAGCAAGAGATAGATTTTCTCGGGGACCGGGAAATGATCAAATTCGACAAGAAGCGAAAAGAATATAACTATGCGCTATAGATTGGAATGCTTATCTGAGACCATTTACTCCATAGACAGGTAACAGCTGAACAATTACCTCGTGAACCCCGTTTTCTTTTCTTCTCCCCAAATTAGAAACATGCAAAACTTATTTCAGCCCCTCATTTTCTTTTTCTGTGAAGAAACAGATAGATCCAAGGACAAAAATAGCGATGACACAGCCCTAATGATCGCCCTATCTAAGTGATCCATTACCCGGCCCCAGGTCCAACTCCCAACCTGGCGCACACAAGCAATGCCTCTTACTTTTTTCACTGCCGACTCGAAGATCCAATAAGCTTTGGTTTCATCCTAGCGTATAATACTACCTTCCATTCATACCGGACCGAGCTAATTTTGGTGCGAATGCGGCCCGACTTTAGCTTGGGCATCCGTCCACTTGGGATCGCTAGCCAGGTGCGCAACGCTTTCCCGATATGGCTAGATGCTCCGCTTTGTTCTAGTATTGGAACGGATTACCGACTTGAGTATAGACTTGGAGTTTCTGGGCCGCTATCCAGGGCTTGTTTCAAACACTATTTACGTGAACGCTAGACTAGATTGATCCTCGATTTAGAACAAATTTCATGAGGTGGACCTCGAAAGGATCGCTGTTCAACCAACGCACAGCTTTACTTGTTTCTTCCTCCATGTTGTGGAAACACCCTCATACCTTCTATTCGATTGAGCCTTGAACTTTCAAAGACTGTTGATTAATGCATGAGAGCTTTTCATCGTAGCTTACTACGCTCTGTTCTTTTCTGAAGTAAGGGCTCTATGGAGAGGTAGAAATACCCCCCGAGCGAACAACCCCGACGTCCTGCACATGGCGCCATTTTACGTGGTGCATTCTTTGCATCGGATCTCGCTGATCATGTACGAAGCATCTGAAAAAATCTCCGCCGTAAATACTCTCAAGACACGTCGATTTGCTGCGCAATAGCTGTTGGAAGTTGTTTCTGTCGTGCGACGGAAACGCTGCATGTTTGTGACCAAAATCTAGCCTGATCCCCATCGTATGTGAAGTCGTACTGCGTTGGCCAACTGTTTGGTTTGTCTATTTATCTCTCAAGAACTAGAGCTGCATTTGAATCTGTTGGGATACACACTATCATTTATTGACATGGATGCAAGTCCATTTGGTGGTGCTCAATTGATTCCCACATCCCCAGTTTCAAAAACCCCAGGATGTGTGGATCAATCTCTTACTGGTCACCGCAGAAAGAGATACCGTATGCATTTGAGGTGGCTTTCAAGGCAAGCCACAGGGCCCTCGCAGCTTCTAAATTGGACTTTTGAGTGATCAATTCAACCACTGAGCTTGCCGTATGTCCAGAGAAATCTGCACGATGAGAGTATCTGCGTTGATATATCGAAAGTAAAGTCTCACTCCCTAGAAACGTCCTCTTGAGAAAGAAGCGGATGCAATCTTTATGATAAATGGGAATGCGGCCGAGAAGAAGGCACGTTGGCGGGGCGAAAATTCCATTCCCAGCGTTCATTGAGTCACCGAGACGTGAGTCTCGCCGGCCTTTTTTGAACCTTGCCATTGGCATAACTTATTCATATACGCTAGTATTCTACTCCAGCCTAAGGCGAACCCAGAGATGCCATATCTTCACGCCAAGGGTCACCACTGATTTCCGGGGTACGCACCTGTGCAGCTCAAACATTTGGCCGGGTCTTTGATTTGGTGCATGCTGCTTCTTGATGGCAAAAGGCCCAGCCCCTTATGGCACTCCGATTCACCTCTTCTTCCTTATAAGTTTTCTGTTCTTCGGTGTTTGATGTAAGCATGAAGATTGCACAGTCTCTACGAACGAGAGGGCCCGTTACCACGACTAAAGCCGCGTCCACACATAGAGGCGGTCACCCCCACTATACAATGAAAGTCAACTCAGGAATCCGAATACGAGAGAACAGCTCAGCTCCTCGTTTGCTGCTATTGACCTTGTGAGACCAAGACCCAGGATGAAATCCAAGGATGGAACAGAAATTAAACATCTGGTAGAGAAAGGAAAAAAATGAGTGGACCATTTCCAAAGACACGCTACTTGACGCAATCCACAGAAATCAAACAAATAACGAATGGCCCGTGTATCATCATGCTTCTAACTTGACATGTGGTATCATCGAAAAAAGGAGAAAAAGACTGGAACGGGAACTGGAAACTGGAACAAGAGCTGAAATAGACACTGGAACTAGAACAGCTGGACAGGACGGATAAAGGTATCACTGATGGGAAATTCGTCACGCGTAAGTTGAAAAGCTTGGCGAGATAGCAAAAAAAAATATAGGCCATGAGCTACGCATGGTGATGGTTCCGCTCGCTAGAAATTGCTTGCAAATAAACGAAGGCTGCGGGTTTTGAGAACCCGAGTACACTTTATGAATTTATTCTCCGCCGTCGGCCTCGTGAACTGCCGACGGGTCGCTGGGCGAGGACTTCTCGGAGTATGGGGTCATCTTTGTTTTTATCGACGTGGTGGACTCGGACGTGTCTGTCCAAGAGGAGTTAGTCAAATATGGCTTGGAAGGATAAAAAGATTGACGCACCGTTGAAGATTATCTGGTCGGGGGTATTTATGCTGTTGGTCGGGACAGAATGGACACACATAGCCTGGTGAATTATGCACCAGGCCATGGCGCATCATTTCATTCTTGCGCTTGAATCCTTTGCCGCCTACGCCTCTTGGACAACCTTCTACGGGACAAAAATGGGGTCGGTCTTGAGAATGCACGTTGGCATGGGAGCTATTGTTTTGCATGTTAGGAAGGGGGGCCTTGGGCTATGCAGTCTTACACTTACTTCAGGAGATATTGGGTTTGGAAGGGCGCTGCCGTACATCCTGGGTGTGTGCATTTGTAACTTCCCGTAGCATGGACTCCATTGACCGATTGTTGCGAGCTAAACGAGGCCCGATCCACGGACCCCGGGGTAGGACCGACCTGTTCCGTGGGTGTAGGGTAGCCCGTTGCGGGACTCTTCGCGGTCATGGGTGACATGTCGTATGGGGTTGCCGTATGAGTTGAATCGGATGGAGGGGGCGGAGGTGGCCCCCGCCAAAATGGTGCCGTCGACGCAGGAGACGGATTGTTGGAGACATCCTTAGTGCTGACGGGTGACAAGTGCGAAAACGGACTCGGAGGGACTTGCTGGGGAAGGAATTGAGGTAGTTGACGATCGTGGGGTGAATCATTGCGTGATGATGCGGATCCGGGGTATGAGTATAGAGGAGGTAACCCACGAGCCTGTGGAAACTCATTGGGTGAGAGTCCGTCAAGGGCAGACCGGATAGGTGGAAGGACTCGGCTGTTGCTGCTACCAGAGTCTGGAGAAGGTGCCGCGCATGAGGAGGGAGGGGATTGTAAGGATTGAAGGGAAGGAAGCGAGAAGTTCTTTTCGGGGGACGGTTTGATGTCATTGAGAGGGGACAAACCAGGACGGTCTTCGGAAGGTCTTCGGTCTGGAGCTTGAATCGAAGGCAATCTGGGATACTCTCTCGGCGACACGGAGGTGGTAGTGATGACAGGTCTTGGAGGCGGGGGGGAGAGGTTCGCGCGGTGGTGGGAGGGGTGGAGGTAGTGGTGGTACTGTCTTATCACGTTCGCCTTCAGGTCCGTCTGCGTCTGCATCTGCACTCCCACATTTCAGGTCCTCGCCCGGCACCGCAACCTCAACCTTTGGCAGTGGTTGCGAATGCACGAGCTTCTCTCGATATCCATCATCACATCTCTCAGACCGGTCCTGGTTGAGCGAGTCCGCCAGCGGATACTTGCGGGCATAGGCCGCGACGTCCGGACGGTCAGGCGCTAGATAACTGATCAGCACGGAGTCACCAAGACGTGTTTGAGTCTGGGATTCCGGCAGGTGCGGCTTACGGGAACGGTTGGGCGTTCCCTTGGCGCTTGCGACGTCGTCGCCGGAGACAAACGGTGGGAGGGGCTCTTCCTCGCGGTACTTGACGGTCTGCGGCCTCGGGGGCGGGGACCGGTTCATGGCATCGTCCGAGTCATAGTTGTCGGCCGTCATGAAGGCTGGAAGAGCATAGAGATGCCCGTCTGCGCCGGTGAGAGTGATATGCTAAAGGGAGAGTCGATCGAACACCATGTGTAGACCGTGACGTTACCGCCCTATGTCGGTGAACCTGTTAGCTGACGGCCCGAAGTGGTATAGCGATTAGAGCCTCATCATCTTCTGAACGCGAAGATGTCCTCAGGAGAAGACGGGCCGAGAGCCATGAGCAGGTTCAGAAAGGACAGGAATCAAACGTTGCAGCAGGATAGCTGGGCAGGATAGCATAGCACGACCACAGAGCATAGCATCAGAGCCCCAACAGGACAGGAACATCAACGTAAGGACTTACCGCGAGGGGAAAGGTGAGGCTCAAAACACGGGATCACCCAGTAATCAGGTAGGTAGAGACCTTGAAAAAAAAATTAAGGGGCTCAAATTAAAGAGAAGCAGAATTGAACATGAAGAAAAGGGGGAAAATTGGAGACGAAGACTGGTTTGAGGCTCTGTCAAGTGGGCCTCTTTTCCCCGAGGCTCTGTCTTCGTATTTCCTTTTTCTCTTTTCTACCCTTCCTTATTCTTCGGATCTCTCGAATTTACGGGAGTTCTGGTTATTGAGGAAAGGATTTGTCCTTCCAACTATATCACCGAAGGATCACCAGACGCAACGCAGATGACAATCGGAGGATTTTGAGGGCCGGTCGCACATCCCAGGATTCTCTTGTCCTTCACAAGGCTCCACTATTTCGCACTTCGGAGTCATTAACCGGGATTGCGTTGAACCCTCGCAGCCTCCCCAGCGATGATCACAGAGTGAAGGATGATTCTGATGATCATGATTAGGACGAACAGTCTACACAGCACGATCCATAAGTTCCTACAGAGCCCCTCTTCAGAAGGATTTGCCGACGCAACAAGATCCACGTTGCCCGCGTTTCAGGAGAAGCCGGTCAGCGCCCTCCCCCCCCTCTTCGCAATACGCGGCCCGCGCCGAGCATTTCGTTGCGACACTGCACCTCCTCTTCGTGGCCCTAGTGACGAGCCCATTTGTCCCGGTGTGGGTTCCCTAAGTTTTTCTTGGTTTCTGGGTTGGGTTCTTCAAGCCCAGTCAGCCTCACTTTACCCGGAGCCGCAGGACCAGCCTCATTCCTCAACCCCCTCTTTCTTTGCACCCAATGATAATCCCGCGGGTGGCACACGTTATGACCCCCTTCTACGGGAGCGAAAACGAGAGGTAACGAGGCAGTGGGAGAACCTCCCCCCGAAAAGAAGCTAAAGCAAATGTGGCGCATTGACGTAGAGATGGTGCGCACGCAGAAGAATCGACGGGTTCTCGACCAACGTGGACCGAATGAGCGTCGCTGACAGGACGTACTTTGACCAGACTGGGATCGGGTCGCTAAAAATAAGTTTGCTCTTGTCACCTAGGTCATAGGCAAATAGATTAATCTCTCAAAAGGTTTATGTACAGTCGTCCCGATCGGGCATTCCTAGACCTCGATCGAGACAAGACACAGGGCACCGAAAATATCTACTACTCCGACTTCTGAGCCTCTACAATTTGCCCTTCTGCTGCGATTGCCGTTGTACCTGCTTCACCTGCTCCCACGCATACAGTGCAAATGGCTTGGCCCGCTTAGCGTACTCACTCGCCCGTGCACTGCTCGCCTGCCGGCCTGCAAAACGGGCCGCAATGCCCTGCATGATTACGGAGCCTCGGAAGGCGAAGAACGCATCACCCCAGAGGATGTCTTCTGTCGGATCGTATCCCGCCACCGCACTGTACCAGCGTATGCAATCCTCGCGCGACGGCAGCCCCGGCACTCGTCCAGGCTGGAACGCCTCGGTGTTGCTGTCCGCCCCTTCCATGACGTACGGGCTGGTCAGGTTGCAAAAGTCCGAGAGCGGATGGCCCACGGTGGCCATTTCCCAATCCAGAATTCCAATGACTCGCGGCTCCGTCCGGTGGAAGATCATGTTGTCGATCTTGTAGTCTCCGTGCACCAACGTGCCTCGATCGCGCGGCTGCGTCGTCTTCTGCGTGAAGAATCGTACCATGTCCTCAAAGTGGGGGGAGCTCGCCCACGGGTTCCTTGGTGTCAGCATCGACCACCTGAGCCTGTGCCTTGGATACCGTTGTGAATGTCGCAATCTGTCGATCGTAGAAACCTGTCGGCTTGCCGAACTTCTCAAGTCCCAGGTTCTTGGGTATGACCCGGTGGAATTTGGCCAGTGTTTCCACGGCTGATTTCCATCTTTAAAAAACAGTGAGCTTGGTACTTTTTCTACAAAAAAAAAATAAAAATTTCTGCACATACAGTGCATTCCTCTCATCTGCGCTAACACCAGGCATCGCCGGGTCAGTGAAGTGTCGCCCGTCCAAGAACTCCATGATGTAAAATGGTGTGCCGATCACGCTGTTGTCCTCGCACAGACATAAAGCCTCGGGCACCGGTACGTCGGTCTGACCAAGTGCCTGTATGATTTGGAACTCTCGATCCACCCGGTGCGCTGTCTTCGAGAGCAGCTTGCCTGGAGGCTTCTTGCGTAGGACGTATTGTTTGCCGTCGGCACTTGTAAGCTGGTAAGTGGGGTTGGATTGACCAAATCCGAACTATGTATAATGAGTGTGCTGTACATTTCTTGATCCGGGAACATGGGGCATGGTTGGCAACAAAACTGACCTGCTTCAGCCCCAGCGGTGTCTTGAGCGCGGGAACATGCTGGTCGACATATCGCTCCAATGAAGGCAGATCTATTGGTTGTCGTACTTCGCCCGCCATGATGTCAAGATAGAAAATGAAATCAGGATTCAATTCGAGTCTACTCGGATATATATTGAAGCAGCGGTGGAAATGGAAACGAAACTCAACCTCAGAACAACCGGGGTACCTCGGCCCCAGTGAACCCTCGGTCACCCCGTTGAGCGGGGAGAGCAACGTGCAAACATTACAAACAATCAAGCCTAGCTCTCACCGCCGAGACACGCGCGCGGGACGCGCGCGCAAGGGACTGCAAGCTCACCGCGAACCACACCGCAATTCCGTAGGTCTTTTTCCTCAATTAATCCTGACTCTTTCACCTAGTCTTTCTTTTTGTTTTTTTTTCTTTTTACTCAAGTCAATTTCTGGCAATGACCAAAGAGACCACTCCACCCACTACCGTCCCTGCCACACGCGAGCCCCCCCTCCCTCCCCGCCTCCCCGCTAGCTAAACGCTCCAAGACCGACGCCATGACTGCCACTACCCCCGCGGTTACCTCAATCCAGCAGCCTATGCCCCCGCTTCTTGTGAAGAAGCTGGTGGCTTCTGCGAAGGCCCCTACTCGCGGCTCGGCTTTCGCCGCGGGGTATGATATGTACAGTGCGAAGGAGACGGTCATCCCCGCTAAGGGCAAGGCTATGGTTGATACCGGCATTGCGATTGCTGTGCCTGAAGGAACCTGTATGTTGACCGGATGCCTGACCTATCTCTGTGGCAATGGCAGTGCTTGTACAAAAAAAAAAAGCTAATCTTGAGCTCTGGATTAGATGGTCGCGTGGCCCCCCGCAGTGGTCTCGCTTCAAAGCACTTCATTGACACTGGTGCCGGTGTTATCGACGCTGACTACCGTGGTGAGGTCAAGGTCCTTCTGTTCAATCACTCCGATGTCGACTTCCCTGGTATGTCGTGATGACTCGTGGGTTGCGGTTTACTTGCTGATACATTAGAATAGTCAAGGAGGGTGACCGTATTGCCCAGCTGGTTCTGGAGAGGGTGAGGATTTTTTTTTTATTGTTCTGGTAGGGGTTTGATGGTCTGTCTAACGATTTATAGATCTACACCCCCGAAGTCACCGTTGTTGAGGAGTTGGAAGAGAGTGTCCGTGGTGCTGGTGGGTTCGGCAGCACCGGAATTTAAACAATCACAAAAGACGAAATATAATTATAACTTAGAACTGGATCTTCGAAGATTAATGAATTTACGTCTCGAGAAGGACTCTGTCCAAACATTTGAAAGATAAAGATTCTTTGTCTGGATTCAAAATGAATCTATGTATGAACCGAAATGTGGTTTGGACGCTATTATGGTGCGCTCATATCTATATCTGCTCTTCGCTTCGCCCCATGATCTAATCGTGTTGCGTTTCGCCAAAGTTATCAACATAAGCTGCTATTGCATTTGGGTCGGGAGATCTTCTTTGCTCCACTGTTGCACCTCGAATGTGACGAGGGGATCCCAAAGGAAACGTGTGTTCCGGACTAGTCGCACTTCGGCAGCCTTGGTTCGGCGCAGATGGTCACGTTTCTGCTGCTCTTCAGAGCTCAAATCTCCGTTCTGCCCAGGAACGGCAGCCGCTAATTCCGCATTGCGGGCTTCCATGGTCCGCTCAAGGATGCTGTGCATGCTAGCGAGCACCTTGACGGTCGCCCGCGCCAGAGGTAAATCACTGGCTGGTACACTGTCGGGTGACACCCAGGAACGGGTGTTCTGAAGACCCTCGCCAGCGTTGATGACGGCTTCGCGGAGCCGGGCCACCATCAGGGCGGCGAACATGTCGCCAGTACCGCTGAAGAAGCAGTCGAGGGCTGGCACGTCGATGCGGAATAAACGTGGAGATCCGTCACACTGCGTGGTGGAGCCAATGACAGTCAGGTAATTCTTGGGTGGGCTGGGGGTGTTGCCCGATTGAGACAGTTTGAACAGCTGGACGGAGGTGATGATGACATGGGGGATGGAATAAATGCGGTGAATGGCGGTCATGGCCTCGGCCAGAGTGGCGAGGGAAGTAATCTTGATTCCAGAGAGGACTCTGCGGCTCATGTTAGAGACGGATGTCACATACTCGGAGACGGATGTGTAACACACTCGGCTTCAAATTGGTTTGGTAGGATTAAGTCTGCGTGTTGAATGATCTCCTTGTAAGCAGGGACGACATCGTCATTGACATAGAGGCGACCCTGATCGCCCATGACAGGATCCAATACTAAGGTGACGGTTAGAGGGTATCATTGGAAGCATTGACTTGAACTCACCCCAGAAAAATGACCCAGGCTTGTCCTCGGCCTTCCGCTTCAGGTCAATGGCAATGTTGCCCACAGCTTCTACGGCAGCGGCACTGGGGGGCGTACCCAGACAGCATCACATCAAAGTCCGTCAGGTTACTTTGGCAAAGACCCTGGTAGAGGTCGGTAATCTCCGGGGCGGTTGCGCGCGTGCCCTTGAATTGTCGGTATCCGGTGTGGTTGCCTACCCTGTAAGTCAATTGAGATCATTGACGGCTTCTCGTTGGAGTGAGACGCACTGAAATGCACCGTGTTCAATGCGGCGACCTCACAGCCCATCGACTGCATGACCAACGTGGCCATGGTATTTCCCACATGGCTAGTGGGCTGTCAGTTCTAACCCCACACCGGTCGAGACGATCACGTACCCATACACCACCTAGGAAGACGTTAGTGTTGGAAAGTGATTAGACGGGGATAGACTGACATGACTGGCCACCGCCAAGACCCTCGTTTCGGGCACGAGAGATTCCTCCATGATTGTTGCAATGTAGAAAGTTGACGTGGGGGAAGATTGGAACCATCGGACATTGACTCCGCCCGGCATTCTACCTTACCTAATTGGTTCCGTTCACCGCGGACGAGAACAAGCATTGGACGCTGCTCCTCGATCATAGGGAATGCGATTGGCATTGCGATTGAATCTAGCAACCCATGCTGGAGTAGTTTCTCATATCCTAGGATCGATCATAGACATTTCTGTCTGATCGACACGAGCTACCCCTCGTGCTCCCGCACTCCTTGCTTACGGGCATCCTTTAATTTCAACACGAGACAAGATAGGTTGCACGAAGTCAAGATGAATGTTCACGAACCTGAGCTAGGCCGCCATTGAGGCAGAGGAAGGCAACCCCGGCTCTTCATTATCACCATGAAATCCGCAGACTCCAAACTCTGCCGCTTTCCCCCAGCTCCTCCGTGCTCCGTCTCGACCAAGTAAGCCGAATCAACCCCCGTACCCGCAAAGATACCAAGATTGGCTTTGAATGGGCCCTAATGACCAGGTTCTGGCCAGGGGAGACACAGCGCCGTCTCCACCGACCGATCTAGTCCGTCGGCCTCTTCTCATTCGGGCTTTAGCGCAACAACTGTGCTGTGCTCGGCCTGCTTCACTTGGTACACTAAAAACTCAACTTCCCCTGCTCTATCCTTTCGCGCGCCAACCCGTATGTCGAGCTGGGTGTTCCGGGCTCATGAATGCCATGTCGCATAATCCATAGCCCTGTCTTAATTTCTTCCTTCAAGCCCGCCGTGGCTACGTCGTTCGTTACTGCAACCCCATGAATCGCATCACTTCCATCCGTTCGGTCTGCCCAAGCGGCCGAAACGCGTCGCTCTCTTCAATGCCAACACACGCTCGTTCATCCAGTCGCCGGTCCCTACTCAACCGGTGCATATTCGCCATCGGCTCTTTCTACCAGAGCCTTCTAATTTTAATGCTTATTTTGTGCCTTTTGCCCGTGTCCTCGGCTCAGCCCACCACCGCCGTATCAGATCTCGTTGCCAACATTCCACGAGCGGCTGCGGCTCCAAGTGGAGAGATCATCGACGATCACCACGAGAGATCGACATTCCCGGAGAAAACGCGGTTGCATATTGGTTCTGACTCGGTGAACGGCGGCATTCTAATACCTCGAAGCACAAACTCGGATATGCCCACCGCGTTCGACACTGTCTCCTCCAATTTTGCCAATGCCACCTGTGTATCATTTTTCAAAACGTTCCTCGCCAACACAACAGTAACAGAATGCCACGCGGTATCTTTACTAATGGAAAACTCCAACTCATTTTTCCATACCTTGACTTCCGCCCAGGCCACTTCGCGCGTTCTCGACACCGCATGCTCGGAGCCCCTCTCCAAATGCTCGACCATCATGACCAACCTGGCCTCCCAGATGCTCTCCGATAGTCATTGCGGACAGGACTATCAATCAGGCAACTCATTCGTGCAGGGTGCCTACGAGGACCTGATGGCGTATGAACCTATGTATCTTGCCACATGCCTCACGAACGTGGCGACTGGTGACTACTGTTTTGTGGATGCTGTACAGAACAGTGCCGCCCCAAATGACTATAACGTTTATCTCATGCCCCTTGGCAGCACAATCGGTACAGGCAACTTGACTTGTAATCAGTGCCTGAAGGATACCATGACTACTTTCGCCCACTGGGCCGTGGTCGACGGCCAGCCTCTGGACACCACCTATCTTCCCTCAGCCAGGCAAGTCAATGATATCTGTGGGGCCGGTTTTGCCAATGTCAATATCACTGTCGGCAGCGATTCAGTCACATCAGGGGGCCCACTGACACTTCCATTACCCAACATCCGATTCCTTGTCTCGGTAATTGGGCTAGTGCTCGGGACAATAACCATGGGAGTACTTTAATTGTTAATATCCGCGTTGCTTCATCTGAAAGGGCATCTTTATCTCCCCTTTGTTCAGGAGTTATGGTCATGTGTGACGATAGCGAATAGCGTGCCAATCTTTGTGTATAATCTTTCTATTTTTTTTTTTCATTACGCAAATTAATCTGTACAATCTTTTGAATGTGCTTTTCAAGCAGTATAGTTCTTATAAGCTCGAGTGTGAGGGATGAAAACAGGGGAATCTTGGGGGCGGCGATCAGCCCTCGCTCAGCCTCCCCCAACATGGCAGCTGTATGTCATTCGCGTCCATTTTCCTTTGAGATTAATCTTGCCTTGGCCCTTGGCAAAAGCCTTTCTTCTCAAAGTTTTCGCCTTGATGGCCTTGCCCTAGGTTTCAGCTGCCTGACTAGGACACCAAAGAGCCATTCTCCGAGCTTTGGCCGACTCCCTCTACGACTCCACCTGCAGCTCGACAGACCTCATCAACCAGGCATAAAATGAGCTAAGCTTGCTCTTGATAGTGCCGGCACTTGCTGAGACGCTACTGTGGTTTTTAAGCCAGCGCATCAGCCCAAAATTTGGAGAAAATGCTGCAAAACTGCCATCATGCGCTACTGGATTTGCAAAAGCTTCAAGCCACTGGGAGTGGGGAAGGGCCGCTAAGTCAGATCTCGGATATTTGCGCGCAATTCTCAGATCTGATCTTTGAACTCGGTGTGATGAATGTTAGTGTGATGATGTGTGTCGTCTCTTTCACATGCGAGATGGTAGGATTACTGACTATATTCCCAGATCGTCGCAAAAGTATGTCAATTGTATCTTGCGAAGCTTTATCGAAGATATCATCAATCGAAGATATCAAGATTGGCAAGCGTGAGACTGAGATCGTCTCTTTGTGCTCTTGATGATTCTTCTTTGCACAATGATCAAAACAGTGATCAAGAGAGCGCGGGGGAAAAGCTGCAACAAGAGCTGCAAGACGCTGGCATTACACCCGGGCTATCTTTCCAAGAGACCGCGATATAATCCTGTCCACTTTTCGAAGAGATGCAGACTAAGAGGACCTCCTGAAGTATATCAGATCGACACCAGAAGTTTGTGAGCCGATTGATAGGTTACGATCATCCGCGGGCCCTCTAGCTGAATCTCAAGCGAAGTCCCAAGATTACGACCAGTCCAGCAAGGAGGTAGTGACAGAAAAAAGAAGAAATCTTCCCGTCCCAGTCACATTTGAGCTTCAGGACATTGACGACTCCTCAAAACACGCATGGGTCACTATGACCTCGCCATTAGATGACTTTCTTATTCCTGTTTGGACAGAGCCAGGCTTGCTGTCTAGCGACACCGACAAGCACTTAATTCGGCACATGGCAGCCCGACACACTCCCAATTCCCGTGGAAACATATGATAGACATCACCGGAGTGGAAGTAGGAGAAGTATATGGACATGGGCGGCTATCCTCGCCGGACCCCGCTCTTCAAGGCTGTACAGAAAGGCAACACCGAAATGGCGGAGTTGCTTCTTTCACGTGGCGCATATCCGAATTGTCAAGATTCCCACAAACAGTCACCCATAAATCTTGCTATCTCTCTGAACAGGGTTGAGATGGATAGGATATTCCCTCGGCATGGATTTGAATCTGGTGCCAATCCTACTGTGGCTGCCCGCATTTCCCCCTCCACCATCTAGGGCTCGCGACGCAAAGTCAAGTGCTGCTTATCAGTACTATTAAAGGAGCATGTAGTCTCAGCCTAAATACTTGATCACAAAATTAGCGCTTACATGAATACGGTTCTTATCCAGCATGGCGTGCATCCTAGGCATCAGCAAAAACATCAACATCTTGCACGAATCCACGAGGACGAGTGGGCTGCCAATCCGGCAAAGGGGTAGTACAGTATTTCCGGAAATCGGTGTCACATATAAAGGGTCCGATTATTACTTAGAATAATAAATAGGGGACTCTGAGCTCGAAGACTTTTATTAAGTATATTGTCCCCAAAGATTAATTTAATATTAATCTTTAAGATAATTATCGTATTAATGCCCTTCTAATATAGAATAGGGCACCTTATTATTAGTTATACCAGATAAAGAATCATATAGCCTTAATATTACTATTCTAATAAGTATTGAAATGGGAACGGCTCGATGGCTGTCTGGCGATGCAGACTGGACAACACACACACACACACTGCCTGTCTGGTGTAGAGGATGCTGGATGAGGCCGTACTGATGCCCTGTTGTGGCCGTGCGGGATAATCTTAATACTGTATCATGGATAGAAGAAATTAGGTGAATCCTGAATGAATTAGGTAGATAACTTGTCTCTAAGTGTGTCTAGAGATATACTATATACTGCAGATATTAAATTATGCCTAAGGCCACACATAGGCTTATTATATCACTAATTCTCCCACTATATACCACCCCTCCCTATAAAATTAACTGTCCCGTGGTTAAGCGCAGTCAATTTAGAATACCTAAGCTAATTTTATAATAGTAAAGAAAGATAGGACCAGAATACCTATTCCCTATCGCCGCGGATATTATATCTCTTCCTTATTATTATTATCCTCCGGAGGTACAATTTCTGGATTAGGGGGGACTAATATATAGCCTTAATATCTTATAGTAGAAGAAGGAATCTTTCCCGAATGCTAGCTTCTCCGCTATAATTATATCTCTAAATAATTAGGCGTATATTTGCTATACCTTCTTCCTCTATAAGATAATATAGGCAGTTACTATAGCTTTATCCGGTCCGAAGAGAATATCTAACTTAGCTAATACACTAAGGTCTATTTAGTGGCTACGACTAACTAAGTATTTAGAGATTAAACCTTCCCCGCGGAATTGTGGCGCTATAGGGAATATATACTATAAATAGCTATATATATTACTTATAAGCCCTAATAGAGTTTTTAGAGCTTACGTGAGGTCTTAGTGTGCCGCAGATACTTCTTTCTATATACTGGACTTTAGAGTATTTAGAGTTAAGTAGTTATCTCTAATACGTATAAACTATAGTAAAATACTTCTCTGCCTCTTAGTTATGGGGCCCGTTAACCTATAGGGGATATTAGGTAAGCTAATTCGGATATCACTAGCTATATAGATCTTCTTTACTTAGTTAGTGCTATATCTCTTAGTATCTTCTAGGGTCTAAAGCTAATTATTAATTTTCTATATAAAGCTATCTGTAGTATTCGTCCTATCCCGTACGAGAGCTTACTACTTCTAAATATAGCGATATATATTAGGTAAAATCTTAGTATAGTTCTATTTATCTTTATTATCTAATATTAGACTACCTTATAGGATTACGCTACCTTATTTAGTCTGTACTAGGTTATTTAGATTTACGTTAATATACCTAAAATAAGTCTGTTCCTTAGGTATAGTACTCTTTACGTAGTACGGGAAAGAGATCAGTTAGTAAGCGTGGTCTAGCCAGAAGAAAATATAGTATATATAGTACGCTAGATCCTAACGGATAAGCTATTAAATAATACTATATTATATATTCCTTAACTACCTAAGGCGAGGCTTACCTATATAAGGTAAATAGTAATAATTATATATATTTATCTCCTTATATGTGAGAGTAAGAAGGCTACCTAGATAATACCTATCGAAGTCCTCCTTTAATTAGCTAAATAACTACGGAATAACTATACTCCCTCGCTCTTATATTTATAACTTTAATATAATAGGTATAGGCGTTATAGGGTCGGGAGTAGGAGATACCCTATAATAAAGGCTTTCGAAGGATAACTAGGTTACCCTATGATAGTTAGCGATAATAGGAGGATTAGCCTAATACTTAAAGTAATAGAAATCTAACTATAACTTATTAATATCTAATAAAAACTATATCCGGTTCTCCTTTATTATAGTGTCTTAGTCCTTAGTGTGTCGGTAAATAAAATTAATTCGCACTATTAGTGCCGCGTAGTCCTTATTAGTATTATATATATTAAATAATTTAAACACTCTCTTCGTATAAGATAGATAGATTATATCCTTAGTAAAGGTTAAATCTAGTTCCGGAAGGGACAGCTTTCTAATATACCTAAGTGCTACTAACTTTTATTTATTTATAGTATCCGTAAGAAGGGCTAAAGTCTTATTTATAGCTACTCTTTAGGCGGTATAATTATATTTAGTAGTCTCCTTTCTCTCCTACGAGGGGTTATATTCCTTATTACTTTCTAATAGAAAATTATTAGGAAGTGACTGGGCTATAAAAAGATTAAAGACCACACTAGCTAAGTCGCTAATAGATATTAGGTTAGCCGTATATTCCTTATCTAACTCTTTAAGCTATATCGCTATATCCTATATATTATTAGGTGTAACACTCTTAGGATCACAGTTATCTATCGCTTTAGTATTAGTATCGGCCTTATCCTCTGTCTTAACCGTAATAATAGAAATAAACTATCCTAAAAGAGCAGTCTAGCCTCCCGATTCGATAGTGGGTAGATCCTAGCTAAAGCCTACTTCGTAGTAGTACCTATCCTAGTCTAGTTATAGTCTATACTGTCGGGATATAAGGGTAAAGCTACCACGAAGCAGATCGTGGCCCCTTAAGTCCGTGGGATCAACCTTAGTCCGGCCAGGTCAGTCGGTGCCAGACAAAGGAAGAAGGTCAAAGGTCGTAGGATAGACTATAAGCAGATATAGCCTAAACGAAGGCAGAACCACAGTCCTGAGGATCAAAGGAAGAAGGATAGAAGAAGGTAGAGATGACTTTGGAAAGTGAAAATGACTTCAGGAAAGTAGAAATGACTTCAGGAAAGTAGAACTGACTTGATTCTATCTGCTAGAAAAGAAGGACGTATTTATAGGCTAGGATAGCCTAGAAATGACGTCTAGAATGACATACAAATGACGTACAAACACTAGGCAGCAACATAATGAAGGTGGCAAAGAAGGGAACCGAAGAGAAGCGAAAAGAATGATATCAAGGATCGACGGTCTAAGCCACCCCGAAGGCATCCCCGTAGGATCA